GTTGAGGTCGCACAGAAGTTGTTTAACGTACGTTGACTCGCCCATGGTGAAGTAAACTCTCCATGTCCAAATGGTGATCCACGGTAGCACGGCAAGCCAGACGGTTCCGACCATGATGGCCCGCAGACCAAAAAGGACGGCAAACAAAGCCTGCTGAGCTAGGCGGCGGAACAGAAGAAGTGGAGGAAGCGTGGGGGGCATATCAGCTGCATATACTAGGAAAAACAATAGTGTAAGTCAGTTCAACACATCGAATAAAATTGTATTCACCCTTCGTAAAGGAGTATGGGTGTTTGCAGACATCGCAGGTCTTCTTCTTGCTGTGTGATAACCATGTGGTCAAACTAGATAGAAGTGGTGAGTTTGTATGATAATACTATAATTGGTTTGAAATCCACTGACCAGTCTTGATGAATGTACCGTATGGTGCCAGAGCATTTACAGGGATAAAAGAGCGGCTGATCCAAGTCGCTAGGCGCACTGCAGATTCGACATGTGTCTAAAAGGTGAAAGGTTAGCTCTAGCTCAAAAACATTATAAATGCAATATACCTTGCTCCTCTGCCTCCTGCATGCGTATGGCTCGTGTTGACAGACCCGAATTCTAACTCTGAGTGACTCCACGAGCGTCAGGGACAGGTTGTGTCAATGCGTTCAAAAATGCTGATTTCTGAACTATTTTGACGGCTCTTTGGTGTTATGTGGACGTCAAGCACTCGAAAAATGATGCTGACTGATAGTAGGAACAGATTGAGAACAGAGGTATAAAGAAATGCGCTAATAAGTACTGGCGGCCGGCCACTTTACTGTTGGTCAAACTAACTTCTGCGTGGCCGAAAAACACCATGTTGGGAATGTCATATTACATAATAATGTGGCTGAGACTTCCATGCAAAATGTGTTTACAACCATCAATAAGTCACTACAATGTTCTGTACAGAGCTGTACAGAGCTGCACAGTGTCCCCATGCCACAGCTTGGTTCCATACTGATGGTTTGACTGCAGATGATGTCATGATCCTTATGTACTACTTATCATTTGTTGAGAACAACTTCGTCATTGCTCGTCATCACGCATATCACTTTCCCTTTTTCATAAGGTAGACCTCAAACAGTTCCATCAAATGTCATGTGATCATGACCGACTGTGACAGTTGAAGGATAAGGTCAATGCAGAGTTGCCAAAAGAGCTATGCTAATGAGCACGATTATGTGCAACTAGTACAGGTAGGAATATAGTGGAAATGTGATTAAGTAGTAGGAATTGAATAGACAAAGTTATGTGCAATGACCAGTTGAGAAGTGTAAAGTATTAATTAATCATTAGTTGGGTGGACTTTGAGAATGATTGTCAAAATTGTGCATGATGCTGTGTGGAAGGACTCGATGTCCTCAATACTTTTTGATGGCCCTCGCTGCCTGCATACCATTTAGGCCCTTTTAATAAGCATCAATGAAACATCGAGAACAGATTGCAAATCTGAGAATGTTTTTCCAAGGCGCTTGAGCTGTGATGGATTCTTGAAGGCCACACACTGTCAGTAGTATACTTAGTTGTCAGCAGACTGTTTGTCATGTCTTGCCACTTCAGCTGTAAGTCAGTTAACACCCAAAATACCAGAACATCATCATCTGAGCTCATACAATCAAACAGGAAAAGCGAAAAATTCTAATTCTTAATTTCAAGATTTTTCGTGTAGCCATTAAGCCTCTTGCTTAGTTGTTGATTAATGGCCGAATTACACGCAATTGTCACACTTTGTCATGTGACATAGGATGGAACTTCTTGAGGTCTACCTTATGATATTCCGGACTCTATACTACATCATATATAATATGTCACGTTCCATCACCCATACCTCAGAGGTTCTTATCACGACACTGAGGTATGTATCTTATTGTCTGCACACTGTTCGTTTCTCACTATGTCTTCATCCATAGGTGTTACGACTTGGATGGTATCTGTTGGCGACGCTCAAACAGAGCTTGTGTCGTCAATGGTCTGTGGACGTCCTTGGGCTAGCCCAAGGTTAGGGGTCGTACTTGGCGGGTTTTCGGCAAGTACGATTTAACGCCTATGTCCAAATCGGGTAGCTTATGTCACGTGGGTGCGAGACGATAAGCTATATCGGCCTAGGCTTACGACACCCGAAGGTTAATCGTAAGGATCGTCGTTAATTAGAAGGACAGAAGTCCGACTAGTTAACAGGGGCTTTGCTCGTCGATGAAGTCGATGAGTAAAGGTCGAGACTATAGGCTTATCCGCGATGAGCAGATAAGAAGATAGAATATAGACTGCTGGCGAGGCAGAAAGGATCACTCTTGTGAGAGTAGGAGGTCAAGAACCAAGTAGATTCAAGTTAGGGAATATAGTACATGGTAGTGAGTTTATATAGAGGACAGGGGACGTATTAGTGGATGATAACTCGTACTACCGGGAGAGGCAATCGGTAAAGGGTAAGACCATAATAGGAAGGCACGTTCGGTCTAGGTAGAACGTGCTAAGTAAGAAAGTGAGTCAAAGATCGAACTAAGAAGTGAAACACGCAGGGGCACGATTGTGCAACTGCGGATCTAAGTATAAGTCACATGTGCGACTGCGCACCGAGTCAGAGATCAAGAAAGGGAACAGGGCAAAGGGGATGCGTCGTGCATCATATCATAGGTTACCGTCCAGACGGTAAGGGCAAGGGGGACTGTCCGTAGGATCAGTCAGGTGGTGAAACGGAGCATGGGTATGCTCCGTCAGCGAAAGGATCCGGCCAGATGTACTGGCTTTGCTGAAGCGACAGGTAGAGGGCGAAAGGGAATGCGAGGATGACGAGGATGACAAGAGTAAGGTCGGGGTAAGGGTGTGATGCGAGGGCTGATACGAGGAGGATTAGGAGAAAAATAGTAGGGGCCCAAGCATCTAGATGTTCTTGTAACAATAGGCTTGTCTTATAGGTACTATCAATAATAGTGGTTCTTATCACGACACTGAGGCTTGTCTTATAGCTCTATTATTAACAGGTTATGAGCCCTGGCTCTTACTGAGCCATCAAACAAGACTACCAGACAAGAACTCCCTCGCGCTGTCCTGCATGATGTGGGAATCATGCATGGACATGAATACTAGGTGACCCTCAAAAGATAAAGTCTGCTAGCTTAGTCCTCAGACTAGTCAACCCATACCTTGGTTTCAAACCATGGTCCATATTTCCAGCTTTCCCCAAGTTTCATGATCTGAATACGTTTTTGACGGAAAAAGTCTAATGTGAGATGGGAATCACATTTAGACCTAGTTGATCTGAGAAGGGAAATGAAGGTTAAGGTATAGCCTTGCCTTTGGCTTATTCACTTTGGCTAGAGAAAACCATAGAGAAAAGTACAAAGCCAATAAAAAACCTATCCAAAAAGACCGTGTTTCAATTCCTGCCAACTGTCTTATTTTTGCTACCTACTTTTCTCTAGTGTTTCTTTACTTTACTTTTTCATTAGGATGCTTTGACTCACCTGACACTTCATAAAATTGTACCCATAGGGTATGATGTCATTATGATGTCATAAGACTCCACAGATACTCCTGCAGGTATTCTGTTGAAAGATATTATGTCATCAAGCTCTAGATTATTTTACTCTACAATGACATCATTCATGATGTCATTTCCTTCTAGAATATTCTGCTCCACAATGACTCACTCATGGAAGGTTCTGGAATCTTTTGCTCCACAATGATGTCACTCTTGATGTCATTATGATGTCATTACTCCACATTCCAGAATGTTCTGCTCCACAATGATGTCATAGCTCCATCTTTCACTTGTATTTTATTCTTTTATTGGGTTTGACCCAATATTTTGATTGGTCCTCCTTATTTTTTATTGTTTGTGAACCTAGGTTACTTTCCCACACAAAATGTATATAAGGAGAGCCCATTCTCCCCTCCAAAAAAATATGATCTCCCATTTGTAGCAGTCTGCCTATCAGATATTTCACTTGCAAAGTTAGTCCCTTTGAAGTGAGACAAGTGCAGGGAAAAGAATTCCCTTGAGATTATAAGTTTCTTACCTTAGAAACTTATTTAGTGCTATAGACCAAGTGTTCTTGGTCACATATATTGTCTTTGAGACCCCTTTGTCTCATTGCTCTGTGCCCTTTGACTAAGCAATCTTAGTCATCTATCATATTGTTGAGACCACGTCTCACTAGTTGTCCCATAGACCAAGCGATCTTGGTCAAGTTCTAGTCTTATTTGTTCAAGCGATCTTGAACATATATCGTATATTTGAGACCATTGTCTCATAGTTCCAGTGCCCATAGACCAAGCGATCTTGGTCATATTTCGTATATTTGAGACCACGTCTCACTAGTCCCAGTATCCAAGTCCAGAGCCTAGAAGGAGATTTCCTAGGCAAATACATTCCAGAAACCGAATTACGTGTCTAGAAGCTTATTCCTAGACAAGAGATTTGAGTTTCAATAAAGAAAAGTAAAGCTCCGGCTAGGTTGATCTTTATAAAAAGATTAGTTTAGCAAGCCTCCCAAGAACTCACACATTATCTACCACAAAATAGGAAAAGTCGTAGACCGTGTTAATCGAGGATTGGCAAGAAGTCTTATCCAAAGTGTAATTGTGGTGTCATTACATTTACACAACTTTATATAAGACCCTCGGTTATTAAGACAATGTGATGGTTTCCAACTCACTTTGGTTGATATCACCACTCAACCCAGAGATTTCGCAACCTCATTCACTACTTTATATCGGTACCAGAGTGCGCGCGGTGCTTGTAGCTCTACCCTCCTCACTTAGTAACTGCCTTTGGTGTAGCCAGGTGGCGAACGGTGTAAAGAGGTGGAGCTCGCACTGAATTTTGTCTCTGCTCTGCGCATGGCAGGAACAAAGTTTTTTATCGGCACCTGGACCCTGATGTCCATCCGTCCTTTGGCCATTAATCAAGGACTGGCAAGAAGTCTTATCCAAGTGTAATTGTGGTGTCATTACATTCTTACACGAATTTATATAAGACCCTTGGTTATTAAGACAACACATTTAGCTACAACCTGCTCGGCTGACAGAACAGATGGTGGTGGTGATGTAGACATGGATGGGACAACGTCTGCATTTGAAATCAAGGCAGGGTGACACGTTTTGAAGCTTCCTGCCAAGCCAATCATAGATTTGGATCTGGTGTTGATGGTGAGTGCGGCAACAGTGTACTTGCTATCAATAGTACTGAATGGCGTAGAAATGAGCGCTGGGAAGCCAATGGAAGGGATGTCGAAGAGACGAAAGGTGATAGAGACACATCCAGCACCTGTCATCACATAATGTGAGTTAGTTGACTGATTCTAAAAGTTCAAGGCACATACCTATAGTAGAGGATGCTTGTTTTCTAACATTTCCCTGAGTTTTCATGGCCGCTTTTAGTTGAGATTGGCTGGGTAAGAAGAGTTGTTTTGATATGTGAGCACTTGCTGCTAAGACAGGTTGTGACTATTCGAGCTTTGAAGGGCCGTCAGAGACATTGGATTGGTCTTCATCCTTTGAGACATTGTTGCCTGCCAGGACCTCACTAATTTCAGATATCAGAAACTGTGGTATCAAAATGGTTAGACCTGCCAATATATGAGTGCCTCAACTTACCTTCCTGGAGCGCTTGTGTGCAGGGCGGCGTGGTGGTGATGGGCTAGAATCATTGCTGCTACCTTGACTTTGCAGTACCCTTTTCTTTGCAGGGATACTAGATGCTGGTGTTAGCACATTTTGCACATCAGTGTCAACACTTGGTGCAATGTTCTGCGAGATTGAACTAAGTGTGAAAGGTATCGCTGAAAACATGAAAAAAGACCTACATTGACACACTGCTCCTGCCAGAGCAACACATCCTCAAACTACACATTTGTCATTACAAGAAGGATGGCAACACGGGCATTTGCAAAAAATTTGGGTGTGGGGTCCTTGGGCGTTGCACGCACGAAGAATTCTTGTAGGACTGGTTCATTAGTGCCAATGGATGGTTGTCTTGGGTTGTAAAGAATCAACTTTGGTGATTTGTGCATTTCCAGGCTATAGAGGGAGAGAGAGTGGCTGCGCGACCACCCTGCCCATAATGGTTCGAGCTGGTTGATTACCTTGGACTGGGGCTGAGCTAGGGTGATGTTGAGTGCAACATGCACATCACATTCAATATTCTGTCAATCTTGCAAGTTGAGAGCAGTGCAAGTTAGAATTAATATGACCTACACCAACTAACACTGTGCCCGACTTTCCCTCTGGTTTCAGGTGATGTAAGGTGACTTGAATCATGACTTAATGTAAGCGCCCTGATGATGCTGCCTGAGCCATCTTGCTGTGATGCAGCTGGTGCACAGCATGATTGGGCGTATATCCCATGCTCACGTGTGCAGGAACTGGAGGAGGAAGCATTTTTCTGCGGTCACCTGCCAGCATGTTGGCTGAATGGCTGAAGCGCCGACTGGGAAAGGTGTTGTCTATAAGATAGTACTATTAAGCTTCATACACAAACCGGAAGCCCTCAGAGCATGACAAACCTCCACGTTGTGCTGCTGACATTGCTTTTACCAGCTCATGTCTCGAGGGCTCAGCAGCTGTGAAGTCTGTGACATGAATGATAATGAATTTGATTAGTTTTGGACTTAGACTCAGACTCATCAAAGTTGGACTCACCAATGCTTGTAGCTTGCTGGCCTTGAGTCTGTTCTATAGCTTTACGTCCCTCATAATGCTTTGCACAGGTTGGGCAACACGTACAGCCTGAGCCATCTTTACCACACACATATGTAAATGGTACAGTCAATTCAAAGTGTGTGTTGCAACGCTGACAAAGTCTCCAGCTGTTTGGATTCATGGGAGTAAAGTTTGCCATGGTGGATTTGAAGGAGGAGCAAGGGATGCTGGAGGCTTTTGAACCATGTTAGACATATAATAGTCCAAGTGATTTTCCAAGTGATTTGCAGTCACAGTTGTTCTTTTGAAGTGTGATTCTCAAGTGGTTGAATAAAGGTGCCTGTCTTCCCAGATCCTGTAGCCTGATAGCTAGCCCTTCGACGCACTGGACCGACCAACTGAGCCTGACTCAAACATGTCAGAAGACACCATGCTTTGAACATCACAATCCTGAGCAGTTGTTCGAGGGAAAGCAAGAAGAGTTTGATAAGGTGGTATGCAATACTGACACCAGTGATACCAGTCTCGAACAGGAAATCAATTGTACTACAACATCAATGGCACCAACAGATGCGGACTAAGATAGACTACAGTACTACTCAACTTGCTGAATCTAAATTGCCTACTCATCTGTCCAGGTAAACTTGTAGAAGTCAAACTCTTCATCTGATGAGTTGACTGCCGCAGATTCACCAGTGGGTACATGATATCCAGCCCCTTCAACAAATGGCGGTAAATCCAGAACATCCATCTCCTCAGACCCAATTAGTTTTTCACTGTCACACGGGATTTTTGGCTGTGCAGTGATGACACTTTGAATAGGATCCTCACCTTCAATGGCTCAAAAGCACATAAGAAGACCTGAATAAGTATCCCAGATATTGTCACAAGTCAGTACAGTATGACCAAGCTCAGACATGAATGTCGTAGCCTGCTGGGAGAATTCCTGGGTACCAAGAGAAAAATGGGGTGATCAGAAGGAGCATATGTTTTCAGGACCTGCTCAAGTGAGGATTATCAATGATCACCTGCAAAACATTAATATATGGTCAAGAATGTGTCTGACAGCTTACAGAGAAGTCCTGGCAATCAAATTTCTCAGGGCAATCAAAGATATCATTGGGGCAACCATGTGGTAGGATTTTGTGCATGTTGAAGCAGGGTTTAGTGTTGTTTAACTTATTGGCAAAAAGATCGAGCTCATGCTGGAGCCACAGAATGAAAACAAAGTGAAATACAAGTCTATGTTCCACACAGCATTAGTGCAAGAAAGTATCAAAGACATAAAAGAAGAACCTTTCAAGTGCATCATCTGGGTTATAGATGCTTGCACTCAAACCGAAATCGAGAATATCTTCGAAACCCAGAGTCCAGCAATGGCACAATTGGCTCCAGAAAATTTCTGGCTTTATATTGTGATGGTCACCTCTGAACTTGTGCTGCAGGGTGCGTGCTAGACCTGGATCTTGAAGATGACGAAGCATGGTGTGACCATTCACAATCCCATTGTTCTCTGTGCCCAGATCGCTTTGGGTAACGAGAGGCATAGCTTAAATGATTGCATTAGCAGGCTGATAATTGAGACTGGATGCAAATAATTACCTCCAAGGCTTTGGACCATGTCACAATACCAGCCACAGATCAAGCGTGGATTGTGATTGGTCCACCAGATCTTGAGCCAGAGTATTTGCCCTGAGAACGGCTCAATACCAACATGTAGAAAGAGCTGAAAACAACGCCACTTGTCATGTTGGTCAAAAACCCAAATGTCATGAAGACCTGCAGTCCAAAAAGTGCTGCGTTTGAGCCGGCGACTCTTCTGGCGCTGAACTTCATCCAGATGGTGAAGGTTCATGTACCGCAGTATTAAGTCTCTGAAAACAATTCAATCAGTGTAAATGTGTCACGACAGAGTATCATATACAACCTTGGAACCATAATATGTTCCTCTTGCCTAAGGGTTTGCTTCATGTCGTGCAAGCCCTGTTTGGGGAACCGTTGACAAACACACTCAATGGCAGGTCCAATGCTTTCAATTGTGTGCGCTTGACCACAGGCAGATGTAACTCCCCACTGTGAACGTCGCTTTTTCAAGAGGCTCAATCTGATAATTCAAACATCAGAAGCTCTGTTTGAAGGTATGTTTAAGTAGCTATGACTCACAATATATTGAACTTGCTAGTCTCCTGGTGTGCCCAAAGATGAGAGATGATCTCTTGATTGCTGTAACCATTGGCAACATACTGCTCTACAAGCAGTCTTATGATTGCATCTGGAGCTGCAAAGTAATTAGCTCCAGTGTAATTGAGTTAACTGAACCCAGTTTCAAATGCACTTACGACTAACAACACCTCTCCCATTTTTGCCTTGTGAGTTAGGCATTAGAGCAAGCCTTGAAGCACCAGCCTGCGTCAGTGGTTCAATGAGAAGATATATTGATACAATGAACCACAGATTCACAACTTACAACCCCCTCTGAACCGCTGAGAAATTTAGATTGGAATTTAGATTGCCATTCTGTACAAAATCGCTCTAGTAGAATATAACTAGGGATATACACAAAGAAACAACATTACTGAAACCAAACAGCAATCGGACATTGAAAATCTGTGCGGCATCTCGGGAAGTCAGACTGTAACCAAACATCCACCATACAATCACTTGTCATGCTGGAAGAATGAGGAGGCTCAATCAGTTTCTCCTGGTTTGATGATTCATCCCTTTTTACCCCCTCGGAATTCGCTGGGGGACGTCTCAAAATGATTTCCATCTTGGCAAAGGCTAAGCAGCCATCCAGGGATGCTTGGTCTTTGGAGCGGGTCATTCATGTGCGCTCAGTTTTGTTAGGTTTGGCCTTGGACAACAGTACCTTCCACGCATATTCCTCGCATCTCAACTTGTACATCACATTCTGTAATCTTCATCATCTGCCAATTGATCCTATGCCAGACACTATCATTTTATGTCACCTTCATGTCTCATCACATCCAACCTCATTTGGTTGAGGCATATCTTTTGGGTATTGTTAGTCAATTGAAGCCACATTTCCCGCACGCCCAAAAATCTCATCACTCCCTCCTTGTCAGAAGAACATTGCATGGAGCCCTTCATAGCTTGGGGCATCCAGTGCGGTGCAAACAACCTCTATCTCGGGATGACTTAGAGCGTGTATATGGATCTCTCACTCACCCGCTAAGTCATGATGACTTACTTTGGATCACTCAATTACACTGTGGATTCTACGGACTTCTTCGCTTAGGCAAACTGGTAGTATCTGATGATCCTTTGTTGAGAGATTTTTCGAAGTTCACCTTGCGCACTTCAGTTGCTGTCTCTTGCATGGATTTCACCTTTTTGGTCCAGCGGGACAAAATGGATATGCAGTATGAAAGGACCCCAGCTGCTCCCTATATTGCATGTCCACTGGTAGCGCCTCGCAAGTCCTCAAAATTACCCATCCTATGCTCCTAAAAGTGCACCTCCCAAGCCTGTAGTGCATACCCCATGTCCGTTGGTAGCGCCTCGAGAGGCCGTGAATCCATGCTAATATTAGTACACTGACCAACTTAGTTGCCTGGTTTTCCTAAACAGACACTGGGATTCACCATGTAGCTATGTTTACTGACATATGGTACACTTGTGCAGAACATTAGTTGTCATAGTCAATGCAGAATCAAAGCATTCTTTGTATCATCCAACTCCTGCACCCTTCTGAAGTCTGTGTTATGATCTGGCAAAATATCTTAGACGAGCTGAAAAAAGCTGCTCTGACAGTCAGCAATCAAGGACCAGCATCTGAGAGTATCCTCGGAGTTAAGCACCTGACACTCCAGCATTCTGCGGACCACTGGGAGGAGCTTCATGCTCCCGTTCATGCCATCTTTGGTTGGGGACAAAAAGGAGGCCTACTATCTTTGAAATCGAGTCAGGCAGATTTTCTCCTTATACACAACTTTCTGCATACCTTTGCCCATGTCGAGCAAGATGTCGGAGAAGGATCCTGTCTGTCTGCAATGGTTCCTCGAATGGAAACAGCACTTGAGCTCTGGTGAGTTATCATTTTGTCAGGTGACGGCAACCCATCACTCACCAAATAATTGTAGTCAAAAGGCTCCTCGGTCACCTGCACATGAGTCGTTGACGTGTGCTACGAGCCATGGAAACCAGTTGGTATTGCACCCCTCTCATACCACCAGCACAGCATCATCCACGAAGTATGTGGATAACCAGACAAAGGAGTGTATCAGGACACCTATGGACACTTGCCAGTATCAAGGAGCTTGTCTACAATCTCGGAACATCCGCACTCAGCATCTCAGAGGGCCGGTATCACGCTATGAAACCATGGGCCTTTGAACGGTGAGTTTGAAGTCTATAAAACACTGTAAAACATAAATTTATCATCGTCTACAGGTGGGAAGCAGCTGGGATGATGGCAGTGCGCGAGGTTATTGCGTCGCAGTTCGCGGTACGGTCTCGCAAGAAGCAGAATTGTGGGTTTGCCTAGGTACTTCAGTAGACAGTAATATGTTTCGGAAAATTTCCTTTTTTGGTATGTTTTGGCCACCATGCATGTCCGAAGTGCGCCCCGCAAGCCTCAAAAGTGTTGCGCCCCGCAAGGAAAATTTTGAAAATTTGCGGACATGCGGTATAGGGAGCAGCCGGGGTCCTGGTATGAAGGAAACAGGGTTGTTATCCAACAGGTGCTTGTTGGTTCTGACCCTTATCCTCTCCTTACACGTTTTCTTGCCTCCCGCGACTCTAGGTTTCCACTGCATCCCTTTCTTTGGCTTAAGAGCGACGGCACTCTTCCCACTCGTCTTGGTTCATTTGGCGTCTTCACCGCTACTTTCCTACCTCCTTTCAGGTCATTCCATGCGAGCCGGAGGTGCTACCTCTCTTGCCGCGGCCGGTGTGTCTCCCGAACATATCCGAGCAGTTGGTCGTTGGACCTTAGGTACTTGGGAGCGCTACGTTCGTAAAATCCGACGCTGCTGCAAGCGTTATTGTTTCATAGTCGTTCCGTGCACGACCCGCCGTTTGCCACTGTTTAATGTATAATATGCGTGCGTGCGTCTATATATTCTTATTTATCCTATTTATCCTTTATTTCAACCTTTTCTTCTCCCTCCCTTTCCCTCCCATTTCAATACTCATAATAGCTGTCAATCCTGCGTTCTTTTCGATTAGTTTTTGAGGCTCTCTTACTTATTCACGACCAACTGTTGTTTCGTCTGCAATAATAGCTGGCTCCTCGGCACGGGAGGAGCCGTTTTTTTGACTACTCCGGAGTTTCGAAACGCCTTTCAAATCCTGCGAGGCCCATTAGTCTACAATGTACAATATTGACGTAGGGAATTTCACATGTATAGTTTTAAATACACCGCGATTGACCCGAGGATTGACGGTTGAAAACACCCACAGGGATAAGGATCTATGTACAAGGGCAACACAAGGGAGTTAAATGTCTGAAAGGGTAGTAGTGTCTTAAACAGCATTAGAAGTCAACATCAGACTCTGCCATGTAGTGTTCAGAGTCGCTGTCACTGTAATCACACACGTCATCCTCTGGGATGAGACGATGGGCTTCATACTTCCCATTTTCAAGATTGTATCATCCTCCAACGCTCCGGGCGCTCATCCATGTCCCGTGTGACCAATCAATGTACCTCGAAACCATCTTCATCATCTGCGCTAAGGGAAATATTCCACCCAAGAAGATGCGATTGTTGAGCCCGTCGTGCGCGATCAGTCCTTCATCATGTACATAGTACACGGCATATTCATGGAGCATAGCAAGCGTAGCACCGCGCCGAAGGACGTTGAGGTCATTGTGGCTCAAATGGTCGAAGAGATAGTCCTCTTCGTCGATAATGGTCGCTGGTGGTTCCCACTGAGGTAAACCGTTAGTCGCCATCATATCGTATCTTCATCACTGGCCCGTACCGTAACTGAAGACATCTTCATCGAGCCAATCGTCATCTTCTTCTTCGTCATCGTCATCATCTCGCTCCATAGTCCTCTATTTCGTCGTCAGGCGGGAATAATCCTTCCCATGGATCTGCGTCAGCGGCAGGGGGATCCAGCAGTGGGCGATGAGGTACTAGAAGATGTTCCCCGAACCTTGAACAATGCTAATGCAATGGATTTGACGATGAAAACGGGAATGGGCCGATACGAATATTACCACGACAGAATGGACAGGTCTTTTTTCGAAAAAGTAGGTAATCGGGGTCGTCGTCGTCGTACATTTCATCGTCGCTGGGGGGTGCTTTCTTGAACCACTCCTGTAAACATGAAACACAAAGAACGTGCCCACAAGGTGACAACCTGGAAGAATCATGAGTGCTTTCGCATTGATATGGGGGAATGCAGACTCACGCATATGGTTTGAGTAACAGCTCCATGCAAATTTGGCATGAACACTCGTTTCCACATTATTGATGGCCTGAGTAAAAGTTAAAGCACATCATGCGCATCGATTTCAAAAAACTCACATCTTCAGACTTCTTCACCTTGCTCTGTGCCTTGCTCACTTGACTTTCGGTCTCCTTCAGTTTCTGAATAAGCATTCACATGAATAAGTTAATGGATTAACAGGTGGTGGCCACACTAACCTTCTCGTTTGCACTGTCTTTCTGGCGAAGCTCTCAATTATCTATTATCGCACTGTAAACGAATCTGCCAAAGGAGAGCACATATATGAACCTTATTCTGCTTCTTGATCGTCTTCTTGTTATCATGAGCCACCTATATCCATATCCTTCTTCAGACGATGAACGTCGAGACGTGATTTTACTCACTTTCTTCCATATTTCAATTTCTCGCTTAAGCTTAGCAAATTCAGCGGCTGTGAACGGACCCTGGTATTCGAGGTGAAGGTCCACAAGCGCCTGGACACCCTCAGAATCGGATGCCGAGGCTTTCGAAATCTGTCGGTAGGCCGAGTCTCTCGACTTGGATCTGTCTTTCTTTGGCTTGTTCTCTACGGCAAGAGCCGACGCAGTAGCAGGGTGCTCTACTGCCTGGCGACCTTGCTGACGTGATTTGGACTTGTGCTTGCGACCTCTCTCAAAATTGGTATCGTCCAGTGGTGCAAGAAAGTCGAAAGGCAAGGGATTTGTCAATTTCTTTTTCTTCCCTCCTTCGGGTTGAACTTGCTCAGATCTCTGCGCGGCAACTTGAAGGTGAGAACTCCACGCATCCGGGGAGCGTGATTTCTTGCGTCGCTGACCAGTCTTTGAGTTCGATGGTGCATCTCCTGACGTAAGGTTTGGCCGACGATGACCGTTGTTACGCCGCGATGGACCAGGTGCACGTTCATATCCCAGTGAATTCATAATGAGGCGTCGGGATTCTGACAGCTGGAATGATGGTTAATGGTGATTATCCCAACCCCAGAGGAGACCCATGTCCATACTATGTTCGGTGAAAAAGCTATTGTTGGAAGAGCTAGTGGCGTACGTCGTGGATGTCGATGAAGGCTGGGTCAAAGTGATACAAAGGTGTTGACCTCGCTTTGTGACAGGTCACAGTTATTGAAATGCCGCGGCTACCAAAGCAAAGGGTGATGCACTGTTGAGTAGTAGGTCGCGATGCCTCAGATTTAAAATCCTACATTTAAATGACCTGCTACTTGCTTGGGATTGATTTTATCAACCACCTTTGAAGTTTTATTCAACGACTGCAACAATGTCACCCCCTGTGCACAGCCGTGTTCCTCCATTACGACGTGCATGATCAATCCCATGAATCATCATAACACGGACGGTGTAACGGCGATGCAGTATGCACTAGCGCTCATGTGAAGCGCATATATATATGCCACCCGAACAGTGATTCACTGCCACTAGTGGGGTAGCGCAGTTGACACCCTGTCAACAGCAAGGCCAACTTCCGTAGCGACCTTAGACTCATTAGTCGAACATTGTTATGTGGTACTGGTCCGTAGGCACTGGTCTGAATGTAAGTCCAACGATCAGCGGAAACGACCATAATATTTAGGTCAATGCATTACCCCTGGAGACAGCACAGCTATACTGTACAGCCAAATTACACGTATTACATGCCCCCGCCCCCACGATCTACGCAGATAAGTTATTAAGTCCAGTATCAAATGAGTCATTATGATCATGATGTGAAGGCGATGTGTATATCCAGACTTTTGAAACCCAGGGGCGGCAAATAAAATAATGATATACCTCGCGAAAGCAGTCGAAGAATATTTTGGGAGCAACCATAGCCTGCAATCATGTTAGTATGCTCGTATTAAAGGAACCCAGGTGTGATTCAGTATATGGATTGTCTGTAGGACACAGGGAGGCCCAAGTTTCTAAAAGGCTCAGTTAGCTTACTTTGCATAATTAACACAGCACCCATACCTGGTATGCTTTCGCTGACGATGGGAAGTTGATTCCGAGCTTCAGCCATAACCGCCGCAAAGCCGCTAGAGAGAAGTCAGTGCATGACGAAGATATTACCACTGCATACATACTTGTTCAAATGGAAGTCAATATGGCTGGCAAGTACATCATGAGAGGCGTGTCATGGAATGCAACGAGAATAAATGCTCACCAATGGAAGAACCATGGTCCAGCATTGTCCGTGACGAAACGGAAAGTAACGTTATCCCCCTGGTTTCCCATACTTACAGTGTCTCTCCAGATTGGGTTAACGAAGTTTGGCGTACTGTTGCCTGCAACTCTAACAACGGCAAATTTGTGCTGTCAGCTGCATTAGAAAAGGGAATGATACAGAAAACAAAACGACGCACTCCATGAAGGTGCATAGGATGCTAGAATGATGATGAGCAACAGGAGTGAAAAATATCAGGATGTGCTTACTGGACCGCCAGGAGCCAAACCCGTGTTGGGAAGGGAGATCTCTACGACCTTGTTCGGGGGAAGTTCGTATACGCTTCCGTTCGGCAGCAAATCTGAAGGATGTCGAGCCCCACTGAGCATTTGCAACAAGACTGGCGTCGGAGGATTATGGTACGAAACGTTGTTGATCGTGAAGAGGTTGTTCACGTTACCAGCAACTAAGTTGATGTTGATGTCTGCTTTGCCAATCCCAGGCACACCGGGGACCGGAACGTTCATCAAAGGAGCAAGCTTTGCTTCGTTGAATGGCAAAATGGAGGGTCCGGGAGAGCTCGTAGGATCTTCCTCGGGCGCACCCTTGTACCTAAGGATGGCTTGGTTCAAGCCCCCTACAAACGATTGATTTCCAAGGTTGGGTAGTACACGAATCCAGTAATTCGCCACAGGCTGGTTCGCATGGATGACGACAGAGTAGCGCTGGCCAGCGAACACCGGAAGCGAATCCACAGTCTCAGGGACAGTTTCGACGCCGTCAGCTTCGATGATGGTCATGATATGGCCATCGATAGTGAGGTTATATGATGGGTCACAAGAAAGACTAAGGACGCGGAACCGGTAACGTTTGCCCTGCTCAACGTTCATGACGGAAAGAGGTGACATGGGTCCACCAGGGTAGCGCCCCAGACCGTTGATGAGCGTGGAGTTGTAGGTAACGGCGCCGATGATCTTATTTAACACACTCGTAGGATCGTGGTACCTGAAGAAACTTGTAAAGACTTGTAATGCAAAAGGATGAGCCAACTCGTACCAGTCGGACATCGTCAGTACTGTGCTCTCTGTGCCAATACTGGTCAAGGATCGGTCTAAGTATGTAAGCAAGGATACGAACCGTCATCTACGTCATACAGGTCTTTGTGTGGATCATCAGGGTCATATATGACAAGTGGTCCTCTAAGACCATCACCTGGACATGAAGCTGTGTAGCAAAGGTCACGAAGATAATCAGGGACACTCACAATACTGGGTGGAAAAATGCGAGTGATACCTGTTGTACGAAATGCCTTAGCAATCCTCCTCTTTAGAAAATAAGGAACACGAACCAAAAGGTTCCCGTCTGGTTGGGTGCGCTAAATTGGTGGAGAAAAGAGCGATTTTGAGGGATCGGACATTGAGTGATGAATGAAGTGCCATCTGCCCAGTTTGTCTTCTGTTGGTAGATGCCATGCCAGTGCTTTGAAGGGTATCAGAGACCTTATGATGGTAGAAAGAGTAAAGAACATACTACACTCGTCGACAAAGGCATGTCTTTGTCCTGTAGTTGGTTTACGACAGCGATGCTAAAGTTGTCATGCTTCGAGATATTTAGCGTCAGACGTGAATAAAATGCTCGTTCGAACCTTCTGCGCCTTGATGAGAGGACCAGGAAAGATCCCTCCTGCGAGCGTAGCCCTGTACGGGGGGAAGATAAAGGGATATAGGGGGACAGGTGAGCATTAACTTACGACCGTTTGAAGCCGTCGGGCGCGATTATTCTATTGGTGATAGTAAGTTCAGTGACAGGTCCGATGGTGGACAGGGCCGCGCTAGGCGGAGAACGCTGCAAGGGTTCAGAGTCAGATCTTGAAGTTATCGACACTGCATGTGATGAGGCAAGAAGACAGCCAGCGAGGATAGTATGGAGAAACATTGTGACCAGGGTGATATAAACTATCCTGCTTGACACTAGCCGCAGACGTGGAGATCAACTCGAAGGCAAGGGAATAGACAGATCGTGTGCCGACCTCTTATATTGGATCGAGCAACACTGAGCCTGTGGTGGCGGCATTTTAAGTCGAGGAACAGTCGGAGTCAATGTTTGGGTTGCTACTAGAGCAGCCACAAACTACTCTGGATGCACAAAAAGACGGGTAGTGCTGTGCACGTTGTGAAATTGGATATATCATATCTCCGGTCTTTAGTATAGGCTAGTGGCTCCTGGCAGTGGATCAAATTCTCGTGTCCAAAGTTCTAAGTTGACAACAGGGGAAGCAAGATGACGTATCGTGATTGGAGTTTGAAATGACTGGAAAATTCACAGATGATATTCCTCATAAGACTGACACTGTGGGATAAACGTCGTGGTCAACTCGACAGCTAGATTTGAAACCTTAGCGGTTTGCTGTCCACTCTTTCAGCACACAAAATTTGACATGCCGCGCATCAAATGAAGGATGCATGGGCATTCAGGTTTGAGAACCTTGGCAGGCCCTCCGATAATGTTCCAAGGCCTGAAGGCGTTAGCTCGGACACGGTAGTAGTTGACCAAAACTCACTAGCGAGCACTGTGTGACTCGGATGAACTACACATTACATCAAAATTCAGAACGGTCAGGTGACTTGGTTACCAAAGTTCCTGTGGCACATTACATAATGTTGAAATTTATTAATCCGGCACTAACTCCAACTAACTCCAACTCAGCTATGTATAACTAAGGGGTACTTTCTCATCTGTAATTTCACCGCACTGCTCTGCTTCAAGCTGACGGCGCACTAAACTCGATTCAACGATTACTACACCTTTCGGGCTTGTAGTCCCAAACTTATTACTTGAAATGGTGTTGTCTCTCGAACTCTCGCATGTTCTGGACCTGGACGGTCCTTAGGAACCGGATACTTGGTTTATACTGACAAACCAATGCCTTGGATGAGTCCTGAACTCGTGGTTCCGGTTCCTTCCAAGCCCCTCAAGCCAACGTCGTTCATTATCACCGCACGGCCCAAATTGAGCAGCTGCCAAGTTTTACCAGTCGTGCATTGCAATATCGTCGTTTTATCTCCGTGGACCGTGATAAACCAATAGTCACCGCCATTTCATTCAGAGAAAAGTTTAGCGAGGATATTCGAAAGTGACCGAAGTTTGCTTTGACGGGTTGGGTGCAGTGAGCGAGTTTCCAGTTTCTTCGTGCCACTGGACGATGACATCGATTCCTATCAGATCACCGCTTGCTACATATGATTTGCCCATTCCATGATATGTATCTCCAATGCCAACACATACTGCTATGCCCCTCCATCGTCGTCCGCATTCGTCTTTGATAGGGGAATACTGCAACTGCACTTACGCTTTCTTTATAACTTTCAAACTCTCGAAGGGTGTGGTGTTTGGAATGAGCCGACATATTTTACTGGAGGTTGATGGTGCTGAGCACAGTCGAAGTGGACTTTGGACGGGTGTGATTTTTCTCTCTAACTTAGTTGCATGTGTTGTGCGTTTCACGCTGCTTCATTACGTTTAACTGACTCCTTTTCATAGACAGTTAAGACACGGGGCGGCTCATCGTTGTTGCAGAAAGAATGCTCACTATTGTCACACCCCCTTACTCTACAGTATACCCTCCAGGCGCTTCTGAAGCGTACACACGGGTCTGATTCTTATCTCCACAGCTTCAAAAACTTCATCCCCTCCCACCTATTTGATTATGATAGTGCGATCACTACTTCTCTCGGAAGCATCATCGTCCTGTTTTTGGTCTTCGTCCCAGGCATACTAACATAGGCTCGAAAGTGATTATATCAGTATTAAGGCATGCCAGTATTGTCAGCTTGGATGTAATACTGCATAGTACACTTTAGGTTCTTCCGCAAGCAATCACTTTTCCTTCGTCAGGAACAGCTCGTATTTAGAGAGAGCAGGAGTCGCATCAGTAAACCTTTGTCTGATCAATTTTGCTTTTGCTTCGCTCCTTGGTGAGATCGAACAAGCAAACGGACGAGGCCTGAAGACAAGACCCTAAAGAGTTTGTTTGGGTTGAACCTCAACAATGTCGATGCAACCATGGCACACACCTCCTCGTACGCATCGATATCAACAGGGATCGGCGTTTTCGTAACTGGATCAATGGCAGTAGCGAAATCAAACGCCCAGACCAAAGTGGCAATGGTAAACGCCTGCTTGACTGTTCAGGCCAGAAATCGGGCGTTAAAGTGTCACATACCAGGTTTGTGTTGACTAAATTCATCCCAGGGCAGAGTCTCTGCAGGACATCATAAGATACATATTGTGTGCTTCCAGCTCAAGACGTACTTTTCCGCTTCCAAATGGTATACTTGCGCGCCAGTCTTTGCTATCCACACCAGGTTTTGTCCCGTGTTCGGAGAGGAGGAATCTCTCTGGTCGAAAGACCTCGGGCTCGTCAAAGACCTCTGGTAATATTTGAGCAGGCCTTCATTATATTGGAATCACGACACATGTACCCGGATCATGCAAGATGCCCCCTATTCGATGGTCAGTTTGATAGGTTTGAGAATGCGAATGTTGCACATACAAGCATTTATGAAAATGGTTGTACCTTTGGGGATAACATAGCCTCGATACTGGCGGAATACATTGGTCAACGTGGGGGAAACCTGTGACTGGTAGATCGTGACTCACTTCTTGAGTCTCTAGTAATGCATGAGGCATTCCAAGCGGTGCCATTGGTTTCAATCTATGTACCTGACGACTGTCAGCCTGATTTATCATTGCTAAGCTAGAAAAGAATTCACCTCTCTTAGGATAGCACGGATATACGGAAGCGATGCAATGTCATCCATTGTGGGTAACCGCCCGTCCGGTAGGACGGAGTCGATTTCATTTTGAGCCTTTCGCAGTGTCTCGGGGAAGGCAACAAAACATAGAATGAGTGAAGAAATGAAGGATCCAGAAGAATGCGATGCTTCGAGCACAATCGCACCTAACCAGCTACAGCGCGAGATGAGAATTACTGAAGATCTTATTCAGAGTTCGCACTCACGCAGCAGCGTCCTTTGACATTCCAAGCTCTTCTTGACGATGAATGACTTCTTCCATAAAGCAACCAGTACCTTCTCCTCTGGCAAGCCTTGACTCGGCCTCTTCCAATAACCCAAAATATAATCGACGTTGCAGCGTCCTCGCCTCCCTGCATATTCCTTTCCATGACGCCCACCGTTCCGGGACATATTTGAGAATAGGGAGGAGATCGACGGGAGGCCCCTCAGCAGACACCACCTGCACGGTGAGCCTCACACCCTCATAAAAAAGTCTTTCTTCCTCCGTGTCAGGGCGCGGACAGCGTTTCCCAAAGGCTATAGACAACAGTATTGAAAACGTGTAACGATCGATGTGCTTTTCGAAGTCCTATGAGGAGATGAGAGTGCTTGATAGATTATGGAAAGAAAGGAACCATACTTGAGGCGAACAGAGTAAATCAAATAGAAGTTGCGAGCTCTCTGCTACAGCGACTGGCAGGTGTTTATTCACACTTTGTGGGGAAAACAGGGTCTGTAACGCCTTTCGGCCCATGCGCCAGATATCCGTTGCTGACGACCGATAAAAAATTGAAAAGATGGCGAGAGAAAAATAACGCACTCGAATCTGCTTCCGCGATAAAATATCCATCCGTTATAAGACTTCCAGTGTAAAATGACGGACGACCAGACGTTTCATTGCTTCGCTTATCCATGAATTCTTTCAGAACTGTGGCATCCGATACCACAATAACCGTGCCGTGGCCGATCTTCAACTAGGAACAATGTCAGAGGCAACGGCAGAGATGTAGCAAACGTTTCTTACAGAAAAAATACCACCATATTGTCGAGCCCATTCGGTAAATCTAAAACGAATGAGGTCTGTAGCGTTGTAGATACGAGGAAAATGCGACACCCTACTTAAGTTGGGCGAATTTGGACGGGACCATAAGTGCATTTCCGAGTATGGGGACAGTCGGAGGACCAGGAGGTAGGTGCTGCTCGCGCCTTCCAGTGCTGAGTAACTTGGTAATGATCCATGTTATACCACCAGTTAGGAGGATGGAGAACAAAAATGTGGAATCCATTGTGTTACTGCTTTTACTGAGTGGCACTGGCAGTGAGATAGAAGGGCAGGGTACAATGCTTGATAGTATCTCATGAGATGGGACAATATCATCTAGGACAATATGTCCAGGTGACTTATCCCAACCTGGACATCCTCGGAAGGTGTCACCTGCCACGTAAGTTGGCGGAAACCCTGCTTGATAACAAATTAACATGACTGGTAACAATGAAGCAAAATAAACTTGAGTGCATTTGCTGCGTAATAAGCGGATACATTGACTTTTAAAAGAAGAAGCTGCCATACTCAGGGATTGGTTGATATTAGCACGGATGAATAAATCTTTGGTTTGGGCGCATCCACGCTCACACGCATTGTATGAAGTGTCACGAGAGGAAGTTTTGCCAGAAGGAACTTGGAAGATATGGTCATGCGAAGGAGTCGGAACTCCAGCACATTGGAGTAAACTTTGGAAGGAGAGTGATATCAAATGATGGTCAATAGCTTACAACGACCGTCGTCAATTGGACGAGGACACGAGACACTGCGGCTCCGAGGGCCGAGGAGCGATTTGCGGAAAGGCATGATCACGTGCCATACTCTCATTGATTTAGACCTGATCCATCTAGGTTATCAAGTACGGTGAGCAACATCACTGAAGTACTTGCTACGTGTCAATTCATACACTGACCGGCAAATTTCAGAAAAGCCGCGTCAGAATACTAACGGTAGAACTACTTGAATCTCAACCTGCCGGGTCCTGGCCAATTTCATAGTGATTACAACATTTCTCAGTGACGAAACTGATTTATATGGCCTACTACTGAATGTTTAAAACGGCGGGTTGCAACAAACTGTGAGACTGATCCACTTGGTTTCGTAGATCATCACTTGACCATATAACACTGCTATGTCGACTCATCCAATCCCCATTGTTGATTTTACTCCGTTCTTAGATGGATCTGCGAAACAGCAGGCTGCAGACCAGCTCCTCGGCTCGTTCAAATCCGCTGGATTTGTCTATCTCACGAATTTTGGTATTCCGGAGGGAGAGGTCCTAGAGATGTTTGACTGGGTGAATCAGCCGCCTCTTCACGTAGAATTCCTAACTTACATCATGAAAGCTGAAACGCTTTTTTGCCCTTCCTCACGAAACCAAAATGCTTGCGCCTCATCCGGATTCTGGAAATCATCATCGAGGTTAGAATCTTCATTATTGACTGCAAGTTTACTCGCATTCACACATGTCGTCTCTCAGGATACTCCTACCCTTGCCAGGAAAAAGAAATCCAATACTCGGATTCTGGGGACGAATTTACTATTGCACCGCCAAGCATGAAGGAGTCCTTCGAATGCGGGAGTGAGAATAATGACTTTATGCCAAACATCTGGCCGCCCGATGGCGTACTCCCCGGGTTCAACAAAGCCTGTTTATCCTTCTTTTGGGTGAGTACGTTCCCTCGTGGTTAAATTCCATGTACATGGATTCTGACGAAGTATACAGAAATGTCACAAAGTCGAACAGACTATCCTCCGAGCCCTTGCACTGGGTTTTGGCTTGGAGGAGGAGTGGTTCTTGAGGTATCACGAGACGGCAAATAGTCAGCTGAGGTTACATCACTATCCTAGGTAGGGTTTTTACTCACTCACGGCCGGTACGAGATTGAATGATACTGTATCACGCAGCATATCATCTGAATTGCTCGAGACAAACAAGCTAACAAGGATATCAGCTCATACAGATTTCGACACGCTTACAGTTAGTTTCTCCCTTCGTGTGGTCTGTTCAAAGAAGCAAAGCTAACCCAAGGCAGTTCCTCTTTCAAGGTGAGATAGGAGGACTGGAAGTCGAGGACCCGAATGAGCCTGGGAAGTATGTGGTCCGTACTCTTGTTCAAGCCCACTTCCACACCAATGTCATAGCTAATACGAATGTGTAAATAGGCAGTGCCTCCCATCCCTAACTCGATCGTTCTCAACGCAGGCGACTTTTTGCGACGATGTGGGGGCTCTGCAACTGGTGGACTGGTACCATTGTATTGACTTGTGGATTGTAGGGTCGAATGACACGATACGGAGTACAATGCACCGCGTTGTAGCACCGCCGGGTGTGCTAGCAAAAGATGGCCTGCTTCCGTCCCGGTATTCTATGCCCTACGTAAGTTCCCCTTGATTTAGACATTGTGACTAGATTGATCTCATACAATGTCTACAGTTCTGTGCTCCCGTATGTCTTTTCACTTTTCCGTTGTCCCTTTCATTGTACCTATGCCTATTCATGGGTGGCTACAGGACATGTCTATGATTATCGACGCTATACCGGGCACGTGGTCGGCAGATCAGCCCAAAAAGTACGAGCCTGTTTCGGTAGGTTGGCTCGTCGAAGTCGAGGTGCTTGGATACTAAAATTGGTGCAGGTGAAGGAGTATGCAATGAAGCGGTTTACCGCAAATTATTAAGTTGAATCAAGGTAAAGGACGTGTAGATAATTTGGTAATTATCTATTTTCCTAGGTGCTTCGAGGGTCGGAATAGTTATGGAAGGAGTGGCATATGTTTAGGCATTTGTCATGTTATGTATATATATATTGTATTGGTATTCTCAGATAGTCCTGTGGATGCTAGCGTTGATGCTGTCAAGTTGTGCTTTGGGAAGGTGTCCGGAAGGTCGTCGCATTGATGGCAACACTCACAGGTAAACGATAACGTGGAAGAACTTATGATTCGCGGATATGTTAAGGAGATGATCTTCAAGTACACGTGTATCGAGTTATATACATGGATCAATGTCCATCCAGCGTCCAATTAGCGTCATCACCCTGCGTCGCCGTGTAGTGAGCTGTGAGCGCTTGAGCATCAAGCCTACAGTAGCCTGGTAAAGAGGCTGACCTGGCAGATCTGCTTAGATTCTGTAATTACATTAATGTTTATAAGGTCACTAGAACTGATAATCGTGGCTGAATGGAACCAACTCGTGGACACATGGGAATTCACGGACAAATTTGATATCTACATGCCTCAGGCCCCGTTATAGGGGTTGATTCGAAAAATTGAATGGTTATCGAATAGAATGATCCGTCAATTCAGACTAAATTATATTATATTAATTATAATTAAATTAAATTTAGTCTGAATCAATGGCATTATTTCAAGTAGTGGTGCCGCGGTGACAAAATCTTCGAACTTATGCATTCAATGGGATGAAGGATAGATATACACAATCCATCTGCTCCTCTAGTGTCCAGGGACATAATGAACAAAATTTGTGCTTTCATACCAATAGGTGAGATACTGAAAGTATCAGCGACGGTATATGTACTGATTATGGGTAAGCTAGCATGCTTACACATTGCCAGCAGTCAATTGGATCCATTTGAGCCATGCAAGCATCGTATGATGTGATGTGGCCCACGGTGCCGCTCAGACGTCATCTATTCGATATGGAGTAATCCATGTCCACCCAAGTCCTCATCCGATCACCGTATTTGACAGTGAACCAGAGCACACTGCAACGAAGGTCAAAGGTCGGAATACAAAAAGTAGGAGTAAGAAACATACACGTGGCCGCCCAATGCAAGGATAGCTACAAGTGTATTTACCCCCACAATCCCTAGCATTTCTATAGATGGTATAATCCAGCCTACACTGACCGAGAGCAAAAGGAAGCTTAGTGAGCTGTCAATAAAGGTTGGTGAGATGGGTTAGTTGAATTGCTGATACGAAAAAGTCTTACATGGCAGCGGCAACAGCTTCAGCACTTTGCTCACGCAGAAGATCTGTCAAGTAGGCTATAGATGGGCTCAGAACGAACTCGGTCTAGCATGCAAGAAAGTAAGTAAAGCCGATCAAACTTAGTCGGATGGCCCACCACAATGCCATTCACAAAGAGACAGGAAAGACACAGCGACAATCCAACCAAACTCCCAGGCAGGTACTCCGCCACCAGCCCGAAGGCTAGCACAGCAAAAGGGACTCCAATGAGTGTGGCGGGTAGCGCAGTGCGGAGCCTATCTTCGGGCAACCAGATGCCGTTCCGGTGGGCTTTGTAGTGCACAACAACTATGTCTGACGTTTTGCCAGACAACAAAGTACCAACTATGCGTGCGTGAATGTCACGGTGTTGCCAGTCTTTACAATAAACAGAAAAGACGCACACATGTTGCCGATAGCCACCAAGACAAAGCAGACACTAATTATGGCGGGATTGGTGATATCAAATTTTGAATCCTGGAATGTAGCTGTAGAACCGTATATTCTTGAGCGATCTCAAGACAGAGGAGACGTACGAGTGTCCATCCCAGAGGGACTGTCAGGACTGGTAGGAAAATCCTGAGAATCCAGTAGGTAGAGGCAGTTATTGAACAGACGAACCAGATTCTGCCAGGAAGGCCGTAAATACTATGAACGACTATTCGCTGGCGGTGATCAACATGAGGTCAAAGAGCCAAAAGTTGATCTCACAATGGCGAGAACATTCGGGCTGCGAAGAAGCACCAGTGGTTTCAGGGGATTGATAATCATGAATCTGGATGGTCTATTCGAAGGAGGTGTCTGATCAATCCCTCTCATACTTGGATGACTGGTCTCTGGGAAATATAGGAACATGAGGATGAAGATGACGCCACTCATGATACCTAGACAGAACTGCAAGGTGCGCCAAGAAGCGTATGCAGTGACCAATCCTGACAACTGAGATCGAGGTGAATTGTACCCCGATGAAGTAGTTCATACCTCCGATTGGAAGTATCAATATCATCCCGATAAAGGTCACCTAAGAAAACGCGAAATGGTATAAATCATTATTGGGAGAGCAAACGACGGGGGTGTACATACAGATCGCAGTACACCAAGGGCACTTCCTCGCTTCTCGAGCTGGTAGATGTCTCCAATCACAGCAGGCCCGATATAGGCCCCAGAACCCGCACCCAACCCCTCGATAGCCCGCGAAACCATGTACACAGGGACGGAAGTAGAAAGGCCAGTACTGATGGATCCGAAGCACATGAGGGAGGCTCCAACGAGTTGAACGGGTCTTCTACCAGCTATATACGGAGTGAAAGTAAGACAGGTTTGTTGAGGGCATATGGAAGACGACACACAAAACGTTGAATACACTCCACCGGTAAGACCACCGAGACACGCAGCAAATAACCATAAGCCAATCGAGTGTCTGCATCACCGTATTAGTGAAGAAATTCCCCCGAAACATTGTGGGCGCTGACCCCATGAGAGATGGCTGAGTATTGAGATCGGACGCGACTGCAGGCATACATAAGCGGGTTGCTTGTGCTATGGTTACTGAGAAGGTAGGGAAGTAAGATAGAAAGACTTGGGTCAATTGTGTTTGTGTCACAATGAAGATGTGCAACGTACAATGCATGAATGCAAAGGAAGAAAGAAGCGCGAGAATAGCCTGTTTCTTGCGTTTTGAGAACAGCATGTGCATGTGGTCATGGGCCTCATGGCCAGCGTTGAAAATAGCGGTCTCTTCCGATATTGTGTAGTCCATTGAATCCAGTTCAAGGTTCGCGAGTCAAGGTGGTATATACTTCGCTTTGGTCTAAGTCTGTCACGGTTGCGAAAGATCCTATGTCAGACGATTTCGTGAAGAGGAAATAAGCTAGATTGTTGGTTACATGCAAGAGTTCAATCAAAAGAGGATATGGACTTGGCTATAATATTCCAGACCTTGTCTAGAGCGTTTCAGGGCACTCTAGAATACCTTTCGAATATTAATGTAATTTCGCTGGCGACAGGTGGTAACTTTGAAAGTGTCAGTACTTCAGTACTTCAGTTTCTACGCAATTACATAAGCTGTGCGACTTGCTAATACTATTCCGGGGGGTCAGGAAGGATCTTTCTAAATCGTCATCTGAAAGAAAGTACATGTCGATGTGTCGAACTCAAAACAAATGCCCATCATGGTACCTGAATCTCGATATCACGCCATCACAGGTTTGAAGCCATCTCCAAACTCTACAGAAAGGTATCCGTCATTCTACATAAACCTTTGGCATTCGGACAAACGAAAATGTATCATACTTGATATTCATGTCAACCCATAGCACCTTTCACCAGCTTTAATAATCCGCGGCAAACCGCTTCATTACATACTCTTTCACCTATTCCGCCACCATTGGCATCAACATGTAGTTTCCATATGTCACCTGGAAGGCAAACCAACTCACCGACACGGGCTCATACTTTTTGGGATAATCCGCTGACCACGTACCAGGGATCGAATCGACGACTGTGGAAAGGTCCTGTATATGCCAACCATCAATCGATAAATCTGGCATAAAAGGAGGAAAGATGGCGCACGGCAGCACAGAACTGATGTACTTATCAGCTAAAGGTCGGAGGAATAGAGGGCGTAAACTCACGTAGGGGATAGAATATCGATCTGGAAGCATGCCATCCCTCGTCACCGCATGCGGCGGCGCGCGAACGCGATGCATCGCGCTCCGTATTGTGTCATTCGACCCTACAGAAGTCAAATCAGCACATTAGTAATTATATGGTCTCAGCAAGACCAAAGGAACCATCACATCGCCGCAAAAAATCTCCTGCGTTAACGACGATCGAGTTGGGAATTGGTGGTACCGCCTTTAACCACAAATTAGTTTTGACTTTAGTAAGGAGGTAGCCTCACAGTAACGCACCAAAAAACTCCCAGACTCATTCGAATCCTCGACTTCGAGGCCTCCTACGTTGTCTTGAAAGAGGATCTGCCTAGGGTTAGCCTCGTTGTATAACGTGAAAGGAGACAAAGAAAGGGGAGACTCACTGTGAGTGTATCAAAATCCGTATGATTCGATATCCGTGCAACCTTGTTCGAAAGGACCGATTCGAGGGCGACGCTAGTATCGTGATTCAAGCCCATACCAGTCGATCGACAATGAAAGCTTACCCGGGATAGTGTTGTAGTCTCAGCCCATTATCTGACATCCCATGATATCTCACAAGCCACTCCTCCTCCAAGCCGAAACCCAGCGCGAGCGCGCGGAGGATGTTTTTCTCAACCTCATAGCATTTCTTTTTCTCTGTCAGAACCAAGGTACAAGACTTCAGGCCCGAGTGGATACACTGACCCAATAGAACGCCAGATACGATTCCTTGAAGCCGGGGAGGATGTGATCGGGCGGCCAGATGTTTGGCATCAAGTCATCGTCCTCACGCCCGATGTCGAACGACTCTTTCACGCTCGGGATTGGTATTTCAGCCTCAGTGGAATCTCCCGATTCCGGGAGTTGGGTTTCTTTCTCCTGGCCGGGGAAGGAATAACCTGAGAGAAGACAAATGTGAAAGCGACTAGACCAGTAATCCTATTCGGCCATGGAATTGTCTAACCTCGATGATGTGCTCCGGAGTCTGGATGAGGCGCAAGCATTTTGATTTTGTGCGGAAGGGCAAAAAAGCGCTTCGACTGTCACGCTATAGGTTAGAAGTCCTAGCTAAAGAGGCGGCTGTTAACCCCACCAAATCAAACATCTCTTGGACCTCTTCGTTCGATAGACCAAAATTCGTGAGGTGGACGAATCCAGCCGATTTGAACGACCCGAGGAGCTGATCTGCAACCTGCTGTTTCGCAGTTCCGTCTAAGAACGGAGCAAAATCAACAATAGGGATTGAATTATTCGACATAGCCGCAGTGTTAGATGGTCAAGGGACGGTTGATCTGATCTTGGAAACCATGGGCAGAACTATTTCAGGGCAATTCTGCCTGCAGAACTGACAAAACTTGGCAGAACATGGTTCTGCCAGCGTGACGTTTGCGAACTTCACCATGCGACCATTTTTGACGCCGGCGGTATCTCATAATAGAAGTACTGAGCTGGCATCTGTTCTCTCCAGAGGGCTGGATGATTTTTTCCTTTGGATCTTTCATGAACGTGACGCGGAAGGAATTCGCTGTGAATGGGTACCATATACGTGGATCGTGCTAGTGGTATTTCCGGTTGGTTCCACCAGCGTCCGTAAACATCACGTGATGTGATAACGGTGTAGTCATCGGACAATGGGAGAGTGCAGTGAGCCAGTGACATGATACTTTTTTGTTGCAAATTCACCCACCTCTGGTTGGTCAGTTGCCAAAGTCAATCTCAGAAGACGATAGATTCACCATTGACGCAAAGCAAAACCTATAGTATTATTCAACAAGTCCGTGTTGTAACCAATGTAGTGAGGGACGTTCTGTATCTACATATAAAACAGCTCTACAGTTGTAGCTTACTGCAAACTAGGATAGTTGTTATCCAAGTACCTGATCAATTCGGAGAGAGCAGGTCGTATTCCCTCATTTACTCAGCAGGCCATCAGCATTGACCATGTCCCACCTGGTACTCGACGGTAAAGACCCAGATTGGGTATTTCCCCTCGACCAATACAACAGATTGGTTCGCCATCCCCATTCTTATCGACGTACGCCATGATGTCAGATAAAATCTAGTAACATGCTCAGTTTCTGCAATTTTTGGTGACGAGAATTCCTTAACGTACATCTCGACCTGTCAATCCTGCCGACCAGATATCTGATTGCAGTGGGTAGCGGTGCTGTTGATGTGGGATTCATCAACTCGCGCGCCATGTAACTTAACATGCCGACCGCTTTTATATGGCTCGTTGTGAAGGCACATGCTTCGAGGACGCGGGAAAGGTCGAAGTCCGTCATCCTGGCAACACACACCGATGAATTGAGCCACATTGGGGTGATTCAGCGTGCTCCAAACTTTTGCCTCTCGCTGAAAAAGGCAGACTAAGCAAAAAGGATAAGCTATGAGTAAACGATCTACATACCCGTATGGTTTTTCTCGCGAGACGCACTGTGTCTGACAAAAGCGATGGTCTCAAGGTCTTCACCGCTACCTACATCGTTGAGTGAATATAAATGTGTTACACGTCACCAGTGACAGAGCAGCACGTACGGTAAAATTATGACCTGGCTGTGTGTAGTAGATTCCCTTCCGAACGTCTGCGAAGCTCCAACTGTCGATTGCGCGATTGCCGGTCGTCACTGACCATGCCCGTCAGATCAGGTACATGGATATTTGTGAGATCAAAAGTCATTGGAGAATAGTATCGGTGACCACAAAAATGAATGGATTTCAACTTGGAATGGGTAGCAGGCAGGAAGTAGATGATGATTGCTATGCTGCCTGGGTATGTCCAGCTTAAGTATGCTTCCTGGACAAATTGAGTCGTCGTGTCCTGAGATAGGACCCACTAACGCTGATTGTTGAGTGGGGAACATGACTATGGTGACGAAGTATGTCATGGAAGTTATTGTGCATGGCAGACAAGAACAACGAATGTATGTCAAAGCTCACCACAAGGTTCACCACATTGGGCTCATCCCAAGTTAGATATCGAGTTGCCAAGGCGTTTACATTGTACATATCTGAGGTTTCAAGAAATGAGTAAAGATTTGGACGATTTTTGAGTCACCGTGGGGCCAGTTGATGGATACATAGTACAATGGTATACGTAGAAGTGTGATTACAAATCATATGAGTCCTGTGCAGCACCGCCCGAGAACTCATGCAGTCCGGTTCTGTCCAGTTCTGTACAGCGCATATTGTTCTACTGATGCGGCAAGATACTAGTACAATTTGCTGATGCGAGCTTATGAAGATTCAAGTTTACAACCATAAACGGTAGGCTTCCTCTGCAGCTCTTTCAATATCATACCCGGAAACTCCACAACCAAGTGTTCGATCGTGAACATGTTCATAGATTTCCCTGTTCCAAAGTCATCAGCCCCATCCCTGGCCTCCTTAAAGGTGTCACTAGCTCTCTTTCCCAGCCCTTTCTGGATCAGGTCAGATACCCTCTCCAACGCATCCTCATCATCCGGCAAAGTGAACGGAAACTGATCATGGTGCGCAGAGCAGTGCGCCATAAAGCGAGCGAAGTTGAGCTCTTTTAGTTTGCTGATATAGTCAACAATTTCTTGGCATGTCCCATTATGAGGTTGACTGAGAAGCGAGTTCCCTTGATTGCTATCGAGGAGAAGACGGCGGAAGTCATCAATCGTGCCTTCTCCTGACATGCATATCATGATGTTGTGCGGTAGTATGGACCACGATGCTGTGACGATGTCTTCATCGGAAACAAGTGTAACGTCGAACCAATCGGGTTCTCCCATCTCGTAGAAAGAGGGGGCTGGGGATGTGGGATTCCTGGTGATACGGCAATAGATATTATGAAATTCTGGTATGAAGTAAGGTAATGATATCATTAACAAAATTTCATTTATATTCGTGTAGGCTACTCACCGCCATGCGAACAGAACCGCTGAATCACGACCAATAAAGGCGTGTTAAATGTGAACCACAGCGCACGTACAAGCAATGTGGATGCATACGTCGAAACGCACGAAATATGGCGACTATTTGCGACTATCAATCCCTCGGACAAACTAGATACACGGTGTTTGAATTCCAGTCCCTGAAACCATGCCAATATCACATACCTCTGGTGAAAGTCGAGAAGCCCCAATCTAAGGACCGCTTTCTTCACCCAATCCGTCGTAACAACGGATACGTAGCCCTGCATAGCATCGCATTGTGCGCTCAACTTCACCTTGCCATCACAAGACCTCGAATTCCTCTGTGCTGACACTAGGCCCAAAACTTCCAGCTCTCGTCCGATGTTTGCATACATTAATTGAAGATCGACGCGAACGATTACGCGTATAGGAGGACCGGATTTTATTTTAGCTATCTTGCATTCAGACAGCAGAAGACAGAGAGTCAAGAAACGTGCAACGAGGAAAAGGTTGTCGGTATTCCATTCTGGTTCAACTGTGATTTGGTAGCGTTTGTATGAAGAATCTGATGGAGGCGTTGAAACTGGGATGAAGACATTGAGTAAATGATGACACATTAATCTGAATGGAAAAATTCACTCACTATCAAGCACATCTTCAGCAGCGGTAGTCTGTAATACGCCAGTTCCAGGTGGAGAGTCAGAGGGCCCAGAGAAAAGATTTAAAAAACGTGTGAAGCCAATACGTTGCCATACACTCAAGTGAGTTCTGAGTGCGTCGAGCGTAGGAATGCGCGGTTTCCCGTAACTTTGCTCGATCTCCTGAAGCAACAATGCGGCCTGAATCCTGAGTTCTTGCAGCATTGTGATTGCGTGATCGAGGGCATCTTTCTTCTCTGGCATATTGTATAATTGGACAAGCTCCCAGAGCATCTGCGCTCGCGTATGGCATGAACAGTCACCAACGTGCGCGTCGAAGGCAGATAGAAGCCGAGATGGTAGTGTGGACGAGGGTGTTTCCAGTTCCCTACATGAGATTGCGGATTGGAGAATAGAAAGGGCTTTCCACATCGAGTGCGCTGCATAAAGACACTGAAGGGCTACACGATTAAGGTCTGCGTAGCGTAGGGGCTTGTTAGCATCAGAGAGGAGGAGTGCGATAACCATGGATCCCCGAAGAACCGAGTATTCTCAGAACGAGCTCGCCAGTTATTTACAGAGGGTGGAGGATAGGGTGTGACATGGGTGCACCTGGGTGGTACACGTACCTCATCCGCCGTTGTTACTGTCTGAAGGCTTACCCGCATCACTCGTACAGATCAGAGCATCGGGGTGCGGGTAGGATCTGCCGGTGAATCCGCAGATCCATCTGAAAATGATGAACATCACAATACTTGGAGCACTATCATACTTCCAGGACCAGGACGACAAATTCTGACGAGTCAGGTGAGAATTTGGAAAACAGGCCTTGGTGGCTTGGCCGAAAATCATTTACTATTTGGGGTGCGGATTCCTCTGGATTCCTGCATCGAGGGATCGTGATTGGTGCTGACATAATAAGCTACAATCACATTGACGCCAAGAGTGACACGATGCATCTACAAGACACATAGTACCATATGACCTCTACCATCCCCAGTTACTCGTTCGAAAAATCGTTGGTTGGCATTGCGTGATTTCTGGAGGTACTACATAATGGCAATCACCGTTCGAATTGCGTCCATCCAATAAGTATTTCGATGATTCTTCATAACAGACGGTGGCATCGAAGTACTCATTCGGTTGATCAAGTTGAAGGGGAGGCCACGTCAGCGCTAAGGGCTCCTCGGGATCTTGCATAAGGTTATCAAAAGCTTGAGCAATTCCTCATATCTTGAAGTGACACAACCTCCAGCAACCGGACGAGCAGCTAGGGACTGCTCACTCCTTGCACTGGGGATAAAAAGATATTATAAACCAGTGGAGATGTTGCACGAACCTGTGATTAGCCTCTGCCCTACTACGTGTCCATTGTTGTCTTCACAAAAATTGAACGTTTATATTGACGTTGTTGATTATGTGTGTTAGCATGGTAATAGCCATGACTTTGGGACTTGTACGGCGTGTCGCACGTAGGCATTGGCCTTCCGATGGTTGCAATCAGTACAATTGAAGTCGAAGGATATCGGCGAGCGGCTTCTAGTGGATATAGGAGCGTTCACCGAGTGCTTAGTGTTGCTGTTGACTGAGCTCTGTGTATGTAGAAATACCGATCTTCATTCATTTTGCCATGTCCTAGCTATCAATCTCGTCGCAACTGTTATAAAACCAGTATAAGCTAATTCGGATGGCATGCAGATGCAGGTGTACCCACCGTGGACAAATGAGAATATTGATGTCCTCAGGTAAAATGTAATCATTCTCTTTGCATTTTCATTTCTTCGTAGCTTGATTGGAATATCACCACATTCGTGTAATCCAGCGTTGCAAGCAGGGTGATGGTTTCCGCTGATAACAGTTTAGAAGGTTTGCAAACTTTGGGTAAACCAATTTCAGTTTTCGTCGTTCACCGATCCTTCTCCCATGCCCAACTCACTAAAATTCTGCACCCTGAAATTACTCCCGTCAAGATCTTCACAACACAATACCTCGGATCAAGCTTGTCTAAGGAGACGGCGCTAAGCTTGCAGCGTCAGAACCAGGGCAAGGAACCGAAAGAGCTCCGAAAGAGCGGGCATCTAGTATCGAAATCAAATTCTCAAGTCTGTCGAAATATCTCGGTTACATGCATCACATAATTGAGGAGATACAACAAGAGAGCGAGAAGAGCACAAACAGGTAAACTGCGACGTGAATTGTGGATGCAAGCCCGCCTTTCCCAGATTTTGACATTCCTCAGGCAAGGAGGAAATGACGGTGGGCTGATGTTGAATCCATATGCTTCGAACAAGAGGATGCAAGCGTGTGGAATATGATTTCATATGATAAAACAGTGGATGAGTCCATCTGCCGTACGGTTCTTTGACATTGTGCAAAGTTCGAACCCAGCAGGAATCAGAAGGGGCTGTAAGTCAAAGCAATTTCACGTCAGGAGCGTATCAGGTGGCCATTGGTGGGCAATGGCCCTCAAGTGTAGTGACTTTGGCGTTCTGGTATTGGAAGCGGCGGCGATAACCCGGTCTTATGTTCTGGGTAGGTGGAGGCCAGGTTGTCACGGTCTACTCTGTAGTGCAAATGAATGTGAGATAATCAGATTGTGTGTAAACGGGGAGCTACACATACTTTCTGGCTGGCATCTGCGGTCCTGTGTATGGCTCGTTGCATCGCGACCACTCAACTGTCGTGTCTCACGGAAATTTTACGTCAAAAGGGTCATAAACAGGCAAAAACAAATACTCTTCAAACAAACAACCTTGAGTAGCTTCCCCGGGGGGTCATGTTATGTTAGGCTAGGAGACGATAGGATTGGTATTACGATCATTGGAGTCAGGTGTTGATACTGTTACGGGAGTTCGTGAGGATATTGTGGTGTTCTAGAATGAATTGAACCGTCACCACTGGCAATCTATTCGTAATAAGAAAAATGAGTACTGCGGCCTATTAGTAGGAGAGAAAAGGGCAACCTATCATGTGAACGCTGTCATCGAACTCCTGCAGAATGGGGCTCCGTATCACATAACTCCGAACGTTCGAGGCTTCGCTGATAACCAAGTCCTGCAGGGTTCTGTTAGATTGCGGCGTACGTGTATTCCATACATACCGCAACCAATGGAAGCTGTCATGCAACATTCAACGGTGACATAGCGAATGGGTCTGAAGCAGCTAAAAAAATTCAGCAAGTAGGAATAGGGGAAGAGGATTGTTGAAGCCTGGAGTCCGTCCTGGACCAATCAAATTGGAGTCAGTTCCTGATATATCCCAGTTTGTGATTGCAAGGTTTACGTAACGCCGAATACTGCCGACCTGGCTTGGCACGATTTTTCATGGAATTGCCCTTGTTTACTCATTAATGGGGATTCCAATGAGTGACGCGGTGATCTGTCCAAAGTAGCCATGACAATATTTGATTTACAGTCCAGAAATTATATGATTTCGGGATACACCCTACTACGAGTGTCAATACGGAAATTAGTATAAATTCATTATGCTCACCTCAAACCTAGTTCCTCTATCTGGCCTTGTTGGTAGATATTTATTAGGGAGCTCAACGAAAATTAGGATACCCGAAATAAATAGAAGTAAATACACAGTAAATACAATACGATGCACTTATATAAGCAAATCTCGATAGCGATAAACAACACAGCGCTCCTACTTGAACACTAGCGAAGTGCATGCATGACAAAGAAGCAAAGACCGTCGTTGACGCGGACGGCCAGACAGGACTGCAATGCGTTCTCACTGCGGGGAGATCATGTGATGGCATTTGTAATATCGTTTACTGTGGGTTTACCTTCTATTTACTTCTATTTATTCCAGGTATACTAATTTTCGTCACGAGGTTGGGCTTGGGCTTGGGCGCTTTTACTTTGAGCTCCCCTATTACTCCATCCATCTTACGCCCTCTTCAAGCTCGTTGGAGCTATGTGCTGTAAGATAGTCACCTTTCTCGAGTCCTGAGTCCTCTAGGTGAGCATGAATCCAAATCTGGCGCTTCTCCGTACTTTGAAGTTCCCAAATCAATCGGTTACCAGAGAGGCTTTTCAGTCGCGTAGTATCACTACCTCCTGAAGTGCACCGGCACGTGGCGCTTAAACCCTCTCGTTCCACTACAAGCTAGTTTCCATAAGCTGCAGTGCCTAACTTGCCTGAGAACACAAAGATCATCGACGTAAGTAGCATGTAGGATACCTATCCCAAGAGTTTGTCTTAGAACAGTTCTTCGCATTCACCCCAACGTCAAGGTAGTCTCTCGCTCGCAGGCCCATATAACCCCAAGCTGCTTATTGCTTGGCCCGCGTCATCACGGGCACATTTATTTGCCATTTTGCCGACACAAGCACTTTATTGGACACTGATCCGAAAAGTCAAAATGTCGCTTTTTCGGACGAATGTGCCGGTGTCAGAATCCCTGACGGCCGCCATCAGGGCTCTGTCTTCACTGTCCGCACCCAGGTTAGGAATACCTCAAACTCAAACGAGCTCAATCAATGTAAATTTGGGCTTGTCTGTCCGATGACCTCGATTTATCATCCATATTGACGTTCACACACAGGGCCGTACTTTCTCGGGCTAGGAATCTAGGATAGTGGCTCGAGATTATCAACACGAGCTGACTATGCATTCAGGCAAGGCCTCGGCCATTGGCTTATCTCTTGGGACTCGTGACTTTTCCTAGTCATGAAATAAGTCGTCCGACTATATCCTAGACTTTTTAAATAGCTGGAAAATATAGTTGGATACCTACTCGTGCCCACACTGTCCTGCAACATTCCCATAATCTCATGGCGATTATACAAGAATCAGAGAAATATGGCATCATTAGCTCTCCATCGTTAACGACCCGTATGTCCGACTCGGAGGACAACGATAAATTTCTTGCAAGTACTTTTTCGATTTGCCTCCTTCGGCCTCGATCGATATTATTGTTAACAAGCAACAGGTGACCTTCGACGAGAATGACACACGAGATCCCATGAATTTTTCATACAGAACAAAGTGGACGGTCACATTGGTGGCGTGTGCTTTCACTGGGATAGTCGGTAATTCAATCAACGCCATCATTGGAGCGACCAGAGTTTTGACAGAATGTTGTGCCTCTAGCTGCTGCTGCAGGCTCATTTTCTATGGGCTATCAGTCGTTGATGCAGGACCTGAATTGCACTCAGTTCCAGGCCACCATTGCATTCAGCCTGTGGTCAATCGGATTTGGCACGGTCCCTCTCATCACTTCGTCCTTCACGGAAGAATTCGGTCGCCTGAATATATATATCATCTCGTCTTTTGGATTCATGCTCACGGAAATTATGATTGCTCTGTAAGTCCATCTTTACGGACGTGAGGCTAGTTTATAGACCGTTACAGGTCACCAAACATACAGACCGTCATAATTGGACGTTTTCTCGGTGGCGCATTCGGCTCAACAGGTGCAACCTTGGTGGGTGGTTCAGTTGCCGACGTATGGAAGCCACATGAGTTGAGCATTTTGATATTTTTGTTTGTTGGAGCGCTACAGCTATTTTTACAGGCGTGGACAACCTATGGCATTCTTCGCTCTTGTTGCTGCGGCTGGAACAGGACTCGGGCCCTTAATTTCTGGTGTAATTGAAGCAAATCCTCGCCTTGGATGGAGATGGATTCAGTGGGTTCATGTTATGTTAGTCACTCGAAACATGTCGCGCATATTTTTTCTTGACTGAAGTTTTCTACAGGTTTACAGGGGCTTATTTTATCTCTGTTGTATTGCTCATGAAAGAAACGCGTGCTACCATAATTTTAACTCGCTTGGCAAGGAAGAAGCGAAAAGAGACAGGAGATGATAGATACCAAGCGAAAGCAGAAATTGAAAAACAAAACTTGGGCACTTTGATCAAGATTTCTTGCACACGACCAATATGTCAGCACATTTCACCGATGATCTACACTGACCAGCTGACTTTTTTCTTTTTAGACCTCTTGCTGACAGAGCCTATCGTCCAGAGTTTCAGCGTAGGTTATGCGGCTGTTTGTCATAGACAAAACTAAACATCCGTCACGCAGTTGTGGATTGCCTTTACATGGGGCGTTGTCTTTGCCCTTATAGAGTACGCCATTCCATATTGTTGTGCCTACTGTCTAACTCAGGTATAGGTCTATCTCCCCTGAGTTCCAGGCGGTCTACGGATTTGACGTGCAGAACACAGGATTTATCTTCGGCACTCTCGTGTGAGTCGACAGAATCTAGAATTCGTGATAATGATTTACTATTGTCTGGTTTAGACTTGGGAGCTTCATCGGATACTCTGCCAACATCTATCAGGAAAAGTTATATCAGTAAGCATGTGTTGGCTACATTGCACATCTATGGATCATCGACTTGTTCACATTAGAAAACATTATCCTCGGAAACGTCAGGAAGCGCGTCTTTATCTTCCTTGTCTTGCGGCAATCTTCATACCAATCGGGATATTCATCTACGCTTGGACAGCAAGACCGGAAGTACATTGGATAGTGCCAGCAATCGGTCTCACTGTTTGTCCTACGCATCTCCGCCACAGTTGTGAGACTGACATTTCTCTCAAGATATTCATGTCCGGCGGATTTGTGATTTACATGGTAGTCTTTTTGTATCTCGCAGATTGGTGAAAATGTTTCGACCTGCGCGATTGAAGTGAAACTCATCAATCAATCTCATAGCTACGGGACATACGCGTCGTCAGCCATTGCATGTCAGAGCCTGTGTCGTGAGTTTATCTCTTCCACAACTCTCGAATGCTTTCTTAACGCCACGAATCGCTAGGAAATTTGGCTGCAGCAGCCTTTCCTCTTTTCACGACACAAATGTTTTCTCGCTTGACGCATAGATGGGGTCTGACTCTGTTCGGATGCATAGGTGTGGCGTTAGTGCCCATACCATGGGTAAGACAGGACTGGCTATCTGTCAGGTCGTTACTGAATGGGGACCAGGTACTTTTCTTCTATGGCTCTAGGATTCGTGCTCGAAGCAAGGTATCACGAAGGATTCTGGAGGAAGAAGAATTGCAAGACAATATGGAGAAGTGACGAGAAATTGCGGAGGGGCGAGAATGGTAAGATGCCATTGGTATATAGAGATACTGGAGCAAAGCGTGCCAGCGCTTTGAAAGTAGACTATGTAGATTCGCTTGTACTTGAATGTAAGGCTGACTGTGCAACTTGAAGATCTTGGACAGATAGTGAGGACTGACGGAGTGGTGCCCGCGGTACAACTGGTCCTGCACCTTCCCATCCAGCTACCGGCGAGCGTCCCTTGGCAAATTCTACACGCTGGAAATAAGTTGGTGACAGGAACCCTTCGTTTCCCTCTGTTAGGACAACGCCATTGGCGGACAAGTAGAACAGAACACCAGCATCAAGGGCTTTCTGCAAATCAACGAAAATCAAAATTTGCGAAGAGTTGCGCATCCCTATTATAGAAGTAAATCGAAGAACACATGCAGATGAGGTTTCACCTACCGCTCATGACACTGTCTCCCGGAACACCTTGGGCAAGGTGAATGTGATTTCGTTTCATTTTGGATAGGCCTTGCGTAGCTGACAGATGTGTTAGAAGGACAGACCATCTCGTAGATGGGAATTTACATATGGACTCCCAGGCACTAAGTGTCGTTCCGTGGACAGCCATTGGTACATCTAATGCAGATGTAATAGGCTGCATGTCCAGCGTGACAGTCTGTGATCAAGAAGTTTAGATCGAACACTCGTTTGAATATTAAGTTAGGATGTACCTGCAAGGAATGCCCCTGATTTGCTCTAATCCACCATATGTCAGACTGCGAGTCAGATGACCGGGACTCTGGTAGGAGGTGAAATCGCTGCTTTTGATCTTTACTAACGATTTCTTGCAACTGAGAGAAATTGATGTCTCTGAACATAGGATTCGAGAGCTATTCGAAGTGGTCAATGATACAAAACGTCAACAGGTCTCATACAACTCACCACGTCCGAGACTTTGGCATACCCATCATCCCTCATGTCTAATCCAGCATTTTTTGCCCCATGTCGTAGCAGCCAACTCAGGCTCTTCGATACACGTACCCGTGGATCATCGCGAGGTTGTCCCCTAAGCTTTGGAGATGGACCCTTCTTTCCACCCTTGTCCGCCTGTTTAAGCTTTTGTGTAATATCCATGTATTGTGTCCTGTAATACGAGTGTGTTCGTTGCGCCGAATTATTAATCAATAAAAATCTTCTGTTTAGAGGGAAGATGGCAAAGGTCCGCATTCAACTTGAAACAGACAGGCTACCATTGGATAACTTGAAATCCCAAATGAAGTCACTGACTCACGCGTGTGTCACGCGCCGTGCCTGCACGCCAACTGGACGTTAGCTGACGCCTGAACCCAAAGCCCGCATCAACGAAATGGTGATTTCACTTTTAGCACCTTGATGCAACCCCTTGAGACGGCTTTCTTGAAGAGACCAATGTCTGCAAATAACCCTCGCCCATCGTCGCGTCTGGCTGGCCTGAAATCCTACATTTCCACACAGAACCTTCGCACAGCTATACCAGTTCGTCGAGCGCTCAAACCGGGAGAGAGCGGTTACGTTGGTGGGCGGACGACGACGCAGACCTGGAGTCAGTGGCTGGGTCAGAAAGTCAGACGGAGTGGATCCGATGTAACAACCACGGACGAAGTGACTCTATTTCCTGGCTGGGCATCGCTGTGTCTTGCGAGTGAACATGAGGATGAAAGTAAGTAGACTTTCTTGCTGTGCTTGCTTCGCTCGGCTCAAAGGCCTGATTTTTGCAGACGCATTCGACTTACTTGTTTATGTCTCTGGCTATGCGACGGCACGCAGGTCGCCAGAGTTTCTTACCCGCTCTCAGCGTGCATTTTTGAGATTAGCTAGAGGTGCGCTTGTTCGAAATTATGTTCTAACGTTAAGCTGAAGTCATGATCAGGTTATGCATCTCTACCCAAACTACCGGGTCAACAGTTGCCTGTCAAAGGATCATCTATGATAGAAATTGACGGCATCAAGCTACCTCCCCGTCCAGACGAAATAGCAGATGACTTCGAGATGGAACTAAACAAAGAATTCGAACACATGAGAAACCTACAAAAGGCTCAACTTACCGAAGAACCATATGACTCTGAGTCTGACCCTCAACCAACATCTTCACATTGTGACACGTCAGCGCCGTTTATGAGCGCTTTACTGCAGAAACAACACAAGAACCTCGAGGCGCGTTTGAGACCATTTTGGTCATCCGTATTACCATCCCGCACTGTCCAGATATCCATTTTTGCTGTATCTACTACCCCCGACGGCATCGATTTGAAATGTGATGCTCTCGAAGATGGTCCGCTGTACACTGAACACATAGTGACTGGACCAGACGGTGCCTTCGCAAACCCCTTCAAGATTCCATGGCAAGATCTATGCAGGCATCCTATAGCGCAGCACAGACGATCTCGCGGATCGGACATAGAACATGACCTACTCGTTTCTGCAAAGCTGTTACCTGAGCCAGCGCCCACACCCGCATACCTGTTCCACAAAGACATTCCAAAGAACATTTCAGTGGTCGTTCCAATCACATCTTCACCTATTCGTGTAATAACAGACATCGATGACACAGTCAAACTCTCAAATATTACGAGCGGTGCTCGTGCCGTCTTCCGCAATGTTTTTGTTAAGGACCTCGAGGAGACAACTATTCCAGAGATGGGGAAATGGTACCAGACAATGTGGGAACGAGGCGTTCGCTTCCATTACGTCGTGAGTGCCATGCTACATTTTATGATATATTCATGTTCATAACCCCCGCAGTCTAATTCCCCCTTTGAAATGCTCCCGGTCATCAAAGAATTTTTGCAAATATCCGACCTCCCGCAGGGATCTATTGCCCTTAAATCTTATAATGGTAGATCCTTCTTCAATGCCCTTCTTTCTGATCCTGCAACCCGCAAGCGTGCAAATGTGGTTGAAGTCCTCGATGGTTTTCCTGACTCGAAGTTTATCTTGATTGGAGATTCAGGCGAGCAAGATCTAGAGCTGTATGCATCCATTGCCATGGAACGTCCAAACCAGATTCTGGCTGTGTTCATCCGAGATGTACACGACACAGGGCTTGCAGATGCTACAGGTAGCTTGGCGAACCTCATGTCCGCAAAGGTTTCTGGACCAGCCAAGAAGATGAGCTTGCCAGCCCAACCCTCCACTCGTCCACACCCCCTTCGTTCGATGTCTGACCCAGACACTTTGAAAGAGTCGGGGCCGTACACCGCAAAACCGGGGCCATCCGTGAAGAGGAGACCCACGTCCAAATTTACCTTGCCTCGTCAATCATTTTCCTCATTTGATACTCCCGCAAATGCCGATTCTAAAACCCAACCGAGGATGTCTGTAGATTCCATAAGCTCGACTGGGTCGAGTTCCAGCTCTTTGTCTTTGCGCAACTTGAGACGGGCGACTGGTCAGACTACGCCACCTATGACGGAGGCGGAGAAGAAACGTTTCGAATTGCAGAACCGCGTAAACAAAGCGAGATTAATGATGCGATCTGACATCGTTCTGCGGGTGTTCAAGTTTCCAGAGGAGTGTACAGAGACTGAGCGGCTTCTAGTGCCACTGAAAGATAAAATCGGGAGACCCACATAGGAAGGGATATGGCCTAATTGTAATTTATGCATCGAGTTTTCATGTACGGGTAATAATGATCCAGGGTATATGGATACAGTCTGTATGTAGACTACGAGGAGGTGACAAGCACGGACTTCTCTTTTGTATTTTGCCGATTACGCGATGCCAATTGCTTGTCTAACTCAAGCATATACCCGCTGAGTTCCTGAAGCAAGATGTGAGACACGAGTCAACCCTGGGTATGGAGGTAGCTTACAGTGTTATTAGGCTTCAAATTGAAGGCCAAGAGAGATGGCATCTTTGGCTTCTTCAATGTGGCCCAGCTGCAACGAGGGCTTTTGCTTTTCTGAAATGTCCTTTCGGCCACTGTCTCCGGACGGAAATGACGGTCTCAGGCGTCAACGAGTGCGCCAAGGTAGTCACCGAGCTCAAGAAGAGCTGCTGAGCGGTTAGACACAACAGTTGAGAGCTCTTCTCGTAGTATTGCGGCACTTTCCCAAGCTGGTCTCTGCACAGCTATACTCGCTGCCATGTTATATTTTGAGAGTGCTTCTCTGGTCTTGTTGAGTTTGTATAGGTTCTGTGCAGACAGTCAACCGAATATAGACAAATAAAGATAAAGGCCATACATTGCCCTCATCCTTCATATTCGTCACTGCCTGCGAGAGTTTCTGCTGCACAACGGTTGGAGGAGGTGGACAGCGCAAGGTAGGGTTCGTGACGAGAATTTTCGAAACGCGATTGAGAGCAGTAAAGTCTATGTTGCACTGCTTGCACTTTTCTAGCTTGTGCGTGTTGCAGAAAGCGAATGCAGTACTCGGACCTCCTACTGCTATGTCTACAGGCTTAAAATCGGCATCGATGCGAGCCTGCATGACTGGGTCTGGTTGTGGAGCGGGCATAACCTGTTGAGCAGGTTGCGGGGGGTGTGGGTGAGCATGCGAGTGTTGACCTGCTGGAGCTTGCTGAACTTGTTGAGACATTTTAGTTTTGTGCTCGGCGTAAGTAAGAATCTATAGCCTACGTTGACTCGACCAAAAAGGCAAGTGGCAGTGCATGAGAACAATTAACCATTCGGGGCACTTTATTTGTCAGCATCTGGGAGGTCCGGAATTTTTTATCAAATTTGTGGTTGCTCAGCTTTCTTTCTTCATCCACCAACATCGGTCCTTCTGTAGAACATCAACGACAGACAAAAAGAACAGTCAAGTTCATCATTTCGACTTAATATGACCAATGGAATTGTAAACGGCAACGCAAGTCTAGAGACTCAGTTTGGTACGCGCTCACTCATATTATCTTTGTACCCTTCCCACCAAACTAATATCATTACTTCAGCTTCTCTCGGCATAAATGGAACGAAATCTGCATACGTTCCGCCTCATATGAGAAATGCGCAGCGCGCTACACCTCCTCCGCCACAACCAAACGGGTATGTCATTTCCTTCGTATTTCGCATCCGATTATAATCAAGCGCTCGTATCTAGGACCGGCTGGAACGAGCCCCAAGCTTCTCCTCGCCGTGGATTTGAACCCCTTCGAGGCGGTCCTCCCGACAAAGGTAACAAGGACGCTGCCTTTGCATTCAGTAGTCCCACCCGCGGAGGTAGCAGTGCAAGTGATTGGGCAGGGCGCCCAACTAGCAACGGATGGACCGCCAGAGAACCTCGTGGAGATAGTCAACAGCGGGATTCTTCCGGATTTGGTGCCTGGCGCAATGGTGTTCATGTCGTTGGCCCTCGCAATCCTCGCATGGAGAAGGAGCTCTTTGGAGATCCGACTGATCCATCCAAGCAACACACTGGCATCAACTTCGAGAAGTACGATGATATTCCTGTCGAGGCTACAGGCGCTGGAGTCCCAGAACCCGTTATAGCTTTCACGAACCCCCCACTAGACCCTGTTCTCTTGGAGAACATCGCATTCGCTCGTTACACTACTCCGACTCCCGTTCAAAAGTACTCCATTCCCATTGTTGCTGCTAACAGAGATTTAATGGCCTGTGCTCAGGTGTGTATTTTTCTTCGGGTAATTTGCAGTCGCTGATGTCGCACTCCAGACTGGTTCAGGCAAGACAGGAGGCTTCCTCTTTCCTATTTTCTCTGCCTCTTTCGCCTCAGGACCTCGTGCTCCACCACCTGAGACCCCATCAATGGGGTACTCACGCTCACGTAAAGCCTACCCTACTGCCCTTATTCTTGCTCCCACCCGCGAGCTTGTCAGTCAAATTCACGAAGAAGCACGCAAATTTGCATACCGCTCATGGGTTCGCCCAGCAGTGGTGTATGGTGGTGCAGATATTAATCAGCAGCTGCGTCTGATCGAGCGTGGCTGTGACCTTCTTAGTGCTACTCCCGGACGGCTTGTCGACCTCATTGAGCGTGGTCGGATCAGTTTAGCAAACATTCGCTACCTTGTACTTGATGAGGCTGATCGCATGCTTGACATGGGTTTCGAGCCTCAAATTCGCAGGATCGTCCAAGGGGAGGACATGCCTGGCGTGGAGGATCGCCAAACGCTTATGTTTAGTGCCACATTCCCACGTGATATCCAAATGCTCGCACGGGACTTCCTGAAGGACTACATATTCCTCTCTGTCGGCCGTGTTGGTTCAACCTCTGAGAATATCACTCAAAAGATCGAGTACGTGGAGGACAATGACAAGCGGTCTGTTCTGCTTGATCTCCTCGCGTCTGATCCTCCTGGCGGGTTGACCCTCGTCTTCGTAGAGACCAAGCGCATGGCCGACATGTTGTCTGATTTTCTCATGTCAAATCGCCTCCCCGCTACATCCATCCATGGCGATCGCTCCCAGCGTGAGCGTGAGATGGCTTTGCAGACCTTCCGCACCGGACGCACTCCAATTTTAGTAGCCACCGCTGTCGCAGCCCGTGGTCTTGATATTCCTAACGTCACTCATGTGATCAACTACGACCTACCTTCGGATATTGATGACTACGTCCACCGCATTGGTCGTACTGGTCGTGCCGGAAACACCGGTGTCTCTACTGCATTCTTTAACCGTGGGAACAAGAACATTGTCCGTGATCTTCTCGAGCTTCTTCGTGAGGCTAACCAGGAGATCCCTTCGTGGTTGGAGAGCGTCGTACATGAAACAACCTTTGGATCAAGTTTCCGTGGCGGTCGTGGCCGTGGAGGTGGAGGTGGAGGTGGCGGTGCTGGAACTCGTGGTCGTGGTGGCAACCGCGATTACAGACAGTCTGGCTATGGCGGCGCCAGCAGCTATGGTGGAGGCTTCGGACGTGGCAACATGAGCTACGGCAATGCCCCTTCATACGGCGGCGGGGGTGGTTATGGTTCCGGTGGAGGTTATAATAACAATGGAGCAAGCGGTGGTGGATCTGGCTGGTGGTAAATCTACTGTCGCCACGCCTTGAATCCACTCGCCTCCCACTCAAGCGTATCAAATTTTTCTCGGCCTCGCCTTCCCTCAGGTTTCCTCGATTCGCCTCGATTTCACACTCATGAAAATGTCCCTGGTAACAACAACTCCCCTGTCTATGCACTCAAACATCCATCTCGCTGTGTGTTTCGCTCTCTTTTCCTCTCTCACGCACGGACTCCTTGCGCTGCTCTTTCAACCTGGTTTGTCTCGTTGCTCCTGCTCATCATGAAGACTATACGGCCTATCTTACATTCGTCGTCTGTGTTTCTATTGTCTCGGTGCGGTATGTCTACTCCTAATTCTCTTCCCAAGCGCCACCCCCCCTCTCCGCATTATAGATAGACGTTAAACGGCGGGCCGTAGACATGAGCAACATACATCATTTGTCAGTCGTCGTTTCGCGATATCCACTCATTTATTGGCATTGCGATGCACGGTCGGACATAATTTGATATCCTCACGAGACAATTTTTACTGTTAGAGCATCGCATATCCTGTACCGTAGTCTTTCCTGTCTTATTCTATCAATTCCTAGACGCCTTCCCATTGCAGGCTGTTTTACTCAAGCTCTGGTGAGACTCCGGAGGGTGCGAAAATGGATCGGCTGTCGTAGCCACCGACTAGCAGTTGGTCTCCACGTCATCACAAGGGCCAGCGCCGGAAGCCGTACGTATTTCAGGCGTTCCCTCCTTCGCTCTTTTTGCTTTAGACGCTATAGTTTGCCAGTTTTTCCTAATTATCTTTTTTCATTGAATTTCTGCCACTAAATGTATCGAGGATTGTCTCCCGCATCCGATGAGCCGGAATTTCAGCCGTTGAGGAGGCTTAAACCGTTACCCAAACGTAGACGCACCTCAGACGCGCCCATTCCAGCAGCAGACGACATCCGTCCCATGGCCGACATTCTTGGCGCAGAATCTCTCGCAGAAGAACTCATTGCTCATGCTGACTCCTTCTCTCTGCAGTCTTACTACGCCTCTGTGTTCGGTAGCACTCGCAACGGAGATACCCTTGATCTGAGCGCGGCGTACCAGCTCGGGAAAATGGGAAGGTCGGAGGAGGACCAGAGTGGGGGTGACTATACGAATCATCTGCAACAGCCTGGGAACACGAAGAAGAGGAAGGTGCCAGCTAACATGTCGGGCGCCGCGCAAGGGCGGGAGGCAGAGCTACCTCTGGGTGCAGAGGATGAGCTTTTAGACAGCTTGGCTCTATTGAATAGTCGTCGGGCTAATCAGAGCCTTGACCTTTCTGCTCTGCCACCATCGGTGCCCCCAACCCCGAGGAAGGGGAAGATCACCCCATCAACGCTGGCGGGTCTCCAGCACAAGGAGCTGCTGAAGCATCGAAAGCGCCAGCTTGCAGCCGTCTTGGGAGCCCTTTCTCTTGGCGATACACTTGCCCTTGATCAAGCATTATCGACACATCTGCCCTTTGCGGGTTCGATGATCAGATCTGGTTCTAATCCACCTAAAGTACGACTCTCGCGTCGACCTGGTCCGCGTCTCGCTCGCGCAGCAAAGGCTCATGCAAGTACAGCCTCAATGCTCCCTCAGAAGAAGTTTTCATTTCCAACCGCTCAATTCGCGTTCACGTTTTCTAGTGCAAGTGAGCCGCAGTCCAGTTATCAAAGTGATGTCAGAACCTGATCAGAACTGGTTTAATTTCAGCATCTGATCGCCTCGTTGCGACAAAACAGGAGGTGCTCGCACTCAGAAATCGGTTCGAAAATGAACTCGCACGTCAAGCGGCTAAAGTAGCCAAAGCAGCTGCCGATGCTAAACAAGCAGCAGTTACGGCAAGCAAAGTGACTAAATCAAAGCGGGGAGAGAAAACGCAGCAGCGGGCACTTAAGGGTACAGCTGAAAGTGGAGATCAGTCAGCGGAGTTTCTGGAAATGCCAGGGGGAAAAGGCAAGGGAAGCAAAAAGAAAAAGCGAAATGCACTTGCTATTGCATCAAATCCGCATCACCGCAAAAATTACGTTCCTTCCAGGCTTCCTTCATCTGGGCAGGCGAATGTGGTCCAGGCGAATGCCAATGCCCAGAACATGCTTGGTCCACTTGCACTTCGCTTCCTCTCGGCACAAATACCGCCTCGCAGACGCAAGAAGGCAAACACGGTTACTCCCACTGCGCAAATGGTCAATCCTGCGGATGAATGGATCTGCCCACGTTGCGAATACTCCCTTTTCTATGGAGAGGGGTCAGAGCACCGTCAAGCGGTGAAGAACCGAAAACAGATTCTTCGTAGAAGGAGACGCGCACAGGAACGTGCTGCAGGCGGACTAAACGCCTCCAAGACGCCTGCAAATTTGGCAACATCTGATGAAGAAGACGATTACGACAAGGATTATGAGCCATCTCCTGCACAGTCTCCCGTCATCGTGAAGCAGTCTAATTGGAAAGAAGGGGCGGATATTGGCAAGTCTAGAGGGCAGGATTTCATACAAACTGGATAGCGTATTTACTGATCCACTTCCATTCTTTCCATCTCATTTTGCATACGCCATCTCTAGTTGTGGAAGGCATCGCATTACTTACTGACATGTTATCACAAGCCGCATCTTTATCTAATGGACGGACATTTGGAATTTATTGGCAGTCGTAGGCAGTCGCGTTGGCAAATATATGGTCATTTGAGGCAATTTCAATGGATTACCTAGAGAGAACCATGACTGTGATTTGACACGCCGGTCACAAGACGGCTTCCACGGGGCAGCCGCGTGCAGCAAGGCGTCCTGATGGAAGTCTCGCCGATCGGTGTAAGCGTCACCGTTTAAAGCATGAAGCTGAGAGTATGTTTCAAATCCAAACTTTTTCTCCTACTTCCACTGTCTGCTTAGCACTTCAAGTTGCTATCTTCTTCTCTTGTACTCGTCTTGGGACTTGGATTCTTGACCTTGAAGGTCACCGGTGAGTACTGTCTTAACACAGGTTAGCACGGCCGCGGCACTTTTTCGCGAGATTGATCATCACGTTTGTTCACGTAAACCAGATCCATCACATCTTGACGAACAAGCTTTGTCGACAAACTTTCAGGCGAAACGTGCGTTTCTGATCAAAACTTGTGAGGCCCATTTTCGACCTAGCCGTTATTGAGCAACGGATGCGGACAGCCATGTATCGCTTCACGCGATGATCATTGTCCGACTCTGTGTCCTTAATGACACTGACATCTTCCTATCGCTCCTTACCGTTTATTTGGTGCGGCACCGCGATTTCGCTCCCCCCACTGCATTCATTCCCTCCAACTTGTCATTGATTGACTTCTGACGATCTATCTTTCATTTCGGGGATATAGCCTCGAGGCTCCTAACACGCACTCTAATCGCAACAGCGTCGAAGAATTGCCTCTTTCGCGTTCACTTCTGCAAGTGCCCAGCTTTAAAAACATCGGCGATTCCTCCTGCCTTACAACAACTTTTAGAATGTCTGCCGACCATCAACGATATATTTATTCTAATCCTCAAGGAGGATCAACAACCTCTTATGAGTATCAAGCATATCCTACCCAAGCTTACGTGTCGGTACCACCTCCTCAGGCCCCTCCCCGGCCGATACGCTCTCCCATCACTCAGTTTCATTCGCAACACCACCAAACAGCGTTTACGGCATCGTCTTCATATACACCACAAGCGTCTTATCCACCCGCTCCATCCTATACTCTTCCTCAGTCACAGCCTCAATGGCAGCCTGAAAACTGGTCCCCTCAATTCGGTACCTTCCAACCCCCATCCATCACGGCAGACGTGACGTACGCTCCAAATGCAGCCCGCCCGGAGTCAGTCTCTCAAACCACCCATACAGAGGCAAGATCGTATGCCGCTGGTCCATCTAATCCACCACTTGTTGAGAATCGCCGCCCAGAAGAACGCTATCCTCCAGCTCCTGGGTCGGCTCATGCATCGCCCGTTCAGAAGAGCAAGAGGCGGGACAAGGAGTCACCAGTCTTGGCTCCAAGTCCAATTATCAATCCCAGTCTAGATTTTGGGAAGGCACGCCCTACGATCTTCCCTTTGCGGTCAATATCTGACCTGTCCACAGATGGTAGAGTCCTATGGTATGATACTTGAGGGTACCAAATCCCTGGCGTCCGCGGGGGTTCCGGTGCGGCTGCCACCGCCTGAAACCATGGAACGTATGATCCAGTCCGCGAACTACGGAAGACAGATGTTGCAATCAGCAGTTGCGCAGTCAAACCCTGACACGAGGCCGTCTACTGGCGGCAGCGACAAAGAAATCCCGGCTATAAAGCGGCAGGTGAATCGTCTATCATGGGGAATATACTTAAATGCTGATGGTCCCTTTTCTGTACTCAGAAGGCCGAGGAACATGCTCAGGAAGGACAGACTTGCCTTGGTTGCAACGCAACCTCGACCCCTGAGTGGAGGCGTGGCCCCCTAGGTTAGCGCGGGCTCATTTGTAAGCCACATGACTCGAGCTTATATTATGGTTTAGGCCCTCGAACCTTGTGCAACGCCTGTGGCCTCGTGTATGCTAAACTTGTACGTCAGCGTAAACCCTCTGATTCTTGTTATCATGTTTTATTTCAGCTGAAAAAGCGGGCACGAGGGGAACGGTCCCGCGGGGGCAATAACAAAAATGCAGGATCACACAACACCATGGAGGATTCTGTCATTGCATCCAGTGGAGGAAGTGACGACGATGATTCTTACGGGTCACAAGATCGTGACATGGGTGATCATATACGGAGGGGATGAGGTTGGACCCGTGATGCTTTAATCTGTCCGGGCTGCTTCTCACCCGTCTTCCTTCCTATTTTTATCAACGGCTGGACCTTTCAATGACATTACAATAGTTTTTCCCCCCCTCGGTACGCGTCAGGGTTGGTGTAGCTCCACTTTGCAGTGTCTGTTATGGTGATAAGGTTACAGATTCGTCAATCTCATTTCAAGCGTTTAGTTAGGTTAATCGGTCGAAGCGAAGGGACCTAAGGATCTATCGTTCAATATCACAGTTCCAAGTCCACGTTGTGTATCCACCGGTGCCTCTCCGACAGACGAGTGAATTTCGGGCGGCAAGGCTCCGCTGCCTCGCTTGACTGCAAGTTGTACGTGTTACTAGCTGTGCCTTCATTGAACGCCAGTGGTGATCACATGCGGGAAAACATCACCAGTATAGTAGTGCTCCACCATTGGTACTTCTTGCCCCCCGGACAGCAGTGGGAACGATGTATCAGAGTTACGACTTTCGCAGACTTTCAGTACTGCAAGGAATCAATTTCAAGACCGCAACCCTTCGTGACGACTCATCACACGAAGACATCGAGAATATTACTGGTATATCAGACAGCTTATTTTTGTTGTTATAAGTATTGTCCGTCAGGCCAATAGCAAATTTATGCTTTTTTTTTTTCTAACAAGTCACTGGTACAAATCTTTAATGCCAAGCGGCTGCGCTCAAAATGCCGAGCGGAGTGTAAAATCGGGGTGCTTAGTGGGGAAGAGAAGAATTAATATTGACTAGTTACTGCCTCGTGCATAAATGAAGAAAACGTGGGGATAGTGTACCCACATGATATCATAAACTGGGTCAAAATTACCTCGTTGGCCTCGAAGTCCTTAATATCACAACGACCTTCGCGGGCGATAACACTGCTTGCTTGCTCGACATACAGGGTTGCACCAAAAGTTTTTTTAGATAGGCGGTCTGTTTTCTCTCATGTCAGTACGCATTATTCGCTCCACTATTCGCTGTCGTGATACACTCCGTCAACCTAAACGTGATATATTCGCTGCTGTCCAGAAGGCTCGGCTGGAAAATTAACATGATAAATGCACATGGGGATCGCAGCGGAAAATATCGGCGACTAGTAAATATCATAAATCGTTAATGCACGCGATCTGAGGATGGTTTAATAGCTACTGACAGGGATGCGGACGCGGTGACAGTTACTGACTGCCATCAGCGGGCTACTCCTCGGTGTTTTTTTTATTCCCATAATGCGGTGGTACCGTCCATTGATCTGGCCAAAGTGTCGGATCCGCAGCATTAGACGACGCAGTTGTGCCTCATGAGTCTGCTTCGTTCGAGAGGTACATGCGGCAAGTTGTTGTTTCGTTGGATGATAATGCCTCAATAACAAGGCATCACATCATAAGGACAAGTTTGGATGTCTCAGTGGACGCGCCGTTGAGCGGGGTATCGCGGAGTTTGTCAAGTTCCCTAAGGATGACGAATCAGTCCGGTTGTCTGAGGATGGCTTCTTCAGCACAAGGGCTACCCAGAACTGTGCCAAATTCGTGCGTGATAATCATCGATTGTCATTACCCTTTTCTCGGGTAGCCCGCATCCAGAAGGTGGAGGGAATCAAGAAGGACTGGAATAATACGGCCGAGGGTTTAGTAACAGAACAACATGTGAAACTTGATCGAAGAGCGCGTTCCATGCCAGCTCGTGGGGAGTGCTGTATCTATTCGGCCCAGTCCGGTGGCTGAATTTGTTTGGTAAATGGCTAGACCATTGATGAAGTATTTGTAGTCAGCAGAACAAGGGGTAGGAGTCAATCCCATCAGTCAATAATTCATCGGTCCTATACCTACACAGCCCCAGGGGCTCCTTCCGAAATAGCTCCCAGAGTTCCGTCACCCCGCACAATACGGCACCGCCTCGCGGAGTTATTGGCTCCCGATTTCAAACCTCCATCGGGTTTTATCGATGGGGACCGCGATTGCCAGTGAAGACGGTGAGAAGGTCCCCGTCAGCATCTACAGATTGACCAGGACAGGTGGTCATCGACTCGTATACGTAGTCGTATATCGATTGGCGCGTATACAATAGAAAGCTTATGACGAGATTATGTCAATATATGGTGTACAATTCCAGATAATTCCACTGAAGCAAAATAAATAAATTGATTAGCTTTGTAAGGACGAGGTGATGTGAGATCACAACCCACGAGCGCGATTCAAAGATGCTATCGAGATATCACCGGGGCGATTGCTGGCTTCAACCACAATGAGGAGTGACCCCTCAGGAACCAATGCGAATCCCAGTTGGGCGCTCTCTGCTGCGTCCTGTATGAAGCAAAAAGGAAATCTGAAACAAAAAAATTGCTTGCAAGTACGAGAGGGATGACTCAAAATCATTTAAAATATTACCGGCAAATAAGCCTGCCATCCGCGAATTTGAATATCATTTGTACGTACTTAGCCACTTTCATTAAGAAAGGGATGAAGAATGTTTTCAGCAGTCGAATTTTAGATATGTAAGACTTACGGGCAGGGAAGCCGAATTACACAACCAGGGCTGTGACCCCTTGTGTAAGTGAGGGTCTGGTGCCATATGTATGGCATCGATGTGCTTATCTCCTAGCTGATACAAGGTAAGCTGAAACGCCAAGTTCAGGAAAATACGTGACGTGCATACCTTGCATAATTGCGAGATGCTCTTCGGATCACTAACTGTCAGACTAATCAGTCTAGTTGAAACAGCGTGTTTAATGACGCATGCTGTCCAACGTGTCAAACTTTAACATCAGCTTGCGGAAGGTGATATTCCAGACTAGCGTTCGAAACTATGCGTGACGTTGCTGTATATCTGTATCATTTGTGCATATTACAACTTTGAATTAACACTCACTGTCGACAGCTAATCACACGCTTCCTCAACTCTTTGCGTCATCGTCAAGAATGTACCAAGAATAAAAAGACCCAGAAATTGGTATGGCTGGACAAAGGGCTTTGTTAGTTATGAGAGAGCGACGGTCTGCCATGGATCCGAACTATGCACGAACGTCAAATTCACCTTCATCAGCAGCAATCAAAAATTTTGTTCATCGCCCATCGTGGTGGACTCGTTGCTGAGCTATAGCACCCAGTAAGAAAAGACAACGTGCAGTGAGTACTTCTCGCATGACAGTTCCGCCTAAAAGGAGCTCCCGCACGTAATATCTAATTATCACAAAATCTCAATCAGAATTATTTTTTTCACGACTACTTATACTTCTTCGATTCTGTTATCTTCATCGTCGTCATCTTCTTGATCTCCAACACGGACCATATCGGACTCATCTACTGTTTCTACGCCTTCGTCGCCTTTTAAAAGCTGGACGAGGCGCTCGATGTGCTCAGATACCTGGATAGTCTGAGAAACTCGATTCAGAGGATGAATTGCAAACAGGAACAGACCTTGTCAACAGTCTCCTCCATGTGTGCTCCTCTAACGATCTCGTACGCTCCATGATCCCTGAGGTAGTCTCGGCCCCATCGCGTGGTGCATAGAAGCAGTAGTGTTTCAATATACGTCAAGCGCAAGACAGGATCCGGATCCCGTTTTTTCGTGGATGGAAGGAACTGAAGTGCAGATGGCAATTTTTCTTGATCCTGGAAGGTACAACATCAGCAGGATTGGACTTTCTACCACTGCGATCATACTTCTAGATCAAGTTCTTCTGGGCCTGCTAGCGGCAGTAAAATGTAAGGTAGTGCATCGATACCCGGAGCAGACGATGTCGATGAAGGAACGACAACAGTTTCAGTATCAGGAGATAATATTGCTCGGTGTAATTGCGAAGAGAAAGCGCAGTTCCTGTGATCGAGGCATTGGATATACTCATCGTCAAAGCAGGGAAATGTCCTACTTCAATGTTGAGGCAACACCACCCCGTCGTATTGTGTCTTGATGTTCGGTGAAAACGACTATTTTGGCGAGGGGATACTCATTTATGCTATTGGGATTCAAAGGATTTGTCGGTCGTGAAGTGACGAAAAACGCGCGACCAGCTGGAGACTAGTCATCATGGTTTTAGTGTCAAAATGTAATTGATTGTAGACAAACTGACTGCACTGATATTGGCAAAGACACTTGCGAGAAAGTGCAGCTCTCCTTTCCGCTTTCGAGAAGCTCTATCTCTGGAAGGATCCATCGATGCACCTTCTACGAATGCATCAATAAGGAGTGGCAAGGCGAGGATATCCTGCGGTTCCCCGGGTGGATAAGGCACTGGCGCAGAACAGGTTCCAGAACGGGACAGGGTTGGAAAAATGGGAATTGGCGAAGATGGAGTTGTTTCTAATATGGGTACCTTTAAGGTTAAAAGGGCTGCACATGGTGAAGATGAGGCGGTTAGATTAGAAAGCAGCATGGATGCCAGATCCGCAAGTATAGAATCTGTGTTCTACGAAAAGGTAAGATGTTGCGAGATTAACATAACATGGAACACAAACCAAGATGTATGATACCAAGAAAGTGAGAAAGGCTGGTTCCGACAAAAATGGCACTAGCAATGGTGAATCAGAGAGATTGACCAATGCACGGAAAGCATCGTGCGCGACCGCCTGTGACCATCATCGCTTGATCACAATTAAAATAGATATACATACGAGTTGATCCCGACACAAAAGTTTGAGATCACGGATGATATCCGTTTCCTTAGGTTTCTGTAAGCCTGCTCCCCCGAGGCCATGGTAAAAAATGTTTCTATGTGGAGATCCTTCTGGTGTTTGTGCGAGCAGATTTGACAAAGCTATTTGTCGGACTTGTGGATTCTTGTCTCTCAAGAATGGGATGAGCTGCAAGTATGTGAACACTTTTCATTTCGATTGTCTTTAAGAACACGAACCTCCTTGAGTTGTGCCTCCATTGTGCAACATCCATTATTATAATTCCCACGAGTGCTTAATGGATCGTGGGCGATTACGTAAATATCCTCAATCAGAAGTTTGGACTACTTAAGTTGGACCGTCATCTGAGACGGTGGCATTGAAGCCATTAGCGAGCGCGTAAGTAGTCCGCAATGTCTTGTTACAACATTACGCGCTCGGCGGAACAACTATTAGACTTATATGAAGACGCCTGTACCATCTTTCTCAGTCCATCTCTATCCCGACCACTGGACGCTCAACAATGGATCCAAGTTCCTGTACAATAATCCTATCGCGGTACGTTACTGAACTCATCATACATGGACTGTGCTAACCCATCAATAGTCATTACTCGATGACGTTAGAGCGCACCGCATACCGGTTGATTACCTTGAGCTTTTCGACTCTGCACGCGTGCCATTCTACGATGGTAAGTGGCCGGTCATCTGTACTAGGCCCTCACTCCATGAATTCGTTAGGTTGCATGCTCGTAGAGTTACTAGATTACCGCCCAAAGAAAGCCAAGGACCCACCTCTCGAGAAACCTGAACGGAGCCGTGTGGCTCTGCACCCGAACGACGAGACTCTCTGGGCGAATATATGTCTCATGAACCAACGTTCAGGCAATAAATTCACAGATATGGAAGTACTCGAACTCGAAGCACAGATACTAGTATGTTCTACTCGCGACATTTTCGATGTATCTTATCTTCCTTGTAGCTACAAACAGCACCTCCCCTATGTCTTGACCCAGACCCACATTTAACCCGTATCGCGAATCATACCCTCAGAGTTTCTACTCCAAGTATACCCATCTCCTTGAAACGCAAAGCAGCCACCATTACGCCCGAGGAAGATGAGTCTGACAAGACTCGTCGGGCCAAGATCATGCACTTTATGAACCAAAGACAAAATCGGTCTCACGCCCCAAGGTATTCGTATTGTCCCAAAGTAACCTCCTCTTGCTCACCTTCACTCAGTTATCGGATATTGGACACAATCCGTCGCGTCAAGGAAGTTCGCATGGCGGTTGGATTGGAAACACAGCCTTATCTCAAAGCCCAATTAGCACAAGCTGCCGCCCAGGCTCAATCACAGACTCAGGTTCAAGGTCCAGCGAATTCCCAAAGCCAAAATCAAGTACAGAGTCAGAATCAAGCACAGAGCCAAAATCAAGCACAAGGCCAGATACCGGTTTCTGCGCCTACGCCACAACCCCAGGCCGCTCAATTACAACCCACTCCCGTCTTGGCTGCGCCTGCACCGGTACCAACACCAGTTCCCCAGCCAGTTGCTGAACAGAAACCCAAGCCAACAAAGAAGAAAGCCGATGCGGCACAGGCTTTCCAAATCACTCCCGAGGTGTCACGCTCTTCCGTTACTCCTGTCCCACATCCCGTGGTAAATCAGCTTCAATCACAGCCGCGGCTCGCTACCTCCCCCTCGCCTCGTGTAAGCGCACCTTCGCCACTCCCATCTATACAATCACCTGCACAAAGATTTACGCAAACACCACGCCCCCCATCATCACAAGCGCCGCACTCCTCACCTCTCGCAGCTGGCTCACAACTCCCCCCAACAATACACCGCCCTCCAACCGCTTCTCAATTCTTTCCAACTGCTGCACCGCAAGGTCCCCAGCCAAAAGCTGTTACGCCTCAAGTGGCTTATCCATCTCAGTCGACACCCTCCCCTTCCCAAGCCGTGCAACAGGCTGGCGCAGCGCAGCTAGCCGTTGGGCAACATATGATGCAGCAGCATGCTCACGCTCAAGGTCACGCCGCCCAAGGGCAGATGTATCAGATGCAGCTGCAACAAGTTCGATTTGCTCAGGTTCAAGCTCAAGCTCACCAAGCTCAGGCTCAGGCTCAGGCTCAAGCTCAAGCTCAGGCCCACCAAGCTCAAGCTCAAGCCCAGGCTCAGGCTCAGGCTCAGGCTCAAGCTCAAGCTCAAGCTCAAGCTCAAGCCCAAGCCCAGGCTCAAGCTCAGGCTCAGGCTCAAGCTCAAGCTCACCAAGCTCAGGCTCAAGTTCATCACGCACAACCTCATCAAGCCCACCACGTACAGGCACAGGCACAGGCTCAAAACCAGTCACAAGCCCACGTGCAAGCCGGACGTATGACACCGCAAAATCCACAATCACGAAGCCCATTGCCTGGACATCCTACAGCTCGAAATAGCCCGATGCTCCAGAACCAAGCCAGAGGCTCTCCCATGCTCCAAAACCAGGCGAGAGGCTCGCCCATGCCCAATTCCAACCCGCTCCCACCCCAGCCTATGCAAGCTGCACAGCACCCTGGCATGTCGCAGCAGTACAACTTTGCAGCAATGCCGTACAGGCCGGCTGGGCAGGACCAGCAGCAGCAGCAGCCAATGATGATGTCACAGTACCCGATGTATCCATATTATGCCGTGCCTGGAGCTGGAGGACGATTGCCGGGCTATACTCAGTGGGGTATGGGGCGGGGTATGCCAAATCAGGCCCAGGTGAATGGGCAGGCAGCAATGGGGATGCAACACCAGCAGCAACTGCAGATGCAAATGCAGATGCAGATGGCAGTTGGAAAGCCTACGCAGGGAGCAGGGCGGTAGTATGAGACTTTTGTATTGTTATTTGTGTTTCTAATGATGTACTACTGCGATTTTGTGGGGATGTATGTATGGAGGGCAGACTAAAGTAGGCTTGTTCGAGAATGAGATAGCATCTATGATACATTTTTATATCTTTGACCAATGATCATCTAGTTCTCGAATTCGACGTATATACGGACGGACCCGGATGAGTTCTATACTAGTGGAAATGACTGAAGTCTGCGTGATTAAGTAAGCCATCTTCGCCGCTTTAGGAAATCGATAAACAATGTTCTTTGATGACATTGCTTCTGGAGATGTCCAATCTCAAATAATGCGGAATAGAATAGAATATATAAAATACCATATAAGGAAGTCATGCCGCTGTTCGAATTTAGAAAACAATATTTTCTTGAACCTCTTGTAAATAATCACGACGCACAGCGTTGCGGCCAGAGTCTGACTCCCCAATGGATCCGAAATATTCCGGTGAATTACCAAAACGGTCTTAGTAGATAAAATAAGATCTCGATGATGATCAAAGTTTAGTATCGATCTCGAGTCTTTGTACACACCATCGCGATGTCTAAACCTATTGGTATGAATAAAATTTACATTCATCCAGATATTATTTAACAGCCCACAAAAGCTCTGTTTTCCGTCCACGACAAGACTAATCTCATCGATCTTGCACAGGGACTTCATGGTGCTGGAGTCCGTCTGGTCGGTTCGGGGTCGACCGCAAGGACGATCAGGGAGGCTGGAATACCCATCGAGTGAGCGCTGCGTGCTTTCTTCATTTATTTTTATTTTTATACTAATCTGGAGCCTCCTAGGGATGTTGCTGACATTACCAAAGTACCCGAGATGCTCGGAGGTAGGGTGAAGACGCTTCATCCTGCTGTTCATGGCGGTACGATATCTACCTTGTACACGAAGTTTGCAACGTTTGACTGATGCACAAAAGGCATCCTCGCACGCTCTATCCCTTCCGATGAGCAAGAACTCAAGGCCCAAAACATCTCCCCCATCTCTATCGTCGTCTGCAACCTCTACCCTTTCACATCCACCATCGCTAAACCGAACTGCACAATCGCAGATGCCGTCGAAGAGATCGACATCGGTGGTGTCACCCTGCTTCGCGCAGCTGCCAAGAACCATGAGCGTGTCTCCGTCCTCTCAGATCCTACTGACTACCACGCATTCTTGCAAGTGTTCCAGCGGGGACAGGGTGACGTTGGCCAGGTGCTCCGCAACAGGCTTGCACTGAAGGCGTTTGAGATGACTGCAAAGTATGATGATGCGATTAGCGATTATTTCCGCGAGCAGTATGCATCGAAGCCCGAGAGCGGACCAGTCCAGCGCATGACGCTTAGGTACGGTGCTAACCCTCACCAGAAACCAGCACAAACTTTCGTGGCTGAGGGCGAATTGCCATTCAAAGGTGAGATCTCTGATTTTATTCGATCGACGTTTTCTTGACTTTGTATGGTAGTCCTCAGCGGCTCCCCAGGCTACATTAATTTATTAGATGCTCTTAATTCTTACGCGCTCGTAAAGGAGCTTCAAGAGGCTTTGGACCTCCCTGCTGCCGCTTCCTTCAAACATGTCTCCCCTGCTGGTGCAGCTGTGGGTTTGGAACTTGACGAAACCGAGAAGCACGTATACGGCGTCGAAGATCTCAAAGAGCCCCTGACGCCTTTAGCATGTGCATACGCTCGCGCTCGAGGTGTGTCATTCGACAAAATCGGAACCCGTATGCTACCAAAGATCTTGTTTTAGGTGCCGATCGCATGTCATCGTTCGGAGACTTCATTGCGCTCTCCGCCCCATGTGACCTTGCCACAGCACGCATCATCTCCAGGGAAGTATCCGACGGTATCATTGCGCCAGGCTACAGCCCCGAGGCGCTGGAAGTTTTAAAAAAGAAAAAGGCAGGAAAGTACTGCGTCCTAGAGGTACGTCCGCTTGATTACGCAGCTCTGTTGCGTTTGCTGACGCTACCAAAAAGATGGACCCGTCGTACAAGCCCTCAGATGTCGAGACGCGCCAAGTATATGGCGTCAGCCTCCAGCAACGCCGAAACGACGTCAAAATTGACGCCAAGCTCTTCGAAAACCTCGTCACCAAGAACAAAGCCGTATGTCCTCACTTTTCGTAACACACAATCATAACTGTTGCATAGGTCCCAACGCAAGCGCTGACGGACCTCATTGTCGCGACCCTCGCGGTGAAGTACACGCAGTCTAACAGCGTCTCGTACGCCAAAAATGGCTCTATAATCGGCTTGGGCGCCGGACAGCAGTCGCGCATCCACTGCACGCGGCTTGCAGGATCCAAAGCGGATAACTGGTGGTTACGACACCACCCGCGCGTCCTCGCACTGCCATTCAAAAAGGGCGTTAAGCGCGCCGAGAAAGCGAACGCGATCGACCTCTTTGTGAGCGGGGAGGTACTCGAGGGCGGCGAGCGTGCACAGTGGGAGGGACAATTCGAGGAGGTGCCCGCGCCGCTCAGCCAGTCGGAGAAGAAGGAATGGGCTGAGAAGTTGGATGAGGTTGCTTGTTCGAGTGATGCGTTTTTCCCATTTGCGGATAACGTGCACCGGGCTAGGAAGAGCGGAGTGAGATACCTCGCTGCGCCTAGCGGAAGTGTGATGGACGAAGAGTGTATCAAGGCCGCGGATGAGCACGAGATGGTGTTTGCGCACACCTCTCTCAGGCTCTTCCACCACTGAGGATGAAGTAGAAATGTAACAGTAGTAAATATTCTACATTATCATTGTATTTGAGATTGAATTGCATCTCTTGCAACGCCGCGAACATGCAGGTCACAGGTACTCCAAGAAGAACTTCACGCTAGCCAGGAACGATCCTTCTTTTCCAGCCTTGACCAGTGGGTCGTTCAAATCACCACGGACAGCAAACCCATGCGTGCATCCAGGAAAGTACTCGCGCCTGTACCCCGGAGCAAACTTCCCATTGCCTAAAATCTCATCGGCCTTTGCTTGAGCTTCCGCAGGGAATAATTTATCATGCTCGCATGAGTTGATCAGGAGAGGCGCTGTGGATTTTGAAAAATATGTCTAAAAAAACAAAATTCAGCGGGAGAGCGCTGTGAGGATAATACTGGTTACCTCGAGGTCTTCAGGGAGAATCAAGAGCGAAGGGTGGGAGACAACAGCGCATTGGATGATGTTATCGAATGCGAGGTCAAAGATGTACCGACCTGCAGTGCGTATTAAGTTGAGAGGAAGAGATGACTGAAAAGAGGAACGTACCGCCGAAGCAGTAACCCGTGGCCCCGAACTTTGTAACGCCTTCCTCTTTGAGCGCAGCGATGACCTTGTCGAGTGGGGGACGAGTGACCTCGGCGCCATGGGTGGCAAGCCATCCTCGGAAGTCGAATGATTTATCCTAGCGAGTGGTCATGGGTCAGAGCTCGGGATACTTATTGATGAAGTAATCAGCCAAGAATACACTCACGTTCAAGACCCTATCAGCGGGAAGACCATCGCCGTTGAAATAGTCGATCGCGACGACCTGCGTCACAACGTCAATATCGGATCTTGCATTTACACGTACTATGGTTTGTGCAAACCTTGAAGCCGTTTTTGGCAAAGTCATCGGCGAGGAGCTGTTACGAGGTATACATCCCTTTTAGTACATGTGGGGTGCTATGTCACAAGGATGGGGGTACCTGAGCATTGATGAGTTCGATACCAAAGGCATCTGGTAGGAGGAGGATGACTTTGTCCTTGGCATAATCGACATTAGGGATGGCGACGTAGCAAGCGACACCGGCGATGGTCTCGAGCGTTCCTAGCGAAGCCACTGATGAAAATGCGACGTGGCAAGTTGGAGAAGTACTTACCTGAAGGCTCGCCCTCGTGACGTACGCCTGTTCGAGATCAGTATGCTCGATATTAATGTAGATGGTGATGATATACAACGCACCTTGGATGCAGTCCTTGCAGAAACTCATACTTGAAGTGGTTAGCAGAGGGTTGAACATGAGTAGAGGGATTTAATCCGTTATATATACAGCTCATAGCGAAATTGTCCAGGCTGATAAAATCAACTGATGACGCAGAAAGTGACATATTTCTGAGCATTCAAACTTTGTCCTCGAATTAGGAAGTGCTTGGAAGATGGGCATGATTTCACCTGTATGACGCGTGGATATTGCTGGCATAGTTAACGACGTGGCTACAACTGCGGTATATCATACGACGTTCTGAGGTTTACAATTGAGATCGGATATTGGTTTTGGATCGAATCGTACCATACGGAGACTCCATAACGTTGCAACAACAAGACTCCTCACAGGTGCTCCTGGAAGAACCCCACGGCAGCCTTAAACGAGCCCTCCTTCCCAGCTTTAACCAGCGGGTCTTTCATATCCCCACGTACAGCAAACCCGTGCGTGCAACCAGGGAAATACTCGCGCTTGTACCCTGGGGTGAACTTCCCATTCCCAAGGATTTCATCAGCCTTTGCTTGAGCTGCGATAGGGAACATCTGATCAATTTCGCAAGAGTTGATTAGGAGAGGCGCCTGTGAGTCGTTAAAGTACCTCTGTAAAGAGTGAGTCTTCAGAGGGAAAAGCATTATGCGCGACAGTATACGTTACCTCGAGGTCGTCGGGGATCCTCAAGAAAGAGGGGTGGGAAACTACGGTGCACTGGATGATGTTTTCAAATGCAAGGTCAAAAGTGTAACGACCTGACATGTGCCGTCAGGCAGAGAAACAAGTGACTGAATATGGAGATGTACCGCCGAAACAGTAGCCAGTTGCGCCAAACTTGGTGACGCCTTCCTCTTTGAGCTTGGCAATAACCTTATCGAGGGGTGGGCGTGTCTGTTCGGTACCGTGCTTAGCGAACCATGCCTTGATATCAAACGAGGGAGACTGTGAGTAGACACGAGATCAGAACTCGAGACAAAGGAGATTGTGCCAAAACCGACGTTCATATCTTCATCGGAAATAGCATCGCCGTTGAAGTAGTCGACCACGATGACCTGTATTGTATTATGGAATTAGTTTCGCATCCGGGTGCACTTCGTGCTTGGATGCAAACCTTGAAGCCGTTGGTTGCAAAATCATCAGCGAGGAGCTGCATCCATTTTTGTCAACGTGTTTGGACCATGGCAGCAGGGACGGACATACCTTGGCATTAATGAGCTCGATACCGAAGACATCTGGCAGGAAGAGGATGACTTTGTCCTTGGGATAGTCAACAGTGGGGGTAGCGACGTAGCAAGCGACACCGTCGATAGTCTCGAGCTTTCCTAGTGAAGACACTGATGAACTATGCAACGTGGCGAGCTGAAAATTACTTACCTTGAGGCTCACCCTCATGGCGTACGCCTGTTTGCAATTAGTACTCAGCGTCGGTCGCGAGGACATAAAATAGCACCTTGAATACAGTCTTTGCAGAGACTCATATTTACGTGTGATTGGGAGAGGGTTGAGAGTCATTGATCTCTTATATACAGCTCATAGAAAAGGTGGACATATGCCATCGGTGGAGCCGGGGCCAGCTGCAGCTCAGTCACGGTAACATTGAAAGCTGAATCGTGCTGACAAAGCCGGAATGCGTGGCAGTCCCTGCCGATGAAATTTGAAACTCCGAGATCGGCATGCGATCATGCATACGCTGCAGTGTTGCTGGCACGATCACACAACCAGCGACGTGACCAGTCTTAGTTTTGTATTTGAGATTATACATTAAATTTGAATTTGGATTCAATTATACCACACACGTAAGAGTCTCAGACTATAGGTGCTCCAGGAAGAATTCCACGGCAGCCTTGAACGCTCCCTCTTTCCCAGCTTTAATCAGCGGGTTGCTCATATCCCCACGTACAGAAAACCCATGCGTGCAACCAGGGAAATACTCGCGCTTGTACCCTGGGGCGAACTTCCCATTCCCAAAGATTTCATCGGCCTTTGCTTGAGCTTCGACAGGGAACATCTGATCGACTTCGCAGGAGTTGATCAGGAGAGGAGCCTTTGATTTGGAAAAGAACGTCTGAAAATAACGAGTTCAGAGGGGAAAGCATCATGCATGACAGTATGTGTTACCTCGAGGTCTTCGGGAACCTTCAAGAGAGAGGGGTGGGAGACTACGGCGCACTGGATGATGTTTTCAAATGCAAGGTCAAAAGTGTAACGACCTGACATGCATCGTCAGGTGGAGGAAGAAACGACCGAGTGGATAAACAAACCGCCGAAGCAATAGCCAGTTGCGCCAAACTTGGTGATGCCTTCCGCTTTGAGTGCGGCGATGACCTTATCGAGGGGTGGGCGTGTCTGTTCGGCGCCGTGCTTGGAGAGCCATCCCATGAAATCAAACGTGGGAGACTGTGAATGGGCACTAGATCAGGGCTTGCGATGCAACGAGAATCAGGCAGAACTAACGTTCATGGCATCAGCAGGAATATAACCGCCATTCAGGTAGTCGATCGCAACGACCTATATGATGCCGTCAGTTCTGTGTCTGTACATAAGCTTGGATACAAACCTTGTAGCCGTTTTTGGCAAAGTCGTCTGCAAGAAGCTGGTGTGGGATCCCTTATCAGTCCAAGTAAGAGTAATGGCATACGAATGACATACCTTGTTATTGATGAGCTCGATACCGAAAACATCGGGTAGGAAAAGGATGACTTTATCCTTGGGATAGTCAACAGTAGGGGTAGCGACGTAGCAAGCGACATCGGCGATGGTCTCAAGTTTGCCTTGTGACGAGATTGATGAGAAAGTGGGACATGACGAATTGAAAAAGATCTTACCCAGAGGCTCACCCTCGTGGCGAACGCCTGTTGGTGATAAATGAGTATTATCACGATTGTCGAATAGTTATAAACGCACCTTGGATGCAGTGTTTGCATAAACTCATGTTTCAAGTTGGGGATCAGGGCAGAGACGTCCAGATATTGACTTATATAAGGCTTGTCAAGCTGATGTTTATTGGCTGACATATTCATATACGCAACACCAACGGCTTGTACGGAGTCCGATGTAATCCAAGATTGCTAATGTCCAAGTAAGCTGGTGTGACACAGTGGGAAGTCCAAGACCATATACAGTGCAAGGATTTGGCCTGTAAGTGCATGACTCGGCCACGTGACTTTTATAATTTGATCGGTTGCAATGAATTTCTTTTTATAGAAGCGAACCCAAAACTAAACCTCCTCCCGGCCTGAGAAGCTTCTGGCCCGCACATTCGAACAAAGTTCGTCCAGCTCGCTCCGATTCTCGCTTTACGCTGAACATCAAACACTTCCAAAAATCTATCCGGGTACGATGCCTCCACAACCAGGAATGTTTGCTCTGCCATATGCATCAACCCACAAGGCGCGCACAGACGTTATTCAGCCAGACAACATGTCCATGACAATTTCTTATTCGAATATGCAGCCCCCTCAGGGTCCTAATCCTTATTATCATAACTCTCATCCAACTGCAGGTCCATCACGCGTGCAGGGTATGTCTTTATTTCTCCTACCCTTCTCAAGTAATATACGTACTAACCCGCATGCGAACAAAGACGATCCAAAACGAGAGAAAAAGAGAAAGGATATATCAGGCAAAGTAGGAAAAGAGATGTTGGACCGCAGAGACGAGTATGTCCCTCTCAATCACTTTTCTCATCTCCGCTCAACTTCGTGTTAGAGGACGACACTTCACTGAAAATATATCTGCACTCCACAGCTCCGCAATGCAGCTCGCATCACGTCCAGAAACTCATCCTCTGTATAACCTTCGCTTGTATCCCACTTCTCTTGAGCGCTCCGCCTTACTCGCCCAGCTCGCGTTTGAAGAAAAGCATTCCTTGGAATCAATACAGACCGCCTACGAAGAGGAACGTGAAAGAGTCGAGGAAGAATGGCGCAAGGGCCGTGATCGTATACGAGAAAGGCTCCTAGAAGGCATAGAAGAGCGCAGACGGCGTGCAAGAGAGGAAAAAGAAGGCGAGGGAACCGTAAACGGCATGTCGCTCTCTCCTTTATCTCAATAACCTCTAATTTTCATTCACCACATCAATCAGACGCAACGCTAGATGCTCAGTCTCGGTCCCATATCACTCGGAAACTGCGAAACAAAGTTGGCACTTCTCCTCCTCCAACACCCCTCGCACTTCGAGGAGAGAACCTCGTCAATGGTTCGCTTGGAAGCAATACACCCATTACGACTGGCCCCTTTACCAACCCCCACTCCCTCTCCGTCGACGAGCTACCTTCTCCTTTCCCTTTTCCTCTCACAGCCGTCACCCTCACTAATCCGTCTTCGGGTGCCGGTGGTAACTCCGGCACTGGTGGCTCCAGGCGTCGTACCAAAGGTGCAGGGCTTCACTCGAGCATGGTCGGCGTCGGTGGCCTAGGCAAGAGCATAGCAATGCTAGGTCCCAGCAAAGAAGCAGATATAGAGGCGGATTTGATGGAAATTCGGAGGGGTAGCAAACGACGTAGAGCAGCAGCCGTGTCTTCTGGCAAGGTTTCGTAGGCGCATGTTCTTTTTGATTTTGAAATTGTATAATATCTTATCATCGGAAGTCGGAAGTCGGAGATCAATTCAGCTACCCGTTTACCCGTAAGCGGGCCGTTCTGGGTTGTAGTGTTTTACTTTGTGCACATGGACCAGTCTCCTGCTAAACGCGTGTTTCAGCCGTTGTATGTATCAACCGGTGATGCGTCCATCGACAGGCTGGCATTCTTCCACGTGCTAGAAAGATTAAAGGTAAAGATCCAAATCACTTCGATGCGCAATCCCTGCACTCATCCACTTTCGAGTAGACTCAAAAGCGCACAGGATGGATCGATAACAAGGAACATATTCCTACCCTCCAAAGATACCTCTGAATCACTCACATTATCCGATTTTCCAGATCCCAAATGCAGAGAGGTTCGTGATGCATACCCTCCCTTGGCATGGCATGACTCACTCTCAACAGTATATCAGACCACATGTACCGCATGGCTATCCTCGCTATGTGTACGTCTGACGGCACCCTCGATGTTTCCAAGTGCGTTGCTTCCATCGTTGAGTTGTGAAATGAAACGTTTATGGTGACGTTTGAAGATGCGTTATGATGGCCATCGTACACGATCTTGCTGAAGCGCAAGGTAAATCCTTATGTCATGTTGCAAAGATCAGAACTGATGTCATGGCAGTGGGCGATATCACGCCTCGAGAAGGTATTTCGAAACAGGAAAAACAGCGCTTAGAAGCGGTTAGTCATCCATACCTCACAACATCCCGAGTCGCATCTGACTCTGTTACCGTATAGTCAGCGATGCGTAATTTCGTGCATGACATGCTCCATGGTTCCCCAGCAGCACTACGGATTGAAGCTCTTTGGAACGTAAGACTGCATCGCTCGACGTGGATGAACTCAGATGACACGCTTTGCGCAGGAATATGAGGAGGGAGAAACGGACGAAGCAAAGTTCGTCAAAGGTCTGTATTTATTATTCCCAGTGCTGTGCTTTGATTTATACATGACTTGTCTGTAGATCTTGATAGATTGGAGATGGCTTTGCAAGGTATGTAGCCGCATTACCATCAGGTTGTGTCCGTGTTATATTCATGTGCGTGCATATTAGCACGCGAATACGAAGTGGCCCATGCACGGGATCTTCAGCCATTTTTCGATTCCAGCTTGCCTCATTTGCGTCATCCGGAGGTCAAGCAGTGGGGCGAGGATTTGGCACAGACTCGTTCGCGGTCGCGCTAGCTGGAAATGGTTGATATGATCGCATCGTGTTTATTTCTTTGATTCCGTCCTTCGCGAAGCACCTGCGACTGCATTGTGCAATGAATCTGTGAATGACTGACATTCCTTGCGTACAATATCTTGAGATGGAAGTTTAGACGGCAGCATTCCCTTCAGGTGCCTGGGGTGTTTATGTCATTTCATATCGACTTGGATAGCTCTGACATTATCAGCTCAGTCCCACCCCATTATGTATCACCGCAGATGACTGTAGCCAAAGTTTCGAGCAAAACATTTAGTATCCGTACGACGACGTTGGAACACCGTAAAAATTTGAAGCAAAACTGTTGCGTGGGCGAGGTACAAAAACGCGTTTGGTTACATGTATGAGTGTAAATTCATATTTATCGCCCATGCTCGATCTCATCAACCGTAATTGCGTGTAGATTTGGAAAACTAGAACAGGTGAATATCTTTGAAAGGACCCATATAACTACAGTACTTCTAGTGTCCTGATGTCCATCAAGTAGTTGATAGAAGCCATGTCTTTAACCTGTGCAATGATATCAAGATCTGATGCAATCCTCTTGAATTCTCCGTCGCGCTGCCGTGCTAGCAAAAATGCATGAAAAGGCTGTCCAAGGCGAACAATCATTTGCAATTGTCGCAAGTGAGAATCCGAATAAATCGGCTCAGATTGTGCAGCGTGCGAAGGGTACGATGGAGATTCGAGCACGGACCAATTGTCACTCTGCGTATCATCTGCAGCTTCATGCAGCCCCAGGAGCTCACGATTCCATGGACGAACGAGCAAGATCGTCTGCCAGGAGGGCAGAGGTCTTGCGGGTGAGAACGAGGTGAACTTGTCTTCCGTGGTGATCTCCAGGTTGTGAAGTCCATCTGACTTGAGTTCATACGTATATGTATCCTGGTCGTGACCTTGTGGCCTCCGCTTGGCTTCTGTGACCGGGAATACAATGCAGGGCAGATGCAACCGGCGGTGCCCAAAGCGGGGAGCGCTCAGGTAGTCAAGTGTCTGATATAATTCCGAAGCCGACTGTAGAGCCACAACACCTCGCAGCGAGGAGACCGACGATTGAATCTCATCTTCGGATGGAGGTGGCAGTTGGAATAGTGGAGTTTTGTACGAAGTGATGTCAGCTGGTAGACAGCTATTGAATTCTGATGACTTTCCGATCCAGTCCAGGGCAGTAATGTCGCCCGACTGAGCTATGATTTCCTCCAGGAGCCGCCCGAGTGCGTATTGTTTTCTCTCGCCATAATCAACACGCAGGCGGACGCCAAAGACGCCAGATAACGAGTACGCGATGTCTTCTTGCAATGTGGTATGACGTGTCGACGCCCACTGAAGTTTTTCTCGGGCGTTTTTCATCCCAGGACGGAAGGCCACAACCGCTTGTCGATCTATGCCCGTCGCGTCCTTCAACTCCTGCATGATTGCGACGGAATCCTTGTGGTTGGGAGTGCAATCGCCAAGATAAGGAGTCCAATCCTTCTGATAGAAGAGAATGACGTTGGGAGCGAGGAATTCCTGGATTGTCCATCCCCGTGTGTTCCAAGTGCTCTTTGCCAACGTGCCAGGCTCCGATGAAGGTGGAACATCCGAGAGGTATACGATCGTGAGCGCGGAATGGTGATACCAGACGAACATGGAGTTGACCGATTCTTGAAGCTCAACATTGTTGCTCTTATCGATGCAGCATGTATCACTCCATGCCCACCGATACCCCAAATCACGAGCAGTTTTGCAGAAGGACTGCAACTTCGTGATGGTACCAACCGGATCCAACTGATAGACGACCTTGCCCTGTATATCCTGCAGCAGCGGCTCCTTCCCTTCCCACCTATGCGATAGCATGGCATATCGGAAGTACGCAATCACCACTTCTCTGATGCGCTTCATTCGGGAGTCTAGATGCATGATGGTCGATGATACAAGCTCTTTGTACTCTATGCTCGTTTTGAAAATCCGTATTTGGTCTCTCGATCGCACATGAGACCGGTGGTGGTGTCGAGCACACGCAGCGGAGCGTTGTCAAGTTGAGCGTCGATCACCTTTCTAATAGCACGGTCTACCTCGGACGTACTGAGATACTGTTGGCGCAACTCTGCGGAAACGGTTAAAGCATGTTGACGGATGAATTCTCTGAGGCTTACTTCGTGTCTCAGTGTCAGGAGCATCATCTAATTTCGAGAGCATGACTCGGAAAGCTTGTATCGCTTCATCATAGCTTTGGGCACCATGAAGCGCCGCATGCTTCAACTTGTATCCAATATGAGACGAAGGGTTGAGTTGAATGACCTGTATATCACCACAATGAGCATAGGTGAGGAAACAACAAATGTTATCGCACCTTCTGGGCATCGAGAAGTGCTTCCATCCACAACATTTTCCCCAACTTTGCCTTACTACGATTTGCAAAGACAGCATCAGATGGAGAAATTAGGTCGATCGCCGCCGTGTATAAATCAATGGCCCTGTCATAATCGCTTGCAGCGAGGGCAGTATCCCCGTTGGTGAGAAAAAGGGCACTGCATTCTTGGGTTAAAGCTGAGTGAAGTGCGGGTGAGGATTATAACCGCAGGTGACATCACTGAAGACTTGCCGGTGGACCAGTCGAGGCAGCCGGCCTCCGTTGTTTCGTTGACTGTATTCATCATAGATTTGTGTGATTCAAGAGCTTCATCTATTTTGCCTGAGGAAAGGAAAGCCTGGCACCGTTTCTGGTGTGCAGTGAGCCACAGGGTTTTGAAATTCCAGCCGAAGAGCTGGACAAGACACTCAGTATAAAAAACATTAGGTATGTACCATCTCAACGCACCACGATCAAATCCTCGTAAGTTTCATGAATGTCTGATATATGGCTGGAGTTGAGAGCAGCAGTGAAATAGTCAGCAGCTTCGTCGTGACGTCCGCCATCCAAGGCATTTATTACGAGTTGAACACGTAGATATGCCTAATATGGGAAGGTTGTAAAGATCAGTTTCGATAGCACAGCATGGCTGCATGATACTTACTTCAACGATATGACATGCTCGAGTATCAGTATTCGGACAACCGTTAATGAGTTCTTCTAGGAGCAGGTTTGCCTCGTCATGTTGATCTGCATTGAAGAGCGCAATAGCCTGAAACGCAGAATTAAGCAGTGTGTGTGTGAGGCAACTGTAACATACCTTAATTAAGAGCAGGAAATGGATTGTTTCTGAACCTTGGTCCGTGTACACGGATGCAACGTCAAACGCTGCCCTCGCGCGGGTGATGTGGCCTATTCCGCAGAGGGCGATGCCCTTGGAGATATAGCCTATAGATGAGGGCTGAATGCCGATAGACTGTGCCGCCATCTCCTTAGCCTTCTGTATGAGGACCATGATCAGTGCATATAACTCGCCTTGATTGCATCTTGAAGGGCGTGGTCCCAGTCACGTTTTCGGGCCAAAACAAATGAGCGATGGGCGTAGGCAGTGTGGTTGTTCGCATTGGTGTTGATATCTTGCGTGAGCAGTTTTTCGGCAGCAGACAAGTCCCCACCTATGCATGCAATGCGGGCTGTCGTGATGACTAGAATCTGTACCAAACATGCTTAATTTTTGGTAGATGAGTCAAGGACGAAACATGCCTTTGGATGAATACCCTGAGGCACCCACTCCGAGATCATCTTATCGCCTCCTCCGCTGAGGATGTGGTTGCCGTCCATGGAAAAAGTGACACATCCCGTCGGGGACATGTGCTTGAAGGTGGCAATGGATTGTCGATCTGAGAGCCGCCAGAGACGGACATGTCGGTCATCAGATGCGGAGGCAACGAGTGTGCCAGCAGGATTGACGACAATGGCTGTGATTGTGCTAGTGTGACCGAACCAAGGATCACCTGTCTGCTTCCAGGTGAATGCATCCCATTCGCGTATGGTAGGATCGTCCGAATTGCCGCCTATGAGAAGGCGTGTGCCATCAGGCGTCCATGCGAGTGAGAAGTTGGTTTGTGTGTGAGCCTTGAAGGATGCGACGCGTTCTCTTGTGCTTGGATTATAAATTTGGATATTCAGGGCTGCGATGGCAAGAAGTCCTCCAGACGGCGAATACCGTAAGGAACAGACCACATCATTGCACTTGATCGAATCTCCTTGTTTCTGCCAGGTTTTGGTGTTCCATAGCTTCGTCGTTTTATCCCTTGAACCAGTGGCTAGCACTGTCCCATCAGGAGAAAAGTCCAGCGAGTTGATAGAATTGGTGTGGGCTTTGATTTTGGTGAGCAATTCGGCAGTTTCACCGTGCCAGATGATGATCTCTCCGTTGAAATCACCGCTTGCTATCAATTGCCCATTTTGTGATACCGCTAATCCTGCCACCTCAGAGCGATGGCCCTCCATCTTCTTCAACATTTCACCTGTCTTCAAGTCCCACAGACGAAGCATCTTGTCCCATGAGCCGGTAATCATCCGTCGTTTATCGGGGAAAACTGCGACTGCCTTGACGCGCTCTTCATGGCCTTTGAATTGTCGCAGGGGTATAGTGATGGGAAGGAGCTCCGACATCTTACTGAGGGTTGATGGCGTTAGGTGCGGTCGAGGACTTTATAGGGATTGTGGGTGTACTTCTCTAAGTTCCAGAGTACGTTTATTGTGCGTTTTATACAGCAATACAGCATGTCCTTGATAGACGCTCAGGCACGATGCTGCTCGCCCGGGCCCCCACATCGCCGTCCTCCTCGGTATACCCTCCCAGCGCTTGAGGACATATAAACCTCCCACTCTTGTCTCCAAAGCTTCCAGAATGTATCCCAATGCATCCAATGGAGGAATTGGTATCTTCCAGCGCTCGAATCTGACTGTTGTCTTTCTCTAAGCCGCTGAGATCCGTGAATTGTGCGTTTTGGTGCTTCACTGCCTCAACCTGCCTCGTTTCAATACCGCACAGGATACTTAAGGCTGTTCGCATATCAGTTCTCTGATGGAATCTCCGCTGAATGAATGACGTTCCTTGCGTACAATATCTCAAGAAGTTTGGACAGCCCTTCAGGCGCCTGGGGTGTGATTTCATATCGACTTATATGTCGTTCTAGCTCTCAGCTGACACCATGAGCGCTTGTATGATTATCAGCTCAGTCCCACCCCATTATGTATCACCGCAGATGATCGCAGTCAAATCTACGAGCAAAACACAAGGAACAGGCCAGAACGGTCCACCGAATATCAAGTGTAACATCTTTTTCAGCGGATGAGAGCGTCGTAGTGACTCCCATTGATGAAGAATCAACAGCAGTACCCTCAAGGACTTTGGCCGTAGTCTGAAAGCTCATCTGAGTGGTCGAGGAAGGAGATGTTGGTGTCTGAGGAGGACTGCGACCGTCCGAAACCAGGCAGGAAGGTCGAAGTTTGTCTTTGGAGTTCCGCCTGCTTGTCATATCTTCCTTGAATCCTCGGGTTTCAACCTGCCGCCGTGCTTCAACAGGGTCGTTTTCAGGGTTGGCAACGGTATGAGTTGTCATTAGCAATGGTACAAGATCTATCGCTCGCACACCATGCACAGCTAGGCTGTCTATCATATTCTGCTCTGATATAGCGTTTGAGCATACATGATCATGCCTGTTCGACTGTAAAGATGCGCAAGTAGTTTCAAGTTCCATGTTGTAATAGAGGCGGCCCATGAACTTCATCGCCCGCAGCTCCATATGTTGAAAAGATGCTTTGTGCTCCTTTCTATTAGAAGTCTTGAACTTCTGTACCATTTCTGGCTGGTGGCTGAGGGGGGTCATAACCTTGTCCTCGTCAAACAAATAACGTGTACGCAGGTGAACCTCATCCGCCTCATCTTCTTCGTTGACCTGCAGTCTGGTATATCCATTCTCGTTCTGTTCTGTCTTGGAACGCCATTTGACACCCCCTAGTCGAAATCGATGAGATTGCCGCCTCCAAAGTCATCCTCTTTGACGACTGGCATTTCCTGACATCCTTCTTCGTCGTCATCGTCAAAAGAAAATGGATTCGTCGGGTGAGCGGCTTCCACTGGCATTTCTGAAGGATATGGAGGGGGTATGATCCTGCACGACTCAATGCATTATGTAGTTGTGCGAATCTCTGTAGAACAATACGACAAACCTTTACGAAGATTCAATTCAATCCAAGGGTCATTTTGACTGGATGTAAGGTTATACATCCGTGATCGTAGAAGGGCGGGGCACTCAGCCGCCGCCAACTAGGAGAGGTAATATCGAGTCCAAAGTTAGTTGGGGAGTGAAGGATGGATAGCGGGCGATGAGTGGGCGATGGGCGGGCGATTCATTTAGTCTGTCCACAAAACTTGAAATTTCGTCTTCGCATTTTGTCCCTGGTATAATCATCAAATTTCCCGAGCGAACAATCAGTCGCAATGCTTGCGAGTGGGAATCCAAAAAAATCGGCTTAGTTCGTGCACGAGGTGAATCGTGCGACGAAAATTCGGGTACAGAGGAATGTTCTGCACTGCGTGTATCATCTGAAGTGTCATGCAGCCCTAAGAGATGGCGACTCTATGAACGGACAAGAAACATAGCTTCTGTGACAGGGAATATGATGCAAGGAAAATGCAACCGGTGGTGCGCAAAATGAGTAGTGCTTGTGTGATCAAGCTGGTTATGAGATCTCACAGCCAAACCCACAGCTACGGGATTTGTTCGCAGTGAAGAGACCACCGTCTGAATCTCATCTTCCAGACAAAGATGGTAGGGTGTATGGCGGGGCTAAATATCAGATGACATAGGCAGAAAGACAACTATTGAACGATTCTCCAGTCTAGTCCGGGGCAGTAACATCGTCCGACTGAGCGATGATTTCCTGCAGAAGCCGCTCGAGTGCGCTCTGCTTCTTCTCGCCGTGATCAATACGTAGGCGGACGCCAAAGATGCCAGATAATGAGCATGCAATGTCCTGTAATGTGGTTATACGTGTCGACACCCACTGAAATTTCTCTCAAGCACCTCTTATCCCGGGACGGAAGAACACGACGGCTTGTCAATCTAGACTCGTCTCTCCATGCCCATCGCGAATTCCAATTCCTGCATAATCGCGACGGAATCCTTGTGGTTTGGAGTGCGATCGCCGAGATAAGGAGTCCAATCCTTCTGGTAAAATAGAACGACATTGGGAGCGACAAATCTTTGAACCGTCCATCCCCATGTGTTCCAAGCGCTCTTTGCCAGTGCGCCAGGCTTTGAGGTAGGTGGAACATCCGATAGGTATACAATCGTCAGCGCAGAGTGGTGATACCAGACGAACATGGAGTTGACCGATTCTTGGAGCTCGACATCGTTGCTCTTGTCAATACAACATGTATCGCACCACGCCCATCGATATCCCAAATCACGAGCAGTTTTGCAAAAGGACTGCAACTTGATGCCGCCAACTGGATCCAAGTTATAGACGACTTTGCCTTGGATATCCTGTAGTAGCGGCTCCTTCCCTTCCCGCCTGTGTGATAACATGACATATCGGAAGTACGTCACCACCACTTCTTTGATGGGCTTCATTCGATGCGTTATTGTTGATGACACAAGCTCCTTGTACTCTATGCTCGTTTTGAAGGTGCGTATCTGCGTCTCTCGATCACATAAGAGACCAGTGGTGGTGTCGAGTACACGCAGCGGAGCATTCTCAAGTCGAGCATCGATGACCTTTCGAATAGTACGGTCCACTTCAGATGGACAGAGATACTGCTGGCGCAAATCTGCAGACACAGTCAAAGTGCGTCAACATATGAGGGATTGAGGCTTACTTCGTGTCTCAGTGTCGGGAGCGTTATTCAATTTTGAGAGCATAATTTGGAAGGCCGCAATAGCCTCATCATAGCGTTGTGCGCCATGAAATGCTGCATGCTTCAACTTGTATCCAATATGAGACGATGGGTTGAGTTGAATGACCTGTGTATCACCGTGAGCATAGGCGAAGAAACGATAAATGCCATCGCACCTTCTGCGCATCGAGAAGTGCTCCCATCCACAGCATTTTCCCCAACTTTGCCTTACTACGATTTGTAAAGACAGCATAAGATAGATTCGGAGAAGTTAGATCGATCGCTGCCGAGTAGAAGTCAATAGCCCTGTCAAAATCGCTTGCAGCAAGGGCGGCATCTCCATTGGCAAGAAAGGGCACGCTGCATTTTTTCGTAAAAGCTGAGCGAAGATGGGAGTGAGAGTTGTAGCCTGCGCGACATTACAAACTCCAGACTTGCCGTTAGACCATTCAAGGCAGCTGGCCTTCGCTGTTCCGTCAATATTGTCCATCATGTATCGGAATGATTTCACGGCATCTTGAAGTTTATCTGCCTCAAGAAGTGCTTGACAGCGTTTCTGGTGTGCAGTGAACCACAATGATTTGAGATCCCATCCGAAGATCTGAAAAAGGGACTTGATTAAGAAATTTGTTTCGGATACGTATCAACGTACCACCACCAAATCCTGATACATTTCATAAATTTCCGATTTCGATGATAAAGCACTGGAGTGGAGAGCAGCAGTGAAATGGTCAGCGGCTTCCTCGTGACATGCACCATCCAAGGCTTTAAGTCCGAGTTGAACACGTAGATATGCCTGATGTGGGAGTTGGAAAGATTGGAGCAGAGTGACTGCATGAAACTTACTTGTACGATGTGACATGCGTGAATGTCGGCATTTGGACAACTGGTAGTGAGTTCTTTAAGGAGCAAGTTTGCCTCGTCATGTTGACCTGCATCGAAGAGGCCAATGACCTGGATTATGCGATTAAGTAGATAGTATACGAGACAATTGCTACATACTTTGATCAAGAGCAGGAAATGGAGTATTTGTGGATCTTGGTTCGTGTACATTGATGCAACATCAAATGCTGCCCTTGCGTCAGGGATGCGGCCTTTTCCGCAGAGGGAAATGCCCTTGGAGATATAGCCTATCAATGAGGACTGAATACTGATGGACTATATCACTGTCAATTTAGCCTTTGTAAGGGGGCCATGCTCAGCGCATATGACTCACCTTGATTGCATCCCGAAGGGCGTGGTCCCAGTCGTGTTTTCGTGCCATAACGAATGAGCGATGAGCGTAGGCAGTGTAGTTGTTCGGATCGGTGTCGATATCTTGCGTGAGTAGATCTTCGGCGGTAGACAAGTCTCCATTTATGCATGCAGTATGAGCAGTCGTGGTAGCTAGTATCTGGAAACATGCTCGAATTGTGGTATGAGTCAAGGACAGAAACATGCCTTTGAATTGGGTACTGCCCACTCTGATATCATCTTATCCTCACCTCCGCTGAGGATATGTTTGCCATCCACGGAGAAAGTGACGCATGATGTCGAGGATTTGTGCTTGAAGATGGCAATGGTTTGTCTATCTGAGAGCCGCCAGAGACGGACTTGGTTGTCATAGGATGCAGATGCAACTAACGTGCCAGCAGGGTGAATGGCAATGGCACTGATAGAATGAGAGTGGCCCGTCCAAGGATCACCGATTTGCTTCCAGGTTGTTGTATCCCATTCACATATGGTAGGACCAGGATTATTACCATATATGAGAAGGCGTGTGTCGTTGGGCGGCCACACGACTGAGTCGTTGATTCCTGTGACCCTCGAAGGATGCGACGCGTTTCTTTGTGCCTGAATTATAAATTGCGACAAAGTGGTGTGTTGCGATAGCTAGAAGTTTTCCAGAGGGAGAATACCGTACGCAGTAGACAGCACTACCACACTTGATTGGATTTCCTTGCTGCCGCCAGGTTTTGGTGTTCCACAGGTTTATCGTTTCTCCGTCACCTGAACCAATGACCAGCACTGTTCCATCAGGAGAAAAATCCAACGAGGAGATCCAATCGGGGTGGCCTTGAATTTTGGTGATGGATTCACCAGTCTCGCCGTGCCAGACGATGAGCTCTCCACCACCATCACCGCTTGCTATCAATTGCCCATCTCGTGATACCGCCAATCCCCACACCTTACTGCTATGCCCCTCCATCTTCTTCAACACAACACCTGTCTTCAAGTCCCATAGATGAAGGGTCCTGTCGACCGAGCTCGTAACCATCCGTCGTTTATCGGGGAAAACTGCGACTGCATTTACGCCTGCATGGCCTTTGAACTCTCGCAGGGGCATGATGATTGGAATGAGGTTCGACATTTTACTGGAGGTTGATGGTGTTGAGCACAGGTGAGGTGTACTTTGGAGGGATTGTGACTTTCTCTAAGCTGCAGAGGTGCGTGTATTGTGCGTTTTGTGGTGCTTCATCGGGTCAACATGCCTCGTTTCAATAGACGCCTTGGACGCTTAGTACCATCCCGTAATGCACCCTTAGGCATCGTCATACCCGCTGTACTCGACAATATGCCCTTCCAACACCTTTGCAGTCCATGCATACATCCTACTCTTGTCTTCAACGCTTCCAGAACGTGTCCCGCCGCAGTAAATCGAGCAGTCGGTGCTTCCCAGTGCTTGAATCCAACTATCTATCCTGCATAATGTTCATGTTTTTCTGTCGAACAGCTACTCCAACACATCACCATGTCACTCCTTCTAATGCATGCGTATAGCTCACTGCAATGTCACTCCTTCGTCCCGCTAACTCCCAAGACCTGCTTGTGCACCGGATGCAGCCGAAGTTCTCTATCCTGGCGCCTCAAATTCGTCACTAACTCGGTCTTGGAGGAGTGCTTTTCTTCTAGCACGACTTTGTTCTAGCACTATTGCTTTGTAGCCCTGTGCTTTGGCCGTTGGGTATCCGGATGCTAAAGAATCACTTCAAGGTCACTCGTACGGCTGTGATCGCGATAGGTTTTGACGAGGAAATAAAGGCATTGCTAGTAATATCCCTATATCACGTTCTCCATAGCTCAAACATTTCAAGGGTGCGTCTTCCAACATGGTGGAGAACATGGGTTTACTTTGCTTGTCTTCTCCTCCCCATTACCAGCCGCATCCAGAACAGCATCACGTCTCTCGGGTGATATAGTGCCGGCTGCCGAACTGGACTTTAGTGGTTAAAACTTTACCACAGGCAATACATGCCGTGTATTCACTATACACTCAAAATGAAGTGTTGTCTTTAATTCCATAATGAAACTGATGAGATTTTGAAGGACCGCTGTTTGTGCAGTCAAGAAAAAGAAGAACTTCATCATTACATGAACCCCGGATCAGTGAAATACTTGCAGAATCGTGTTACCTTTTGTCACCCGAGTTTTAGATGACATTTGATTCCTAGAGGAAGGCGGGTTGCAATGAACGCCGGCTCCTTGTAGTGAAAGAATCATCGAAGAACGCAAGCCTCGCTGTAGAATGGGTGTGTGGCCGATTTCGAGGATGGGTATGATGATTAATATCGCTTCGTGTCTCAGCAGGCTGAGGCAACTCAGACTTGACTTCTATCTGACGATTTGGTGATCAAGAATGACTTAGAATATGAGGAAAGCAAACTTGCTCTATGCTTGGTTGACCACGACGATACATGTCTACCCATCATTGATTTGAGGATAAAACATGCACGATCGATGGACAGTTATGTACACAAGCCTACGCCCTGACAGAACAGACAGGTATGTCTGTACGTTCTTTCAACAGCCGAGATTGCCTAAATCACATCTCGCTCCCAGTTGGAAAGCCGATGGAATCGAATAATTTGCGCAGTTGCTTGCTCTGTCCCCGCAGCCTATAGTTGTGGCCGATCTCGCTGAGGTGCGTGACATCGATACCTTACTGAGCACCCCTTGTCAGTCCTGCTATCGTTATGCAGACTGCATTCATACTTAACACCCATCAGACTGTATTGACGAGTCTTGGGGAGCCCACGAGTCTAACCTTGGGTTGTTTGTGCTTGACAGGAGAATACAGTACCACGATATCCTGGGGGTGTATGATCTTCTGGAAGTCATCGACATCGTTCCTGATTCCTAATGCGAGTGTATATGAAAATAAAGTTGAAAACATATGCAGACAGTGCTGAGTGGCAAAAGGAGTGAGAGCAAAGTTTCAGGGGGAACAAGGAGGCGCACATCGTGTACTCGGTGCGAGTGGCAGATGGTTGCGCCGATGCGGCCGCCAGCGGAATGCATGTTTGGCACCGGGCGTACTAGCAGGGTGGATGCACCATGCCGTGAGAGCGGACCACAGTTCACGCAGCTTAGGTGCAGCACCACATGAGGAGGATAAGGGCTGCGGTCCCGGGGAAAGCGAGGGGTAGTACTAGTATATCACAGTGTGGGTAGTTGCATTAGGAAGCAGTGACGGGGCTATAGGATGACTCAGAGTTCTGGCTATGGGAGGACGAAGGACTCTGCGGTGCCGACCATCAGGAAAACCCTCCCATATAGACTTGGATAAATTAGACGTTCTTAGACAAATTTGACTTCATGTGATTCATCTTGAGGAGACTACATGCTAGCGGGTACATTAATCAGAGCTGTTGGCGAGAATGCTTATGTTCCTTCGCGTACATCATTGAGCATTAGTCACACTCGCTGGCACACGCGAACATTCCAGCGTTATGGGTTAAAGTTACTGGTCTAATGCCTGTCCAACGCTGGCAGTAGAACAAGTTTTAAATGTGGCTGACGGCAGCCACTGGTCTCATACAAAGTGTCACATTTCACCACCAACGTTGCCTCCGTCCGGCGATTGACATTCATCACGTCGGCTTCCGATACCTATTACCAACTGGAAAGGGCCCTCGAACCAGGTGAGACCAGCGAACGCCGCAGCGATTGTGAAGACGGTGACTTTGGGGTGTAGTGACGACAGTGGTCCGATCCCTTCAGCCCATCATCTTGACAGACTACCGCTTTTGAATAGGATGCGACATTTAAGTCACAATGAGTTTAGCACTGGATGAGGCAGGGCTGTGCCATCATTGCAGTGATTCGAAGCGATTCGGTAAAGATGCATGTACCCCTAACCCTAGTTCAGGTGTCGCCAAAAGTTCACCAATTCAAGGTATGTTTTCAAATCTACGGAGGATGTCCCTTTTCTTTGTATCTTTTTGATTGGAGCATGCGGTAAATAGTGGTCAACATTATAATTGCGTAGAAGACATAAATCAAGTGTACCACCTAATATAATGTCAAATCATATTGAGTATGTAACTGCCAATTGATTGCTACATTCATGCGATCAACGTGTAATAATTAACTGCGGTGAGATTCCCGCCACATCTCTATAACTCAGCAACAAGCAACGAGCGGATAGATAGTCTTACGACTTTTCCAAGTCCGGATTATTTTGTTCAGCATCGATCTTCTGAATCTTCTGGGAGACGGGGCTGCACTCTCGTATTCTTGGCCCATAAAAGAAAAAAATCTGCATGATCGTGAGCAAATGCATACAACAGAGTCTTCGAATCACCCACAAATGGTATGGGGATCATGATGGCCGCTATTAGTGCAAAGACAGTACCTGCCCATTTGTACGTCAGGTGGTTGTTCATTCGGCTCGTGAGGAGCGGGAAGACAGTGGAAAGTATGTTTCCTGCGAAACATGTCGGATACTATTCTTGATACAGGAACAGGGAAGGACTCACGAAACAGGCTCTGACCTGCCAGCGCCGAAGATGCGTAGGGTCCGTAGCTAGTTCGCTGCTCGTCAACAGGCGAACAAAGTATGCTGGTACGTGGACGTAGCGCTCACCAATCTGCCAAGTAGATGAATACGGCTTGATATATGACAAAAGCGGAGGTCGTGAAAAGCTGGCAGCTTCATCAGTGGTGGTAGGGAAGATCGATGAAAGATGCTACCGTAAGGCCGATCATGGGAACTATCCACAAGATATCTGCTCGGGCGGTCCACGCGAAGATGAACATTCCAATGGGAAAGATTACGGATGCTACGCAAGCCATGTAAAGACGAGCTTCTTGGCCTTTGCGGTGAACATATTTTCTAATTTTATGATTAGTCCAGGCTTCCTCTTCAGAGAGTTGATTACTGACTTGTATAGTCCTTCCCCGTAGACATTAGCCAAGTAACCTAGAACACTTCCGATGCTAAGACGTTCACAGTCACTGACACTGTATCTTACGTTAAGAAATCAGCCTTACGTTATGGTAACAAAAACGCTCCCAGTCTCTCCGACACCAAATCCGTAGATGTTTTCGAATTCGCTCGATATTGAGCTGCGGCGATTTTACTCTCAATGGTTCGCCTAGTTCATGAAACACTTACTCAAGTAAAAAGTAGAGAACTCCCCATATAAAACCAATCCAGAGCTGGATATAGAATTCATTGTAAGGCTCATGAGTCGAGTCTGCGGTGAAGATCGGTGAGAAACGACGTACACTAAAGCCCTGAACAATGGGTTCAGTGATTAAGAGAACTGGGAGTGTTTCAGAAAATGGTTCAGTGCTGATGAATGCACTGACTTAATGGGCGAGTGCATGAAGTCACGATCATTGACCTAAGGGGGGGCTTGTCTGCTTCTGATCTTGCACGATACCGGCCATCTCCAGTATCCTTTCGAACTCGACGGGCCATATGAGCCAGAATGACGGTCGAGCGAGTCTCTTTTAGAACTAAAAGCATGGAGATAGAACACGCCCCGGTAGCGCTATAAGAATAGTTAGGACAACGACAGTAATATGAAAGCAACTAACACCGTACATAGCTTGGATCCATTGTATCCACCGCCATTGCAGGGATGGATTAGCTTCGATCCAGCCTGCAACCATCGGGCCTAAACCAGCAGATGAAAGAGCCGCTAAGGTATAGAAGGACATTGGGAGTCCCCGTCTTCAGGATTATAAGATCTTGATTTCCCAGAAAGACGATGAACTTAACTGATGAGGCAGCCAAATGTCTGCGATAGTCCCAGCAACGAGTGTTGTGGCAGTCGAGCCAAAGCATCCTCCAATTGCACGAGCTACAATAACGGTTTGTATATTCGGTGCCCTGAAAAATCCTCATAAAAATTGGAGATACTCCAGTGAGACATACACTCACAAAGCTGTCATCACTTCAGTCAGTACAACCATGAAAGACGAAACGATGTAAAAAGGAAGGCGGCCGAATTCCTCGCTAAACGATGAAGTGACGAGAGGCACGAGTGCAAATCCTAAAATGTACATGCTAAATCCCAGAGTTGCTTGGAATAATGTACAATCGAGGTCTCTGGTCATAGACGAGAAACCCATGTTATATGAAGACACGGCGGCAGCTGGAAAAAGCAAGAGACGATAAACATAATGCTATTTGCTTCCACCAACTTGTAGATTTACCTACAACGCCCGTAAAGGCACAAGCATTTATTGTCATTGCCCACCTCCTTGCGGGAGAGAAGTTGACTGGATTCCGCCTATCTCCATCTTCAAAATCGATCTAGTCCTTGTCAGTAAGCGCATTACAAAAGTGAGAAATTATGCAAAAACTAACATAGAAGGATCTATTTTCTAGCACAGTCGGTGCATGGAATATAGTTTTTAGTGCCCCTTTGTTCCTTTCCTCGGTATGAAGTGGGGCATCTATGTATGTTTCCTCCTGGACTAGTAGCACTGGTGCTGCAATAGGCAGATTGACAGATTCTGGGACTTGACGTTCGCATGTAATTGATAGTACGCGAAAGGCTGGGTCTCCTTCGTGATGATTCATCAGGAGTTGAATGTACACTCGTGCAAAGAGACGAGACAAAGCTGGTTGGTATTCAAAACACATCCAACAGGCTTATTATAGTAGGATTGGACTGGATACCGATGAGTCACATTCCGCGAGGCTCCTGCCTTCAAGTTTACGCTTGAGGTTGTGTTCACCGTGCAAGCACTATCATTGATGGAAAGCTCACTAGCATTGAGAAGCATACCAGTTTGAATAGGGGTAGCATGGTGTCTGCTGATAGCCATTTCTGGTCAATGAACAACTAAGTTTGTAGATCTGGGGCTAAACTGTGACCCACCTCTATCTAGCGGGACAAATCGAACCCGGCGTTACAGGCCACTGAGTTTGAAGAGCTCGCAGGATGACTCATTTCAAAAGATCGCCTACTTAATGACCGTCTGGGTCTGAGTCAGACGAGGACTCGGCTTCGTTGTCCGCGGACACGCACACCCCTGTTGGCTGAAAATCGACGCAAAGTCTGCCAGAAGCACATCTAGTCATGATCAGATCATCAGAGAAAAGCGCATAGTGAGAAATGCAATAACCTTCGGTTGGCCACGCCGCACCTGGTTGCACCCGTCCATTTGTGAGTTACCGAGAAGAACAAATATTTATCCGAGGTGCTTAGACACAAATTGTCAGTCACAAGTTCCGACCTAGCAATTAACTCAGCCTCTAGGACTAATCTTGATGGAATGAACAAGAATCATCGTCCATCCTGGATCATGTTATAAGCAAGCTGTTCTGGCTCAAAGAATATGTGAACACGGCCGGCGCACTTGGATCCTTGCGGCGTGCGCCCTTGCGAGTTGCGACTAAACGGCTCCTCACGGTAATTAAGATGTGGCAGCTGTATTTGGTAAAGTTTGGCACAGGCTTTAGAATTCAACTAACCAAAACAACGCGTCGGCTAATATGTGATAGAAGCGTGTCACCATCCACATTACCTCAGCAGTGGCTGGCTGATAGCCTAGGATGGAGCGCCTTCAGAAAACATTCCAAAGGAAGAAAACTGACATTTTCTCAGAAAAGACTCATAGAATGCCAGAACGTCCTGGACCATTCTCTGTTCAGTCAGGCAAGGGCCGAGGCCATGAAGACTTCGGGTCCTCGTTTGCTCCATCCCAAGTTTCCCAACCAGGCAAGGCGACCGGCAGCAAAGCCAAACCTGCCACGTCACGTCCTATCACAAAAATCATGGAACACGACTCTCTTAGTGACAGTGATGACGAGCTGTTATTATCTGAAGGTGCTCAGCCGTCGGGCTTAGACTCGGACTTGTCACCTAAACACAAACTCGAACGCGTCGTCCGTCGCGGCAAGACAACAATGTCTATACCTCATAAAGCCAATTTTGCCCCAAACGGTCATCTGTATCACCCAGATTTCCCTCCGAAAGAAAAACTCCCCAAATTCACGAGGATTAAGAAGGAGTCGCAGGTGGAAGAGAGTATTCCAGATTTCCCTCCATCATCATCTTTGCCCGACGCAGATGATTCTCAAGAACTGCTCAGACCAATATCTGACGATATAGCCTCTTCGACCAAGCCGAAGAAAGATATGGATGCAACCTTTGCACATCCGGGTCCCGGAAAGAATTCTGTGTCTAGAAATACAGCCAATCTATCCTCGACTAGAGAAAGGGAACTTGCCAAGCGCGTTCCTAAGCCGCGAGCTGTGAAGACTGAGGGCTCAATAGTTCGTGGTCGGAGTCACGAAGCAACTCCGCGTGCTAGCGGGCAGCCTCGGCCATTCCCTTTGGGTGGTCATCCCTCCGTACATGGTGGGAGCTCACGCGTTTCTGACGCTTCTCCTTGGAAGAGTGCTCAAGAGCCCTCAACAGCAAAAAAGGGGACTGCAAATATACCTATATGCAAGCCGAAGGAGAAGACAAATGCGCTGTCATGCAAACCTGATGCTCCTTTCCCCATGAGCCAGCCGAAGAAGAAGGCAAGTGTAGTGTCACGTACAGACACTGCTCCTTTCCCTGTGAGTCCTCTGGAAAAGTCAAATCTTCCGAGGCAGCAACTCCTTGAACCTACGGGACCTAGCCCCTTTCCATTATCTTTGCACAAGCCCAAGCCTGGCCTCGCTCGCTCAGAGACAATTGGAAACTTCCCTACGCCTTCCCCATTGGCTTCCCCAGTACAACCACCCTCACGGGATAAGGGGAAGAGACGTGCGCTAGCCTCTCATCGGGACAAAGACGATGTTGAACATCGAGGTACTGTACGGACCAATGTTGCCCTTAGACCCTTTCCCCGTGGGATCAAGCAAAATTAAGACTGCACGCCCTCAGTCGTCTTCGCAGAGCATGAGGTCCAAGCGAGCTTCGGACAATAGCGATGATGACCGCGGGCGAAAAGCTAAGAGGCATAAGGAAGACAATTCAAGGTGAATCCTGTTCATGATCGCTGCTGCTCCTGTCTCAATAGCCGAATCTCGACAAGGCTGATCTTAGGAGAAGATGAACACTTGGATGAGGACTCCTGTAGGTCCTTCTGTTTATCCAACATTCTTCATTTAATACTTAAATACCCTGTACGCGCAGTTGAATTAGACAGAGTGGTTGATCCTTCTACAGTTTGCCCGTACTGTGACGAACCACTGCCGCGCAATCCAACTCCACAATTGAATAATCTCTTGGCGGCTGCGAAGCGGAAGTCATACCCAGACCCGCGTCCTCGAAATTCTCGCGGGCTCAAGGCTCCTCTAGGAATTTACATTGCAGCTTGTCAGAGACATCACTTCGAAACGCACTCCTTGCCTGAGGCTATGGAGAAAGGATGGCCGCAAAGTATCGACTTCAAAAAGGTACCAAAGAGAGTTGAAAGGATGAAGGGTGCGCTTGAGGCTATAATTAACGATTATGACATCCACAGTGAGAATGAGGAATTTGTGGACGATGACGTCGGGGGTCCCCGAGCACGAAGTGACTTCTGGAGAGAAATCAAGAAACAAATCAAGAAACAAGGCAGTCGAACGGTTACTGGTGTGAAGGGCCAGTTTGCCAATTTCGAAAAGACTCAGCCTGGATAGTGAGTACATTCGATTCTCGTAAGTCTGTTTACTAAATGCTGTTCTAGTTATGGTGAACTTGGCTTGTTAATCATACATCAAACACTCTACAATCTCTTCCCCTTGTCATCATTCGAACCTTCTTCGATAGCCCCACTCACACCTGCGGAGTTCATTCAGCTCGTACTGATCCCCGAAGCTGCAGTAGGGCTCATCATGCAAGATCTTTGTCTCGGTAGGGACGAAGCGATTGTGACCCTCCGTGAAAGCTCGCAGTATGGCGTTGCCATGTTCCCCGATACCGGTTCTGGGAAGGGCGCTGCACTTGGTGATGATGATAACGACGATGGGGGTGTTGCGGATCGCATTGTTATGGAACGTGCTAAAGCCAGGAGGTTGGAGCTCGAGGAAGAAGAGAAGCTTGAGGAACAACTGTGGAAAGAGGAGCGGGCGAAGCGTAAATGCGCGACGCAGATGGAGATGAAAGAGAAAGCTCTCCAGCGGGCAGAGCAACGGAAGAAATCGAAGGAGCTTGCCCGGTGTTCCTCCCACGAAGCCAGCGAAGCGAGTGAGTCAACAACCCAACGCCGGCCGTTGAGGAACACTGTGAAGCCTGGGTCAAGAACAGCTACGGACTCTGGGACCGACGACATGTCCGTGGATAGTTCGACGAGCCAGCGATCTACGCGTTCTAGAACGGGCGCTAGGATGATATACCACATGCCTTCTGACAAGTCTCATTCTTCCAACATGCAGGCTTCTGATGACAGCACCGTAGAGATTATGGATGAATATGAACAGCCGCGAGTCAGACGGTCAACCAAGCATGCAGCTCATAGTGCCAACGACATTGGCCAACACTCTCATGCTGCATCGTCTTCGAAAACGAAACCTCGCACCAGGCGGTCGCAGAATCTCAAAGGCAACGATCTTGACGCAGATGTTGACATCAGCGATACGCCTTTGAAACCTGTTCCCGAGATTGATGAAGAATCTACTCCGCGGCCACATAGGTCAAAAATTCCATCTGCACTACGCCTACACCCTACTTTATCTAAAGCTACAACTCCAATTCAATTTCCTCTCCAAGTTGCTAGATCAACATCGACAACAAGGTACCCCATTTCCCTTCCCCTTCACTCATCCTTGTTTTAACAATGTGCTGACTTTCTTCTGCAGTGCCACGTCGGACGACTGGCGTAACAATCTCATGCCTGGCGCCTCCGAAGCTGAGGAGTCAGATGACATGGACTCTTATGATTGGTTACTCAGTTCAACGTCGTCATCGTCGTCGTCGTGGTAGCGACAGTATTATTGCACTGTCACTGACTCTTCTTTGCAAGGCTACATAACATTAATTTTCATTGACAAGTTCGATTGCATTGCAATCAATTGGACCAGATTCACCTAATTACTTACTGCCGGACAATCACAGTATTACTTATACATAATACGTTGCACAGCCACTCCCACTCTTGGCAGTTCAGTACTACTTGCTCCCAGCAGAGATGCAGAATATCCCTGTCGAGCTTCAGCTTCACATTGCCGGCTTCTTGGATGTGGAGACTGTCCTTTCTTTGCGCAAGGCACCCCCTTTTCTTTGTGCGTACAGGCTTGAACTAAAGCCAAGCATTACAGACGTGCACATCCTTGTCTCAATTCACCCGTAGCCGCAGCTTATGGCTCTGTTTAATTTATCGGATGTCCCATATCCTTCCGCGGCCGCCTTCTGAGTCAGAAATTGCAACATTGTCGGCTTTGCAGTTGGAACGCCTGCTTAAAACCGCGATGCACGTCGAGCAGGTGTGGCTGTTGCCGAGAAAGAACACTTTTCTTGTCAAGGAACGATGCGATTCAGATGACATTGAAGACTCGATCCCTCGTATCCGATATCTAGCATTCGTCTCCGACCACTATTTGCTGTCCTTGGGCTCTGAGGGAAAAATCAACCTGTGGAAAATCAACAATGTTTTTGCACCTTTTGCTGCAGAGATTTTCGTCACCTATGCTTCTTCAACATGGTATCCTTGTGCATATCACTTGAACACAGCTGGCTCTGTACTTGCTATTGCATTGACGCATGTTGAACTGTCAGTTACCATTTCTTTATACGTCTCTAGCCCCGATAAATGTTATTTTCCAGCGTTGCTGCGAGAATTTTAACCATCTCTCTCAATACCAGTAGTTCGTCGGAATCAATTTCTCCACTTCTGGTCACTCGAGGAGAATTTTCAATATTTCCACCACAAGTCATCAGAGCGATTGATGCCGACTTAGAGCTCGCTTTGCTTTCTAATACTGCATTATCCTTCGAAGTTGTGAACTGGAGAACCAAAGCTCAGGCTACAGTAGCCCTTCGTGCTAATGATCCTGGAGATTTAGTGAGTTTAGTCGGATAGAATGACCTATTCGGTTGAAAATCGAAATTTTCATTGTAGTGGAATGGTATCACCGCTATGCGGATATGTGGGCCGTATATCCTAGTTTTTAGGATGCACACTGTCGAGGCATATCCTCTCCCCTCGCATATATCCTCTGGAGTCGGAGAGCGTTCTGATATTCTACCCCAACTCACATTCAGATTCCCACACACCATGACCTATCGCCGTGTATCTCTCACGAAAACGACGTGTGTCGATAACAATGAATCCCAAACTTATGGGCTATCCGCCCTTGCAAACGATCTATTTCATGGAATATTTCTTTTCTATGTGGAGTTGGTAGTGCGTCCCTCGCCATCATTATCAGTCTCGCCTTTGGGTGTCCGACCCATGGCAATCGCTTCGCCACAATTTATCGCCGCTCAACTGCCTGAAGATCTGCCGCCATCACTGACACCTCCAGTTCCGTTTGGAACTCTACATGACACGAGGTCATTTGTATCAGCTTGTGCATTGGGAGACTACGGAAGACGTGGGATCTGGGTAGCAAGGTCGCGGACCAGCATGATCCGTACCGTCGTGGCATTTACAAATCCTCGAGATGTTAGCAATGCATCAAGAGAAGCCCAGGTCTGGAGTAATGGTTCACTACAGGCAAACGTCGACTCAGAAAGGCCAAGGCTGATTGACTGCCAAGTGGTTCATGATATACCGTTACAAGGTTGGTCTTGACGAGACTAATTTGTACATCCGAGGACTGACATTGAGTCGAAAGACGATATCACAGTGTGCGCTGTCTCAGACACTACGGGGAGAATGGCGGTTGGATCTTGGACAGGGTCAATAACTATATTGTAAATTTCTTACTCTTATTCTCCAATTTGCACATGGGTAGACATGTGATACTGATGACCTGGCGTTCCCTTCTACCAAGAGTACCCACAATCTCTGTAGCTCATCGTTCGTAGACCGGCATAGAATCTAAACGAACATCAGATAAATGTGCCTGGCACTCCACTATGATGCTGCCAGTTCCAAACTCAGACGCTAGTCACTTTGCGTGGGGACCTTGGGATCACTTCTCAGCGTCAAAGCTACAGGATAAGGTTCAACTGCGGCAAACATCTCCACCCCCGACTGCCATTCTCCAAGGAACGCCCTCATGATAAAGTTTGCAATGGAGGTGTTTGCGTACAGAGGGCAGATGGAGATGGTTTTTCAATGGAGCCACGAACTGCTCGTCACGCATTTGCGGTCAGCTCAGCGATTGATTAGTCCTTTGGGGTCATTGACCCTATGTTGGACATTTGCGTTGACTTTAAGGAGAACAAATTTGCCGTGATCAAGTCGCAAATGGCAAATGCCGTTTGCAAAGAGCCCTTGTCTGTGTTTTATGGCGACAGGAAACCAATTCACTTCTGCTCTCCGGCATGCATATCCTGGACCAAGCACCAATGTTTAGGACCATAGTTACATTTTGAGGTAATCGCTCGAATTCACCATTGCTGACCAAAGGAATGATTGATGTTTAATTTAGATGACTATAAGATATCACTACACCCTCCGGAATACGCGGATGAAAACAACTCTACTGCCCATATTTGACCACAATTTCGTCATCTTCCTTCAGACACGGTACCTGAACTTGTCTATCCCATTTGATAGCGCCAATTCAAGGCTGCGACTCTTCTTGAGGCTTCTTCTTTGTCCTTCCTGAGTTGCTCGACATAGATGAACGTCATTATGACAGTATCCATCATATGAGCCACTTCAGGTGATACTTCCAGCATGGCCTTACGTTTCTTTCCTGTAAGTCCGAGAGTCGCTTTATGAAAGCGAGCGACCTCTGTTCGAGTCGCATCGTCCCGTGAAAGCTAAAGTCCGAGTCATCATGATGTGAGATGCAGAGCATCGGCATCAACGAGATGGAAGTGTACTCACAACTACCATTTTGGACTCGAGGTCCCAGCGATAGGGACGTCCATCTGGGCCTGTGAAGACGCGCTTCCTGCCAAAATTTTATGACGGCCCGGACTTTCGAGAAGGATGTCATGTACTCACCGACCCCATAGACCTCTCTTGGGGATGAACCCCTCCGTCTCTACTTCAATTCCACGAGAACGAAACTTTGAGGAAACAAATGTGTGCCACTCGATCTCTCCCAAGACATCGAACTGGTCATGCATATGATACCGGTCATTATTTGGCCTGATTTTCTGAATGGTTGTAGTGCGGGCGCCAACTAGTTTGAATGGAGTGTCTGTCTTGTAAATTATTTGTCCCTGATCATTGGTGATGACGGTATTGCGAACATGTTCAGTGGAAAGAGTGAACAGAATCATTGTGGGTGGGTATCTCCTGCGTACTGTTGATTGCTTCAGGCGCTGCAATATAACATTTATGTAAAGTGGATGCAGTGGCTCACCTGCCAGGTTCCCCAATTGATAAGCTCTACTATTAATAGCTATTCAATTCTTGGGCTCAGTTCACGAGCTCAGCCTAGCTAGATTCAGTTATCAAACTGTGACATTTTTAAAAGGCCCGCAACGCTGCCGAGCGTATACCGACCCAGGCACGCGCATGTGAACATCAAGCATGTTTCGCAGGGCAAGCCGACTCCCCATGCACATGGGGCTCGTTGCTGTGCTGGACGACGACGATGACAACCTCGATGAGCTCGCGAACGACGATGATCTTGATGATTATTATCTGTCCGATTCTGATGCAGCTGCAGTGTCTATTACTGGTGATAGTTCACAAGAACCATACAATCAGCTCACGTTCCCACTATTCAAATAACACATACCTGGGCCACTAGTGGTAACGACTTTCGATGATCAACAGAGCGAAATGGGTGTTGGCAGATGCCGGGTGTCTTAAATGACAGTAGTGTATCACTGTAGTCGACTCAATATTTTCTTAGTCGTGGGTGTTATCATGTTGTGATTCCAAGTTGCGGAAATGATACTTTGTATTAGTCAGCGACTTTTCCCAATGATTTATTTGTAGTATTTACGACGTAGCCAAAATTTAGTTATGTTACAGTCATGCACGAGTGCTGTCAGACGTGTAGCCCATAATCCGAACCACAACCTACTCCGAAGCTACAGCTCCGCGCCCTCTGCGCAAGCAAAGCTCCTCAAACAATCTCTGTGCAATCTTCTCCGAGAGACAGCCCAGCCTGTGGCGGTTGTCACGTCAACCCTACCAGGCCACAAAGCTGCACCACAAAGCGATTCGTCCGTGCAAAGCCAGACAGAAGCACCGTCAATATTCCATGGCGCTACATTGTCGTCCTTCACTTCCATTGCACTCGATCCGCATCCGCTTGTCGCATTCTCTCTCCGCGTCCCGTCACGGATGGCTCTGGCTCTAAATGCCCACGCATCAAAGCCCCAGATGCAAATGTCGTCCCATATGGTCATCAATATCCTTTCTGCCGCACAATCGCGTATTGCCCAATTGTTCTCCGGTCTAGATCTGCATCCCTTTTCGAAATCGGAGGTGCAGTGGACACACTCTGCAGATGGTCTCCCAGTTATTAAGGGTGCTTTAGGCGCGCTCTCCTGTGCTGTGGTTGGTCGGTCGTTGCCCTTGAGTGATACGCGGTGGCTGCATTCGAGCATGGAGGAGTGGGAAGCGGAGGTGCAGCAAGCAGAAGGCGGTAGTGGGCTGGCTTCAGAGCTATTCATTGCACGTGTTTTACGTGTGGAGAATGTTCAAGAGCTAGAGGGTCAATTCGAGAATGACAGATTACGGACGTTGCCTTTACTCTACCACCGAAGAGCCTACACTACTGTGGGCAAGATACCAAATCCATGACTCGTCTTGTCGCCATCCACTCGCAACTCAGAATTCATCAAGGCATCACTGTAATGAGTGAAAATCTCCAAAAGTCCATAGTCAGACAACAATTCGCCCAGCATCACCCGCATTGTGTGTGGGGTGGGCGACGACAGACATACATGTGCTCTAATTGTAACCACACATTTCAAAATGCGATATCCTACACGCGCAGCTAACGTCAAGCCCAGATCCAATTGCGACTACAAGAAGAACAATATGAAATTCACCGGTCCCAATCCAGTGAGGCGAATCATGATTGGCGATGCGGGAAGCACCGCAAAGATGTTATAGAAGATGCATCACACGAGGGACCAATGTGCGCGCATCCGCACTATAAACTCGAGCATTGCCATAACGTGACGCTAATTTTAGCCCAGAACAACAGCTCCAGCACGGCGAGTTGCCACACCTGAGATCATTTGCAATGGCGAGTGTATCTTCAAGACGAGAGTACAGGCCAATTGTTGGTGCCAATATAACTTGTAAGAACGGCAGTTCGTGTGTCGCTGCTAATCCTTGCCATGGCTTGCGATCCATAGTGCTACGAGTGCACTCACATAAGATCTAGGTGTATCAGCAAAGACTGAAGAACGCGATTAGTTGACCACCGAGTATGACAGTGAAGAGTGTAAGTCTCGATGATTGAAGTTCCGAGGAAAGTACTGATCCTGTGCTTGCTTATAGTGCGGTTTCATTGTGCGCTAAAGCCGCTACTAGTACATACTCCATTTGTGCAAAATTTATGAGGTGATGAAGAAAAACTTTTCAAGTCCCAGGAACTTTCCGTCTTGTAAACATCACACTAAGCTAACCAGTCTGGGCTAGTGCGTCTTTGAGGGCTTGACGCCACTAGACTTGTCCGACGTCATATATATGTCACGAGCAAAGCGCACTCGGCACCCACCACAGCCTCGACGACAGATCAGTGGTGCCACGTCGCATTGACCGTGACCATTATCGTGTCTTTGCGCTTCAGGTCCTGTCGTCGGATCCTTCGTCTTGCTAACTTTGATTCATGGGTGGACTCCATGTCCCGTTAGCGGGGTACTCCAGGTAAGTGTTAGTCTCTTATGCAGTCTCACTTGGATCTGTATTTGAGTTCAACTGAGTTCTTCCTGGGCCACCCAATAATATCGTTACTATCAACCTCGGCATTGTTCTCATTTATCACTATCATGATTCTGTGAGTCCTGTTTCTTGTCACATTTGCTCTAATCCCTCTATGTGGTGGCGTTTCCTCTCGGTTTCGGCGTTCTTGATGTTTTCTTCGCTGGTCGGTCTTTGTCTTCATTATTGGTTACGTGAATTTTACCTTGGTTGTGAATGTCAGTATACGATTCCGGCTGTGGTGCACCGATAATTCCTGTTTCTCGGATTAGCAACTGATCAGTGCAAAAACTTAGTGCAAAACTTGTGGCCCGTGGGGGAACATATCCGATCGGACATTAAAATCCAAACAAGTTTTTTTTTTGCCCTGCAAACAGTTGTAACGTTAATGTTGCTTCTGCTCATGTACATGCCTTATTGCGCTAACGCGAGATGCATGCAAAGTCCTTCAAGTTTAGCTCTTCTTGTTGCTCCCATAATTTAATGCTCTTCTTTTGATGACCTGCTACTATGACTCTTAAGGCCCTCGCTAAGTGCAAATTTGTGTGACATACGCAAGTTTCCGATGGCATGTTCTATGCATCCGACTACCTATCTCGCCACCGAAATTGAATAAGTGTTGGATTGTAGTACTTGTTCGTGTGCTTTATTCGGCTGGCCCTGATGAGTTTCTTCAACCTTTCCTTTAAGTTCTTGCTCATTTACAACCCTATATTATATAGGGCCACGGCCACATGCTGTAAAACAGACCGAAATGTCTCATACAACCATTCTGGTATATAATGATAATAATACAATCGGACCTTCACCGAGTTCAGAGGACTCGAAGGGGGGACCGTTTAAGTCAGTCCGACTCAGCAGTAGGTCTATAATCACCTTGAATGCTGGTTGTCGCGGAGAAAATAGGCTTGTTACCACATATCCAGCCCCCCTCCCCCTGGCCAAACAGCTGTGAGCTAGTACAACAGTCTGCCCCATCAAGTTAAACTTGCAACGGCTACCTGATCTGGATACTCCAGATGCTATCGTATAGAATTTGCGCATCGCTGGTCCAGAATATACAAATGGAGCCAGAGCATGACGTGGCACTAGCGGATGAAGAATGTGCGATTCCGCACTGACAAAATACCTCCTCTTGGTTTCATATGATATACGGATCATGTATATGAGTGACGTACCGCACCAGACGATGAGTAAATTCCTGTGGCATACTATTCGCCACGGCCCACGAGTAATTCCATTGAGGTAACTGTAAGCCTGAGTGCCGAGCTGGAAGCTCAAGAACCTGCAGCCCGTTAGGAGCTGATATTTCTTTTTTTTCAGCGCTACGTTGTGCACCGAAGAACGAGCATTTCAGCTGTGTCGTTCAGTTCTTCGGAATATACTGAGTCTGAGCGCTCAACTTTAATGATTGTCATAGTTATGTAATGTGGGATTGCTTCGCGGAGATTGAAGTGTTTGCGGCAGCAAATGCCACCAACCTTGCCTCACACTCGGAGTTGAACAGAATGTTCTCGACAAAACTTCTTCGTAACATTATCCTTATGCCCTATAGTGTCCATGTTATACCATGCACTAAGTTGACATCTAGAAGGGTTTCACAAACTCGTCTCTCCTTTGGAACTATCCGGTCAAAATCGTCCTTACACCCACCCACGCCTTCCGCTAAGTTGTCGGTTTCGCATTCGTCTGCATCCTCGGAGCAGATTAAGGATGATTCTCCGATCCAAGAGGCTCGCTTAGGCATTGTTTTTACCTGTACAGCGGAAGCATGCTCTCATCGTTCTTCGCATACCTTTACGAAGCGTGCATACGAACGTGGTATTGTCATTGTCCAATGCCCTGGATGTAAAAATAGGTGCGGGCTCATCGATCGTGTTGCTGCTAAATCTTAGCCTATATCTTTTCCGTTAGGCATCTCATCGCAGATAATCTCGGTTGGTTCAAGGATAGCACGGAGGATGGAAAACTCAAAAATATCGAGGATCTCCTTAAGGCTCGCGGCGAAAGTGTCCAAAGAGGTTCTATGGATGCTAATGGTGTAGTAGAATATTCTGATATTGAAGTTGGTAGAAAGTAGACGGAAACACTACGAGTCGGTGTGTCTGCCCCAAAGCCGCTTTGCAGCTCTAGCTGACAGCTTGAGCATACTCCCCTCTTCTGAGGACCCACATCATTCCTGCTGATGTTATATCTGGCGTGATCCTCGTCCTGTTGCACCTACTAATTGGAATAATAACACTCGCTTTCGACCCATGCCCTCACTATGTGGTTTGTGACTCAAGCGAATGGCAAACATATTGCCGGGGTTCTATGCCAACTGTATAGTTGCATCTCCGTGCATTCGTCTTCACAGCAATGTTCCCACCATCCAACGCACATTCACATTGACGTTGATGCCCGTTGACTTGTAAATTGTGTGCTAGCACCTCATAATGATGCCACGGCTATACAGTCCTCCAAGAGCCGGATCTGCGTGAAGCTCTCTCCGAGTATGCACTACGAAACCGAACAAACCAACACGGCATCCGGTTGCGTCAGTGGCCTAAATGACCTTATGATATGATCGATCTCAATAGATCCGCCGAATACGTAACATGCGCCCCACCCCGAAACTTCACAAATGACACAACCACTGTTGAATAATGACAAAAGTCTCGCTGCCAAAATGACCGTGTCAGTTCTCTTCAAAAGCCAAGGTTCTCAACAGCTATCACAGGAGCCCATTCCCCATAGCCAGCGTGTCGGTACATTCTTTTCCGACATCAGTTATGCGCACGGATAATGTCGCTGAAAACATGTCCTCGATGCTGCTCAACGTACCCACCAGTCCGGTGAAGACTCCACCCTTTGAGAACGCCAACAAGTCTGCTTCGATCATAGCCTCCCCTACGGAGTCGTTTTTTGCTGCGTCGACCATAGCAGAGCCGTGCTATGTCAGTATTACCGCCTTCCTGCTCACATTCGTTCACTACATTAATATCAATACCACTAGGTCGAGTTTGGATGCGAAGACCCGAGGAATCCGGTCAACTACTCATGGGTGCGAAAATGGTGCATTACCCTATTCGTTTGTGCATTCAATGGGATCACTTGTAAGGCTTTTCAATCCCCCCAAAAACATCACTGGCTGATCGACATTATCAGCCCCAGCGACTCCATCATTTGCCATGGGTTTTGATTCCATGATACGGGATCTAAACTGCACGCGCTTTCAAGCAACCGTTGCATACTGTCTCTTTTCTCTAGGCTTTGGTATTGTTCCCCTGTTCACGTCCTCACTGAGCGAGGTATGAAAATGATGGCAAGGTTGACGATCAACGCTTATAGCTTTCTGCAGGAAATTGGAAGGAGGCCAATTTACTTGGTATCGGTGTTCTTCGGGGCTATGTGCAACCTGCTCGCTGCTCTGTGCGTGCCGCAGCTCTGGCTTCTTGTATTGGATTGACAATCAATGAACTATAGCTCCGATAATATTCAAACCGTTATGGTCGCACGTGTCTTGGGCGGTGCTTTTGCTTCGACTGGTGCAATACTAGTGGGTGGCACGATTGCTGATATATGGAAGCCTGAGGAGTACGTGATTGTGTTTTGTTCTAGCCCTGCGCTCATTTTATGCTCCATATTCTAGACGTGGCCTACCTATGGCTGTTTTCTCCATGGTGAGCATGGTTACCACTGGTCTAGGGTCGATCATCTCTGCTTGGCTGGAACTGGACCCTAATCTCCAATGGAGATGGATCCAGAAAATTCAAGCGATGCGCGTATATCTTTTCTGAAATATGATACGCTCAAATAACAATCAATGTAGCGTTCAGGGGACCTACTTTCTTCTCAGCCTATTTATAATGGAGGAGACTCGGCCACAAATTATCCTCCGACGCATAGCCAAGAAACTCCGTAAGGAGACTGGGGACAATCAGTACCGCGTCCGGGGAGAGGAGACACGTCCAAAATTGAGCACCATGATTAAGATATCGTGTACTCGTCCAATCAGTACGTCATTTGATGATTGTATGCAAGGTGGTGCTGATGGTGGTTAGTGTTTGTTCTCACCGAACCCATCGTGACCAGTATATGCGTCAGTGGCTTTTCCAGTAATGTTTCATTGTTTCTGAAGTTCTCTCCACAGATTTGGGTCTTTTTCATGTCCGGTGTGCTCTACGTCCAGATTGGGTATGCAAACGTTATTTACATAAAATCAGCGAGGAGTTGCCGCTAAGTAATATGAGCAGATCCGTGTCTGGGGTTTTCAAGCACATATATCACTTCAACGTCGGGCAGAGCGGATTAGTGTTCATTACCGTCGTGTGAGTGTCCTGATGTTGAGGGTTTGACCCTTTCATCTATTCGTTCTCGCAGCGTGGGAAGTATAATGGGACTCCTTGCCAATTTCTATCAGGATGTGCTATACCGGTAGGTCGATCGTGACAATAACATTATGCACCACACTCAACAGATCTGTTTAGGAAATGCGTGTCTCAGAGGGGCCCTGAAGCACGGCTGTACATCGCTTGTCTAGTTGCACTCTTGCTGCCTACATCAATATTCATCTATGCATGGACAGCCGACTCTCGCATCTTCTGGATGTGGCCTGTTGTCGGTTTATCGGTGTGTTTATCATTCTATGTATACTAGGATCTGGGATGCTCATCAAACACTTGAACCAGATCTTCATGTTTTGTTCATTTGTTTCATACCAGGTGGTTTTCATTTATCTTGCAGACTGGTAAGTACCTGGTACCATCTCCTTCATAATCTGTGTTTCACACTTTCTGCTCATGCAGCTATGGTCCAATGGCGTCTTCTGCTTTGGCGGGTCAGGGCTTAGCTCGTACGTTGTCACCCATATTTTGTATGCACATGCTGAGCAACTATAGGCAACATGGGTAGCTTTGGGTTTCCTCTCTTCTCCCACATGATGTTCAAGAAGCTCACGTACAAATGGGCCAACACTATCTTCGGTGGCGTTGCTGTCATCCTGATTCCAGTCCCTTTCGTGAGTTTTTCAACACGTCCCGGCACTTCATTATTAACCCACTACGGAAGGTTCTTTTCTTTTACGGACCCTTGCTTCGAAAACACAGCACAGTGTGCAGCCAGCTAATGCAAGTTGAAGAAAAACCAGAACAGCTTGAAGTTCCTAAATGTCAGCTAAACTAGGCTCGGATTGATCCGTGTACTATGAGCTTACGATTCATAGCCTAAATCACGTTCTTTACTCGCGGAGTCGATCTCAATGCACTGCGGTGCAAACAACCTCTCATTCATCTTTTTTTTGGACTCGATTTATACACAGTATTAATATCTCAGCATTTGTCTACTTGTAATCTCCGCAACAGACGAGCACACATTCATTTAGAAGCATCTCTTTGCCACGAATAGTACTTTCATTTACAGCATATTATCCGACCACTCTACAATCTTTGATCTCACTTACCTGACCTCATCCCTCCTTATTTGTTTACTTTTCCGCACAACTGTCTTGTAAGATATACTAAAAACACATGAAGAATGGTAGTTTCGTACTATTCGATACAGGGGTTAGAATTGTGACTCTCAAGTGTCACATGGCCTCTTTTGTGACTTTGTCACTCGCACCGCCAAGACTCAAGTTGCCTACTGCCCGCTGCCTTCTGCTTTTTGTTTTCTTCTCTGGATGTTCTCTGTGCCCGGTCTTTACTGTTCGGCTAGCTAGCCTAAATTTATATCGAGCCGAAGTCTTTCGCGACCTTGTAGGACTTCTCAGTTTCAACTTTATTTGCCTGTTTTCCGTTTTCTAGGCTGTCTTTGGCTACTTGCAAACTCGGTGGGCTCTGAGGACATACTACCACTCGATGATAATAGGACTGGATATCATTTATCTTTACGAACACTCAATGTTTAATGTCCAACCATCACGGAGATCTCAATTGAGGGTATGGCCCAGGGTCATAACGGACACGTACATGGTCTAGCAAAGGTAAGGTTGAAAGTACTTGTCAGTGTCACTCGAATCTCAACCTCTCCGAATCATCACGGTGTTCGTCATGTTAAAAAGTACAGTTGAAGCATGCGGTATGTACTGAGGAACAGTCAATGTACGTGATATTTAACTTGAAGCCGTATGATATACAAACTTGAACTGAATCTTGAATGTCCAGACTACGAGATATCTACTTTGAATCAAACTACTGTGCATTAAAAGGTCGTTTCATGTGTCGACCTGACGATCCAGCGTCAGTTACTAGTTATTATCGAACTCCGCGTGTGGAAGTGGTCCTACGAGAATTTATAATACTGCCTTGCTGACCACTGCGCAGATGGGTCTGTTCGGCGAGGGATGAAGTGTTCTGTACATCATCCCGCGCTAAGGGCACTGCAATTCTGACTTTCCTACGAGTCGTGTCCCGATCCTGAATACCCTCCAGTCCAGCGAGAGACTGGTGACGAGACCGAAAACCGGTATTGTTCAAGTTGTCTTTGGCCTTTGAAATCGTAATTTCCAGGGATGGACGACCACCATCCAGCTCGACAGCAGATATGGCTGCGTCGTAAACCCATACACCCCCAGCAAGTGGCCCATTGATAGATTTGCGTCTCCCAACGCAGCGTTTCTTTAAGACTCGGCTGAAGTCATTTGGATGTACTGGGGATGCGAGAACTTGTTCTCTGGAAATCGCTTTCCCCTTGAACTTTGGGTTCATCACGGACTGACTTCTAGACCTCGCGACATTCCTCCCTAAAACTCGTTCCTTCGCTTGTACCCTCCTTCATCACCTCTTGCATTCTCTCCGCAAGTGGTTTAAACTGTTCTTTTGACGCTTCTACAGCACTCTTCACCTTCTCGGCCCATTCGTCGACGTTGTATAATTTGTGGAGCATAAGCTTGAATGTAAATGGGTGATGTTCCTCAAGGGGAAATGTAGGGCTCCCTACATCTTCCACTTCGTCGATGGCAGTCTTTGTCATGGGTGCAACACCGACAGTGTTGCGGCGGGGGCGCCCTATGGGCTTGCGAAGGCACTTTTGGTCCCGTTGAGTGCGTAAAGAAAGAACGGTAGACAAATTCTTTAGAACTGGTGCGAATTCGGCAGGAACGGATTGGATGTCGTCCGTCGAGATTGCTAGTTCCGTAGATCCCCTAGCACGTCGTGTCGCAATGCGGTCAAATAATTCGAAAAGCCGAGCAAATTCGGCTGTCTTTGGGTTGCCTTTTGTTACAGCAGTCGTCATCGGAGTGTAAGTGAATGAGGGTTGAACGATACCTCCAGAGCCACTTGGGGGTTGTTCGTGCAATGCGCTACAAGGGAGTAACACGGTCGTCCTTATAATTTTCTCGACTAAGTGGTTGTGTCTGGTGTGGACGTCCTTGTGTGATTTGACAATCAGCTTAGGCTGTGGACTTGACCATGACACTCCATGTGCAGAACTACCTCCGAGTGGCACAATTCATGAGCCCATTGTTCCAAGCCCCTCTGATTCCCTTCTTTCTATCTGATGATGCTATTCTATTGTCGCTTAACGCACATCCTAAAGCTTATGAATGATGAGATCCTAAACGGATCAATTGCTAGCAATGCATCGTAACAGAACAAGAGAAGCATTCCATAGACGCTGCAACACTTTCATCATGGATTGCATATGAATGAAGAGACGTATTGCGAAATTACCAAGGTCTCCTACGCACTCGCACTCTCCCATTCGCGCGTAGAATGTAAACCGTAGTCTTCCTACGCCAATCGCCGACCTTGTTGTCGTCTGGTTCGAAGACCTGAGATGTGAAGAATGAACTCCAGCTAACCGTGCGCAATGTTTTGATTTTTCTTGCGAGCGCGAGACTTGCCTCCAGCTCTCGTGTGCGTACCTTGGAGGCGGATCCGATGAGCTCGCATGTGCGGCAGAGCTCTGGGCCGTGAGGAAAGGGCAGATCTTCGGTACAGACTCCGGAGTGAGGGTCTTCTTTTTTGTCATCTTGATCTACTGAATATGATATGAGTCCAGTGGTAGTCTCGGTTTCCAATTGACTGAGGATGTTTCCAGTGAGTGGAGATGCAACTTTAGGACTGCTGGACGCTATTCGGGGCGTATGGTCGAAGGCTAATGGGGTGCCGTAGTGTTCGATGTGCTTTTCCACCATTTCCTCGTCCGACAGAAAGATGCCAAAGTAAATATCAGTCAACTGGGTTAGTGGTTCCAGCGAATCCGCAAAGTTGTCCTGTCAAATGTCGGATTTTGTTGAAAATAAAGTGACGCAGCTCATCATACCGTCAATTTCGTGATGTCATTGAAGTAATTCGGGATTGGCGAGTGCACGACTGCAGTTGAGCTTTCTTCAAAACAAGACCAGCAGCAGGAGACGTCTAGCTGTTCCGAGCAACTGAGGTGCAGGGTCTTCACAGAAGAAAACGCAGATGCAATGGTTCTCAACAAAGGTACGTCAATTCGCCAGAGTTTTGTCATTGTGAGAGACGTCAGCTGAGGAGGGAACCACGGAGTCAGGAGGATTGCTGGTGGGGAGAAGATGCGCTTGAGTCGGGTTGTCTGAGATTGCCTTCCGTCCGACGAGAAAGAAATCATAAGGTGTTTCAGGTTCCTATAGAGAGATGGGTTCCACGATGCTGTTTCAAGAGCATGCGATGGTGCTATAAGTGTTCTGTCAAGTTTATAGGTGAGCGTGTGAGAGCATATATACGAGCAAGCGCACTTGACGTAGTCGAATCCAACATTGTCGCCCAGGGCATTGCGGGAAACCAATGAAAAGTGAAAATTTGTATATGCAGCAAGTTGCTTTGCAGACGCAATGCGAATGGAAGAAAAATAACGACGCAGAGCAACGTGTCTAAACTGAGAACAGACCAGAGAGAACGAGCGGATATGGAAGAAGCAACCAGATGGGCAAGAGTCGAATAGGAAAAAAGCGATGTAATCCACGACCTCGATCGGAAGTTGAGGTGTCTTTATATGAGTAATTTTCTTTGGATCTGCAGCAAGGACTCGGATGTTCTTCAAGTCGTGCTGGTTCTCGCGTTGTTCTGGAGCTGGTGAGGTAAAAGTATGGGTATATGCACTTGGTGAGCTAGAAATCAGTGATTCAAGATCATCCTCGTCAAAATAGTTTTCAGAGTCAGTGCGCTCCGACGAGGTTATGCCAAAACTCAGAGACATCGTTGAAAGAGACAAACAAAACAATATTCTTGGATAACCATATTATATCAGGGGTGTCACGTGTGAGCTAAATTAACAATGGTCACGTGACAATGGGTGGTGATGGATTGTAGACTTTGAACAAACGCCAAGTTGGTGACTTGGCGAAGGGCTCGCGCTTGAGCCTTGCAAGTTGCAGCCGGCTCAAGAAGCGTTGTAATTTGTGGAAGACCAGTTAAGTACACCTCGAAGTATACTCGTTAGCTGAGCTATACCAAATAGAGAGTAAGACTACTTAACGGGTTTACTTTTACAGATGCACCTCCATCCTCTTTCACAAATGTGCACATTAAATGGGCAACATAATGTTCCCAGCGTTCATGAAACTACCACAGAGAACAATGGAAAACCAAAGGCATATAGCGCACTATACGCTCTCCAGTTGAGAGCCTTCGTAGATGCTGCAGAGGATGTGGACGTGGACCCAGATACAATCGAGGACCTGCTCGAAGGTTTGGAAGACGAAGATGAAGACGAAGAAGTCCAAGAGAGCGAACTCGGCGAAGATTCCGACTCAGAAAGTCTGCCTTTTCCTGCGGGTGAGCGGCACAGTGCTATGCAGGAGAGTGGCAACCTGGACGATCTTGAAGTGGAAACCGAGGTCATCGAACAATTGAAACGGGAAGGTGGGTATCTTCTCTTAAGCTTCGAAGTATGAGAGCGTAGCCCACGGAACTTCTTATCAATGAAGCGTGTCATTAAGCTGATGCCACTTCTACTTTAGTAGATGAAGCATGGACGAAGGAAGAAATCCGAAAGATGATGCATCACTTGAAAGAACGCGGTAAGCCCAAGTCCTCACAAACACAAAGGTGTGGACTCAAGTATCATGTGTTATATCGCATTCCTACAGGAATGAGTTCCTTCGTCAGAGAATATGTTATCACTCAAAATATCCCGATAGTAAAACTCCTGCTTGCTTTCGGGATTTCCTTGGTAACCCGTCATTCCATCTACATACATACAATGGAACTTGTTAACTTGGACCATAGTGTCCTGAATTGCGGAATAAGCAACCTCAAACAATGCATTATTTTTTGCGGGTCGCCATGTCTAAAGAGTGGGTAAAAATTCATATGCCCTCTTGAGCACCGCTAACGATGATTCCAATGTTCCACACGTAAGGCTTCATCTCAGGGAAAAACTGCCTCAATATAACACCGTCGCCGACGCGGTTTCCCTAATCCAAACCTCAAAGCGCGTGGTTGTACTCACTGGCGCTGGTATTAGTATGTCTTTTCCACTCTCGATTAGGACTGCATCACTGAATTTGCATATAGGCGTCTCATGCGGTATTCCAGATTTCAGTGCGTGACTCTCCTTTTTGCACTTTGAACGCGGTATCATCAAGGCTTGCTTAGGGTCGCATAACGGCTTGTACGCGGCGCTGAAGGCACGGGGGACCTATGACCTCGATGACCCTCAACAGATGTAAGACCACCTATTCCATATCTCCTAATCTAACACCTGTCAGGTTTGATATACACTATTTTAGAGAAAACCCTGCCGGTGAGAAATCTCATCTTCTGTGAGATGTCGTTAACCCAGATTCGCTTTACACAGTATTCTAGTAAGTATTGATTCTCTATGCTATCTGACCACAAACTGAGATTATAGCCATCAAGCTCATTTGCGAGGTTGTTATTCCGACCCCCGAGAGACAAATACTTCAACTGATGCGACAATTACAGCCAGATATATCCGTCTAATTTCATACCTTCTCCTTGTCACCGATTCATCAAAGCTATGGAAGATAGAGGCAAGGTATGTGGTATGGTTCCATGAGGTTGATGAACCTTACGAAGGTCACCCAACAGCTCCTTCGGGCAAGTCCTATTATTCCCCCTCCTTGCCTGAAGTTGATGAAAGTCATTACCAGAACTACACCCAGAACATTGACACGCTAGAAACACTCACAGGAATTACTCGCGTATTGCAGTGTCATGGATCATTTGCGACTGCTACCTGTATTCAGTGCAGACGGCGTATACCAGGAACCGAAATTGAAAAAGATATCATGGAACATCGTGTCCCGTTCTGTACTGTATGCATGGACGCCAAGAGGGAAGCCGAGGAGATCCGCCTGGCTGCTTTCAAGAAAAAGGCCAAGAAGCGAGGTAGGAAGGAATGGGAAGAGGGGAGTGACGAAGAGGACGAGGCAATACCAGTTGGCGTGATGAAGGTCGGTTTGTTCCTGTTCTGTTTATGCAAGTTCACGATGACGTGGGTGCACAGCCGGATATCACTTTCTTTGGAGAGAAGCTCGCGGATGACTTTGATCACGCCCTCGAGGACGATCGAGATAAGGTCGACTTGTTGATCGTCATCGGGACCTCGTTGAAGGTCTCACCTGTATCAGAGATTCTCTGTAAGTTGAAAAGATATACGATTTTAAGACGAACAGCTGACCTTCGGCAGCGCATCTTCCGCATTCTGTTCCACAGGTTGATGTCTTATTTATCAGCGTGCTGTTCATTCTCTGAATCGAGTGCTGTTATAGATTCTGATCAACAAAACTCCTATTCGACATATTAACCCTGATGTTCGTACACATGCCTCCCTTTCGGATATCGATGACACTAACCACCTGTTCGCAACCACTAGATTGTCCTTCTTGGAAACGCAGATGACATTATTCAACACCTATGCGAGAAGCTTGCATGGGAGTTGCCACCGCCAATGGGGAAGCGCCTCGAGGTTCCGCCATTAGCGAGATTAAGAAAGCGCACCTCAGGTGAAATGATGGGTAAAACCGAGCCCACTCGTGTTGCAAAGAGGTGCGTCGTCAAATTATATAGTGATCCCTGTGCGTTGCTTAATCGGGGATTGATTTAGCCACGTATGGCTGTTTGAAGGAGCCGAGGGGGGCAAATGGGTGTGGGATATCGAGCAAAGGTTCTTAGAAGAAATTGGGGTGTCTGAATCGCATACGATGCAAGGTCGAGTCCGTGAGGGTTCGAAGGCAAAGAAGTCCAGGACAGGCTGACATCGTAACACCGGCGTTCTTCGACGTGCTTTGCTCCTGGTAATGGATGTTGCGGAGACCACGAACTTAATGTACTTATATAAAACTCCATGCTTTGGATACTCGGATGTGTGCTATGATAGGTCACATGTATTGTTCGCGACTTGGGAAGCATCGAACCTCCAAAGATTCCAGCGCTCGATACGAAGGCTTGCCTCGAGACATAGAGTCTTTCGAGGATAGTGCCAATACGTGACTGGCTAGTAGATATGATATACACCCTCGTCACTTTGCTCATGGGAAATCAATATCGAGGACTGCCAAGCCCTCTTATGGTAAATATTATGCTCGCCAATAAATTGCCACACAACACGAAAAAATGGTGTATTGCCACAAGTCTACGATCCATCATCTTCGAAGATAACCTCCCCGTTTCCCTCACTTCTCCTTCCGGGTATATTGGTCTTCACTGACGAGCTTTTGCTCGCCTTCCTTCCGTGTCTTCCTGGAGCGCTCACAAAATCAGGCAGATGCGATATCGAGCCATTGGAAGCATGAGAAGATGGACCATTTGGGGTGTATGAAGCAGAACCATTGGGGAAATACGGTGTAGAACCGTTTGGAAGGTGTGATATAGAGTCATTTGAAACGTGTGAGGGCTGATTCTTTCGTATCGAGGGTAGGTAAAAATCGTCGACTTCATCCTCTTCTTCGGTCAGTGCTGCATTGTAGCCAGAGGGAGTACTTGAATATGAACGCAAGTGTCGAATGGAGTTGTACGAGCCCTTGCGGAGATGTGTGGCGTATGAGTAGAGTAATAGTGCAAAATATATCTGTGTATTTTGTGAATTGAAGAAGTGATGCGCACAAATTGGCGGTTATTGTACCTTTGCAAGCCAGCTGATGACGATGACGCCCATGGCAGTGCCCTTCTCCTCATGCCACAAAATGTTTGCTTCTAGAGCCCGCTGTTCATCCGTCATAGTGTGGTTTACAGGTGGTGCATTATGTCGGATGGCCTGCTGTGCATGTGAATTGGAGATTTGCTGCCCATCGTGCGAGGTATAAGTCCACCAGATAATAGAGAAGAATACCGTCCAAATTGTCGAGAAGATGTGGTCGAGAAAGAAGAAGTATGCAAAATAGAGTGTGTGCTGAGGGTTTTCCTGTCAAACAAGGATGATGTCAGTTGGTGATCGCGTATTGTGCTAAAGATACGAACATCCTTGACGGATTTCAGTCCCCAACTTAGGGCAACGAGACCGAGAACTGAATATATATACAAACTGAGCTGTGCAAAATTGCTATTTGCACCGGTTATAACAGCAATCAAGCCGTATACGCCTGCTACTTTGTTGAGGAGCTGCGAGGTAAGTTACATTTGTGACATTCGTAGAAAGAAAAGACGTGAACGCTTACTGCAAACAGTAGGATCACAGTAACACCAGTTTTGAGGTCAGTAATACCAAGAAAAGTGGAGATCGGCCAGAGCCTCCATTCAGGACGAAGCATGAGTTTCATAGGCAAGTCATGTACCACGCACGAGTTACAACAAAGGTCGGGACGAAGTCAATGTGCTTGTATCGGAACTCGGAAGAGAATGGTAACTTGTTACTTAGTCAGCAAGTGGTCATCGCCGCTCTCTCATGATCATTGACATCAGTTTCACAAAAATGCAAAATCAACGAATACCAGTGAGATTCTTCTACGAACGTTCACCACACAGTTACCGCGCAAGAGCATGGTAATTCGGTTAACTATTCGGTCACACACTTGGCATGGATCGTAGCCACGTCAGGGTGGAACCAGAGGCCATTTGCCACAGAAATGTCAGGCGAATTCGGTGAGGCCCGATTTAACATGCTTTGGCCTTGAAGTTCTGACAAACGTGGCATTATAAAGGAAATTTACTGGCCGACATTTGGCATAAACGAATTTGGCAAGGCGGACAACACTGGATGCGTGTGTGCTGAAGTCCGGCTGGTAAGTTAGTAACGAGCTTGATTGAAGGTCAAACCATGCTTTAGTACCTGGACCTACGCACCGCTGGTACTAGCACAATTTGTTTTTCTGTCGCTATTGACGCTGGTTAATGATTGCCTGCCTGCTGTCAGTGGTGCGTGTGATAGTCACGACTTTAGGTGGGGTCAGAACTACCACTTCATAGATGTGAAGTGATGCAAGACCGCACAGCTGGAAAACATACACAATCTTAGAAAGCCGGGTCACACAAGACTCGAGAGCAAGAGGTGACAAGTCTAATTTCTGCTACTCATTATAGGAATTCATACATACTCCAAGCCAAACTCAAATGCAAAATTAAGAATGAACAGATATAACCAGAGACGACAAGTCGAACTGCCGCAGGAAAGAGGATTGATGGATATTGAATAAAAACTTTCTACGAACGTTCGCCGCGCAGCCGTCTGGCAAGAGCAAGGTCCTTTGGTTGAATAGTCACACGTTTGGCATGGATAGCGGCCAAGTTGGTGTCCTCGAACAATGACACAAGGTACGCCTCGGCTGCTTCTTGCAGCGCCATTACGGCCGATGATTGGAATCGGAGGTCAGTCTGCGGCATAAATGTCAAATGACTTTAATGACATTGATGTAAATTCCCTGACCTTAAAATCTTGTGCAATTTCGCGGACGAGACGTTGGAAAGGAAGCTTGCGGATGAGTAACTCCGTCGACTTTTGGTAGCGGCGAATTTCGCGAAGGGCTACCGTGCCAGGATGGAAACGATGTGGCTTCTTGACACCTCCGGTTACCTGAGGGAAGGAGGTTAGATGGGTGTAGAAAGAAATGCACAAACATACCGTATGTGCATGTATGGGAGCCTTTTTTCCCGATTTCACTGCGAGCTGTTTTCGAGGAGCCTTACCTGGTTGTGAATCAGCATAGTCCGAGGTGGTAGCGGACTGGAAAAGCTACAGCAACTTACCGCCTGTGCTTTTGCGGGCAGTTTGCTTGGTGCGGGCCATTGATAGAAAGAACAGTATTGATGGCCAAGAGTGTAGACGCTTGGTTGGGTTGTGTCTTGGGCACAATGTCTTTGAGGTGGAACTGCTTTATAGGACCTCGCGGGGTCACGTGTGGTCCGAGTCTTGTTTAAGGTCTACGATTGGTCTACGAGTTCTCATTGTTTCTGGTGTGGATGACTTTTATTGACTTCATCTCCCATTGTCCGAAAACATGGACTTCTTTACCTATCCCTTTATGAATGTACTTTGAGACATAGCTTAAACATCCGAAGTCAACATACTTGTTTTGGTCCAACACATCGTGACCTTACTGAAATCTCCCGGCGGTAACTCTAACCACGCACAAACTTATACCAGAGGTCAATAATGCTGCAAATAAGGACACGTCGAGGCGTCAAAAGTGAAATAGATAGAAATACAATAAGATACACCACAAATACGAATAACAAGATGTCAGGTCTATGAACGCTCCCCACGTAACCGCCGTGCAAGAGCCAAGTCTTTCGGTTGAATAGTAACGCGCTTGGCGTGAATAGCAGCCAAGTTGGTGTCCTCAAACAATGAGACGAGGTATGCTTCAGCGGCTTCTTGGAGAGCCATCACGGCAGATGATTGGAAGCGCAGGTCGGTCTGGTAAAAGCGATGAGACATGAATGCAGTTGAGATATACAAGGCAACTAACCTTGAAATCCTGCGCAATTTCACGAACAAGTCGTTGGAAGGGGAGCTTGCGGATGAGCAGCTCTGTTGATTTCTGGTACCGACGAATTTCACGAAGAGCGACGGTACCAGGACGGAATCGATGGGGCTTCTTGACACCGCCAGTGCTCTGAATAACTATCATGAGCAAAGTTCAAATAGCTAAAAGATCGTACACACTGCCTGTGCGGTCTTCCGGGCTGCAGACTTGGCGGCCAATTGTTTACGAGGGGCCTTGCCTGATAATTAATGAGCTCGAGTTCTAGACCCATCGGCAACAAGATTACTTACCACCAGTGGATTTGCGAGCAGTTTGCTTAGTGCGAGCCATTGTTTAATCAGAAAGGATAATTGCACAAAGAATTGACAAGTGGATGTTGGTATGGGAAAGGCATGTGCCTTCTGCCGTGGGCTATATACAGGCGCGTCGCGTCACATCACGTGCTGCGCGTGCACCAATCAACATCCCACATGTAGCAATTCAGCACAGCCACACACTATGGTATATAACTCAATTCGCAGTTGATTGCGGTACTCCTGTATCTTCCACGTCGCAGCACAGCGAACTCACACACTTCACAACACTTCACTTTTAACTCAATATATACAATGTCTGGCCGTGGAAAAGGTGGCAAGGTGAGCTCCAGAGTTAGTGTTGTTTTGGTTCTAGTCTGACATATCTTCAAGGGTCTCGGAAAGGGCGGTGCCAAGCGTCATCGCAAGATTCTTCGTGACAACATTCAGGGTGGGTCATTTGGCAATTGTTGCCCTTGTCTTTTTGTTTAACTGGTGTCCAGGTATAACAAAGCCTGCTATCCGTCGTCTTGCCCGTCGTGGTGGTGTCAAGCGTATCTCTGGTCTCATCTACGAGGAGACCCGTGGTGTCCTGAAGATCTTCCTTGAAAACGTGCGTACACGTACTTGTTGAATTTAAGTATGCATGCTCATGGTTTGTAGGTCATTCGTGACTCGGTAACATACACTGAGCATGCAAAGCGGAAAACTGTCACTGCACTTGATGTGGTTTACGCTCTGAAGCGGTCAGGGCGTACTCTGTATGGTTTCGGAGCATGATGCTTGAGGATTTTATCACCATGTTGTATTCTATATGTATTATTATAATCGCATTTCCTTATCTTATGCACCTGAGATACAAGATATTTGAAACACTCCGCTACTTTGTACATACATGAGGAGGTCCGGGGGTACAGTGTACTTGATTATCGCTTCCAGAACATACGAGCCTTCTGATGGAGTTTCAATGCACGAGTCCATCCCACATTGGTTTCCGAAGCAGCGCCGCTGCGCATCTAAGAAATACCAACTCCCCGTCCAGATTGAAAAAACTCGTACAATGAGGACCTTTCGTGCTCACCCGCGCCTCTGCTGGTTCAACGGAAAAAGGTGATATGGAACTGTAGTTTGGGACAAGAGGAGGCGAGTGATGTCGCTTGCTAGTCCAACATGGCGCATGGTTAATTTTGTTAGTTCTAACAAATATCAACGCCCACACCCGCTACTATTCTCTCTAGAGCATCTTCAAGCTTTACCTCCCATTATGGCGGCTCCATTCATCCTACCTTTCCTACTATCAGTACTCTCCATGACTCAGCTGAAGTGTAGACCTGTACGGCTGTGGTAGATGCCAAGATGCGCCTTGTGTTATTTCGTACCTCCGACCTGGGTTATATGAGGCTGTTGTAGAGCCACTCGACCATAGTCTCGATATCGGGAGGTGCAAGAAGCTATAGTTGTGAGTAAGAAGACGGGAGAAACCTGATATTTCATTTGGATGTGGGTGGTGATGGCGGGAAGAAGACAAGCAAAGTAAACCCACTTTTTCCATCATTTTGGCATTTTGGGAAAGACCCACCCTTCAAATGTTTGGTTACTCAGAATCTGATTTAAGAATATTACCAGCAACGCACTTATTTCCTCGTCAATACCTCGCGCGATCACGACCGTACGAGTGACCTTGAAGCGACACTTCAGCACCCCCATACCGAATGGCTCAAGAAGGCTTGTCCCAACATTGCGGCTAGCTAGAAGAAGAGCGCTCCTACGTGACAAAATTGGTGACGAGTTTTAGACGCGAGAATGGACAAATTCCTTGCGGAACACACAGAACTTGGAAGTCGGCGGGATCATCGGATGAGGGGTGATATTGCAGTAAGCTCGATGCATGGATTCGAAGGAGTGACATGCTGATATGCTGAAGAAGCTGTTGGACACAAAAAAAAGTATGCAGGATAGATCACGATTTGCTGCAACGGGATACACTCTAGAGGCTTTGAAGACAAGAATAGTATGCATGTATGTACCGCAGAGGTGCGCCGGGGGACATACTGTCGAGGACAGTGGGTATGATAATAGGGGCGTGGAGATGAATAGCCTTACTAGTGTCCTGGGCGTCTGTTGAAACGAGGTTGAGATAGTGAAGCATCATAAAACGCACAATACATGCACCTCTGCTGCTTAGAGAAAGACACAATTCCTCTAAAGTCCACCTCGAACGTGCTCAGCACCATCAGCCTCCAGTAAAATGTCGAATCTCTCGATTACCATGCCCTTGCGACAGTTCCCTGGCCATAAAGGAGGCGTAAATGCAGTCGCAATTTTCCCTGATAAACGACGGATGGTTACGGGTTCGGAGGACAAGACACTTCGTCTGTGGGACTTGAAGACAGGTGTTGTTTTGAAGCATATGGAAGGGCACCGCAGTGGGGTGTTGAGATTGGCAGTATCACGAGATGGACAATTGATATCAAGCGGTGGTGAAGATGGAGAGGTCATTGTTTGGCACGGAGAAACTGGAAAACCACTCACCCAACCCATCGAAGCCCACTCCAAGGGGATCACATCGCTGGATTTTTCTCCCGATGGAACAGTGCTGATCACTGGAAGTTCATGTGACAGAATGATGAAACTGTGGAATACCAAAACCTGGGAGCAGCAAGGAAATCCAATACAGTGTGGTAGAAATGTCAATTGCATGCGGTATTCACCATCTGGAGAATTTCTTGCCGTTGCAACATATGACAATGTCGAAATCTACAATTCAAGCACGAGGGAACGCGTCGCGTCCTTCAAGGCTCACACAGAATTGGCCTTGTCACTTGCGTGGACGCCTGATGGCACACGCCTTCTCACAGGTGGCAGTTCGGGCGATGCTACCATGCGCGAATGGGACACGACAACGTGGAAGCAAGTCGGTGATCCCTGGACAGGGCACACTAGCCAAATCAATGCCATTGCCATTCATCCTGCTGGAAAACTCGTCGCCTCCGCATCTGGTGACCGCCATATCCGTCTCTGGCAGCTCTCAGATGGACATACCATTACCATCTTCAAGCACTCCTGGACGCAGCACTCCTGGACCCAATGTATCACTTTTTCCGTGGACGGCAATCGCATCCTCAGCGGAGGTTACGATAGGATAATCTCGGAGTGGGCAGTACCCCACAATATTCATCTGAAGGCATGTTTCCCTCCCGACTCATATAGCACAATTCGAACATATCTTGTGCAGATCATATCCATCACAGCAGCCCACGATGCATGCATAGAAGGGGATTTATCTACTGCCGAAGCTCTACTCACCCAAGATATCGACACCAATCCCAATAATCATATTTCCTACGCCCATCGCTCATTCGTTTTAGCGCGAAAACGCAACTGGTACCTCGCCCTTCGGGACGCAATCAAAGTGAGATTCACCGACCCATCATTTCCCCCTTAGTACGAAAGACTAACTCAGCGGTGACAAAGTCAATCAGCATTCAGCCCTCATTGACGGGCTATATCTCCAAGGGTATCGCCCTCTGCGGAAATGGCCGTGTCCCAGATGCGAGGGCAGCATTTGATGTTGCATCAATGTACACGGACCGAGATCCACAAATCCTCCATTTATTGCTCTTGATCAAAGTATGTTACATTTGGGTCGCATAGTATCCACCTCATCGTTTCTCTCAGGCCATCGCGCTCTTCAATGCGAATCAACAAGAAGAAGCAAACGTGCTCCTTAAAGAACTCGCTGCCGGTTGTCCGAATGCTGATACTCTCGCGTGTCTTGTCGTGCAAGTAAGTGGCATCTACGCTCGGTCATCAACGCCAATCTTCTCAACTCGCACATTAGGCATATTTACGCGTTCAACTCGGACTCAAAGCCTTGGATGACGCACGTCACGAGGAAGCCGCTGACTATTTCACTGCCGCTCTCGACTCCGGCGCTTTATCGTCGAAAGTGAAGGATCTCACTGTCAGAGTCGCATCCCCAGTCTTTCATGGAATTACCCTAGAGGACTCCACTCAGAATCAAGAAAATAAAAAAATATCATCGAAACCGGACATTCATGAGGCCTCGACTCAGAAGCAAGAGAATGAAAAGATATCATCAAAGCCGGACATTCATGAAATTTACGAGGACTTCGTGGTGGTACGTTGATACACGTCTGAAACACTTTTCATAACCAAGTAGCTTGTTCAGCTCTTCGGGTGGGATCTCAAATCTTTGCGGCTCACTGCACACCAGAAACGTTGTCATGCACTCTTTCAGGCAGGTAAACTTCCAGATGCCGTGAAATCATTTCGGTACATGATGTACAATATCGACGAAGCAACGAAGGCCAGCTGCCTTGAATGGTCTAACAGCAAGTCTGGAGTTTGTAATGTCATGCAGGCTACAGGTCTCACCCCATTTCATTCAGCTTTTACGGAAGTATGCGGCACACTCTGTCTTACCAACGGAGATACTGCCCTTGCTGCACATCGGTATGATAGGGCTTATGACCTATACTCGGCGGCGATCTACCTGGGTTCTGTATCCGATGTTGTCTTCGCCAATCGCAGCAGGGCAAAGTTAGGACAAATGCTATGGGAGGATGCCCTCCTGGATGCGCATAAGGTGCAATGACATCCATTGTTTTTTCGCCTATGCTCATTGCGGCGATACACAGGTCACCGAACTCAATCCTTCGTCTCACGTTGGATACCAATTGACGCATACAGCTCTACGTGGCGCAGAACGTTATGACGAAGCTATCAATGCCTTTAAAATCATGTTGTCCAAGTTGGACGAGTCTCCCGACCCGCAGATACGAGGTAAGCTATGCAACACCCCTGCATAATCTTAAAATACCTGTCTCGTTCTGTAGATCTGCGTCAACAGTATGTCTGTCCATCCGAAGTAGAAGACGCTATTCAAAGAGCTGTGTGGGTTGAACTGGAATGCGTTCCACTACGTCTAATCAATACCTCCACGGGTCGTTTGTGTGATAGAGCGGCACAGTTAAACTCCTTCAAGACGAGTGTACAGTATAAGGAGTTTTTGTCATTCACACCGAAACATTCAGACCTCCAAATGGACCGCATCAAGAATGTGGTAGCGAAGTACTTCCGCTGCGTCCTGCTATCACACAGATGGGAAGAGACGGAGGTGCTACTGCACGACATCCAGAATAAAGATGTGCGCGAGTTGAAGGGATTTGATGGCATCACAAAACTGCAGTCGTTTTGCAAAGTCGCTCGCAATGCTGGGTATCGCTGGGCGTGGATGGACACATGCTGCATCGACAAGAAGAGCAATACCGAGGTTCAAGAATCAGTCAACTCCATGTTCGTCTGGTACCGCCACTCAGCGCTTACCATCGTCTACCTATGCGATGTTCCTCCTTCATCCCAACCCGGTGCACTGGCGAAGAGTGTCTGGAACAAGCGAGGATGGACTTTTCCAGAATTTGTCGCTCCGAAAGTTGTGATCTTCTATCAGAAGGACTGGTCGTTATATCTCAACGATCGCTCTCCCAACCACAAAGAATCCCCTGCAATCATGAAGGAGTTGGAGGATGCGACGGGCATAGATGCACGGGCCCTGGTTACCTTCCGTCCAGGGCTGAGAGGCGCCCGAGAGAAACTGCAATGGACGTCGAAGCGCGTCACCACTGTGCAGGAAGACGTTGCATATTCATTATTTGGCATCTTCGGCATCACCCTACCTGTCATTTATGGCGAGATGAAGCAGAACGCGCTTGGGCGGCTCCTGCAGGAGATCGTGGCTCGGTCGGGTGACATCACTGTCCTCGACTGGATCGGACAACCTTCCGAGTTCAATAGCTGTCTTCCAGCTCATGTCACCTCTTATAGCACTCCTCCACGCGCCCTTTCATCTCTGTCCGAGGACCATATCCATACACAAGTCACTTCGCTACGACAAACCGTGCCTACAGATCTAGCATTGAAATTTTATGACCAGCTTGAACAACTGAGAGCTCCTCGTTTTGCAAACTGCAGACTTGATCTGCCTTGCATGTCATTCCGTGTGACGGAAGTCAGACGGAGGCGCGGTCTAGCCCAGGGGCCTCCCATCACGTATGCAATCAAGGCAGACGGGCTCCACGACCTGCTAATCACCACTGAAGAGACCCTAGTTCAGTTCTCACGGGAAAAGCCCATTCAGCAGACGTTCTTACTTGTCCGACCATGGGATCGGCGTCTTCTCGGGGTGCCTGACTTCGCAGAGCAGCCTAAGTTCGAAGATGATACAGAGAGCATAGGACCCGAGCTCGGGTCCCCGATGGTCGACTCCCAAATGAACGACTTTGACAAGTTACCTAGCGGTTCGCCTGTTGATGAAGAAGAGCGAGCGTTGCGGTTGCTGGTTTGCATCGGACAGCCTTTCGACGCATTTTTGCTAGCGCAGCAGCGTGCCAGAGAATACAAGAGGATCGCATCAGACCATAATATCATCGCAGAAGTCAAAAACATTGCTTCGGTTAATAACATGAACACTGGTACTGTAGAAATAGTCTAGCTGTATTTTAAGGCCAGGCAACTCTGACTGGTATTCGTTTGTGCTTGATGATGATACCCGCATTGTTTTTTTTTTTTGGTGGAACGATATAATCTGCTAGCAACTGACAATATCAGTCCTAGTAGATATGTTAGTGGTACGGGAGTTGCACCTGTAGTTAAAGATATTCACCCAGAGGAAATACTTTATGTACGCAGTTAAGCAGTGTGGGACTTGACGCTTGTTCGGATTTACCTATTCCGTCCTGGAGGACGGCGAGGCGCCATACCCACTAAAACACCTGATCTGTGGACCCGTTATTGATGTCTGACTCGTAGTACGGTAGTATACAACACGAACTGCTGTACGAGGATAGAGGCGAACAACGTCCGACGCCAATAATTCAATCTTCACTCTAACAATAAAACAACAAAGATAACTACATCTGTTACCAACAGGCTATAATGTACTACTAGTACTTATCAGATAGATGCAAACCGTAAGTTAGGGTCATAGAGCAGTGCAACGTAGCACGTGCAATAAAATGGTATGGGGTCAAGAGCATGTGCTTTTTGGCGAGTGTATAACAGACCCTATTGATGATGGTAGCTGCGTGCTAAACCATCTACGAAATATACATGGCCTTTCCATCATGGGATCGCGATCTGCCACGTAACACGAGGCGATTAAGGTAAGGACAAATTGATCGAGCTCCCAGCAAGGTTGGGGCGGCGAAGGGGCACTTATCCTGTTTTCCATTGACAACTTTAAGAGGTTAGATTTAACCTTCTTGCAACTAAAAGCATCCCCTATGAGCCAGCAATCGAGCGGTCTCTCTTTGCTGAGCTTTCCATCCTCATACTGGACACGGACCCAGACGAAAACCCAGAAGAACGATTCAGTAATGTGCGAGTACAAGGGCTCTGTTTTGTCCTTAGACTCGATGGGTTTCTTTGTGATAAGGTCGATCGCCATGAATGGTACCATTCCTATACGCTGGTGACCGCCGGACTCATTTTCAGGCAATGACAAGTCGCAGTCGATGACGACACCCATCATTAAACCGTTCAGGGTCTGGTAAACCATGAGATTACTTGGGCTGACGTCATACTGATGGATGCCGTTGATCCAGAGGATGCGATGATCTGTTTTCGCGGTCAATGACAGACAATCGTGAGCGTATAAGGAACGACACCTACAGATTATCACTATCCACCATACGCGCTCAAAATCTTTCCCGCTCAGATTCGTGATCGGCTGGAATTTCCAAGATACGTGGATGTTCAAGATGCGTGGGCATCGCACAAGGTCGTCGATATCTAGCCCCTTTCTGAGTTTTGCTGTAGATGTGTCTTCAACTTGATGGACCCAGATCATCTCTGGGACCTTGTCGTTTACTTGTGGCTTGTCCTGTGCCATCTCATGCACTGCTTGAGCATGCCAAGCTCACTTTGGTACGAGCCACTTGGCCGATGGAGCTCGGTGGCCAGTTCGTTGGGGTTATGATGAGGAGATGGCAGACACGATAGCATTTCGCTTTTCATCGTAATAACGGTGTTAGCACGTCTGCGTAGCCCAGATGAGCCCTGTGCCTGTCGGACTCCGAATCAGCTATCTTGAGGGTACCACTGGACGTGGATGGTGGGGATGGTTGAAGCATGGCTCGGTCTAGTTATAAAGACCTTGTTGCGAGTCGTGCATTTGTTCCATATGGATATCTTGATACCCGAACATGGAATGTGTGAATACTGTCGATCAAAATAAGTACCGAACGTAATGATGCCTTCTGCATTCATGATGCACTTACACCCTATATATTAGCAATAGCAGGTTATATGTCAACCGTGCTGTTTCAATGCTTTTTTTTTTTGGCGAGGCCCGTTAGAGCATAAATTTTCAAGGCATGCTTGTTGCATGCATATTACGTTTAACCCTGAACCAAACGTCAGTATAATTGAGCTTGGGCGCAGTCATACCAAACTCGTTGGAAAATTAGAACAGCCCAGCCCAGTAGGATATACCATCATGGAAAACGCGTTTATTATAACTCAACTGTGGCACAGCAAAACAGTCCGAAAATAGCGATCCCAAGGCTGCCTCGCCTTGTTACTTATGTCTAGAGACATAAGTACATGCGAAAGTAGAAGCTGGACACGGTGAACGTAAAGCCGGGTGTATGCGTGACGTTGAGCGGCTCGTGCTTCGCTTAGTGTGCATCGCCCTGAGCAGTGAAGATGAGTGAATGCACGTTTGCACAAGGCTTTATTTTAGGCGACCTTGCGCCTGAGAGGATATTTACGGAGCTTGTGCTGTCGACTTTGAAAACCACTGCTTGGCTTGGGAAGGGGACATGCCACCGAGTCGTGTTGCAGCCTCTTCTTGTCGATAACGCAGGACAAAAGTACTTTGGGCATCCAGCTCTTAGCAGGTGGCAACGTTCAGGGGCAGCTTTTGCCGGTGAACTGCACTTCGGCCTAGATACAGCACGATCCGGGACCTTAGTTATGTTCGTTGACGGTACCGCCGTATGTCGCAATGGAGGGCATGCAGGACAAAGGGATTCCGCTGTCCTCTTCCTCGTTCCGAATCTTGAGTCGACTTTTGACTTTAAATCCACATTCTAGCCATGGACCAAGCATTTTCATAAATGGAGTATCGTCAGTACTAGTACTGGTACGTCACCGAATGATACTGGTGACTCAGCAAGCGGCTATAGTGCTCTAGGTCTCAAATGAGCACACAGGGCGCAATTGGGCTTGTGCACTTTGTTCTCGATGAGGTAACTTTGTTTGTCATGCCTGGGATAAAAATTAATTCGCTCCACGGACGGATTGTGGAAGGAGTGAAACAAAAGAAAGCGAGCTATGGTGATCTTTGTGCTCCAACCATCTGCTCCGCAAACCATCTGCGTGCATCACATGTTCGTGTGCCACACCATGATGTGCCGGTAATCCGGACGCTACTACAGAGCTGACATACGATGCATAGAGAAACAATGTGGGCTTACTGATCGGACCAAATCCATGATGCTCTCCAACCACTCCTTCGATTTGCTAACGAGGAACTTATGCTAATAGGATCCATTATTTTCCTGAAAAGAACGCTGGCTCCCCATCCCAAATAACCTCTACGAATTCCCACTTACTCAAAGAACCCAAACTAAATATTGATCCAGGATCCTCGACCGAGTTAAAGAGAAGGTCGCTGGTGGAAAATTAGAGGATTAGATCTTTGACTTGGGACACGATGGTAAGAAAAAGGTTGTACTGTCCTACGTTGGGTACAATGTCCCAACGGAGACAGATTGGAGTCGAGAACAACAAAAAGAGAAAAGTCGATCGACACAAAGCATGCGTTGAGCCTCGCTAACCGGAACAGACTGGGGGTCTGCGACAAAAACCTACTAGTCACAGGTCCTAGCTCCCTGAATTGTGTCCTTCATAGCGTATCCATGGATGTGATGTTGGTGGGAGCGTTAGGGCACAGACGATTAAAAGAATGTTGTGGCATGTTAGCCAGCGGCCATTCTTTTTTTTTTTTTTCACGCACCTTGACCTTGGCGTCGCGTCCGAATGTGGTTCACATGCTGCTGTAAAACCGTAGATCGCCGTTAAAGGTCTTCAAACAAGCTTCTGCCAAGTTGGGGGTGCACATCTCGTAGAAGAATGTCCAGCATCTTGCAGTGGGGTCGCGGAGATACAAATTCACAGGATCGGGGTGAGCCAATCTTCCTCAATGAAATGGGAGTTCCTGACGTGGTGGAACTCAATTTCAGGTCATGAATACGAGGTTCACTTACCAAGGCCATGATGTATGCATCGCGACGTCTTTCCAGTACGTGGTCTCGATCCAATGCTCGAGTACTCTCGACCCCGTACAATACTGGCCAACGCGGGTGCCCAGAGTGGAGGCATAGAGGGCAGATAAAACCAGATGACGTGGTAAAACGATGGTGAGCGCTGAACGGAGCTTCACTGGGGCTGCTATCTCTATGGTGCTGATTTGCCCTGACATCGAGAGGAGGAAGACCAAACCCGATTGCATGCTACGCTAGGAAGCTGGGCTACATGAAGCAACCTATATGCTACGCTGCAAGGGAAATCAACAGGTGTCATGAATGTGAGATAACAGTCATATATAGCAGCAAAACGACGATGCTGCATGGTATGAAGTATGGATTGGTAGGAAACGCTGTACTCTCCATCTCTACAGGCTGGAAAGTGCGTCTTCGAGGCTTCGATGTACCGAGTATCAGAGAGGTATCGGATCCTTTAATGCTTGATGTCATCTGACAGCAATGAAGTCACTTTGGGCTGGAAGTATGTTTTAGATGACGACAACATCATGGAAGATGTAATTATTGACCTACCAGACGTCCAGACACAGCCCCAAAACTTACCATCCCACTTTTAGGACTATCAGCTAGACTCATTGGGAATACAACTTCTCGGTTTCTTGATGCCTCACATGCCTTTTAGTGTCGAGGTGGCCGTCTTGTTACGACCTGCACCCGGTAGACGATTTCTTCTCAGCCAGCGGAACAAAACCACTCTCTACCCAGCAACTTCGACATCTGCGGCATGTAATCCTCAGGAGTCTGGACGATGAGTGTTGTACATTCGAAGGTAAGATTTTGCCATTGCATAGACAATATACCGATTCCTTAAGTGTGAAACGTGCCTTCTTCTTTGTGGTCGGCGCACAGGAATGATACGAGCAGTGATGATCAAGGAATCGGTGCCCTGGTTAGAGTGCCTTCTGATGCCAGCTGCATCTCAGGACGAACGTCGACGATTAGGTGTGTAGATGGCGTGCTGGCATGTTCCTACTCTCGGACAACCTGATATAATCCTTCGGTACCGCAGAGATTTCAAGCCAATCAGATTTTGCTCACCAAATCTTGGAGTCATCTAGCAAACGAGGATGACCTGCCCATTTCCTAAACATCATACAAATCGTATTGAGTACAATTCATCGTAGTGTGAAATAAGTTTGACTGGTCCGACATCAAAGGCGAAACAGGCAATTGGGCCATCTAGACATTCCAAATGCAAGCGGTGGCCAGTGCGGTGTCGTGCCTAACATTCCAAGTGCCGACAAAGGTACACCTTGTGCGAGCGAAGAGCGGTAGTCCTTGTGATATTTCTTTGTCCTCTGTGGCAAGCTCGTATTATGACCTTTATTTTCTGGGTCAGGAGATTTTTCCTCGTCGCGAAGTCATGTAGTGGGCCATGGCAGAACATGGACGAGTCAAACGTGGTACGTGGTTGTCTCAGGCTAAAATTTTCGTCGCGAAGGGAATCTAAAACGACAAACATGCGAAATAACCTATGGAAAGGAATATTTGTCCAGTAATCGCTACTGAATTATCTGTACTACCATAGGACGATGGCGTGCCCAGGACTCGAAGAACAGCACAGGTAATCAGTGGGGAATATCACCTAATTTTGCGCCCATGGCTCCACCTCGGAGATCAAAACACTCATTTACGCCACTGAACTGGAAGCTCGTACTACAACACGCTGACGACCTAGTGCTGCAATTCCATCATCTATATGTTTTATGGACCGTCAGTTCTGCTTCTGATGCGGCTCGTGGCTTATAAAAGTCAAGAACAAAAAAGTATGGTTGAGAAATGACGTTTCTAGTGAGTCTAGAAGTCAAGAGCTGCGGCGGCCACTGAAACAACCCCCTTAGCTTCTCTCCACGGTCCCGAAATATTGTATGGAGGAAAATATCGATTCGCAACAAACCACAGATACGATTGGATATTCAACGACATGAGCATTTCAAGCTAGTCCACGATTGGGTTGGATGTCATGCAAACCGGTTTGTAGCTTGCCTATGTGCGATTACCGTGGAACTGCTAAAATGGAATGCCCGAAAACGAAGGCAAGAATATCCCTCGATGTTCTGATCTATCGAGAAGCTTCGATAGATAGCATTGGGTCTTCAAATCAGCCATCTACATGAGGTGGCCACAGGGCAACTCTCACGGATGTACAGGGTGCCATCAGGTGCCATCGCTTTCCCAAAAGCTGGGCTGAAACTGGGTCAATCGAGATTGAAGGAAAGATTGAGCCCTTCGCCCAATGTGGTAACATTGACGCATCGGTGCTATCGCAACAGGATTCTCAAACTCTGGATATCACGGCACGTAGCTCGCTAATTATGTTTTGAGATATATGGCGTTGCATCGCGGCCTTTCTGCGAACGGGGGCCAACTACCAGATTGAACTGTCGTGAATGCTGCAGTTGCCCAGCAGCAGTCTTGAAAGCTACTGCGCTCTGTCCACAAACGGTACTCTCATCTTTTTCAACAAATGTAATTAGGCAGCCATACTCACCTTGAATTTGCCTTATCTTTTTATCCTAAGGTTTCAAGAACCAGGATGTGTCAGGTTACCGCTGAACCAACACCACGGAAAAATCCCGAGCTCGGATTAAGGTGGCCGTAGATGCTCGCGGAAATGAGTACGACATCAAGGGTGTGGGTGCACCTTCGAATAAACGCCGATTGAAAAGGCCCAAACTGCATTAGGTCGTCGAAACGCGCCCTCTTGGAAAACACTTTAGGTCGATGTGCTTAATAAAATGTCGATGTGACATGCAGGCAGTATCATACCAATTGAATGCATACAAGTATTGGGGGGATGATGTGTGCTGATCTTGAGCATTGCGCCCGGGCATAGGCTGGTTTATCACTGATTGAGGGGCGTTTTTGAATGACGAAAGTATTTGTAATAAGACGCTGCCTAAAATTTTTTTGGGTTTATGCTAACAATATTATATTTGTACTTATTACAGATAAGTCACATGTCAGTGAACCTTAAGATTAAGCTTCAAGCTTTCGGGGCCTCTCCTATTTGTCGAAAGGTGACCTGCGCAGTCTCCACATTTGCAATTCATCATATTTTGCACCAAACCTTGATATATTTTCGTGGCCCCCCTACAATTATTTTACTTTTGATCGCAATAAGCGACCTTGTTTCCATTTTCAACTACTAACGCAATTCACGATTTCGCACAATGAGTTTATTTCGACTATAAGGATCGATTGAATCAGCTTCCGGTCGAATTAAAAATATTTAATTTTCAACGGTTCTGAAAGGCCGAAATATGCTATTTCTGATAATCTTTCCTTATTGTCGTAGGATCAAAATTGAAGGAATAAATAATTTTTGGAAAGCTGTGATCAGCACTCTGACTGCAGGATCAGCGCTACACCTGATCAATCAATGTATTCATTGATGCGGCATCAACCCCTCCCTTTTGTTTACTGTGCATGGTGAACGCTGTCATTAATATTGAATCATTGAATCGATTTCTGGGGCTTACAAGTCAATATTTGCCTTTATTTTGACCTTATACTGTTTATATGATAATATTAGTTGTCCCAATGAGGGAGCTCATGTAATCCCAATATCATCGCAACCAACTGAGACCAACCACCTCGAACCTCAAGTAAACCGTATCCCGGGCTCGCTCCATATCATTATATTCACACGTGATAGTGCGAGAAACTCATACTTATTTGCAAGTGTCGCTCCGACTCGCTCGTCAAAACCCGATGACCTCCAACGATCAGCACTTCAACCTTCTTCCTCCTCTCATCCAAGTCGGACACGCCGAACAGTTCATTCAATCGGGAAAGACACTTTTATCTTCTCAATCACCTTTGAATCAGTCTTATGCTGTATTTCCATCTGCCCGAGTAGGTTTCACACCGTTAAATTGTGTCAATGAAACGCCAATTCATAATTTTGTCTTTAAAGAAAGATGATGCCCCAAGCATAAAAGCCAGTGGTGTGGAAGAGCAGCCCATTTTCTTTGTGAGCAGTGAAAATTTGCCATCATCTGAAAGACGACTGGTGTGTCCATACGGTCCATACCATATCGCACTCGTTCATGTTTGGATAGTTCATCGGAGATACATCCATAATATTTGCTGCGTTACAAAACTTGCTTAACACGGCTCAAAGCCGAGGGCAGGAATGGTACTGGCCCTTGATTGATGACTTATTTGTCATACACTAACCCCGTGCCACATTAGGTTACAAAGTCAAGAAACCCATAATGTGATCAGAAAGCTAACCCTGGATTATGTTAATTTCACCAGAGAGTGCTGGATACACACCTCAGTGAGTGAGCATTTGCATGACGAGTTTCACCATGAGATGTTGATCGGGAGATAGCAAGCGTCCGTTCAGTCCTCCCAATTTTCTGGTGATCATTACCGCAGCTTATACACGTGTCTTGCCCTATTCGCTGTTTTATACGTACCCGAGTACGGGTACGAAGACGCACCAGTAGGTGACGATTTGATGGAGTGGCTGAATATCCACTTCATCGAACCTTCTACCGAGGAGGGCGATCACCTATCAGGTCTAGATCATCCTTGGGAAGATGAAATATTCTGGCCGTATCTTGTCAGGTAGGATCCTATTTTCATGATACTCAACAAGCTAATATCGCACAGGGTGACTTTGAGAGGCCTTTCCAAAGCCGCGACCTTCTTTCTCGCAACGCTATCAACTCACCCGTCCGACAATCTCCGACGGCTCGCTCAACGGTTGTCCCCATTACTTCAATCTCAGCCTCACCTTCAGTCTTTCGAGGCGGAGCGCGATTTTGCATATGCTTCTCACCGATGGAAGGATAAGGTGAAAGCTCTGCGAATTGAACTAGATAGTGTCTCTGAATCTGATCGGCATGACGGGATCGAGAATTGGTGGGATCGTCTGAGTGACATTGTTGGTATACTAGAAGGACGCACCGAAGTCATTCGTCGGGTCTGCGAAGATCTTGGCGCGGACTGGAGAGAAATTTCTGTCTCGTGGGGCGTATTTGCTGATGCAAGACTACGAAGACAAGATTTACCGTATGTTGTTATCTTTTAAGACCAAATTTATACTGACGTCCTTTAAAGTGAGGTTGTCTCCCAGGTCCTTGATGACATGCCTCAAGATCCGACGAATTTAGAGGATATGGTACATGCAGCGCTGTTCAGCGGTGACCCAACCAAAGCATTGTCCCACGCAGCGCAACTTGACCCCTGGCTTGCTGCACATATGGCAGATTTAATGCAAGCATTATCTTTAATCGAAAAAGATGCAAATGAGGAGTATGTTAAAGTCTTTTTTTACCGGGGATAACAATGCTCATGCCTTCTGCAGCTCAGGTCTCAATGTCAGAGATTTTTACGTGCTCGGTTATGCACAGTACCTTCATTCTGATCCTGCCCTTTGGAGAATTACTGTGGCATACATGTTTTCTTGCGGAGAAACTGGCATCAGAAGTGCCGACGAAGTGTTGATGCGCGTTCCCCTCAAGTTGCGCACCGTCAAATCAATTACCAATGACCAAGGGGAGCAAAACGGTGCCGACAATTTAAAGTCTGGAGACCTTGCTGGTGTGGTAAAAGACATCAATGCGACGTGTTATGAATATCAGCGGGAGGAAGTTCGACGAACTATTTGTCGCGTATGCATCATCTCTAATTTACACCAACTGTATTCACCATGTTTCATACAGATAGCTGCTCAGACCTTTCTACAAGAAAAGGAGTACGGACTCGCACTTTCGTATTCTTCTTCGGCGGAAGACTGGCCTGGACTAGGTCGTGTAGTTGATCGCGTTTTACAAGAGTATATCACTGCAGGTATGAATAATTTGAATCGTCTTTCTTGGTATTCAACAAGATCCCATCAGGGCCGGACCAATTTATCCGTTACGTAGCTAGCATTGCGCCGTCACTCCAGACACTTCGAATGCAGCCCGGTGCACAAGGCATCTTCATCCACCGCTTGATGTTTGCTGTTCGTTACGCTGAATTCCATCAGCGCCTGGGTAACCAGGATCTGCAAGATGCTGCATGGGATCTTGTATCAATGTTCCAAGACAGATTTTCTCCAAAATCATGGTGGGCGGTCCTATTGTACGATTCCCAAAGACTTTTGCAGCATGGTACGTAAAGAGCCTATATACGCGTGTCGGTTGTCTAACCTTTTTGCTAGACGCTACATTGCTCTTTCCATACGCAAGCGCGCGCGTTCTACTACAGCATTTGGAAGAAGTAATTGCGCGAACTGATCAAGGATCCGGCGATGAGTATCTCCGTGTCTTGATCGCAAAGCTCGGTTCTGGTGGGACAAATGAGGCACTTCATGCACTCCAAGGCGTACGGCTGGCACTGGCGAAGTATTTTGCCAGATGCACGATGATTGGCACTGGGGGGAAACAGATTTTGGAGCGCAAATTCATTGCTGCGGTGTGACACAACCTGATTTTTACGTCTTTGCAACTATCGTTATTGATTGACATTACGAGTTAGTACCACTTTAATGCAGCTTCACAAAAAGCCCATGTGCTATTCGAAAGGCGAACTTCCGCACGGCATGGGACATTTGAATTCCGGTGCCGAACAAATTATCATAGAAGAGCACTAGAACGTTCTTGGGACCTCATTTAGTCCGAGGCTATCGAGGTTTCATTCCTGTTGGCTCCTGTTAGACATTATATGTCTTCAACGAGGATGCCCAATCGTCGATTATAGCCTGCGAAGCTTTGAAGATTTTGTCTCGGCCCGTGCCTGCCAATTTGCAGGCGCCTGATACGACTGGTAATACCAATGTGTTATTGCCTGGCCACTCAGTTATATGAAAGCGGCATGGCTAACCCACTCGGCCGCTTCTCGATCGATATTGTGAGCCTCCCTGTTTCCTTCAACATGACCTGCATCAGCCTTATCGACAACGGGCATGGTGCTGGTGAATATCCCCAGGGTCGTGCTCTTCCTACCGCTCACCAGGCACCCACTGATCGCCAAAGTAGCGAATATAGCCTCGACACAGATGGCGGTGGTATCGCTTCTTATCGTGACCGATGATCCGCTCCGCTGCGGAAGACGATCTTGTCTTGGATCGTCGGTAGATTGCATCTGTTGTGTGGAGAGCCGCGACCCGGGGCTCTGGTGGGGGTGGCAATAGCCGAACCCAAAGCAGTTGAGTGGAGCTAATTCTTTTTTGTGATAGCGGACTAGATTACATTGACTCGTGGATCCAAGAGCACAGCTGATGAAACTCAATTAATACATTCATCAGTTTTTGCGGTCAGGTGAGTTTATGTTGATTTGGTGATGTATAGATCCAAAAGTAACTTATAACCCAGCCCTCCATGTCGATTATTCGACTACGAATCTCTCCTCAAATGTGTTTCAAAATCATTCAATATGCAGAGTATAGCTGCAGCCATCAAACGGTTACTAGGCAGCAAGTGGTATATGTTGGTTACAGTGCACATTTTATTGACGACTAATCATTGCGCAGGTCGATTGTCGCAAGAGAGACTGTTATTTTAGTCCATCGCATCAGACGGGCATGCACAGTTGTGAATCTACTTGCTCCCAAACGTTAGTGTCTTGCTTGGCAACTCTGACTACGAACTCACGACCATCAGAATGCTTCCTGATCAAGGATTGATCATGGAACAATTCAGCAACCCTTGCCCGCGTTGCAGTGGGGTTATGAACGGTCACTAAAGAAGTTAACAATTTCTATATCTGTAATTTCCTACCTTTCGTCTTGGTCTTCGTGTGTTTGGTTTCGTGGTGCTGATACGGTATTGTTCTGGGCCACCAAGTCATACACTCATTCCTACGCAAGCTATGCTCAACTTGTACATATTGAAGAAGCATAAAAGATAGTTTATTCAACACAATAAAACAATATTGTACTTACATCGTTGTTAAGTCGGGAAGTTGGAGCTGCACCGACGCTCTCCAAACGACACATGCCTATTCTGGAAAAGTTACATAATCCACAATAGTTATTCCACACATTGAGGACTTTGCTCACGGGATTCTTACCATTGCTCGCCATCTTCCCGAGCCTGTACAACCCGCGCTGAATGTAGCCATGGCCGACGAGGGCTACTCTTCGACTGCTTTGGAATCAACCGATAATCCAGATCCTAATGCTGGCCAGACTCCCTACTATGGCCTATTCCAGCCTAATAACCCGTCTCTTATTCACGAATCTGCCACTGCTCCTGCCTTGTCGTCTTTACCAGTCAAACCGTCATCACCTCCTCCCAGGTCAAGCTCGGACTCGCTGGGTCGATCATCCAGCTCGAGATGGCGAGATAGCGTACCGGTGACGATTGAACGCAAGGATACACTATCCATGATCCCAAGCGACGCTATCAGTCTTGTGGAGACAAGCTTTGATGAGAATGTATTGAGAGTATTGTGCGAGTTGGACGTAAGCGTTTAAAACGTTGTGATATTTGCCATGTTCATTGACGTGTCTTGGCGCCGCCCTAGTGTGGTGTGCCTTTACTGCTGGATCGCATTAAACAAAGTATGGTCTCGTGTCGCGTGAGTATTATTTCAATTTGCAGAGTTTGAGAAAGGTCATTACATGAAGTTCCTTTGGCAGGAAGCTTCAGTCTTCTTCAAGAAAAGAGCAGTTTTGGAAGAGGAGTATGGGAAGAGTTTGCAGAAGCTCGCACGAACTACATCCGAACTCTACTCTATGAACGACGGGAAGGCTGGGTGAATATGCACAATATACACCTAGTACTATTCGCGTATCACTAATCATAATCCATAGGTCTTTCGTGGGTGCTTGGCAGTCATCCATGAAAATCCATGAAGTCATGGCAGAGAACAGGATTCGTTTTGCCCAGCGGCTAAATGAGATGAGCGATGAGCTGGCCTCACTCGCAAAGGAAGTGGACAAGAACAGAAAACAGGTACTTCGCATCGTTCCACTTGAAGGTCATTTTTGACGTTGCCTAGACTAAGGAGCTGGCCAGTCGCTACGAACGCGCCCTTCAAGAATCAGAGTTGAACATGGAAAAGTCCAAAAATAGATTGGAAGTCTCATCGGAGGAACTTGAGCGAGTCTTGCTTCAGAAGGAGGGGGAGTCCCTGAAGGATGGTGGTTTGCAGGCCAAGAACCAAGGAGTCGCAGGTAAACGAGCACTTGGAAAAGCAGTAGCCAAAGGTGGGCTTCTACTCAAAGGGAAGAATCCTGGAAATGTTAGCATTTGTTATGATGTTCACAATAGTCTCTCACTCGCCATTTCAGATACAAAGACAAGAGGACGACATCCGCACACGTGTATCGAACGCGTCTGACTTATACCGCAAGGCACTTACTGATACCCAAGCAATGAGACAAGAATACTTTAATTTCCAGCTCCCTCGGATACTGCGTGTTGAGTAAAATCAGCTGTGACGTTGTGACGGGGCTGATTATGATCCTATAGGCTCTCAAAGAATGTGCTGACGAAATAGACCTCGGGACGCAATATCATTTGACAAGATATGCATTTTTATTCGAGAGCATAGTTCTAAGCGACGGATCAACCCTTGTTCCGGTAGGGCCAGAAGATGGTAAGATCTCATTAACCACAAATTACTATCAAGCGCTTCATCACACATTAAATAGGCATCGGCCTGAAATCTACGATCGAGTCTATTGATAATCGAGCAGACTTCAAGATCTACATGCAGAACTATGCATATGCACGTGGCGGAGCCGCTCCCCGCGGTCCGCGACGTGAAGGTCCAGCAGAAGAAGGTTTTGTACGTCATCCACATTTCTCTTTGGAAATTTCACTGATGCAACTATCAGCTGCCACCGCTGCCGACCCACGGAGGTGGCGCATATGCTGTTCATACAAATGCTCCGATTGGGAACAATCACAACTCCCAAATAGCTGATAAGGGCCGGCCAACATTCGGCGTAGATCTTGCAGAGCAGATGGCGAGAGACAATGTCGAACTTCCAGCGATCCTCGAAAAGTGCTGTACTGCTATCGAAAAGCATGGCCTTCAATCCCAAGGCATCTATCGAATCAGTGGCATGGCGCGGAAAGTCGCTTCACTGAAAGAGCGCTTGGATAAAGGTTCATACTTATTGGCTCTGTTCGACTCTGGAGTCTTACGGCTATCTATTACTGCAGATATTGACTCTGTCAACTTGGATTCGGAGGAGTGGATATCCGACATCAATAATGTGACTAGTGTTCTCAAGATGTGGTTCAGAGAGCTCCCTGATCCGCTACTAACATCAACCCTGCATCAGGGCTTCGTGGAAGCCGCTAGTAAGCCATCTATGCTATCTAAATATGGCAACTTCTCACAGAAGTTCCAGAAATCGAGAACGACCGCCTGCGGCACATACGTTTACACGAGCGAGTCAACGACTTACCGGACCCGAATTATGCTACACTCAAATATTTTTTGGGGCACTTGCACAAGTTTGTCAACCCTTGTCGTCATTTATCTCCACTGATAAATTAATTGACCCCGTGCTGCAGGATTGCGGAGTACGAGGCAGATAATTCCATGTCCATCCAAAATCTTGCCATCGTTTTCGGACAGACTCTCTTTGGTCAAATGGTACCCGGTAACGGGAGTTTTTTGGGTCATGGAAACGGGGGCATGGCAGATGCTCCTTTTCAAAACAAGGTGATTATCAAGCCTTGATGACTCTTGGCTCGGCTTTGTAACGTTGTTTTATACCTTACAGGCGATCGAAACAATTTTAGACCACTACTCCGACATCTTCGTTGATGAAGCTGAAGCGGGTGCTTAGGCTCTGCCCCTCTTCGGGCAGGCAACTTACTGTGGATTTCTTTTCCCTCTCGTGATACCCGTCAACTACCGCAGGCCAGGTCATCTACTTGGTTGGCTGTGGCTTTGGTCTTGGAACAGATTCTAGTCGCTCATTTGATATAATCGTTGGGTTGTGATTCTATTTATCCATGCGTACTCGTTCGGACCGTGATGATATGTATGTACCCAGCGCCTTCAAGTACTGTGTATGACTTATAATTAGTTTGGGAAATCAGTCAATTGGATTGAATGACATGACATTAAAGCTGTACGATTTTGCATCTTGTGAATGATAAGAGGGACACTGGAGCGGTTGAGTTGCGGGTCAACGTTGGCGAAGGTTTGATTCTACACCTCGCGCTATCAACATTTCACTGCTCATGCAGATAGTCCAAGCCGATTTTCCCGCATATTGACGCGTCCAAGCAGACCTCGCCTCCGAGTCCGTCGTAGGTTCAAGTTGAAGTCTCCGATTCAAAGGCAGGATTCCATTACTGATTTTGGCGATGCAGTTTGAGCAATTCTCCTATTGTAGACCTTGGCCGTCAACACGACACATCTATAGCGGCGCACCTTCCTCCTGCTGAACAACTTCTCACACGAGACATCGACCTGCCTATGATGATGGGCTATACGTAGCCTTGCTCGTTACAGAATTCAAAACTTTTGCAACGGTTAGCGGAGCTATGGTGGCCTAACACAAAGAAACACCAATCTTATCGCAAGGTTCCTCTGCGGCATTCACTCACATTCGCCAACAAGTCAGCCGGCTACACTCTCCCACATTACAAAAGTAGTTCTTTGGATGTGATTGATTTTGTTGTTAGGTGACCCACGAGCTAGATTGGACCCGTCGGAACTGTTGTGGTAGTATGTCTCTGCTCATAATAATCGATTTTTTCACCACTCTATTTCGGGACATTCGATGCTGGCTGGAGGACCTACCACTCTGGTTACGACTGGCGTTGCGCCTGCACTGATTCAGGCAGCGAGACGCTGGTCTTCAAATGAGTTCCAGAAATACATCCGCAAGCACCCGTTTCTGCTTCATCTCCCCATACACTGTTCCCAAAACCCATATCTCACTAGGATCAACAGCTCCATCTGTCTGCTTCTGTGTTTAATTGTCGCGTCACGTTTTGTTCTTCGTTGACGTCTTGCAGTCATGTGTGCGTTTCCGTTACCTTGCAGATTTCGATACTAGTCAAAGACAATATCCTTATAGCGGTTTTTCGAATCAAAACTCGACCCTTCTCTAGTCATCGGTCACTCTTGTGGGCCGTGGCTTGTATATGAGCCTGCCTATGTGTACGATACTTTTGCGACTCTGTTCTCATGTGCGAGCTGTCGCACCTCGGTGCTAAAATTAATCGCGGGCCCTCCGAGCATTTTGCTCTAAACTCAACTCTTCAAGCGCCTATCACCAGTGCAAGTGGATTTACAGCTTCTCACATGAGACCGATGGAGATCTCTGCAGCTACAAGATGTATGTCGACCGCTCGGAATTAGGACAGTCATTTAGTGCTGGTGGTGGAAAAAACACGAATGTCCGCGCATTTATGTGATGGTCATGGGGGTCTTCCATACTAACTGCAGCTGGCACTTGACCAGCACTCCACAGTCGTCGGCCGACATGTCACATAGGCCGATTTCAAAGTCAGTTCGGCAGTCAAGCAAGAGCGCAGGAGCCAGTACAGTAGACATACCCAAGTACGAGGTGACTGTTATTAGTGCCATTGCACCGTTATATTGTATCATGAAGCGCCTGGAGAGCTGGATTAGATAAAATATGACCAGCGGCAGCGCTATTACACCCAGCACTACACCACCAACCGCCGAAAACCTCGGGTAGATCCAAAAAAGTGTTAGGGTGTGGTAAGCCTTACAGCAGTATTGATTATATAGTTTTCGCACTATATATTTCGAATAGTGTTAGTGCTGCCGCAGTCCGGTCCAGAACCTAGGTTCGAACCCGAACCTTTGCGGACCAGACCCATGGTTCGGTCACAGGTCCAGACTTTCTCTTGGACCGAACCCCTTGGTAGGTTCGGGGTTCGGAGTGTCGTCGATAAATCCGGACCGGTTCTGAACTCATGCGGACCGGTTCGAACCTATCATTTTGCTGGCTTTGTCTTACGATTTTCGAAGTCGAAGCCTCGTGTTTTTGGTGAGGCTTTCTGTTTAAGTATCATCCTTGCCCTTCTGTTCACCGTCTTCTCCTACTTCTGCTGTGTTCTAGTAGGCAAGGCGATCTCTCAGTGACTTCGGTAATGCAGCAACTCATTCAGGTGCCAGTGAGTTCGCAACAATTCTACTGTCTGTCCCAATTAACTTAAAATGCGATTTATTTCAGAACATACCTACTGTTGGGATTCACCACTGTACTCGCCATCTGCCATGGGTTCTCATTTTGGTGGTTCATGGTGCGCAACAGTTTTAAAACTAGTTTAAATATATTCACTTGGTACCTAGGGACATATATGCCTCCTGCTGCTATGTCTGAGTCCTCTGTGTGTCGTGCTGACGGTCAAATCACGTGTCGTCAATGACACAGCCGCACGAAGGCCTCGTCAAGAGCTTGAGGACTACCTCAATGCACTGCTCGAGGATGTTGACAATGTAGTGGGCTGGTGGGGGGTATGTATCATTGTTTGATTGTTGTTACTTGCATACTAATTTTCCAGCACCATTCTATCCAGTACCCAACCATCTCTCACATCGCCAAGGATTATCTCGCTATTCAAGGTTCAGCTGTTGCATCGGAGTGTGCATTTTCAAGTGGCGGCATTACTGGCACGGCACGTCGTAGCTGTTTGCAACCAGCAATGTTTGAAGCTCTTCAGTTACTCAAGAGCGCGTACTGTCAAGGCCATATCTCTGCAACTGTCCAGGCCGAATTTTCGGCTCCTTATGATAACCATGTCGTTGTGCACAATGAGTAAATTTGGTAGCTATTTGTACAGTACAATGTTGTTGTCATCTTCTGGTAATTGAAACAATGGTTCGAAGGTTTGAACCCGTTCTGAACCTGGACCAAACTCTTGCGAACACGTTCGAAGGCGTCTGGTTCGAGGTTCGGCCATCTTGCCTGAACCTGACCACTGGTCGAGTTCGGGGTTCGCAAATATGAGGTGACCAACCTGACCGAACCGGACTTCGGCAGCACTAATTTCGAAGCAATTTAGTAATTGTCTGAGCAACCAAGTGGGTGCAGGATTTACGAGACCAGCATCCGGTAACCTGAGCATATAATAGAGAGACCGAGGGTACTACATTGACGACCAGGGCTGTTGTCCACATCACGTTGCCATGTTCTTATAATATTTCGAACATACATCCCAGAAACATCTCATGCCATGGCTCGAACAGATATCAAGTTCAGTATGTTCAGTGTAGGTTTAATTGATACCTCGGCCAGATATCACGCTTCATAGGTTTAGAGCACCCGCTCGATAGGTAGGTGTCATACCATCATCACATACCACAATCATGTTGTTAATATGTAATTGGACGGTGAAAGCATGAAATGAAGCCATGAAACATTTGTATTGCTGGTGGACTATTAGATACAAGCAAAATTAATGCGTACTAAATGAGCAATAATAGATGAGCAATATGTGTCCAGTAAGCACTACCAGAAAGCGAGAACAAATGGAAACGAGTGAGCCGTTGAAAATTTAAATTTCCTGTAAGAGCTTGTTCTGGATGGTAGTCTGCCACTGGGGACTAGTGGTGCTGAGGAGCTTTGGAACAACTCTCTTTCCAGGAAATTCAGCAAGGTCTAGTTGAAAATATTCCACAAGGATGCTTTGTAACAATCAGTGAGGAGGAGGAAGGCAAATTAATGGGAAACATACTTGCGAAATGCATGTTCGTATGTCAGAGAACCGTTTGGTCCCTGCTCACTGACCTGGGTCTTTGCTAGCTTGCAAATGCCATCGAGAGAGTCATCTATGAATTTCCAGAACTTGGATGAAGAGTAAATGGCATGGCGTCCTTTGCCTTTGAATCCTGAGCTTCCCTCACTGACAGCTGGTAGATCTTCTTCGTCCTGGTACTCATCCTCTGCTCCTTCATCCCTGGCATTCTTGTCCTCATCATCTTGATGGCTGCTACCATTGCCACTATTGTCAGTATTCTCTGTATCATGCATTGGCTGATCTTCATCTAAGTAGCCTTTGATGTCAGCAGCAGGAGCATCAGGCTCAATGTCTTGATTGATGTCGCCATGCATCCCACGTTCGATAGCATCAATATCAATTCCGAGTTTCTGGTTGATTTTGACATGGAGGTCTTTGTGAAGTGACAAAATGAGTGAGTTGGAAAAAAGAGCATTGAGGGGTACAGTCTTGTAGTCATCCACACCGATAAGGAAAATGTGCAAGCAGCGCTGCTAGACTACATGGTATGAACCTCCTGTTGTCAAATAGAGCAAGGGCATACCAAAAATGCGAACCTATTCCAGTGCATGGAATCAACCTCAATGCCACAGTGATGAGCGAGAGATTTTGCAGTCTCCATGATGCTCAATCATTTGAAAATTGATGTTGTCAGCTAAGCAAGTGTATATCATAAAGTGTTTGCATAGCAGTAGCAAAACTTGATGAACCTTAGCCTTTATGTTGCCGCGGATTGAGCAAAGCAAGTCGCTGACCAGTTTCGACAGTTGCGCATTAAGTTCCGCATCTTCCAACATTGCTGCAGGGATTTTGAATACATTGTGGTGCTCCCTGATGAAGTCCTGTTGAGTTTCAGCATTAAATTAACACAGCGATCAACTTAGAGAATACCATGATGTGACAATGTGCATCAGTGACATATGCAGTGATATTGGGTGACAGCATGCACACAGTGAGACGGTTCTGGATTCCAGACTGTGTTTTGTTTGATCAGTGTATACTGCCACACTTTGGGGATAGATACAGTATACCTTGAAGTCCTTAGAATCTAGCAGTTCTTTCAACTGAGTGAGTTCCACATTCCGGGTATCATCATTCCGCCTCAATAAGGTGGCCTTGATGTCAATGAGCATGTAGTATATCCCTCTGGTCTGCAGGCAGGTAGCTGTATCAAAGAGTTGTGAAGCACTAAAGGAAAACTTACGTCAATAAATTCATGAAGTTCATCCTCCGAGATACCTAAGTCTCCAGCGACCTTCGATTCTCTTTGTTCGCACAGGTGTAAGGACAGTTGGGTCGCCACGACTAGGACTTGAATCAGCTTGGCGGCGGTGTACACCTGCAATAATAGGTTCATCGAGCGATTCATCAGACATTGCAGATTGTAAATTGTTGTGAGGGCGAGATGCGCTAACAGCAGTCTGTGACTGAGAACCTGTACCATTGCTGGGTGATCTAGATGTGTGGGCAAGTCCTAAGGGTGAGCATGCATGTCCTATACTGCCTGCTCTTGCAGCAGGAGGTTGAGATCCACTACAAGCACTTTGAATGGAAGCCGAACGATTCCTGCCTCTGAGACCTCTGGCAGCATCTGGCGTTAATAGACCAAGACTTGTTGAGCCTTTGGTCTGTGGAGCACCTTGAGTGCGCACAGGAAAGAGCTGGAGTAACATCCTGAAAGCTGAGTAAAGGGCGAATGCAAGAGAATCAGTCCGGCTCTGAGACCTGAGTGGGTGTTCTGCATGAATGCCGACAGAAAATAAAAGCTTATTAAGGACACACTTAAGTGATAAGCATTCACGTGTTTCACATGAGGCTTGATTTGGATCACAAAAATGCATTGAATGGGAGCATGTAAATTAAAGACTGTATGCTATATGTAAAGTAGAGGTCTTATTTGAACGTGTCGTCGCAAAGCATGATTTATGTTGGAACTGCGCATATACAGTCAGACTAATACATAGTGCACCCTGAAAAACAGGTGAGCAGTGGGTTTCTGGAATAATGGTAGCTTGATTCCAGTGAGATTTCTTAGGTGTCTCACCGGCAGCCGCACTTTGACTAAAGTCGCATTCCAGCGGAAACAAGAGCCTGAGCGACGGAGTAGAGCGTTATGTAGCATAAGGTATGGGTGAGAAGGGGGTGATAGAGGATGGATGGGAGTAATGCTGGGGTGGTTGAGGCCTGGAGTAACTAGGTCCTGCCAGTGGTAATGTATTAGGCGGTAATGTATGGTGAAAATGAGGTATGGGCGGTGGATGTGAAAATGTTTGATGGCCTGGATGCCAGGTAATTGGAGCTGATGGGAATGAAGGAACATGTAATTGGGGTGGAGGCAAGTGTGATTGAGCGGCAGGAAGGTGCAGTTGAAGCGGAAGGTAATATGACATCTGTGGAGAAATGCATGGTTGATCTGAGTGTGAAACTTGAATCAATGAGTGAGGTGGTGGGATGTATGATTGAGGCACAGGACAGTGTGAAAACTGAGGAGGAATATATGTCGGCTGGGCTAAGGAAGGTCCTGCTTGCGGCACAAAATGTTGCTGATCCACAGCAGCAGCATATGGTGCATTTCCCCGCAGAGGTGATGCTGGTCCAGGGGGGGGGGAGCAACTGCTTGACTAGTGCATGACGGGGCAGTCTTCTTTTTTCCTTGCACGCTGGACCTGCTGACCTTCACCTTTGGTTTGGCACCAGTCTTCACAGCGGGAGCACAATCAAAGACTGCACGGGGCGCTGGGACATTGTCAATGTGACCACCCTCTCCTTGTTGAGGTACATCTCCAGACTTTTTGGCTGCTCGCTTCTCCCGCATTTGCCGTACTGCCAATGCTCAAACTTTGGCCACATTGGTGACTCTCAGCGGTGTCTCGCAAAGGGTATCAGGTGTAACGAGACATATGTAGTTGTAGTTATGAATAGAGTACACGTTAAGGATGTAGTGTGGTGTCGGCTTGTGTTGAACGATGCACCTTGAGCGAGATGTTAGGGTCCATTCTTGATATACAGGTTGCTGACCAGTGTTGGTGCAACCTGAATCAATGCAGTTATGCTGGATATTGACGGAACACATGATATCCTGCAAGATGACACCCATAAGATGTGAAGCTGACTTGGAAGACAATGATAACTTACGGTGGCAGACAAAACTACTTCATCATTAGTAAGATCTAGACATCAAAGATGAAGAGACAGGTGCAACGTCTCTGTAAAGGAAAAGCGCTGGAGAGTGACATGTTCTACCTATAGGTGGTCGCTGGACGATATGAGAATTTCCTGGATACGTTCAATGTACATCTGAAAATATTGTCAGATATCTATCTTGAAAGTCCAAGAAAACAACCTGCCTTTCCATCCACTGGCTGTCGAACGATAGCTTCATTGTTGATGTACATGTTTTCTCCTGTACTCGTCACAACACATTTACCTTGGTAGTACTCAATGCATGGGTCGCATGGAGCGGTTTTGGGAATATTCGCACAACGCATATCCTTCCAGGGAACTGCATCCTTCCAGACTGTCTTTCTGGACTTTCCAGTCACTGTTTCAACTGTTCCTGGCCCTATATGCAAATGAGTCATGAAACAATGAAATGTATGGCATTGCTTACCTGATATTGGAACACTGTGACTGAAGTTCAATAACCCCAGTAGCCGTGCTTGTTCAGGGTGCTCATCAAGATAACTTAGGACTTGGATGCCTGTGCAAACCCATTTCTTGATCTCGCCATCGTACCAGTAGCCACCTGTCGCAACATGCTTGATAACGTCCTGGTGAGCAAACACTTTGCAGGTGTCTCAGCTCGGTGCTTGGTGATTGCTATACATGCAAGATAGGCAGAAAACATGGTTAAAAGACTCGTATTGCTCCATCGAGAAGATGATTGCTGGCCCAAAATGTTGAATGTAGGCCGGGAGATGGACGAGAAAATGGAATTTAGGTTTGCTAATTAGGATGCTCAGCGCACACTGTGCCATCACATTCAGAAAGTCCTGAATTGTTCGTGTTAACTTTGCCTATCAAAAAGATGATTAGAAAGAGCAGGTACATGATATAAGGACTCACGAGATAAGTTTCACTGTTTTCTATCTTCGTGTGCCAGACGAGGACAATGAGTTCGCCCATAACTGTCCAACCATCGAGGACCATTGGTGGGACAAGGTCGTAAATGAGGAATGGCATTACTTGCGCCAGACTCTTGAAATGCTTGCCGATCAAGCTGCCTTTGTAGTGGCAGATGTAGTCGGCGTTGAGACAAGGAGCATTTAGTGCATCCTTGTTGATGGTCTCAAGGTGGTTCTGGAAGAGATGCAGGAGCTTAGATTTCTCGAGGAGAAACACTGTCTGCCCCCAGAAGTATTTAACAATGCTGAGCAGTACTGTATGGAGAATTTCAGTTGGCGTATCCATGTGAACATTGAATGCTGTTGTGAACATGAATGCAAGATCTACGTCATTTTCAAAAAGACTTACCATGCATTCCCAGTAAGGGATTGATAGCATCATCGAGCCTTTCGCCTTGCAAGAGCTGCTCAAACTCTTTCTCAAGCACAATCCTGACTTCGTTTTCAGGTGATGCCAGAGAACCTGCTATGCATTTCCTGAGTTTTTTGCCAAGCTCCAGCAGTGTGTTGAGAATGGAGGCTGAAGCTGTATCATGAATACCAGTCGACAACATAGAATTCTTCACCTTCTCCGAGGCACCTGAAAGTATCGCAGTCTCGAATTGCTGTCGGATTATGTTTGAAGTCTCCTCCAGTGTTCGGATATTGCCTGACTACAAACACAAAATCAGCAATTGTAAAACGCGAAACAGACTTACAAACATTGAAGATGCTGTTATATCCAGCCTTGGATTCTTTATATTCCTTTGTGCCACCAACCTCGCATGTCCTGCAATAATAATTACAATTCAGCCCCGCATGGCTGCACTCTTTGGCCTGCATGGGATTGTCACCAGCGACAAAAAACGCATATGGAATAAGCATGACTTCTTGATTGTCCTTGCAGTCCCATGCAACAATGCCAAATTCAGCTGCGACACTACAAATCACAACTACTGACTGAGTATAAGCTAGACAACAAAAAGGATGCACGTACCAGATAGACTCTTTCATTGCTCGCATGAGCTCCATTGGTGCAGCATGAGGTGATGATGTGACAAATCGTACAAAAAACTCTTTCTCGAGCATCTTGCGTGGCAAGTTGGCATTGGACATATAAATGGTGTGATGCTTATTCCACTGCTTCGACACATTGCCCGACACATCGTCCATGAAAATAATGAGTGGGACGGCATATACCATTCGACCATTGGACTTCTCGCACAACGGATTGGGTGTAAGCAATGCAAATTTAGCTGAAGAAGCTGTTTTGTGATTAAGTCCCGCAGTCACCACTGGTACAGTTGAGATAGAACATACCTGTGGGGCCACATTCAAGCTCACCGGATGTTGCAGCAATATCTTTGAATGATCGCACAAACACCGAAGTAGGTAGAATCTCTTGTTTGTCATTGACAATGAATCCAGCCTAATTTATGTGCCAGTGATCAGCACAAAGTCATAAGTTTAGTATCAAATAACATATGTCGGTCTGTTGAACAGCTCAACCAAGGGCATACTGAATTTTCGCATTTGACTGAGCTCCAGGTTCAACTTCATTAGCGGAAGGACACAATCCAAGAAAGAAGCACTCTGGGATAAAGTATGCCTTAGATGATTCTTGCAGTAGCTCATTGACAAAATATATCATGCCATCAACCCGAACTGCTGGTGGTGATAGAAGATCAAGTAGCATCTTCGTGCCATTAAACACCTGTGACATTCCATCGCCTCCATCTTCAGGGTAATCTTGCATTGCGAATCATGTGAGCGGGTTCGCATAGTCCTGAGATATTGTGTCAGTATCATATACACCTAGGTAACATAGCAGACAAACCCTAGCAATTGATTCTGCAATATTTTTGATGTAAAAGATGTCCCCCAAGTGAGCCGAGACCTTCTCGGTTGGATCACCAATGAGACGGTCAATGTGTTTCTGGACTTTCTTGACGGCACCAAATGAGGGAACATCCCGAGCACCAAACTCTCTAGCCCAATTGATGATGGCCTTTTTCTGTCCATCGGAAAATGGGTGGTGGGGAGAACTAAAAAGAAGCGACATTATAAAGTTCTTGATGCTATGAGCATCGAGTTTGCAACTCGTATGGAGAAAAAATTCACTGCTTTGGATGTCCATGGGTATGTTGGACTATCTCAAGAGGCAATAACATCGGAGCCTGTTGTATTGTACTTGCCATCATCTGTGAACTTCATTAAGTGCATTGTTATAGAGCACGGATCAAATATCACACTCACCAATGCCAAAATCAGGTGTACAATCGTCAAAGAGCTCATGCTCATCATTTACGGGGGCAAGAGGCATTGAGAAAGGAATTTCCCCACAGGTAAGACTTGCTTGGAGCTCGGCGAATAGGTCCAGATGCACTCTGTCGAACTCAGGTGTCCGATCACCTGCGATATGATTCAAAAGCTCAGATAGTGGGACCTCCATGTCTACATCAGGCATGTCTGCATCCATGTATGGGTTTTTGGAATCATGGAGAGACACAGTGGGTTTGGTGTTTGTTGAGGTGAAGACAGGGGCCCCAGCTTTCTTAGGTCGTGAATTCTCAAGTTGCGGTACAGGAGTAGTGGCCTGTCATTTCTTGACAAACCTTTCAGAGAACTGTTGATGCCTGCTCTGGGCGATGTGCTTTTCGACATCCATTGTGCACAAGACACCTGCTTTGCGAGGGCACACTGTGCAAACGACATGTTTGCCCCCATCCTTGCAATATTGTATGACTGTAAATAAAAAGCGGTGAAATATAAACAACCATTTAAATAACAGAGCAACGAAAACATACTATCACCGTCAACAAATTTATTGTTCATGATGGGATGTGCAGGGCAAGTCGATTGAGTGGCTGGAGGGTTGATTGAAGCTTTGGCAGTAGTACCTATCAAGCACTATAAAAAACAATGATACTGTGAGCGCTTCTATAGTAGGAGTGAGGAAAGATGGAGGAAAATGAAGTTTTTCATACGAGGCGGCAAATTAATCATAAGATGAGTCATTTGCAGCGAAAAGAAAGGGTAAAATGGGAGGGAAGTGAAATGACTCACCAGTTATCAGTAATGTCATACACAACAATGATACCATGAGCACTCTATAGTATGAGGACCTTATGGTGTGGAAGGATGAAGTTTTTTATACGAGGCTGCGAATTTTTCATCAGATGAGTTGTTCATAGGGAAAGGAGGGTGAAATGGGAGGAAAGTGAAATGACTTGCCTGTTATCAGTCATGTCGTACACAACAATGATACTGTGAGCGTCTCTATAACAGGAGGACATTATGGTGCAGAACCACCCCTGGTTGTGATTTGCAAATTAGCTCTGCTTCAATGATAAAAATTATGGGACTCACAAATGGGATGAGTCAATGGCTTGCAGGAGTCTGAGGACGATGATATCACAGAATGACTTGAAGTTGTTGAGCCGACTTGGTAACGTGCTTTGCAATATTGATTCTGAACAACAAGTCCAAAGTCTCACAACAACTCGCTTTCTCACTTTCTCAGACTTCAGGCTCCAATGTTTCACCATGGATCCGGGAACACTCACTAACAGTTCTATTGTCTATCCTGACATACAACATGAAGAGACTGGCTGCATATCACTGCAACCACTAATTCTCACAATCTGTTTTTCAGGCATGCTACCAGAGGGTCTTCTATGAGAAAACATTGTGAGTCGTTGTTTGATTGAAAACAAACTCAATCTTCACAATTATCTGTTGCAGCCCATTCAAATATCAGTATCTATTGATGAGGAGTACGGGGTATTTACCACTCCAGTCATAAACACTGTCTCAATGGATGTGAGGGATTCTGATAGTTGGCAAGCGGATTCGCTACCCTCAAGTGATGTGAGTCCACATTCTGTCGCAAACACAAAGTACTTACATTGTGACTGTCACAACCCAATAACGAATTAACGCTGGGCAGAGACTAGGACTCAAACAAAGGTTATCGGACAAGAGGATAATTGAGCAAGTACGTCTTGGATTGCTACAGTGTAGATACAAGAGGTTTGAACTAAGGAACTATCAACCAAGACATGCTACCTATATACAACTATTGAGACGGAGATTGAAACTGAGTTACAACTACTAGCCAATCATAAAAAGAGAAAGGGAATCGTACCATAGAACATCGTAGAATATTAAAGAAGCATCACGTGACCATATCTTATCTTATCGTATCTAATCTAATCTATTCACAATCAAAGAACTCGTCTTCTTCATCAGTCACATCGAAGACACGTGTCGTAGGCGCTAAAGGTATTTCGGGAATGATAGACATTTTCAAGGTAGGGTTAGGGTTTGTCTTAGGCGCTGTATATTGACGCTTAGGAAGATTCAGGAAAGAATAATGGTTTGTTAAAGGTACTCGTGACATTACCCCCTCTCTAAGGTGAGTGTCATCACGAACGAATGAAGGTCGGATATTCTTTTCTCTCCATCGTTTGAAATCTTCCGTAAACAGTACTGAGCCTTTGATTCTTCGGTATTTTTCGGCTGCAGCCGTGGGATTTTTCTTATGGAACTCCGCTAAAGGAATTGGAGCGTTCTTCAGATTCTCTTCTGGCTCCCAAGATGACTCTTCCTTCGGGTATCCTTCCCATTTCACTAAGTATTGCAGCTTTCCTCGGAACAATCAGGCTATCTAGTACTTCTTCTACAGCAAATTCTTCCCGATCGTCAATCAGTTCTGGAGGTGGTCGGTTGGGAGGAGGATGAGGAATCAATCGAGATGCGTGATATGGCGTAAGCAATTCTACGTGGAAAACCGGGTGAATCTGATATTTTTCCGGTAATTTCAACTTGTAGTTCACTTCACCGATCTTCTCTAGTATTTCGAAGGGACCTAGACGACGATCTGACAGTTTTTGACTCGGACGACGTTGTTTAAGATTCTTTGCAGTCAAGCCAGACCTTGTCTCCTACTTTATACTGAGGTGCTTCTTTTACTCCTTTGTCGTAGAAACGCTTCATGCGCTCATTGACCATCTTAAGAGTATTTTCGGCATCATCTCTCGCTTCTTTCATCTGATCAACTCTCTCATCGGCGGCGGGGATTACGGACATAGAGTTTGGGTGAATCGTGAAATCTGGGTTATACCCGTAGAGAACTTTAAACGGACTATGACCGGTTACTGTGACTGCATTGTTGTGTGAAAACTCTGCTATCGGCAGCCAAGATACCCAATCATTCTGTCTGTATGACGTGAACATGCGCAAGTATTGTTCGACTTCTTGGTTTACGCGTTCAGTCTGTCCATCAGTTCTGGGATGATAGGAGGTCGATGCAGACCATTTCGTTCCTAATCTTTTTGACATTTGTCCCATGAACTTCGATATGAACTGAGTTCCTCTATCTGAAATCACTTTCTTCGGTGTTCCATGATGTTTCCATACATTTTTCAGAAATAGCTCGGAAATACCCTTCGAGTCTACATCTTTGGTGGTGGGAATGAAGTGTGCTTGTTTCGAAAATCGATCAACGACTACGAAATATGCTATCACACCCTTCACTCTTCGGCAAATCCACTATTAGGTCACAGGTGATTGTCTGCCAAGGTCCTTCTGGAACTTCATTTGGCTGTAAAGGTCCCGTTGGTCTACTCGGAAGCACTTTCGTTTGTTTGCACCTATCGCAACCAGTCTACGTAATCGTGGACATACTTCATCATTGAAGGCCACCAATAGTTTCTGGAAATCAACTCTAAGGTCTTAGCTCGTCCAGGATGTCCAGCCAGGTGGAGAGTCGTGAAACAACTCTAATATCTCTCGGCGGATCTCTTTATCATTTGGAACGTAAACTAATCCTCGGAATAACACCAATCCATCCTCCACATTCCACTCTTCGATTCCTCTACGCAATTGAACCGGTGCTGCTTTTAACGTTTCCAACGCTTTAGCGACTTCAGGCTCTCGTTCTGTGCATTTTCGTATTTTTTGGAGTAAATGTTTCTCTCCATGCACCAAAACTTGACCTCTTTTAGCAGCTTTTACAGTAAAGAATTCCGGTTTCAAAAGAATGCGGTTCGAGTTATCGTTTTCTACCCCCCCTCTATGGTCTGATCTCCGAGAAAGACGGTCTGCTTTGTCATTAACCACACCAGGCTTGTGTTGGAGTGTAAATTCATACTCCGCTAGGAAAAGACTCCATCTAGCTTGCCTTCTGGTCAACTTTTGACTCGTCATGAAATATTCAAGGTTCTTATGATCTGTCCATATTTCAACCGGGTGAGGTGCTCCCTGCACATAGTGCCTCCACTCCTCCAACGCTCTAATGATCGCTAATAACTCCTTATCATGAATGTCGTAATTTCTTTCCGCATCATTCATTGACTTAGAGTAATATGCTACTGGATGCCATAATCCATCTTCCATAAGTTGAGAGAGAACCGCTCCTGTTGCGTAATCTGAAGCATCGGTCTCTATTTTCTTTTTCTTCTCAACATCTGGCATGACTAGAACGGGGGCTTCTGTGAAACGTTTCTTAAGTTCATCAAAAGCTTTTTGTTGTTTCTCCGTCCAGTCCCATTTGACATCTTTTCTTAGCAGATCATTCATTGGTCTGGCTATATCTGAGAACCCAAGTATGAATCTTCGATAGAAGTTGGCAAAGCCCATGAATGCTTGTATATCTTTTACGCATTTGGGAACAGGCCATTTCAATACTCCTTCTACTTTCACAGGGTCCATCGACACATTGCCTTCTTCCACGATCAACCCGAGGAACTTGACTTTAGACTGTTCGAAGCTACATTTCTCAGGCTTCAAAACAGGTCATTCTCCTTTAACCGTTTCAGGACTTCTCGTACCACCTTTCGGTGTTGCTCCCTATTTCCATTCGTAAAGACCATTATATCATCAATGTAGACGACTACTGTTTTGCCATCTATCAGGTCTCTCAGAATTTCATTCATCATTGTTTGGAAGGTTGCAGGCGAGTTTGTGAGTCCGAAATACATTACGGTCGGTTCGTGGTGACCAAACGGCGTTTTGAAGGCCGCCTTCCACTCATCTCCTTCTTTCATGCGAATATTGTTGTATCCCCATCGTACATCCATCTTAGAGTACATTGTGGCACCTGGTTAAAGCATCAATTAAATCTTGAGATCTCGGTAGTGGATATGCATTTTTCACCGTCTTCTCATTGAGCTTTCTATAGTCCATCACCGGTCTTAACTTGCCATCTTTTTTGGCCACAAAGAAGAAAGGTGCTGCTACTGGAGATTGTGAATTTCTGATACGTCCTAGTGCAGTCTCGGTTTTCAACCATTCCTTCTAATGTATCCATTTCTTTGGGTGACAACGGATAGGGTTTCGCATTTGGCGGAAGATCGCCCTCATCTTTAAGATCTATCGCATGATCCCACTTCTTTCTTTCAGGGAAGCTGCTTAGATTCTTCTTCTGAGAAAACTCCCAGGTAATCATGAAGCCAAGTCGGGTACCATTTCTTCTACCTGACTGCTTCTTCTTAGTAGCTTCTTCTGCTACTTTCTGCTCCGTGGCAACCGAGGCTTTATAACGAATCCATAGTCTCTCTGGACTTTCTTCGTCTTCTATTTCCTCAACTGTCGCCCTTTTCATCGACATATCTTCTTCATCCTCGTCTTCATCGTCCGTAGGAATCAGATTAGGTACATCATCTATCTTTTTTTGTTCTTTTTTCTTTTCTTTCTTTTTTTGTCTTTTTTCTTTTTTAGTTTCACATTTTACAGGGCATCGAGAAAGTGCAAATCGTCCTGCATTCCAGTCAATCTCTGGATTATGATATCTCAGCCAATCTATGCCGATAATAACATCATCGCTTCCTAAGTCTGTAACCATGAAGGCTGCTTTCTCTTCTTCATGATCACCAATCTTTAGACCTAGTTCCGCAAAATGAGTCATTGATCCAGCAGCATTTAGCGATCCATCAATGTTCCTGACTGAAATAGGCCTTAATAATTTACGGCATTTCACACTGTTCTTTTCAACAAACTTCTCACTGATAAATAATGTTGATGCACCGCAATCCACAAGTGCTTTTACGTCTGCTTGTCGGTTCTTTCCTTTCAACGTTATCGGAATATAAAAATGCTCAGATTTGGATCTAATATGTACTTCTGATACATCTTGAAACGTAGAGAGAATAGAGAAAACGATTGTTCGGGTCTAGGTCTGCAGACTTTGACTTCAACCCCTTTAAAAATCCTTGCCTTTGTTAGAAGCGATCCAATCTGTGAACCACTTCGGCGCGGAGTTTTCTTCAACAACTGCAGCCGCTTTGACTTGCACTTTTGGCGCACCTTTACAGTTCCTTGCTATGTGGCCTTGTTCTCCACAGCGGTAGCAGGTGAAAGCGCCAGGCTTTCCTTGGGGTTTGGGAGATCCCCTCTGCTTGCCGGAGTCCACATCCATAGCGTCACTGTCTTTGCTAGGACCAGCCTGCCTTGAGTTATTGAAGGTTCTTGGGGTTTCCTTGTTAGGGGTCCACCAATTACTCTTCTTCTTTTCAGCGTCTAGCTCCTCGTAATTATGTCCAATCTGTATGGAGTAGTCAATGAGCTTCTTGAGGGTGTCTTTCTCAGACGCTGGAATATGAGCGAGTTGCTCTTTGATCCGGGTTTGTAGGCCAGATCGGAATTTGAGGCGGAGATCGTAGTCGGAGTATTTGGTGAGTGCAGCCTTCTGCTTGAAAGCTGCTGCATATTCGGGCACTGATGAGGATCCTTGCTTCAGGGTTTCCAACTCCCTGACAGCCTTTCCTTCTCTGTCGTCTTGCCCCCACATGGTCTCGAATTCTTTTGACCAGTCCTCAAAGGATGTTGGCTTGGTGTCAAGCTCGATAACATATTTCTGCACCCATTTAGCAGCAGATCCTTTAAGGAAAGACAGAGCAGTTGTAATCTTCTGTCTGTCTGTGATCAACGGCCACTGTGACATATATAATGCCAATTGAGTAGCGTAGACTTCTACGGAGATCGAATCTTTGTCTCCGGTGAAATCTGTGGGCTTCGACAATTTGACTTGTGAAGTGTTTGGTGCTTGTGCAAATCTCTCAAGCTTCTTCTTCAGTTCCTCTATTTGTGCGTTTTGGGTTCTGAGTTGAAGCTCTTGAGTTGCATTTTGTGCTCGAAGAGTATTGTTATGGTTAAGGAGTTCTTGTGTCCTTATGTACAGATCGTGTGTTGCCATAGTGATGGCATTCTGTACATAGTTGGTGAACTCTATCGGCATAGCTATGCCTTGTGGTCCCTGGTTCCCCTTGTTCTTGTGGTTCTTGGGGGTTCTCAGCAGGTCCCATGGTAGCTTCTGTGACTTCAGCCATAGTGCCAGGTGCGTTCTGGAATCCGATTCACTAATGACTGTTGAAGAGCGGGTCGTAACGGCTCTTCCGGATAGGAAAGATGATGAAAGGGAAGAGGGAAAAAGGATACGTAAATGGAAAGCTAAAGGGGTCCCCAGTACTAACTGGATCAACCTCGTCCTTTAGGGTCAAAGGGTTCTTTAGTCAACCCGACTGACACTTCCCTAATTACTAACTAGAAAGGAATACGTAAAACTATGCTTTGTTAAGTGGGAAAAACACTGTGTGCTTCGTGTGTGCTACTTCTCAGTCACCGAAAGGGTACAGGTCTAGGACAAGTTATCACTCTTCCAGCCGAAGCTTACAAGTGCGAGTCTCACTAGAATCCCGTATCTAAATCCTCGTGGTAACGATGGTAGGACTATCCGCAGATGCGACAGTTCCACTAGACTTAACGAAAGGTTCTACGTGCGTATGAAGAAAGATGTAGGTATGAAAGAAACTATAGTAACGTTGAGCAGGCAGGGTCTTGGGCCAGCACTCAAAGTTGTAGCGAGACGCCTAATGTCGTCAACACCTCCGTATACTGGCGGCTGCAATGTAAGGCAGGGCCTGGTATAGGACTACTAACTAATAAAGGCTATTCGTAAAAAGCTCAAATGAGCAAAGGGATGGGTTTCAGAAAATGGTCGCGGCTGTTTAGGCCGGGCAAAGGAAAACGTGTGATGATGATGAGAGATGTGCGAGCGGTGTGCAAAGAGTCGGAGTCTCCTATAGTTCAAACCTAATGTCACAACCCAATAACGAATTAACGCTGGGCAGAGACTAGGACTCAAACAAAGGTTATCGGACAAGAGGATAATTGAGCAAGTACGTCTTGGATTGCTACAGTGTAGATACAAGAGGTTTGAACTAAGGAACTATCAACCAAGACATGCTACCTATATACAACTATTGAGACGGAGATTGAAACTGAGTTACAACTACTAGCCAATCATAAAAAGAGAAAGGGAATCGTACCATAGAACATCGTAGAATATTAAAGAAGCATCACGTGACCATATCTTATCTTATCGTATCTAATCTAATCTATTCACAATCAAAGAACTCGTCTTCTTCATCAGTCACATCGAAGACACGTGTCGTAGGCGCTAAAGGTATTTCGGGAATGATAGACGTTTTCAAGGTAGGGTTAGGGTTTGTCTTAGGCGCTGTATATTGACGCTTAGGAAGATTCAGGAAAGAATAATGGTTTGTTAAAGGTACTCGTGACAGTGACACAGCTGTATGTATTTCAAGATATAGCTGATTGCAGTGTTGCTCCCCCTCTAGATGATAGCATTCCATTTCTCCCACTTCCGCCAGCATTCGACTCCCACAATCGAGAAAATTGGGCATCATTGTCGAAGGAGATTGAGACATGGCTGGTATTGGAAGTGGATCCAGAGTCACCATTGTGGACTTGGGGACATGATGCCTTTTGGCTAGCATTTATTGGCACATATCCATACTTCCTGAGAGACAGATGGCCAATGTGGGATTCTCGAGTACCGTTGCAAGGTACATTCATTGAAGCATGGTTAGATCAGTTGAGCGGCGCAAAGGCAAATTGGATTGGAGTACGAGGCATCAATGAAGTACTTGATCATGTTTGGACTGAGTTCTGCATGCATGTGGCCCTCTTCTATCCCAGTCCCCTTATTTCTTCTGACTGCCTTCAGGATGATCAAGCTTGCACTTCACATGTTTCAGTATGTTAAAATACCTATACCACAAAACTTGTCATTTTCGTTAGTGTCTATTGTTGTATATAGGTGTATTAATATTATGTGCTTGGACTGTTACCATGAACCAGCAAACTGCTGGAAGGCCTGCAGTGATATCCAGATCACTGATAGTCAAGAGTTGATGACATGCAGATTAGCGGCGGTCAGTAGACTGTCATAGGAGTAAACAGATAGGTCGGAGTCAGCGCCCAGCATCAGTGTCATATACATACAACCTCTCTCAGATGTCTCCGCTTCTGATCTTTACCACAAGTTTCCATCTGATATGGCAAAAATATTATTCACATGGCCTCACATCGAGCCCCGATGCAGGCCCAGGTGACCTATTTCCTATTTTTGCCAGACATCAGGTCAAATGCGCTGACACAACCTCTTTTTGTTAGCTTTACTCTATAAATGTGCTATTTACCTACAAAAGCTTTATTATAGTCAAGGTCCAGCTCGTAGTTAGGTCGCTTAAATAGTTTTTGCACTATATCTGTTCGGCCAAAAGCGGCAGTTGGTGGTGTAGTCGGCACTTCCAACATGGTTTGTGCAGTTTGAAACTCCGTCGCGGCATGACTTCGGCACATTCAACTATCTCATTCAATTTGTCTTCCATCATGACCTCATAATGAGAGAATGGTATCCATATTCGATATTTTGTGTCGAAGTAGCTAGAAATATGATTTTTGTAAAATGCTGACTTTTGTGGGATGTCGAATGCAACTTATGTCGGAAAAAAATTAAGTACCATTATAATGGTGCCAGCTTACAACACTCGTCAAGTGCCTTAAAGGCACCTTAAAAGGCATCTTTTAAGGCACCTGTAGGCATCTCAATCGTGCGAGGCTCCATTATAATTATTAATTATTATTAATAGAATCCTGACTGACCTTGAATTGATATCGTCCTTCCCTCCAAGTCCACCATCATATCCACCATCGGTTGGCAGCCTCTACATGTGTTATAAATAACAAATCCATCTATATTATATTTTGTTCATACCTGTACCTCCTGGATCCGATGGCTCCAACTCGATCTGCTCGACGAGGAAAGTATAACTATTCTGAAGGGACGCTAACAGGACAGATTAAATGTACTTACTGCGGCATGAAATTCAAGGCGCAAGGCATCAAGAAACACGAGACCAGCTGCAAGAAGCTCCTGGAAACTGAAAAGGAACAACAACGGTTCAATCAAGAGTATGAGAGAGGGCAACGAAAAGGTGAGTCGCCCAATTGTGTGCCATCATTGATATCATGATCGTTCAACTGATTGTGTTTGAATTTACTTTCAGCACAAAAGGCTCGCGGGGCCCTTAGACTCGACATCAGCAAGGCTGGCCCATCAAATCTAGCCAGCATTTCTGAATCTAAGTCTGATGCAGGTGATGCTCACGCTGACGACCGCGATGCATTGCCTGCGCCTGAGGAGCAACTTGATTTTGACAGCAATGTGGGAATTACGAGCCCTGGTAAGCGTTTTGACTTCATAAGCGTTGTTGATTCGGAGGCTGACTTATTTTGTACAGTATTATCTGATGCAAGCATGGCCACTATTAACCCGGTGCCTGCAGCATCTGCTCAGCTCCCTAGCGAGTTCAAAACTGAGTACCATCCTCGCTCTGGTCGCCAGACGCTCTTCCAACCTTTTGATCAATTCGGCATCTCCCCAGAGGCGCAGGATGCACCTATTGTTGACAAGGAACCATGGCGTCCTTTCAGATCGCGTGGGGACTTCGAATTTTCCGAGATCGCAATCGAAGCTGCCCTTAATAAGTCTCAAATCAACGCACTCCTCAATCTCATCACGCGGATATCTGAAGGCCATGCCCAGATCACTTTGAAGAATGAATCCGATCTCTCAAAGGCATGGGATAATGCCGCAGCTGAATTAACACCAGTACGTCTCAGCCTTACCCTCTCACATGATTATATTGCTCAACGCTTTAGCTCACTACCTAAATAGTTCTCAAAACACAACGTTGCTGTGACATACAAGAAGAATGAGCAAGTGTATGAAGTTCATGCCCGGCCTATCTGGGACTGGGCACTTGATTTATTGGATAACCCATTGCTTGCACCTCACTTTGTCTGGGATGCGTGTCGTGTTTACAAACACAATGACGCGCAGTTCGAGCGTTTCTTCAACGAACCGTGGACTGGAGATAGGTGGTGGGATATTCAAGTATGTACTAGTTGTTTTACACTGTCAAACATATAAATTCACGCCTGTTGTATATCGTTGTTTGTATCGTTGTGAAAAACATCAGTCTTCTCTTCCTGATGTCGACGGCGCTGTCCTGTTTTGTTTCATTTTGTATGCTGACAAGACAAAGTTATCATCCTTTGGTACCGTCAAAGGCTACCCAGTCGTGGTACGATGCGCGAACTTACCTACGCATATTCGGAATGGTGAGGTGTTTGGTGGTGGCCGTGTTGTCGGATGGCTGCCTATCGTGAGTCGTTTGTTTTTAAATATTAACTCAATTTGCATTACATTGCAGGTTCCTGAGGATGCAGGTGAAGAAGGCAAGCTAGGCTATACAACGCTGAAACGCGTTGTGTGGCATGAATCATTCAAGAAACTCCTGGAACATGCCACACAGTACTCGAAGACCGGCTATTCGCACAAGAGCCACAACGACATTTTGCGATGGCTATTTCCTGTCATATTAATTCTTTCAGCTGACTACGAAGAACAGTAAGTCCTTCCAGTCCTACTCATCCTGTCCAACTTCCCTTACCCATTGAGAAGGTGCATGATGTCGCTCATACGTGGCCGCAACGGCAAGTGCCCTTGCCCCGTGTGCTTGGTACCATTAGCAGAGCTCCACGACCTATCGAAGACCTACGCCATTAGATCCGTTGAAGAAGCAATGGAAGCGCTTCGTGTCTATAAGCGCAGCAAAGCTCAAGGTGAGGAGCTACTGAAAGCTCTTGGATTGCGGCCTGTTGAGGTATGGTGGACTTTTTTGCATGATTCAAACTTGCTGATATTAAGAACACGCTCGTTAGAATATCTTTTGGATCATATGGTATTCGGATCCACATGATGCGCTCAGCTTCGATCGATTACACTCACTGCATGGCGGCCTTTGGAAGCACTTTCTTGGTGAACTGAAGAAAATCCTCGCATCGCTTGGACGCGAAGCCGAGGCAGCATTTGAGAAGCTGTAAGTCATTGATACTAAGCCTTTTCACAATCTGAGTCATTTTGCAGGATTGATGACTTCCCTCGATGGCGTAACCTCAACCACTTCAAATCTGCTATCAATATCTCGTTTTCCGATGGAAACAAATTCCAGGACCTATCTAAAGTGAGTCTTTTCAGCTGTTTTGCGATCATATATGTCACTTATTATCTTGAAGCAAACCTTATATGCATGTTTGAATCTTCTGACCCCCAGAACCTCCCCAGAGGGCCACCAGCTACTTCGTGTCATCAGCACTTATCTCCAGCTGGATAGTTTGATCGGCCTCGATGTACATACTGAGGGCACACTTGCGGCAATCGAAGCCGAACTCCTGATTTTTGATACGGAACTCAAGGTGAAGTGCTTCCTTGTCACTTCATATCTACCTATTCATATTCACACATTCGTTTTAGGCCTATATTACATGCGCCGAATCATCCGACATCGAGAAATTGAAGGTCGACTGGAATTTTCCAAAGACTCACTTATGGAAGCACGTTGTTCGCGATATCCGACGCAAAGGAGCAGCGCGTAATTACAGTACACGTCCCAACAAAAAGCTGCATGGCCCCCTCAAGGACACCTACCACCATCGAACAAACAGAAAGGATGTTGCCGGGCAGGTAAGTCTGCAGTTTCTTGTTACTGATTTCAAATTGAACTGATGTTTTTCTTAGATCCTTCGTGTCGAACCACCACAAATTTGCCCTGATGCTCTTGAGGGAACGTGTTGACGCGGTTGACGAACTGCAACCGGTTGCAAGCACTTGGAAATAATCTTCCTGATGAAGACGACGTTGCTGTTGCCTTCAGTGGTCACGTGAAGCTAGGCGCACCCACACAGAATCCTTCGTCAATCCTTGATCTTGAGAACCGCAGTGCAGTGGATCGCTCATTTCAAGCTTTTCGGAGGAAGTTTACTGAATTTATCAACACCTCTCTGCCTACCTATGGGCATCAACTAACTGAACTGGATTACATTTCCAGCTGATTATCAGGTATGTACCAGTATCTTTAAATCCAGTTTCTTATTGATTTACTACGCAGATTCATGAATACCGCTATCTCAAGGTCAATTACGAGTCAATGGTTGACTGGAAGCAAACCACTGATCACCTCCGGTGCAACCCGCAATTCCATGGGTTGCCGCGGTTCGACCATGCCCTTATACAGCTTACAGCAGATGAAACGATCTTTGTTCGACTGATACTCTTATTTAGATGCTCTATCTTGAACCTTGGGTCCTTCGACTTTGCACTCGTTCAGCCTTACACTGCGAGAATCAATGGTTCTCGCAGAATGGACCGTTTCTTCAAGCTCACTCGTGTGAAGGCCCTCCCTAGGGCGTCTTCAATATTCATCCCACTCAGTTCTTTCATTCGAGGCGCTGTTTTGGTCCCCGACGCTGATCATCAAGATGAACACCTCGTTGTTGACCACCTTGATAGTGATATGTTTCTTCAAATGAGGGCCCGGGCACGGTAAATGTGAGTCTATTCTCCCCATTCTCTGTCATTCTTTCTCACATTGCCGCGCTACAGTCCGCAGTCTCCATCATTCTCTTCCATGTCACTGCAGTAGCCTCCCACCAGACCTTCCTTCCACCCCGCTATCCTACTCCAGCACCTGCGCAAATGTCCCCATCCTCACCAAAGTATTCTCCCACCAGACCTTCCTTCCACCCTACTATCCTACTCCAGCACCTGCGCAAATGTCCCCATCCTCACCAAAGTATTCTCCCACCAGACCTTCCTTCCACCCCGCTATCCTACTCTAGCACCTGCGCAAATGTTCCCATCCTCACCAAAGTATTCTCCCATATACTTCCCAGCTCGTATTTCCGCACCAGTTGACCCCAAATCCCACTATGTATCACTCACATACTGTAAGATTCTCTGCCCGGCTGCTAACTCAACTATCACTGACCTTTTTGTAGCTCCTGCTTCTCCCGCCTATAGCCCAACATCATCCGCCTTCCAGTTCGGCACAGAACAGCCACAGTCACTCATACAGCACATCACCATCCTGGGAGGAAGACTGCTGTTCAACTCGTGCAAAAACGTGAACCGGTAAGCTCTTTCTGAACCCACTCCCTAACTCTTTCTTATATTGTACCAGTAGGCTTTGCCGTCATTGCCCAACTCAGTGCAAAAAACTTGGACCTGTAAGTCTCTTTCTACTCACTGACTCTTTCTTACATTGTAACAGTACTTTCTGCCGCAATTGCTCAACTCGTGCAAAAAACTTGGACCGGTAAGCCCCCCCCAATCTACTTTCTTACTCTTTCTTACATTGTACCAGTAGGCTTTGCCGTCATTGCTCAACTCGTGCAAAAAACTTGGACCAGTAAGTCTCTTTCTACTCACTGACTCTTTCCTATATTGTAACAGTACTGTCTGCCGTCATTGCTCAACTCGTGCAAAAAACTTGGTAAGTAAAATGTTTTCTCTTCACTACATAAACAATCTGATTGTGGCTCTCACGAGCCGCCATCTAACATAATAATGTCACCAGACTCTCCTCCTATGGTTAGGGCGCCATTCATTTGTAAGGTGAGGCCTGCCCTATTACACGCTGTTTGCACTCATTAGTGTACAGATACCTCGGCAAGTTTTCATGCATACTGCAATGCGGCTAACATGTTTTTAGCGACGTAATTGCCCTGCATGCAAGTTATTGAGGCCGTCGGCTCCCTTGGGACGACATTTATATAGGGTAATTGTTCGTCTTGTCATTGTGTCCTGTCCGCTAACACTAGATACCTTCCTTCTACCTAGTTTCGGAGCTACAGACTGTCATTGCCATGCCGCGCAACCACAGACCTGGACCAGATGATGGTGAAGATTTCGAAGCTGAAATCAATGCTGTCATGTCAGACGAGTCCGATGGCTCTGACGGATCAGACAGTGACCAATCTGGGAGTGACCTTGACCAGTTGAGGTTGGTCCTGGCAGTCCCTGGTGCCGATGCCCAAATGCACGAAGTTCGAAAGGTAAGCACACTCGCAATGCTGGCAAAGTATGTCATCTGATATGTTATAACATATGTAGGCTCTCGCAATAGCCCAGCAAGCCTACAATACAACACGATCCGAATTACGTGTCCTCAAGAGACAATACCTTACACTATCTGCTGCGATTCCTGCTCGTAGCCGCAACCGCGTGCTCAAGAAAACATCTCCACTAGACTCCAGTATCAGCCATCAAGGTCAGCGATACACGTTGTACTGTCACTTCTGGGTCGCAAATGGCCTGTTCCCGACAACGCCTCAACCTGGTATTGATTCATGCAGTGCTACTCGCTGGACTTCTCCTGAGGAAAAACTCAAAGGCGCAATGGCCGAACTTTACTTGTTCATACCCAAAGACTTGCACCAATCAATGGAGACGTACTCTTGGTTTTCATCCTTAGTAAGTGCATCATACTCTACTTTGAAGTCCCAGACCATGCTGATACTTGTTATCATTAGTTTCGTGCTGCGGTCAGCTCCAAGAGGTCGAATATCCTGCACAGCATCAAGGACTGCGCAGGCGTCATTTTCGCTTCTTTCAAGCTCGATCCCAGTCTTTTTGCCGACAAACCATCAAAGAAGCAAGATAACAAAGACCTCCTTGGCTTACTGAAGAAGAATGGCGAGGGCGACTTCATCCGTCTGGCGCCTGTATTATTTGCAAAGCCAAACGCCATGGCAGCTGACGAGTTTCTCAAGTCTATGGTCCTCGTCAAAGTGAGTACCGCTGATCAATGTACATGAGCTGTGCCTAACTCTACTTGTTCTAGATTGTCCGCGTTGAAGTCTTTGGGAAGGCAATACTTGGTGGAAAGACCCGGGGGCATCCGAAAGGCAGAGGTCTGCGCATGGGCGCACAGAGTGTCTCAGAGGGTATGATTGCAGGCGCAGCTATCTTGGTGAGTATATCATATGTTCTTTACCTTACATTGCTGATTTTCACTCGTTCAGGCACGTTTCTTATTGACACACGACGCCGAACTTACTGCGGTTGGGGCAGAGACCAAAATCGACTACCAGAAAGACTTCGATTTCTACTTGGAACGCCTACTCAAAGGCACACCATGGGCGATTAGCGTGATGGAGTACTTCAACAAAGAAGTCTTCAATACTGCGGTGGCGCCTAGTGCGCCTGCATCTACTGTGGTGCCTACTGCTGCACCTCGCACTTGGGAGGATGATTTCCTACAGGAACTCGACAACATTGAATCGGTCCCCCACAATGCTTCACCATCTCATTCTAGTGCACGGTGTGCACCTTCTCCTGCCCTTTCCGCCCTTTCCACTGTCTCCACTCCGACACCCGCCTCTGCTGTTGTCCATGATGACCATCCCACCTCAACAACCATGAACTTCACTTCGTCAACTCAGATGTCTGTTAGTCAGATGCATGTTACGTCCGCTTCGACACAGCTGCATTTCGGCATCAATTGATTATCACTTAATGCCGAAGACAACATTTCCGATTCTGTCGCCGCAGCGCCTGCACTACTGACAACGGGCTCCCAAGTACCTGCTCGTCGTAAGGGCCGTGTTACAGCACAGGCAGCTGCCCAAGACACACCTACAGAAGCTCCAAAGGCTAAGCGCGTCAGTTCTCGCAGCAAGAAGGCAACTACGAAGTACACAAAGTGATTCTCCTGACAATATCCCATACTGTTGTTTCAGTTATCTTAGCACATTATTTGTTCTCCTTTCATGTATTTAGGTTCAAATACATGGTCATGTTTCATTTAAATGACATCTACAGATTCTAAAAGTCGTTGTTGAGATGCCTTCGAAGCTTCGCCATCAAATGACTTGTCTTTACTATCACCGCTATGCTGCCTTATAAGGCTCTTAAAATGTCGTTATGGGTATGTGGGTTCCTCACTATGTATTGGCCCTATGGCCAAGGGGTAACTATGCCCTTCAATACTATGGTCCTTACTAAGTAAGGTTAAAGTCTAGAGTTCGAATCCTACCTACAACAATAAAATAGTAGTGATACAATTGTAATGATTCGATAGCTAGATAATGGATTAGATAGTAAGTTAATGATTAGGATTAGATAGTAATGTAATACATATCATGATTAGATAGTTAGATAGTAATGTAATAACTACAATAGTGAGATAAGTAGAGTACTCAAATAACAAGGTGGTATGAGATGTTAAAAGATCACGTGGAACACTCAAATGATATTTTGTTTGTTTCAAGATTTCCGGCAGCATTATGATACCTTACAATGCCTTTCAAGGTCCGCCCCTCACGTGTCACAACACAGCCATTCTGATGCCTTACAATGCATAGTGGCAACCATTATAAGGTCTTGAAATATAATCGTGTGTCATTCAAATACATTAAAATAGTATGTGTGAAAATTGGTCCTTAAAATGTCTACCAAGGAATCACAATGGTGCCTGGAAATTTCCGACATAAATGGAAGGGATCATATGTTATCGAGAATAGAATAGCTACAAGTTGTATGTTTTGGCAAAAGCTTCAAACCCACTTTGTCCTCTGCCTAGACCAACTTGAAGCATCCCCGAGCCTATTCTCGCTTTAGTAATTAATTGGCTCTCTACAATCCTCCGGCTGTTTTTGAACAAGACCCATGATGAGGAATTGTATAATTAATTGTGTAACCAGGTTGTGTTGTGCTCTTGCTATTGTCGATTGCAATTTGATTGCCCCCCCATGAGAGGAAACCCCCGTATTATGGACACGGCACAGTAGGTGTGCAAGACATTGTTCACTATAGGCTCACAGTGTTATGCCAAAGTATAGCTATGTAGAGAGACGTCCTTTTAGTATTTCAGCGATGACTTTCGAGTAGAAAGTACAATGATATTTGTGACATAAAATTCTTCAATGCATAAATATGCAGCTCAAGTAATGTGCACATATAATGGGCACTTTCACAAAACTCGTATTTCAACACAAAATTCTATATCTACATATTCTTCTCTCTCACTCATTCCTCAATGTCAGGCGCCCACTCGACTATGCACCCTCCATATTATCCAATGCACCATTCTGTACCTCAGTCTCCCCCTCACTTTGCACCAGTTGGCTGACCTCGCTAGTATGTCTCATGATTTTCGAGTTGGTGGTGGAGCGCATATGCATAATGCAGGCCATCATCGATGTCATCCGTAGACTCTATCATCAACAGTACCAATCACATGTGTACAAACCTCGTTTTCAAAGCATTACATCGACAACTTTGAGCTCAGTCTTCGGAGAGTGAAAAGTTGACAATGCCGCTACTGTGCCGATGTGTGACACGACGTGACCAGAAGTGCCTTCCCCACAAAATTCTTAAAAAATCAGGAAAAATCAGATTCATATAGAACACATACAACGGTGCAGATCCGTAAAAAATATGTTATAGTGGAGGATAAAAAATGTTACAGAAACCCCAGGGTTCCGATCCTATTACTGTAGGTCACGAGTTGGTGATCCCTGAATCGACGAACGGCCATTTTGCAGCGCTCATCTTTGCTCCGTGAACGGTAAGTACATCTTCAGTAGGTGTTCAGCTCCACGAAATATGCAGAGTACATACAATCTCACGATAGAAAGCCGAGATTAAACCTCCCCGCACTCGAATAGGGCTATGTCCGACATAGGATCCATGACCCTAAAGGACAATAAAACTGAAAAATAAGTACATCTTCAGTTGGAGGGTGATCTCAGCGTGGGCAGCACGCGGGAGGAGGGTCACAAGAAACCTGAGTTTGTTTCCCTGTCAGGTTGAATTGTGTCGACAAGCGCAAACTAGGTAGCTTTACGCACCGCGTCTCGTCACTTCCCTATTTCTTGCAGTCGTCCATCCTCTAGCGTTCTTCCTGATTGCGACCAGAAGTGAATATAGTGACCTACATTTGACCGCGACGTCACCACGTCTTTCGACCTCTAAACAAAGTCAGCCGACTCCTACAGGTAAAGCCTTGCTGTCCAAAAATTATGCATTGCCACGAGAGTATCATAAACCAAACAACATTGAATATCGCAATTACGTATATCAGATCAGGACCCAAGAAACTTATTGGACGAGTAGAACGCAGGCTACGAGGAGAAGTCAGCATTTGATCGATCGTTGACATAGCCTGAACGTGCACTCACCCGCCTCCGCGCCTCCCTTGCACGAACTGATACCCACATATTATCTTCTTCTTGAAATATCCACTCTGTTTGAGAGGGAAAGACGATACGTCGTAGGGAAGGACACGCGTTCTGCCATGATCGACAGAGTGAGAGCTCTTCTGCACTGTTACTGAGCCTAGTATAATCAACGTGCGTAGGAGAGAGGTCGAGCGTAGAAAGATTGCGAAATGCGCTGAGAAGGTGCGAAAGCGCTGCTAGCAAGCCCTAGAACGAAGAACACAATCATAAACGTCTTTGAAAAACGAGAGTGCAAAAAAGAAAAAAATACGACATGAAAAAGTAAACTCACGATACCTGCGAAATGCAAAGTATGCCTCAACGCAAGCTTCACTTTCAACGACTCGACTGTATTGAGATTCTTGGATAAATTTCGCAGTAATGTCGGGGTAACCAACATGGATGACAAATCCAGATGGCGGAGTGGAACGCTCGTCAGGGTCATTTGGGATAGATCTAGGTCAGGGATGTAGTCCTGTCCTATGAGTACGAGTGATTGTACGGGTCTTCCTGGTAGGATTGCAGCTGCTACGCGTGGTGAGCCGGAAAATGATATGAGAGATGGGAGGGATTTAGGGAGAAGGGTGATCTGATCGTGATAGTCGGGAAGACGGAGGTGTCGTGCGGCAGGGAGAGCGTTGAGAAAATTTATGAGACGGTTAGGAGTAAAGGGGCCAATACCGCTGAGAGAGACGCGTCGGAGAGAGTGATAACAAGCATCGGTAGGAGGGATTGAGAGAAAAGTTGAAGTTGGGTGTTCTGGGAGGGATGGCAAGCCGAGATGTAGGTCTAGGGACTGGAGGTTTGTTGCGAGGGCTATTGTTTGTGAGATATTGGAGAGGAAGATGTCAAACTCTGGGTCGTAGTATCCACCGTACTCTAATTTCCATCGGATATGGAGTTTGTGAAGTCCGGTGGCGAGATGTGAATGAAGACAAATGGTCTGGCAGCAACGAAGGGTGGTGTGGGGGAGTGAAGATGAGGTAGAGAGGGTCTCTGAGATGAAGATGTTTGAATATAGCAACCATTCTGCAACTCCTCTCCACTGGCGTGATACACGGGCGACAACTGCCAAGACAGAAGGGGATAGACCGCGACAGATAGTAGCAAGAGTCTCATTTGGTAGAGATGTACGCCAGGTCGAGTCAGACTGTGGAGCGTTTAAGTCACTAGCCATGGTGGTCGTGTCCATAGCAGGTCGTCGTAGGGGAGATGGTTAGTTGGGAAAAGGGCATGCAAAGCTACGCGAAAAGTCGGTGAAACCACGGACATACTGATGCATCAGGCAAGTTGGAAGACCAAGCAAAGGATAAGCTTGGACCGACAAGAGTCTTAGATGATCCGAACCACGTGGAGATGATTTTAAGAGTTAAAATTACAGTACTGATACAATATATAAATAATAGGATAACATCCAGAAATCTCTATGCACCGAAACCATACAGAGTACGCCCTGATCGCTTCAGTGCGTAAACGACGTCAAGGGCGGTGACAGTTTTCCGTTTTGCGTGCTCAGTGTATGTTACGGAATCACGGATGACCTAGCACGAAAGGTGAGAAGGTAGATGAAGGGAGTCAACGCGTGAACGCACATTTTCAAGGAAGATCTTGAGGACACCACGGGTCTCCTCGTAGATGAGACCGGAGATACGCTTGACACCACCACGACGGGCGAGACGACGAATAGCAGGCTTTGTTATGCCTAGACACGCCAGTTAGATATATAAATGACCAGGCTGGATGAATGGCTTACCCTGGATGTTGTCACGAAGAATCTTACGATGACGCTTGGCACCACCCTTTCCGAGACCCTTGAGAATGAATGAGACCTAATGCAAAAGATGCGTTGTGATATGAAACTTACCTTTCCACCTTTTCCACGGCCAGACATTGTGTTGATTGAGTTAAGAGTAAAGTTGAGTGGGCCGCCGAGTTCAGCCACAGTTGCTTTTATACCATCGGGGGGTGGCTGTGTTGAATATCCGTATCCGGTTTGTTGATTGACCCTTCACGTGACAGCGCGACGCGTCTGTATATAGGGTCACCCCAATTCGGTGACTTGTGCTCATTCCCCGACTATCACTTCAAATGGCTCGTACTAAACAAACCGCTCGCAAGTCTACTGGTGGTAAGTCGCACTTGGGGTTTTCAACAAGACTCGAGCTCATCAAATATCAGGCAAGGCCCCTCGTAAGCAATTGGCAGCCAAGTCTGCAGCCCGCAAAACTGCGCAAGCAGTACGTCTTGTTTTTCAAACTACTGCTGAACTTTGCTGACGACACTTGCTCAGAGTACTGGTGGTGTCAAGAAGCCCCATCGTTTCCGTCCCGGTACCGTCGCTCTTCGTGAGATTCGTCGGTACCAGAAGTCAACAGAGCTCCTCATTCGCAAGCTCCCCTTCCAACGACTCGTTCGTGAAATCGCACAAGATTTCAAGGTTGGTTTCATGCTGTATTTTAATCGCATTCATCTGATCGCTTTTTCAGACTGACCTGCGCTTCCAATCATCTGCCGTGATGGCTCTTCAAGAAGCTGCTGAAGCATACCTCGTCTCATTGTTCGAGGACACCAACTTGGCCGCTATCCACGCCAAGCGTGTTACCATTCAACCAAAAGATCTTGCTCTTGCACGGCGGCTGCGTGGCGAGCGTTCGTAGAGGGTTATTTATTCCTGGCTGGGTTGTATTCTATTGTATCATCTACTTTATTTCGTACTAGACCATTTGGCATGCACCTTGCAATGACGAGCCAATTCCACATACCACAAGGCTGACGTCGAGCGTGTTGAGGCTACCTTGGAATTCTGTCAGCCACCGAGCTCGAAGCATACAAAAACTCGCTCTTTGCTCTTTCCAACCCATCACCAATTTTGACTTCGCATCTTTTACTCCACTACTCCACATTCATTCACAATGCGCTCCTTTTTGACTCTCGCTCTCATACTCCCGTCCGTGCTCGCAGCGCCTTTTAACGTCCACAAACATGTAAGTCCCCAATCATTTCATCAAGGCATACTGCCGACTCCATTCACCCGCCCTACACAGTCACCCCCCTGCATCATCGCAGGCATCACCTACCCAAACCCTCATCACACCCTCACCCTCCTTGGCAAACGAGAAATTCGCGCTCCCACCGGAATCTCCGAGCGCGCTTTCACCGACTTCCTCCTCTTATGCCACAAGTCCGGCGGTCGTTCACGTTCATCCTCCGCCCCCCTCATCGCTCGTCATCAAGGCAGCTACTTGTCCAACGCTCTCGGGGATCCGGCAGGGAGCGATGACACGACCACTCCAGGAGACGCTTCGTCTGGTGACTCGGATCGGAGTGCTAGCCCTTCTGCTGCTAGTCCTTCGGGGGCTCCTGCGACTACCACTTCTTCGACTGCTCCATCTCCTTCAGAGACCCCTGGAAGTACGACAGCTGGGTCCACGTCGACTGATACTCCCGCCGGCGACAGCAACGACGCTCTTGGAACTCCGGCCAACGCTGCAGGAAGCCCTCCCTCCGGATACACAGCTGCGATCACCGATCCCGCAGTAGCACAACCCGACTCATCCGAGTCTGCGTTGGACACGTCGACGCCCCAAGGTTTGACTACCGATTTTTCCGACTCTTTCGTGGACAGCAACGTATCCAGCAGTTTTGGCGACGTATCTGGCAGTATGAGCGACCCGTTCGGCAGCTTTGACGACGTACCGGTCGATGATGTCGAGGAAGGAAACCCTGTCGCTATGCATGCTCAAGGCGGTGTCTAGGAAGTATGGTCGTGTATTGCTGATTCTCTCTTCGATAGTTGTGCGAATAAACGAGGTACTATGATGTTAGTTTTTCGGAAGGCTCGTCCACCACTGCACATTCCCAAGCTGTCCAGGTCTTCATTAAGAGATTGATTCGATATACAAACAACCATATGCATGCTCAAGGCGGTGTCCTTGCGATGGTCGTGTACTACTGGGTCTCTCTTCGATAGTTATGCGAATAAACGCAGTTTAAAATGGTACTATGGTATCGGAAGGCTTGTCTATCTCGCCGCACATTGCCAAACTGTCCAAATCTTTATTAAGAGATTGGTTCGATATACAAACGACCATATCGTACTGATACTTAATATACAATTCATGATGTAGTGATTGTCCTGTCCTGTCCTTTGTCAATAAACATATGATTAGTGTAGTCCCTGGCCAAGTTTCGTAATCGAAAACCATGCAAGCCATTTCACATCCATGCAGCGCCGAGAGCAACAAAAACACCACCCACAAGCGGTGCCCATGGAACACCCCAACGGGAAGAGGCAGCATTACTTCCACCTGTACCCGCTGTCGCGCTAGCTGAGATCGAACCAATAGTAGGCGAAGGAGGAGCAGCATTGACCCCGTTCATAGCAGTCGCGGTATTCGAGAGCGCAGCAAAACCCACAGCAGCCGGGTTATACCGGAAAACCGAATAAACATTTTTCTGCAATCACTTCAAGTGAGCACATTGGCCGTTTAAGTACCAGAAAAGCAAGCTTACGAGGAAAGTGTCGCCGACGATCCAATTTGGTGCACTTCCACCTGTGTTCAGTTCGAAGAACGCACCGACGCATTGGGAAGAGCTGATCTTTGTGAGCTGGAAGTCGGCGGGGGAGATGGGCCAGCTGGGTCCGCCGAATGAGATGCTAACGTGGACGGCGGTGTTACAGGGGTACATCCAATATCCCTGCCAGTTGCCTGTGCCAGCCTGTGAGCCTGGAATTTGAGCGAAGATGTTTTGGATAGCACTGGAGGGTCCGCCGACGAGAGTGGTCCCGGTGTCAATGGCGGAGTAGGATGAAGAACCGGAGGGGATGGTGACGGAGCTTCCTTGAACGGTTAACGCTTGGAGACAATCAATCACAGGAGAGCTAAGCTACAAATGGACTCACATGTCATCGGTAGAATCCAATAAGACGGTGTCGTAGGAAGGGACTGGTAATCAATAGTACCTGTGTAGAGACTGCTGTTGAGAAAGCCTAGCGATCGTCTATCAGTTCGCAAATAAACTCCGAGCAGAAATGACATACCCATAGTGAACGACCCGCCAGGTTCCGCAGCATTGACGTTGGAACCATTTATAAACCGCGTGAGCTGAAATGCCATGACAGGATCTGACCAAGCCCCAGAACTTGCCAAGGTCTGCCAGAACGGTGTCGCTTTCGAAGTAGCTATGCTCTGCCATCCTAAGCCCAACAAGCCAGACACGGGTGGTTGCAGAAGGCCCGATGTCGCCTGCGTGACAGTACCAAAAATCTGGTTGGGAACAGAGAACCCAGCCATCTGGACAACGTCCTGGCCTAATGAACCTTCTGCAGCGCCGGAGCCGTATTGGATGTCGAAGGGCTCAGACAGGTTGTGGAAAGTAGATGAGCTTAAGTCATTGAATAACTGGACTTTGGAGCAGCCAGTAGTGCAGGCTTGATCTGCGACCCAGAGATCGCTAATTCGTGGGCAATGTTAGTTACAGTTGGCGGAAAGATTGTCAGGGGTAAAATGACTTACGCCGAGCCGGTGTCAAGGATGACATTAAAGGAGACTGGGGGTGTTCCTATAGCCACAGTTCCGTAATAACTGTTTAAAATGAAAACGTTCGACGAATCGATCTACGGCAGAATATCACCGACCGACCTTGAATCCGCATTCTGGTTTGTTAACCTGTGGAGTGATCAGCGAGGGCGACATGGATCGCAGTGCTAGGAGCTCATTCTCACAAATTTGTTCCGGTACTCCTTTTCTCCACGTTTCCCCCATACTTGGCAGTGAGGACCTCTCGTTCATTCTTGGCCCACAATTCCCAGTCGGCGACGGTTCGTTCAGGTTGAGTTCTTCGTATGAGGGGGATGGACTGGCCAGCAGCCGGGACTACATGAGGGGCAGCAAAAACGTTTGGTAAGACAATGAGAAGGTAGGACAGTGCGAGTGTCGATGAGGAGAGCATTGTAAGGTGACTTGAAAGCGATGAAAACTAGAACTTAATATATATGATATAAGATATTTAAGGAGGCAGTGTTGAGGAGGGAAAGAACGTGGTTATGTGCTCACACCGTGGTTAACGCATGAGAGATGTCTTGGTACTGCGGATGGCCCGCCAAGGCCGCCGTGTTATGTCAGCGCCTAAACTTGAATCTCCTATAGCTCTATGAATCCAACTATTCATTAGTGGTACCATCTGGCAATGCAGTCCTCAGGCTCTACTAGTAGGGAGACTTACTTCGTCGATTTTACAGCCCTCCGCCCATAAGCTCCATGGACCTAGCCCATCGTCGATCCTCATGACTTCATACTTAGGCACCGAGGCTGGAGCTGCTGGATCCGAGGTAAATCTTGTTCCGAGACAATCATCCGAATAATCCGACAAGCATGTTGAACAAGCCCGACAACTAAGGACACATCTGACAAGCCCAAGCTATATAAGGTATATCCAAAAGCTCGTCTACCCTAAACAGCCGCCAAGTTTCCTTATTCAACCATTTCTCAAGGAACTCCCTAAGGACATCTTCTTGTCTCAGTTCAACGATCACCAACGCCCACGTCTTTCCTGCAGTCGAGACAGTCTCGATTGTCTCGATGAGTGCGGGAAGAAGCGAAGGGTGGTATATACAATCAACGACCAGGATGAGATCCCACTCGGCGTTGAGCTCAGGTGGCTTGGGGTAATAGCTTGACCGCCTAGTTGGCGGCAAGGACAACAATATTTCCCAGTCTAGTTCTTCCACGGAGATATTAGATCCTGGTGATCCATCTGGAGGCTTTGTATTTTGCGTCCAACCCGCGAAATTTAGAGCAACGTTTTTCTTGATAAGTGGGAGAAGGGGCGCGATGTCTGTTGCAGTGTAGCTCTTTACACATGCAGAAAGCGCGATGCTAAGCAAGCCCGTTCCTGCACTGTCCAACCGATCAGGGTGAATAACAACAGCAACCACAAGCGTCGACATTCACCCTAACTCGAGTACATGGCTCTCTCGAAGCAGATCCTTATCGACCAATGGGTTGCTTGGAGGGAAGCGGTGCTGCTGCAGGATAACTTGAGCAAAAGCAATGCTACCATCATCTCGTCGGATGTCTGCTTAGCGAACAAAGTACGCAGCATAATCCTACCTCGCTCGCCACAAGACACTCCCAGTATCTCCTTTTCGACTGCGTAGCGCAGTTTTGTCTTGCGCAAGTTCAATATCGATGACATGTGAGGTCTCTTCACCACGAGTTTTCCTCGCAGACTTGCCCTTTCGTGATCTTGACGCAGATTTAGATTCGGCGGCTCCCGAGGAGGATGTTGAGGGCGATGGAGCGGTGAGTTCAAATCGAATGGAAAGGGTGTCCTTGCGAGAATCAACGTGTCCTAGGCCGTGGAACCCATCTGGTCCTGTCGGCTCGAGTGGTTTTTTGTTCAGAGCTGTGTATATGAGGAAGATCTGCGACGGTATAGATTTGAATTATAATGTAAGATAATTGAGCTGACCTCCTCGTCTGCATTGGTCACTGGTTCGATGCCATCCGGGAGCTTCAGCAGATTCGAGGACATGATGTACAGGCCTACAGACAAGTTACGACTCGGACCAAAACGCTGTGATACAAACAGGGCCAAATAATTGTAACTTAATGCATGTTCCTACTACTAGCAGTCTACATTGAACTGCAACGATCAAGTACTCGCGACTTCGCTGCGATAGCTGTTGTCTTTTGTGGTGGATGCCGCGAACTCTCGATCCTCTCTATCCGATCGTAACCACGCTCAGGCTGTAGTTGCTCAGCGGACGCGTTCACAGTGGCGCACACGATATATACGCGATCTTGTGAGCACCCTCTTGGCTCTCCATATCTTCATCTTTTGTAGCTTATAAAAATTTATCGTGTCCTAAAAAAAGATATATCACGCACCTTTCACTGCTACTAGACTTATTGTCATCTTCCCTTGCAATCACGATTTCTGCTTCACTATGCCTGACTGGACAATTATCCCGCCAACCATCGAGGACCTCGATCAGAATTATTGTCATCCAATGATCGTGAAATTATTTCGCATCATGAAGACCATTTACGGGCTTTTGGATCCGCAAAATGAACCGTCCGGGATCCATGAAGGAAAACATACCGCCACCTTTGGTTATGAAAATTCAGAAACACCAAGCGAATCCTCTGTACTATCAAGCCTTTACATTCATTTCGGTCTATCCAGCGAGACCTCTCCACGATTTGCTATCATATTGCCGTCTATGCAAATCGAAGACTTGACACAAGGGTCACGCATACCTATCCCGACCGAGCTCATGCCGACCGTAATAGACATACGCGATTTCGCCGTTGCGAGGTCTCAGTTTACCCCAGATGACCCAGAGTACGACATAGACGAACCAGAGAGCTACCCTGCAGGTCAGGTGTGGGAACGAGTTCAAATGCAGGTGAGAGCTAATGCGTATCATTGACCTATTTGTTTAAATGCAAATCGTCGGCATCAGAAGTATCACGACCTTCTTTTGAATTCAGGCGTAATCGAGAGCACAGACCCTCAACACAGTCATCGATGTGATATTTGTCGATCAGACCTTCTCCAATGCAAGGTTTGTCTGAAAGTAATGTGTCCCTCACGCAACTGCGCCGCATTTCCTTTGTTTTGCATGCGCTGGCGGCCATGTGCCGCAGGAAACCACTGCTGGTACAGTGACATTTGTATTGATTGTGTCGTCGGCGGCACAACCTGTCTATGCGAGGAAACCTGGACGTGCGATCTCTGCACAGAAAAAGGCGGCTTCTTTTTACGTTGTCTCCGCTGCGATAGGCCATTTTGCGGTGGATGCTCGTACCTTGTGGGATGTCGCGGTTGTAAAGCTTCGAACCTCTGTCACGACTGTGCCGAAGAAGCCCCAGAGAGTGTAGCAAAGGAAAACTTCGTGGAACTCGTCGGCCCGTGCGCCAAATGTAAATCTCCGGTCTGTAAACCTTGTGCGATGGCGGCGGCGGCGGGCACGTATGTTCACATCGCTGTTGTTAGTTTCTCGACGGGATGTGATTGTATCAAGTTGTATAAATAATGGGCCGACAAGTGGTTGTCATTGGCTGGGATTTGTACTTACAGCCTTGAACCAGAATTGTCGTGAAGAATACAAGTCATTTTTGTGTTGGAATACATGCGTATGATGGAACTCAAAGTTCGTGCTTGTGAAATCGCCTTCCTTCAGAGAGATAAACTGCTTAATACACGAAACATTCCAATCTATCTACGGATGAAATGTTGGTTACGCTCATATCTTGGTGTATGAGAATTGCTTGTTGGAGTGAGGGTTTTCATTTTCTGTGCTAACTTCGACGTGGGCATGGGTAAATTGGTTGTGGTGAACTCGGGTTCGGTTGCTTGGCCATGGATCTACCTCTGTGCAATGCCATATAGATCGCAACAAACGTTGTCATCACCGTGACTGGTCACTTCACAATATATTCGACGATTAGAAAATCACTCATACCATGCTCGATTTCATCAACCATAAAGCTTGCAGCTGGATCTGGAAAATTAGTTCACTCGGACTATCAATATCTTGGGAGGTGGCGTGATGATGGATGAACGCTCTCCCGAAACAGGTGTGAGATTGCTAAAAGGATCCATGCGTGCAGCTACAGTACCTCAAGTGTCCTGATGTCCATCAAGTGCCTAATCGAAGCCATGTATTTAACCTGTGCAATGATATCATGATCGGATGCGATCCTCTTGAACTCTCCGTCGCGCTGTCGCGCTAGCAAAAACGCACTAAAAGGCTGTCCAAGGCGAACTATCAATTGCAATGCTCGCGAATGAGAATCCGAATAAATCGATCCACTTTGTAGAGTGGTCGACTCATGCAAGGAAGATTCGAACGCGGACCAATTGTCCACGCTCTGTGCATCGTCTGCAGTGTCATGCAGCCCAAGGAGATGGCGACTCCATGGGCGAACGCACAAGATCGTCTGCCAGGCAGGAGGCGGCCTTCCCATCGAGAACGGGGTGAACTTGTCTTCTGTGGTAATCTGCAGGTTGAGAAGCCCATCTGACTTGAGTTCATACGTATATGTGTCCTTGTCATGACCTGGCCTCCGCCTGGCTTCTGTGACCGGGAATACAACGCAAGGCAGATGTAATCGGTGGTACGCGAAACGGGGAGCGCTCAGGTCGTCAAGGGTCTGATATAATTTCGAAGCCGACTGTAAAGTCACAACACTTCGCAGCGAGGAGACCGATGACTGGATCTGATCTTCGGATAGAGATGGCACCTTACATGGTGGAGCTTTGTATGAAGTGATGTCAGCTGGTAGACAGCTGTTGAATTCTGATGATTTTCCGACCCAGTCCAGGGCAGTAATATCGCCCGACTGAGATATGATTTCTTGCAGGAGCCGCCCGAGTGCGTTTTGCTTCTTCTCGCCATAAATGACAGGGAGGGTGATGCCGAAGATGCCGAACAACGAGTATGCGATGTCTTCTTGCACTGTGGTAATACGTGTCGACGCCCACTGAAGTTTCTCTCGGGCGTCTCTCATCCCGGGACAAAAGGCCACGACGGCTTGTCGATCTATGTCTGTCGCCTTCTCTAACTCCTCCATGATCGCAACAGAATCCTTATGGTTGGGAGTGCGATCGTCGAGATAAAGAGTCCAATCTTGTCGAAAGAAAAGAATGACTTTGGGAGCGAGAAATTCTTGAACTGTCCATCCTCGCGTGTTCCAAGCGCTCCTTGCCAGTGCGCCAGGCTGCGAGGAAGGTGGAACATCCGAAAGGTATACGACTGTGAGCGCGGAATGGTGATACCAGACGAACATGGAATTGACCGATTCTTGGAGCTCAACATTGTTGCTCTTGTCAATGCAGCACGTATCGCTCCATGCCCAGCGATACCCCAAATCACGAGCAGTCTTGCAAAAGGACTGCAACTTCTTGATGCCGCCAACCGGATCCAACTCATATACGACCTTGCCCTGTATATCCTGCAGCAGCGGCTCCTTCCCTTCCCACCTGTGCGATAGCATAACATATTGGAAGTATGACATCACCACTTCCTCAACGCGCTTCACTTGGATATCTCGATGCGTGATTGTTGATGATAAGAGCTCCATATACTCTATGCTCGATTTGAAGATGCCTATCTGCGCCTCTCGATCGCATAAGAGACCAGTGGCGGTGTCGAGTACGCGCAGCGGAGCATTGTCAAGTTGAGTATCGATGACCTTTCGAATGGCACTGTCCGCTTCGAATGGACTGAGATACTGATGGCGCAACTCTGTAGAGATATTAAACTATGATGATGTATGAGGTATTGGGGCTTACTTCGTGTCTCAGTGTCGGGAGCATTATCCAATTTCGATAGCATCGTTTGGAAGGCCGCAATAGCTTCGTCGTAGCGTTGTGCGCCATGAAACGCTGCATGCTTCAACTTGTATCCAATATGAGACAAAGGGTTGAGTTGGATGACCTGTGCGTCACCACAATGGGCACAGGTAAAAAAAAACAATAGATGCCATCGCACCTTCTGGGCATCAAGAAGTGCTTCCATCCACAGCATTTCCCCCAACCTTGCCTGACTACGATTTGCAAAGACGATATGAGATGCAGAATCCAGGTCGATCGCCGCCGAGTAGAGGTCAATAGCCCTGTTGAAATTGGTTGCAGTGAGAGCAGCATTACCCTTGGTAAGAAAGAGCGCGCTGCATTTTTTCGTGAAAGCTGGGTGGGGTGGGGGTGAGGATTGTAGCCTGCGCGACGTTATGAACTGCAGACTTGCCTTTGGACCATTCAAGGCAGTCGGCTTTCGTTGTTTCGTCGAGATTGTCCATCATGTATCGGTATGAATTGACAGCATCTTGAAGTTTACCTGCCTGAAGGAGTGCATGGCAACGTTTCTGGTGTGCCTTTTGCTCTAAGGACTGCAGATCCCAGCCAAAGAGCTGGACAGGACTCAGTTATGAAAAGTATGGTAGGCGCATCATCTTAACGCACCACTACCAAATCCTCGTAAATTTCTTGAATACCCGATTTTGATGGTAAAGCGCAGGACTTGAGAGCGGCAGTGAAATGCTCAGCGGCCTCGGTGTGACGTGCGCCGTCCAAGGCTTTGAGTCCGAGTTGAACACGTAGATATGCCTATTATGCAAGTTGTAAAGATAAGTGTTGATGACCCAGCGTGGCTGCATGATACTTACTTGCACGATATGGCATGCGCGAGTATCAGCATTCGGGCAACCGGCAGCGAGTTCGCTGAGAAGCAGGTTTGCCTCGTCATGTTGATCTGCATTGAAGAGCGCGACGGCCTGGAATATACAATGAAGCGGAGGGTATGCGAGATAAATGTAACATACCTTAGTCAAGAGCAAGGAATGAATAGTTTCTGAATCTTGGTCCGTGTACATTGATGCAACATCAAATGCTGCCCTCGCATTCCGAACATGGCCTGTTCCGCAGAGAGCGATGCCCTTAGACACATAACCTGTCAGTGAGGGCTGGATACTGATGGACTTTGTCACCGCCGGGTTAATCTTTGATGAGTGGGTGATGATGGTCAGTGAATCTTACCTTAATTGCATCTTGAAGGGCGCGGTCCCAGTCTAATTTTCGCGCCATAACGAATGAACGATGGGCATAGGAAGTATGGTTGTTCGGATTGGTTTCGATGTCTTGGGTGAGTAGATATTCGGCAGTAGAGAAGTCTCCGCGCATGCATGCATCGCGGGCTATCGTGATGGCTAGGATCTACAGGAAACATGCTCGAATTGTGGTATATACGAGTAAGGATAGAAACATGCCTTTGAACGATGGGCGTAGGAAGTATGGCTGTTCGCATCGGTGTTGATATTATTTTTAGCGGTAGACAAGTCTCCATCTATGCGTGCATCGCGAGCTGTGGTGCTGGCTAATATCTGCACGAAATATGCTCAAATTGCGGTATATGCGTTCAAGAACGGAAACGTACCTTTGAATGAATACCCTCAGGTACTGCCCACTTCGAGATCATATTATCAGCACCTCCACTGAGGATGTAGTTGCCGTCCATGGAGAAAGTAACGCATAGAGTCCAGGATGTGTGCTTGAAGGTGGCAACGGTTTGTCCGTCTGAGAGACGCCAGAGATGGACGTGATTATCATGAGACGCGGAGGCGACGAGTGTGCCAGCATGATTCACGGCGATGGCATTAATATAGTCAGAGTGGCCCGTCCAAGGATCACCGACCTGCTTCCAGGTTGTTGTATCCCATTTGCGTATGGTAGGATCGTCGTAATCGCCGCCTGTGAGAAGGCGTGTGCCATCGGGCGTCCATGCGAGCGACAAGTTGTATGATGTGTGGCCCTCGAAGGATGCCACGTGTTTCCCCGTACCTGGATTATAAATTTCAATATTGTCTGCTCCAATGGCGAGGAGTTCTCCAGACGGTGAATACCGGACGCAGTTTGCTTCCATATCACATTTAATTTCTCCTTGTCGTTCCCAAGTTTTGGTGTTCCACAGCCTCGTCGTTTCATCACGTGAACCAGTGGCTAGTACTGTTCCATCAGGAGAAAAATCCAGTGAAGAGATATAACCGAAGTGGGCTCCGATTTTGGTGAGTAACTCTCCAGTTTCTCCGTGCCAGATGATGACCTCTCCCTTGAGATCACCGCTTGCTATCAATTGCCCATCTCGTGATACTGCTAATCCCACCACCACCCTGCTATGCCCCTCCATCTCGTTCAACACATTACCTGTGTTCAAGTCCCATAGATGAAGCGTCTTGTCGGAGTCCGTAATCATCCGTCGTTTATCAGGAAACACTGCGACTGCCTTTATGCCGTCTCCATGGCCCTTAAACTCTCGCAAGGGTGTAGTAATTGAAATGAGCTTCGACATTTACTGGAGGTGGATAGTGTTGAGCATGGTTGAAGTGGACTTTGGAGGGATTTTGGGTGTCTTTCTCATCAATGTCATCATCCTGTCTTGTTTCCAGGATACATTACATCATTGTCACGGCAAGAAGGCACGGCCCCAGTGCTGCAGACTCTTGTCTCCACAGCTTCTAGGATGTGTTCCATCGCATCCAAACGACAGTTAGTGTTTTCTAGCGCTCAAATCTGACTATCTATTCTACATATGCACACATACCGTTGTCCTTCGTGTCGAGCAGCTACTGCAGCACATCAACTTCATCATGTCAGTCTTTCAAACATAGGCATTTATAACTTACTGCAACACCTCCTAAGATTTGCTTGTGCACCATATACGAAGTTCTACCTCCTGGTGTTTAAAAATTATCACCAATCATATCACGGAGGAGTGCTCTGCTCTCTACTCTACTCTGTGCTTCCCCTACTCCCAGTCCACATGGTTGCAGTTCTCTCATTCACCATTCGCCTCCCAAGTGCATCATTGGAACCGCAGATGCCTACGTGAGCCCTGCATTCAGAAGATTATCATTGCGGGTGTTTTGGAATGCCATATACCATGATATCAATGGACCACCAAGGGCGGGCGCCGTCAGAGACCGTGACCAAGTGAGGTTCACATTAGTTCGTTTACCAATGTGCTCACCCTCATGGCAATGTGCCAGGTGCTGCGTGATTGATTTCAGATCAACTCATAATTATTTTCGATTGTCTGGTACTATCTTGGATCCAGAGTTAGTCCATGCTAACGACTCGGAGGATGAAACGACCAATGTTCTGGTTGTAGAGCTTAACGACTCTAGCACACAGAAGTATACAAGATATATTGTCTACCGATCGGGCCAAGAACATCTACATATTATAAGGATTAAAAAGTGTGTGTGTGATACAATTTCAAAGCCGAATATACTACAACATCTTTCAGCGAGGAGACCGATGACTGAAGCTCATCTCCGGTTAGACATGGCAGTTTTTAATCATCATCATCTCATTCTGATGTTCGTGCCATTGCATTGTAAGCGTTGGGTGCTGCTGACACAAACTGATTTTGCATACACGTGACTGGACGCGTCACGATCGAGCTTGTTTATTTCGTGGCAGTGCTGATTTAACCACAAGGCAGAGTATAAGAACAGCGTGCCCGCAAGCAATACCTCCCATTTCCAGTCCTCGATTTACGTGCATTACTTTCTTTACGACTTATTCTCAACTTCAACTCGCCTTACAATATGATTTCCGCTATCTTCGACAGTGTCGCCCATGTCACCGTCGCTGGGTGCCTCGGAGCCTTCTTTCTCAAACATACTGTGGTGGATCGCACGACCAAGGCCATCAAAGAAGCGGAGAACGTAACCGCTGGCCTCGTCATATCCGAGCTATGTATTTCTGTCGCGGCCCTAGTTCTAGCTTCCCACAGGACCGCCGGGATACTCCTCAGTAAAGAAGCTCAATCCCCTCCGAAGCACAATTTGGCCGAGCTCAACGCGCCTCTCATCTGCAACGATTTCTCTACTGCATCAGACTCAATTTCATCGAATCCTATCGCAACTGAATCTTGCAGCACTCCGCCATGCCTATTAATTCCACCGAACTCAATTGCAAATGACTCCGACTGCTGCACTTCGCCGTCTACATATCCAACACTATGCACGCCAACTTTACTGCTGCCATCGCCTGTTCAGAACGAAAAGCGCCTTTCAATCGATTCCGACACCACTCTTGTCGACCACGATAATGATTTCGTGAGGGATCTCTCTGACCAGGACCTTCAGCAAAGCACTTGTCCCCAGGTATGAAGTTGTACAGTCGCCTCAGCTTTGTCGCTTAATGTTTGAATCTTTATAGGACGACAACGACTGTTCCAGTGGACCCCCTCAGCGGACGAAGCTCCAGCCAATCATCCTACAGGACGGACCCCTGACGACCACCGACATTTCGCTCCTTGTGGACGCTTCGACTCAAACGACTACGACGCCCTCTCTCGGCAACATTATGCCTCAGATTGTCTCGCCTCAGCTGAAAACCCCGGATACAAAACAGCATCGTAATTTCCGCCCTCCCAGACACAAGGTATGGACATTCTTTATGAAACAAAGTGCCGCACTCATTGTTTTGTTAGCATGCGCCTAGATCCATACGCGTGGTCGCTGTCCGTGGCAGCATCGAACGCACTTACGCCAAGCAACAGGTAGAACACACTGCTATAATCCGTGAGTGATTTTTGGTAACGTCCGCTTTGTTTGTTGACCTAAAGTAGATCACCTTGAACAATTGTACAACGATATCCTCGCCGACCAAACCGCTCTTGTCGATGGCTGGGCAGCTGCCATGTCCCAGCTTGGACATACCTCTGCGCTGTCGCCTGTCTCACCGCCTCTGCACCAGAAGACGCCCAACCCAGGAAACTCGATCGTCATCATTCAAGACTGACACCTTTACTATGCACAACGCTACTCCTCAGGTCCCCTACGACCAAATACCGAAGACCTGCAACCGCCTCCCTCGCTGTCCCCTACGACCTGGAGCTTCAATGCCCGCGAGGTTGAAGGCTACCGCTGGCCGCGCACGAATTATCTCTTCGCGCCGCCTGGATATCTCCGCAGTCTTCGATGTCGGATGTCCCCTACGACCGAATCCCGACACAACCGCAACAACATGACGGCCTCCTTCCTGTCTCTCACGATCTGGAGTTGAAGGCCACACCCGCGGCTCCCATCCATCTATCCCAAGTTTCTTCTCTTATCTTCGCCATCATGTAAATGGCTCGATGTATCTCTTTTGTCTTTGTATTTCTCTTGCCGGTATCTACTTGGCAGATCATGGACCGACTGTGACTTATGGACGCATCTTCCTTTCATCGATATGTACTCGACAGACATTGGACTGCTCATTTCTTCTGTAACATGTAGGCATGATTTCTCTTTTTTCTTTTATGGTATAAAGCATCTACGATTTATCTCTTGGCAATGTTTCCATATTTTCGTATATGTACGACAAATGTATGATGACCAGTATTGTATATCGGCAGATTGTAGTTTTTGAATCCAAATTTCTTTGCATAATGCGCCCTCCGGAACTCGACGACACGCCTGAGGTTGATCGTGAACGCAAGTGAAAAGTGATCAGTTTTGCATGTGAATCAATAGCACAAATAAAATATGTCAAAAAGATCAATTCAATATTGCAAGGTAGACGCGTGAACATAGCTTCCTAGCGGAAATAACCATGAGTGTGCATCGTCAGGATTATAGGCAGGAATGCGAAATTCAGACTTACCTCAACGCATGAACGCAAAGCAGGATGATATCGTGCGTGATCGACATTTACGGGTGCCTAGCTCTCATGCATTACCAACCAGCATACTAACAATATTTAGTAGTGCGATTCACATTACAATCTACTCCATCATTGGAAGAGAATTGATCGTCGGAGTCAGGCTTTTCAATTTCTGTACTCGACGCGGGTATGAATAAACTGCAGTCGGGTCCAGCTGCCTAGCCATTGATTAATATTGATTCGCCGCCTTGCCATGCCATATAGTTCGCAACAAACAATGTCATGACTGGTCGCTCCACAACAAATTCGACAAGTTAGAGTGTAAATCTATAATTTAACGTTTAACACTTGTACCATGCTCGATCTCAGCGGGTGCATTTGGAAAACTGGTTCATTCGGGCTATTAATCTCTCGGGAGGTGGCTCGATGATAAATACCTTTCCCGGAATTGAGATCAATGTGAGATTGTTGAAAGGATCCATGTATGCAGCTACAGTACCTCCAGTATCCTGATGTCCATCAAGTAGTTAATAAGGGTCATGTCTTTAACCTGCGCAATGATATCACGGCTGGATGCTATCCTCTTGAACTCTCCGTCGCGCTGCCGCGCCAGCAAAAATGCATTAAAAGGCTGTCCAAGGCGAACCATTAATCGCAAGGCTCGCGAGTGAGAATCCCAATCAATCGACCCGGTTTGTGCAGGGATTGAATCGTGCGACGAAGATTGGGATATGGACCAGTTATCCACGCTCTGTGTATCGTCTGCAGTGTCATACAGTCCGAGGAGATCGCGACTCCATGGACGAACGAGCAAGATTGTCTGCCAGACGGGCGGAGGCCTTGCTAGCGAGAACGGGGTGAACTTGTCTTCTGTAGTGATCTGCAGGTTGCAAAGTCCGTCTGACTTGAGTTCATATGAAAATGTGTCCTGAATTTGACCTGGCCTCCGCCTGGCTTCTGTGACCGTGAATACAATGCAAGGCAGATGCAACCGGCGGTGCGCAAAACGGGGAGCGCTCAGGTCGTCAAGGGTCTGATATAATTTCGAAGCTGACTGTAGAGCTACAACACCTCGCAGAGAAGAGACCGCTGACTGAATCTCATCTTCGGATAAAGATGGCAGCTTACATGGTGGAGCTTTGTATGAAGTAATGTCAGCTGGTAGACAGCTATTGAACTCTGATGGCTTTCCGATCCAATCCAGGGCAGTAATATCGCCCGACTGAGCTACGATTTCCTGTAGGAGCCGCCCGAGTGCGTTCTGCTTTTTTTCGGTATAATCAACATGTAGGCGGACGCCAAAGACGCCAAATAACGAGTATGCGATGTCTTCTTGCAATGTGGTGGTACGTGTCGACACCCACTGAAGTTTCTCTCGGGCGTCTCTCATCCCAGGGCGGAAGGCCACGACGGCCTGTCGATCTATGCCTGTCGCCTCCTCCAATTCCTGCATAATCGCCACGGAATCCTTGTGGTTGGGAGTGCGATCGCCAAGATAAAGAGTCCAGTCCTTTTGATAGAAGAGAATGACATTGGGAGCGAGAAATTCTTGAACTGTCCATCCCCGTGTATTCCAAGCGCTCTTTGCTAGTGCACCGGTCTCTGACAAACGCGGAACATCCGAGAGGTATACGACCGTGAGTGCGGAGTGGTGATACCAGGCGAACATGGACTTGACCGATGCTTGGAGCTCAACGTCGATGTTCTTGTCAATACAGCATGTATCGCTCCATGCCCAGCGATACCCCAAATCACGAGCAGTCTTGCAAAAGGACTGCAACTTCTTGATGCCGCCAACCGGATCTAACTCATAGACCACCTTGCCCTGTATATCCTGCAGCAGCGGCTCCTTCCCTTCCCACCTGTGCGATAGCATAACATATTGGAAGCATGAAATCACCACTTCTTCAATGCGCTTCGCTTGGATATCTCGATGCGTGATTGTTGATGATAAGAGTTCCATATACTCTATGCTTGATTTGAAGATGCCTATCTGCGCCTTTCGATCGCATAAGAGACCGGTGGTGGTGTCGAGTACACGCAGCGGCGCATTGTCAAGTTGAGCATCGATGATCTTTTGAATAATAAGCTCTGCTTCGGATGGACTGAGATACTGCTGTCGCAACTCTGCAGAAACAGCTCAAGTATATTACTGTATGACATATTGGGGCTTACTTCGTGTCTCAGCGTCAGGAGTATCATCCAATTTTGAGAGCATCATTTTAAAGGCCGTAATAGCTTCATCATAGCTTTGGGCGCCATGAAATGCTGCGTGTTTCAACTTGTACCCAATATGAGATGAAGGATCGAGTCGGATGACCTGTGTATCACCACGATGAGTGTAGGTGAAGAAACAATAAATGCTATCGCACCTTCTGCGCATCGAGAAGTGCTTCCATCCACATCATTTTCCCCAACTTTGCCTGACTACGCTTTGCAAAGACAGCATCAGATGGAGGAGATAGGTCAATCGCTGCAGAATAGAGGTCAATGGCCCTTTCAAAATCGTTTGCAGCAAGGGCAGCATCTCCCCTGGTAAGAACTAGCGCACTGCATTTTCTTGTGAAAGCTGAGTAAAATGGTGGTAAGGATTACAGCCTGCTCGACATTACGAACTCCAGACTTGCCGTTAGACCATTCAAGGCAGCTGGCCTTCGCTTTTTCGTCGATATCGTCCATCAAGAATCGGTATGATTCAATGGCATCTAGAAGTTTATCTGCCCGAAGGAGTGCATCACACCGTTTCTGGTGTGCAGTGAGCCACAACGATTTGAGATTCCAGCCGAAGAGCTGGACAAGGGACTTGGTTATTGAGAAAATTATATACACATCATCCTAACGTACCACCACCAAATCCTCGTAAATGTCATGAACACCAGATTTCGATGACAAAGCGTTGGAGTTGAGAGCGGCAGTGAAGTGCTCAGCAGCTTCGTTGTGACGTGTACCGTCCAAGGCTTTGAGTCCGAGCTGAATGCGTAGATATGCCTAATATGCAAGTTGCAAAGATTAGTGTTGATACAGGGTGCATGGTCGTTACCTCCACGATATGATATGCGCGAGTATCAGCATTGGGACATCCGGTAGTAAGTTCTTTGAGGAGCAGGCTTGCCTCGTCGTGTTGATCTGCATTGAAGAGCGCGATGACCTGAAGTATGGGATGAAGCGGAGCGTATGTAAGGCACATGTAACATACTTTGATCAAAAGCAGGAAATAAATGGTTTGCGAATCTTGTTTTGTGTACATTGATGCAACATCAAATGCTACCCTCGCGCTCCGAACATGGCCTGTTCCGCAGAGGGCAATGCCCTTGGAGATATAGCCTGTTAATGAGGGTTGAATGCTAATAGACTTTGTCACAGTCGAGTTAGCCATCCATAAGGGGCCATGATGCGTCGGTGAATCTCACCTTGATTGCATCCTGAAGGGCGCGGTTCCAGTCATGTTTCTGCGCCATAACGAACGAGCGATGGGCGTAGGAAGTATGGTTGTCTGGATAGGTTTTGATATCTTGCGTGAATAGTTCTTCGGCAGTAGAAAAGTCTCCATAAATGCATGCTTCACGGGCTGACGTGATAGCTAGGATCTGCACAAAACATGCTCGAGTTGTGGTATATATGAGTAAGGATAGAAACATGCCTTTGAACGATGGGCGTAGGAAGTATGGCTGTTCGCATCAGTGTTGATATTTTTAGTGGTAGACAAGTTTCCATCTATGCATGCATCGCGAGCTGTGGTGCTGGCTAGGATCTGCACAAAATATGCTCAAATTGCGGTATATGAGTTCAAGGACGGAAACGTACCTTTGAACGAATACCCTCAGGTACTGCCCACTTCGAGATCATATTATCAGCACCTCCACTGAGGATGTAGTTGCCGTCCATGGAGAAAGTGACGCATAGAGTCCAGGATGTGTGCTTGAAGGTGGCAACGGTTTGTCCTTCTGAGAGCTGCCAGACATGGACATGGTTATCCTGAGACGCGGAGGCGACGAGTGTGCCAGCAGAATTAACGGCGATGGCATTGATACAGTCAGAGTGACCTGTCCATGGATCACTGACCTGCTTCCAGGTTGTTGTATCCCATTCGCGTATGGTAGGATCGTCATAATCGCCGCCTGTGAGAAGGCGTGTGCCATCGGGCGTCCATGCGAGTGACGAATTGTATTTTGTGTGACCCTTGAACTTTGCGACGCGTGTCCTCGTGCCTAACTCGTAAATTTCGATATTGTCAAATGTTGCGATGGCAAGAAGTTCTCCAGAGGGCGAATACCGTATGCAGTAGACACAACTACCAGACTTTATTGAATATTGCTCCCAGGTTTTGATGTCCCACAGCTTCGTCGTTTTGTCATATGCACTAGTAGCCAGCACTGTTCCATCAGGAGAAAAGTTCAGCGAGGTGGTATAAGTGGAGTGAGCTTTGATGGGTTGGATGAGCGATTCGCCAGTTTCTCCATGCCAGATGATGATATTTCCTCCCTCATCACCACTTGCTATTAATTGCCCATCTCGTGATATTGTCAATGCCAGCACCCAACTACGATGCCCCTCCATCTTCTTCAACACATCACCAGTCTTCAAGTCCCACAGACGAAGCGTGTTGTCGTCCGAGCCCGTAACCATCCGTCGTTTATCGGGGAAAACTGCAACTGCCCTTATGCCGTCTTTATGGCCTTTAAATTCTTGCCAGAGGTATGGTGATTGAATGAGCTCCGACATCTTACTGGAGGTTGATGGCGTTGGGCGCGGTCGAGGTGGACTCTGGAGGGATTATGAGTCTCTTGCTCTAAGCTGCAGAGCCTGTGCACGTATCGTGCGTCTTATACGTCAACCTGTCTGATTTTAGTAAACGCCCAGGACATAGCTACACAGGCTTGAGGCTGTTCGCCTCCCAACCTCCATTACCGTTACGGCAAGGATGCACCTATGCCAGGCTTAAGCTCCGCCTTATCGGCCCACCATCCATCGCACCACATACTGTCCTCGTCGCTTATGCAGCGCAAACGAGAAGTCCGTGATCTATTAACTGTCCTTTCTGCCTCGTAGTCTACGTTGAGCATCCCACAGGGACCACAACGCGCTCATCTCGATTCCTCGAACTCGAGCACTTCATTTTTCCTGACGGCGACAATGATGACCACAATCATCATACTCAAGCTGCCGCATCTTACAAGAACAAGCATGGCGCTTCAAACATTCGCAAGTATGCTGTCTGGTGTCTCTCGCGGCCCATATAATCAATGGAGAGAAAATGTTTCGAATCCTTTGAGATTCCTTGAGCCGTCAGACCGTGATTTTGACAAATGCAGGTATGTTTTCTACTGGATCATATTCGCTGACATCTTTTGGGGTTGGATGGCCCACCTTCAACTGTCTTGTCCGTCTGCTTGAACAGAACCCCATCTTCCAATCAACTGGCAATAGACTACAGCGTGCAGTTCGATATCAACTGGCGTGCTTTTTCCTTCGGTATGGCTCATGAGTCACGAGACGTAAATCCACTTCAAGCTGCGCACAAACTCGCCATTAGATTCGACAATGTTCTTTTGCTAGCGAGTAGTGCAGGCATTGCGGGAGTTGGGTATACAGGTTGTTCTATATCAATAGTGTTGTATACTTGAATAGCTTATCACTGGACAGCGAAGTTCCTATGTTCAAACTTAAACTTTGAAGTCCATCGTTTCAGTGGATTTGGCAGCCCAGATGGGGTCTCACTGGTCGGCTATGTTGTTTGGCTCCAAGGCACCGCAGAACTTGACACACCTTGACCTTGACATCGTAAGAATTGAGCACGTCTACAGGTCTACCATTGGAATATTGTTGTGCATAGCACTTATGTCATCTCCCCTCAGGATCTACCACCTAGACTGTTCTGGGCGAGCACACCATACTGTATCCCTGACAGGTCCGCTGTAGCGGTCACGAACTCACGATCATCGGTGCTAATCATATCGGGCTTGTCCGCGCTTTTGTTGCAAGACTGAGCTTCCCTGGGCTGCCAGTGGGCTTCCCTGGGTAGTGTTCCGAAGGATAGAGAGCCGATGAATAAGGAATCCGTCGGAGTCATCGATGTCATAACGTATCCAACTCACCAATATGTGACATTGACTATGTGTAACACCTGCCAATCATACATCGATGATCGGAGAACCGATGAGCCTTATGGCGGATATATAACAGCGTCAGATACCCTCTCATCAACACAATCTTTATCTATGGATTCCAGTCAAGGGCAGGCAGATGTAAGTAATGCGATCTTTGATGTATCCTGATGACGATTGAACTCGAACATTCCCAGACTGATCATGATGAGCGTGAGGGTAAACGCTGTTCTGGTGGCAGACGGTACTATGACTGTTTGTCTTGGCCTCAGGACAATAACACAATATTCTAGGTATCCTGATATACGACCATATGGCAACCATCATAGATGAAATCACATTCATCTGGTGTCGTCCAAAAGCACTGTCTGCCGTATTATTTCTCGTCAATCGCTATGTTGCTCTGCTCGGCAATGTCTATATGTTATCTGTGTATCTTCTGCCCATTTCAGATGAGGTTCTGTGGTTTCGTTATGTGCGTACGCATCTGGCAGGCTCACATCGTATTTTTGCAGAGGTTTCAATTTTGGTTCTTCAATGTGTTGTTTTCTCAACAAAAATATAGCTGTCTAGTATCCAGAGATCTACTCTTTTTCTTCCAACAAATCTTCGTTTGCCGTGAGTAGAATTGTACGGCGAGAAGTATATACATGTACTGACGTTTCTAGTTATATTGACTCTTCGCACTTACGCTCTCTACTTCCGTAGCAAACGCCTCCTTGCTTGGATGGTAATCATCGTTTTTGCTCTTGGGGGAGTGACTGTACGTGTTCGCATAGGCGTTTGTACTGGGAGTCTACTGATGGTTTATAGGCGGGAACGTTTCGGTTCCGTTCAAGCAACATGCCAGGATTTAATTGCCTCGAGTCATATTCAGAAGAGATGTGCGCCGTTTCCCTCGTCGGTCTGCACGCTTGCTCAAAAGATTTTGCAGAGCCGTCAGTTAGTGAACTCTGAGTCTGATTTGCGTGGAACGTAATGCCATGACTCAATTAATTTGCAGGTCCCGGGCTGGGATGGGTGACGCTACTCGTCTATGAATTACTCATATTTGTCCTCACAGTTTGCAGGATATGGAAAATTAGAGGACTGTCCCTGGCAATATCGAGGAGAAACATACTTGGTATCATATTTCAAGATGGTAACTTTCACTGCATTGGTATTGTAAACATTGATCCGAGCAAACGCAGGCATAGTGTATTTCGCGTGAGCTTGCTAGGGAAATGGTGATTTGAGCGAATCTGATCCCCATTCCTTCAGGGTGATGACATTGATTAACCTATTCAACATCCTGACGTACTACGTGAGTCTACTAATGAAATGCTCGTCATATCGCATGCTCACATTTTGGTTTAGTGCATTTCAGTGAGCACACACCCGCCTCTTATGATTATATTGACTAACTATTTTTGGCGACTGGCAAGAATACCACCAGAGGCTGTATGGCTACATTTACTAGCTGGTGAATATTTGGTGCGGTGAACATGGATTGATTCTGACTATGCATTCTAGCATGTCCGTGACTCTCATCTCTCGGCTGATGCTTAATCTGCATAAACATGTCGATGCAGGCATCTTTACCACTCCCGTACGAGATGACGAATACGACTCCGCTGTCCTTACCACTAGGGTCGACGTACAGTCAGCGATCTCCTCTAGCCATTGCTAGGTTAATATTGAGTTAATATTGAGTTATGTTGCTACATACAAATATTTGTATCAGGATATCAGGGTAGTGTCCAGATGTGTAGAGACGGAATTACTAGCTGCAAGCCTACAACGTGTTCCTTTATAATTTATTCTTAACGCATTGTGCTCCTAGACCCCATTTGCCTGACTGCAACGTACTGGGCTACACGTGAAGCCCTGAGTGCTAAGGTTACTACTGTAGGACCAAAATATTATCAAGTCTGTCGTACGCTTAGCTAAGGAATAGAGTCACCTATGAATGGGATCGTCAGCTGAGTTGAGGGAGGTGGTTGACTTCTTTTGTATAAGGAATAAATCATTGACGGGAACAGGGCACGAGTGTCGATAAAATAGGTCTTGTCGTCCTACAACTAAAAGTGAAAATCGGACAACGCTCTTGCACTGTCGACCTGAAAAAAGGGAGGGTGTTAAGAGCTTAATAAGAGTTACTCGAAATTATAAGGTCATTTCGTTGCCAACAACATAGATACCATATTATGAAAAGGTACATCCGAACCGCCAAACTGTGAATGTCACCAGTCATAGTTGACACCCGTGATGTCGAGTCCGTCTCAAGTAGATATAATACCTTGCTGTACATTTCCCTCTTTGCTTGTATCTGATCGTACTAACGGTGGTTCAGTGAATGTTAAATATCCAGATACTGTGACACATGTACCACCATTATTTGTCTGTCAAGTCTCGCCCAATGGTGTCGTGTCGTGTCGTGTCGTGTCGGTCCCACCTACCAATATTGTGCCACATGACCCACATCAAGCTTCACCACGCCAGTGTCAAGGCCATGTAACTGGGCAGCCTTAAATGTCAGTCAGCTAAGCTAGACAAAATCACAGATGGAGGACAAAGACCAATCTTTTGGTATACTGCCAGTGGTAGGCAACAGCCGTGTCACGAGCCCGACAGGCAGAAATGAGTCAAGGGAGGCCCCGGGAGGCCAGCAACAGGAACAGTCGCAGAATGAAAAAGTTGTTCCAGGATATAAAAGCTGGTTGCCTTCCTATAGTGTTCTCCCATCCTCGGAGATGTCATTCGAGGGTAAGCCGGCGTGCTTGCAGACATGTCGTGATAGTGAGTCATGCTTCTGGCATCGCTTTGGTGCTATGGTTGATGGCGCAATACCTAGTTTGGAGCTGGAATAAAGCACGAATAAAAACGCCAGCATGTAACCTGCCAGGGTATTGGACTGTGCAATACTCAGCGGAATTCATGACGGGGTTACCTAATGCGAATCAACCACGACCGTTGTGGTCATCAGCAACGTCAAACATTGAGGAGGAAGATGCACTGGGGGGTTCGTAAGTCATAAGACATCGTGGACGATTTCTCGTAGGGATTACACGTGATCTAAAATTGATTCCACAGTCAAGCGCGTCCGCGGCCTTACGATTACGTAACTGTATATGGAAGGTTCGTCCCGTTCATGCCGTTCGTTCAACTATCCCACCATCTGACCCTAATTTATCTGGAATTCCTGTCTTAACCGTAGACTTGACTGGCATGTCAACGCTCTCATTTGGCGAGTTCCGATTTTTCCGAAGCTATTAGCTTCTTGTAAGGAATAGCTTGTATCATGGATCATGGATCATGCCAGCCATGCGCTACAACGACGTGCCAGGGAAAATCATGCACAGCAACATGATTATATACCCTAGGCTCTTCGACTACTTCATGACGTGTGACCAACCCTCCTTAACCGCGTGTGTAACTGAATTTGCTTTGCATGCTTGCATACGTAGCACGTATCGTCGCAGCGTTCTCGTGGACACAGGTTATACTTTACCATGCAATGGATAATAGTGAGGTACAGCAGATGTGAGTAATGCATAGTTTCACTACGTAACTTGATAGTGACTAGACAACATCTCCAGTTTGATGCACTCGTACGCCATTCTCGTGGCAAGCAGTACTAGAATTTTTATTTATTTCTGGGGCCCTTATGATGATGACACGATATTCTAGGTATCCTGGTGTATGACCATATAGCAACCCTCACAGATGAAATCACTTTCATCTGGTATCGCCCGAAAGCACTATCTGCAATGTTATTTTTGCTCAATCGCTATGCCGCTCTGCTCGGAAATACGTATGCCTTATGGATCACTTTCCTGCCTGTTCCAGAAGAGGTTCGATGATTTCGTTGCGTGTATGCCAGATTAACAGGCTCATGACTTATTTCCGCAGAGGTATTAACCTTGGTTCTCGAATCTTTGTTGTTTTGCTCAACGGAACCTAGCTGTCCGAAGTATTTCCTGTCCAGAGAACTCCTCGTTTTTTGTCAACAATTCATTGTTTGCTGTGAGTTGATTTCCATGGCGAGCACTACATATATTGAAATTTTCAGTCATCTTGAGTCTTCGGACTTATGCTCTCTACGGCCGTAGCAAGCGCCTGCTGGTTTGGATGGTAGTGGTCATCATTGCTCTCGCAGGAGTAGCTTCTGTGCGTATTCACATAATGTGTCGCTTCAGGAATACTGATGATTTCAAGGTGGGAATATTTGGACATTTCCCCAGCACTGTGGTCGTCATGCCAGGAGTCATCTGCTACGAATTAGATGTGACAGCGACGTATGCCATCTTCTTCTCCATTCTGCGCACCTGCTCAAAAAATCGCTGCAGACCAGCCAGTCAGTGATTGCTGAGTCAGATTTTGTATAAAACATGATTTCATGATTGTATCCGATCACAGGTCCCGGGCTGGCATGGGTAGCTCTATTTGCTTACGAGTTACTCATCTTTATCCTCACAGTGTCCAAGGTTTACAAGATGCGGTCACAGTATTTAATAATATCCAGGAAAAATATCATCGGCATCATATTCCAAGATGGTGAAATTTCCCGTTGTATCTGTACCGGAAATACTGATCCAAGCGAACACAGGCGCTATATATTTCGGGTGAGGTTACTAGGAAATTGTGATTCCATGCAGTGGATCTGATCCGTGTTCCATCAGAGCGATGACACTATCTAATATACCGAACATCCTAATGTTCTACGTGAGTCGACGAATGTCATATTAGTGGAGTTGCACGCTTATACGTTTGTTCAGCGCGGTTCAGTGAGCATATAGCCGTATTTCGTAGCTATTCGCTGACAGCTGGCAAGGATATCGACAAATTCAGCCTTGCCATATTTACTAGCTGGTGAGTGGATGGGCGATAAAAACGAATTTATTTTTACATCGCTCGCCAGCATGTCCGTGACTCTCATATCACGACTGATGCTCAACTTGCACAAAACTATCGACTCTGGCATTCTCACCACTCTTGTCCAGGATGATAACCATGATTCCTATATACTTACTACCAGGGTATCTATCCACGCACAGTCCTTGATTACCTATTGAGATATTGTGTCGAGCCTGCGTGTCTGTACTTCACATATGATACCTGAGGCCTAAACACTTATATTGTGATTGCAAATGCGTGCCGTAGTAAGTATCAAGCCGTTTAACGGAAACCATCAGATGCTCCAGGCCAATGGAGAGCTTTGGCCTTAGCGCCTACTCAACCCATAGTGCCATATCCTCTGATATAAGTCGATGCATTCTGGAATGCCATGAGTCAAACCTGAGATATAGCACACGCCTCACTTTCACCGTCATCGTCACTCAACCACCATTTCCTTTCTTGCACCCGAACCTTGTTCATTCCGTGCACCTGCTCAGAGACATGCATCCAGCGCTCAGCATACATCCCTGCATTAAGACGCCGACTCATCACTATAGAATCCCATGCGACGATGGTGGTGAGGTTTGGAAAGATGTCGGAGAGAAACGCTGCGACTGCTACGGTGGCGCGTGCCTCGATCAGGGAGTCAGCGAGACCTAGGGTTCGCATGGCTGTGTTTTCTATCCCTTCACGGTCTGATGGCACCTCTATGAATGCATCTGTGTTCAAAGCAATACAAAGCTTTTGAAGTTCGGGACAACAGTCAAGCATCGCGATGAGGCCTATCTGAGTGATGCCAGACTTGGTGCGCCATCCAGCTGTGTCGTTGAGGGAAAAGGAATAGAGGTGGGGCCACGCAGAGACCAGCGACCGGAGGCCGTCATCATCCAGGTGTATACTGTGATTGATATCGATGTCTATCCTGCCCAGGCTTTCAAAGCAGGTAAGGGGCATGAAGTCACGCAGAGTGAGAGTATGGCATGTAAGTCCGGAAGTCGAAACGCTACCCGAAGGCAAAACATGAAATCCATTTTGAGCAAGCGGAGGCTGGTAGCCCACACTGATTGGATAGCTAATCATATTGGTGGGAGGTGCCATATAAGGTCCTACATTGGCTGTGGGTTGTGGAAAGGTGAATGGATGCAATGGATGTGGTGGCAAGACCCGAGGACTTGGCGGGGTCCTCAATCGCAGGCTCAAATCTTGCAAACGAGTACTCGAGAAACGCCTGAGAGTAGTAAAAAGCGAAGTGATACTGGTAGGTGGCGGATTTGTGTCCACTAGCACGTGCATAGAAGCGGGGGATCCTCCGAGCCTGTTAAAGAATGGATCTAGGAAAGACATATTCGTTGCATGGATCTCGAAATCGCGGACACACGAAAATGCCCCTGAAGGCAAAGAGGAGTCCAGTCCGAGTCCTAGTTTGATATTGAATGAAAGCTTGCGAAGAGCTGATTGTCTGGCGAGATGCGTAAGTGCATTACCCTCGATTACTCCACATTTGATCTCTTCAAGATTATTCCACGCGCAAAGGGCTTCTGATAGAGAGGGAAATGCATCGGTGGGCAGGGTCACTTCTGTGACGTTGGGACAAATATAGGGCAGCGAAGCAAATATGCTGAGCTCTGGTATATGCCATTTACGACTATTGTTTGTAATGGTTATCGCCAGAGAAGTAACTGTGGGCCCTGAAAGCGTGCGAATGAACGGGAAAGTCTCAGCTCTTTCGTCATTCCAAAGGATTGACTTCAAATTTGGAAATAGAGGCGAGTTGGTTGGGGGGTGGCAGAGGGAGAGAACGATCGAGACGTCTACTGGCCGAGCAGGATCATGGACGCATAGGTGCTCGACACGACGTGCAAGGCCGCGAAGTATCTCCCATTCTGCCATTTTGAGTGGCCTCCTAATCGTTGACACGGGTTGTGGCCTCGCCTACATAATTTCTCGAAGTTCGGATCACCTGTCATATCAATCTAGGACAAAGAGCTTACGGTTTCCGGGATCAAAATGAGGTCGGAAGCCAAGGGTCGTAGTAATGGTGTGAGACCGTCTAGTCGCGACCATAGAGCTCTGGTGGCCACATGATGGAAGACCTTTGAGGTTCTAGCAAGAGAAGCAAGAGTTCTTCCTGCGGCAATACTGCCTGTGAGGTCATTCTGCACATGTTCACATATAATACAGAGAAGCTCTTGGATAAGGAAAAGTCTGTGCATTCGCGCACACTGTGGTGGCGAATGCGACACGTATTGAAAGAGGCCACCAGCACCGTCTGAATCCATTTTCTGTCTCAGACGTGCACCAGCTTGAGTGTTGGATATTGAGACGATACGAGCAACAGATATACCTCGAAAGTCCGTCAGGAACCAGTAGTGGGGTAGCAAACTTGGAGGAAAAAGGGTTTCCGTGATTTCTCGCGTAAGGAATTTAAGGTAGGGTCATCGATTTATTTATATACCAATATAGCTCTTATATCATAGACATCGCACGGACTCTCACATTCATTTAGCCTCAAGACTGGAGACAAAATAAATCACCGAAGGGTTTTAGTTGGACTACAAACCATATTTCTTATTTTTCTAGTCTCGTACATCATGATACCGAGCAGAGCCTTGGCACAGCACCTCGAATAATAGCCAACCATCTTCTAGAACACCCAGTTTATTCGCTCCAGCGCCACCTCCTTTCCCGCTGTCGAATTCTAATCATTCCCTTGATTTGCTGAGAAACGCCTTCCCAACGAATGACGTACACCGTAGGGTCCGTGCTTGTTGCGTCCCGTCGGGCACGCATTTGATCCGACTTCCAAGCTGTGACCTCATTGAGCCTAGGGAAAATATCGGACAGGAATGCAGCGACTACGGTAGTTGCACGAGGTTGGATGACCGAGTCTGCAAAAGAAAGTGCCCGAATATTCATATTCTGGACTCCTCTCCCTGGGCGATCCAAAGGCACCTCTGTGAATGTGTCGGTATTGATTGCAATACAAAGAGTCTGGAGTTTGGGGCAACATTGAAGCATCTCGAGCAAGCCGATTTGGGTGATGTCGGATTTAACGACCCAACCGTGCATTTTGTTGATACTGAAGGTCCGGAGCTGAGGCCACGCAGCTGCCAAGGATACCAGATCTTCGTCTGTGAGATGATTACTGCAATTCACGTCGATTATCAAAGTATCAATGCTTTCAAACTGAGCGAGAGGCATGAAATCACTGCCGTAGATGCCGGCGTGGGATGGTCCTCCGTTCAAATGATTACCGGTAGGTGGCAGCAGCGGGGGTTGAGTCACAGAGGGCATTCGTATAGCAGGCAGACTCTGCAATGAGACATTCTGCGGCTTGATGCCTACATAATGCTCTGTGAGAAAGGTAAAAAATGCTTTCATGTCGCAGGGAGTTGGACCAGCGTCCACTTGGCCGCGAATAGATGTGGGATGTATTTCTAGTTTCTGCATGAACTTGATCAAGGAAGATAGCTCAAGTGTATGAACTATTAGTTCACGGAGGCGCAAAAAAGTGTGCGGAGATGAAGGACGCTCTGTCAGACTTTGAGAAATGGATTGTGACAGTATAAATGCAAGTTTGCGTAAGTTAGTTTGTTTGGCAAGATGACGAAAGACGACTAGATCAATTTCACCACATGTGACTTCCTCGAGATGGCTGTATGCGAGAAGTATGTTTGGTAGTATTTGTGAACAGGGGGGACTGGAGGGAAGGGTGATGACTTTGATATCAGGGCAAATGAGGGGCACATTGACCAATATAGGAGATGCAGTCGCATCCCACCGAGAAGTGCCAGTATTTGAGCAATCAAACGTAAGGGATGTCAGAAGGGGTCCACATAGAATTTGTAAGAGCACCATGGTTTGGGGTTTGCTGTCATTCCATACGAGCGAGCGTAGATTCGGGAATAGTGGGGATACGGTATTAATGGGTGGACGGGACAGTGTAAAGATGACGGATTGTTCTACAGGACGCAGGGAGTTTAAGACACGCAGACGCTGGACACGACTAGCGTAGCCTTGGATGATGTCCCATTCTGCTTTTCGAGGTGCCCGTTCAATGCCAACCACTGCTGTACCTAGAGGCTGATAAGTACTTGACGAATTAGATACTGCTGTACTAAGCAAGAAACGCCGTACCAGGCGCCAATACAATCGAGTGACTGCAGGTGTGCATTGGATTAGAGGCGCAACGCCGTCGAGATTTGACCAGAGAGCATTCAATGCCACGGCATGAAAGGCCTTGCAGGTTCTGGCAAGACGCGCCAGAGCTTCTTTGGAAGTATTTGGGATATCATCTTCATCATGCAGATGTTCACATATTATCACAAGTAGTTCATGCACGAGGAACAATCTGTGCATTGCCGACAAGTTACTAGGAGTCAATGCTCAGTCAGAACTGGTTCACATGTATTTATTTGGTCTTGCTTGCGGCTCGGATTATTCATACTCAGCTCGTTGTCGGTCACGATGTTCACGACTTTGTTCCGCACCACCATCACCCTCCACTATGTCGGCTCCCAACTCTCCAAGACTCGTCGACTCGTTTACCGTACCAAAGGACATATTACAAGAGTTCGCAGATCTTGCGGAAGAAGAAAATGTTGACCCCTTCGCAGAAACAGCCTCAAAACGTCAGATTGCTGCACGGCAGTCCGACTACCACAACCGTCGCTTCAATCGTGTTGCTCAGGAGAGTGCAGATGCCTTTAAATCAGTTGAAGATGGTGTGGAAGTGGAAGGAGGATACAAAGAGGCGATGAGACTGGCTAGGTTGGAGCAGGAGGAGGCAAGAGTCAGGCGGGCAATTGAAGAGAAAGAGAGGCAGGAGAGAGAAGAGGGAAAAATGAAAATGGACCTCGATAAGACCCCTCCTCGTGCTGAACTCGAGGATGTCGCAATGGAACTTGCCGCTGCAAAGGAGCTCGCAAACTCTCGCGAAGCTACTTCTGGGACCAAACGTAAACGAAGATGGGACGTCCCTGAGCCTACGGACGAGAATGTTGACCCTAATAAGACTGATAAGAGGGAATGGTCGAAAGAATCCCTGGAAGCATCCGCGCCAAAAAAGCGTCGTTCTCGCTGGGACGCTACTCCGGCAGAGGCTGTCGGTGAGACACCTAAGAAATCTCGTTGGGATCAAGCTGCTGTCATTCCAGAAGCTCCAATGACGCAGATCATAATGAATGCGCCGGGTATCATGCAGGAGGATAAGCATAATCGTTATCTCAGTGATGAGGAGTTGGATGCTATTTTGCCGGCCACCGGGTATGCTATTGTTACTCCTCCCCCTGGATATGCACCGATGGTAGCTCCCCGCAAGCTTATGGGTGCACCGGTCACAGAAGTAGGTGGCTTTCACATCCAGGAGGGCTCAGACGCTGCAGCAGTGGCTGCTGCCGCAGGCCTTGCACCTGAACTTCCCACCGAAATACCCGGTGTCGGTAGTCTTGCATTTTTCAAGGCCGAGGATGCTCAGTACTTCGCCAAGATTCTTAAGGAGGAAGACGAAACGGAGCTTTCAGTGGATGAGATGAAGGAGCGCAAAATCATGCGTTTACTTTTGAAGATAAAGAACGGTACTCCTCCTGTACGAAAAACTGCCCTCCGCCAAATTACTGACAAGGCTCGCGAGTTTGGTGCCGGTCCTCTCTTTGACAAGATCCTTCCCTTACTCATGGAGCGTACTCTCGAGGATCAGGAGCGCCACCTACTTGTGAAGGTCATCGATCGTGTCCTCTACAAGCTCGATGACCTTGTTCGTCCGTATGTCCACAAAATTCTCGTTGTTATTGAGCCGCTCCTCATTGATGAGGATTACTATGCTCGTGTGGAGGGTCGGGAGATTATATCCAACCTTTCCAAAGCTGCCGGTCTCGCACACATGATATCCACTATGCGTCCTGACATTGATCATGCCGACGAGTACGTCCGCAACACCACCGCTCGTGCATTCTCTGTCGTTGCCTCCGCACTCGGTATTCCCTCGCTCTTGCCTTTCCTCAAGGCCGTATGTCGCAGTAAGAAGTCGTGGCAGGCGCGGCATACTGGTATCCGTATCGTGCAACAGATCGCTATCATGATGGGTTGCGCCGTCTTGCCCCATCTTCGCAATCTCGTGGCTTGCATTGCGCACGGTCTGCAGGATGAGCAGCAGAAAGTGCGGACCATGACTGCACTAGGACTTGCTGCCCTTGCTGAAGCAGCTGCACCATACGGTATTGAGTCCTTCGATGAGGTGCTGAAGCCTCTCTGGCTCGGTATTCGTCTGCATCGTGGCAAGGGCCTTGCTGCCTTCTTGAAGGCCATCGGCTTCATTATTCCCCTCATGGACCCCGAGTACGCATCCTACTACACCAAGGAAGTCACAGTCATCCTTATTCGTGAATTCCAAACCTCCGACGAAGAGATGAAGAAGATCGTCCTCAAGGTGGTCAAGCAGTGCGCAGCTACTGAAGGTGTCACGCCTCAATATATCAAGCAGGACATCCTGCCCGACTTCTTCAGGGCATTCTGGGTTCGCCGCATGGCGCTTGATAGGCGAAACTATCGTCAGGTTGTGGAGACGACTGTCGAGCTTGCGCAGAAGGCTGGGGTATCCGAGATAGTCGGCAGAGTTGTGAATGAGTTGAAGGATGAAGCAGAGCCTTACCGGAAGATGGTCATGGAGACGATCACCAAAGTCGTTGCCATGCTCGGTGCTTCAGATATTGACGAGCGGCTCGAGGTCCGCCTCGTCGACGGCATCATCTACTCGTTCCAGGAGCAGACTACCGAAGATCAAGTTATGCTTGATGGCTTTGGCACGGTGGTCAACGCCCTTGGTATCCGTGTCAAGCCTTATCTCACGCAGATTGTCTCTACCGTACTCTGGCGGCTCAATAACAAAAGCGCTAAGGTCCGGCAACAAGCTGCAGATCTCACGACGAGGCTGGCTGTCGTAATCAAGCAGTGCGGGGAAGACCAACTTCTCAGCAAGCTGGGCCTCGTTCTTTTCGAGCAGCTCGGTGAAGAATATCCCGACACTCTCGGTAGTATCATTGCTGCAGAGGGAGCAATTGCTAATGTTGTTGGTATGACGCAGATGAATCCGCCGGTCAAGGATCTTTGTGAGTTACTTTTACTATATCATAATGTTGATTGCTAATACTTGTTATTAGTGCCTCGAATGACGCCTATCCTTCGTAATCGTCATGAGAAGGTGCAGGAGGCATCTATCAACTTGATTGGTCGTATTGGTGAGTGTCAATGTGATGTGTTCATCTCATTCGCTGACTCAATTCTTTAATCAGCCGATCGTGGGGCAGAATTCGTGCCAGCACGAGAGTGGATGCGCATTTGCTTCGAGCTACTGGATCTATTGAAGGCGCACAAGAAAGGTATTCGGCGTGCTGCTGTCAACTCCTTCGGGTATATTGCGAAGTCCTTGGGTCCTCAGGATGTTCTCTCGGTTCTTCTCACCAACTTACGTGTGCAAGAACGTCAAAGTCGTGTTTGTAGCACTGTCGCCATCGCCATCGTCGCTGAGACTTGTGGTCCCTTCACGTGTATCCCTGCCATCTTGAATGAATACCGGACAGCGGAACTCAACGTGCGCACCGGTTGTCTCAAAGCCCTCACATTTGTCTTCGAGTATATTGGTCCCCAATCGGCGTACTACTGTGACTCCGTGGTAACCATGCTTGAAGATGCACTCACAGATCGCGACCTTGTTCATCGCCAAACTGCTAGCGTCATCGTGAAGCACATCGCACTTGGTGTCGCGGGCATGGGCTGCGAAGACTCTATGATGCACTTGATGAATCTTGTCTGGCCTAACTGTTTTGAAACGTCACCGCACGTCATTGGTGCTGTTATGGATGCAATCGAGGCAATGCGGGTATGTCTCGGTCCCGGTATCCTTTTGAGCTACGTTCTTCAAGGTTTATTCCACCCTGCACGTAAAGTCCGCGAGGTGCGTTTTTCCAGGTGCATATTCTACACCCGTACTGATTACTTTGCTACTAGGTCTACTGGCGGGTCTATAACGCATTGTACTTGGGCGCTTCAGATGCTATGGTTCCCTTCTATCCTGACCTGGGTGAGCTCAGTGAAGGACAAAATGTATATGACAGGCATCCACTGCAGATGTTCCTTTGAACAACGTCGAATGGTGATATGTATGATTAGGCACCGAGTTACTTATGTTTTTATTACCATGCCTCGTGTAGATCTAAATGCAATAATGGAATAATAGGTCCTTCGGGCCTCTGACGTTTCATGACATTCGTGGGCCATAATTCCTCTTTAATTCAGGTTCACGGACATAATCAACATGAACGCGCCTGTATACAGCAATGCAGTATGTACATACTCAGTTACGAGGTTGAGCAGAGAATGACATTCTGAGTCCTCGCACCTCATAACTAGTATTATTGGCACATAGTCCGTCAGATCTCGTCGCATACCAAATGACCTTGCTTTGCAAGCAAGGTGGCTTGTTTTCAGTTGAGACTCATCCTCGTGACATCTATTGCGAGCCCAAGCTTGTAAGTTGATTGTAAGTGTAACTTCGTCGATTCTTCGAGTAGACTCGTGTAGCAGGGTTAAAGTTTGCTTGGCGTGGAATCGACTAAGCTTGAATGTCGATGACTAGCGGGCTCTCCCGCGTACGTAGCTTATAACACATTGCAGGTGCAACCACTATTCAGATAAAGTAGCATCGCGTGGCGAACAGATTGACATCATTTCATACTCGTGTGTTGTAGACATCTATGCGAGGTATTATGTGTGCAGTCTAAGCAGAATGAGTTATTGTAAAGCCGTAGTAGAAATCGTGGAAAACAGTCAGGAAATATCAGAGCAGGTCGTGTTCAATTAGAGTACGAAGGAGGTCCTGGAGCCACATTGCGTCAGAACTAACCCAACAGAACGACCAGACCAAGCTTACCGACTGAGCGCATGGGATTTTGTATGGCAGATTGCAAGGTCATCTTCTCGCCGTCCGAGAGACTGTCAATGATGCGAATGAGACCATCTAGGGAAGCCTTGCGGTCTTCCTCTGCAACCTCCGCAAAGTGGCTAAGTAGATGATCAGCCTTGAGTTTCGACAAGGTCTGCGTGATGTCGAGCTGCTCAAGGACTTCGGCCAAAGCACGATTGTTGGACAAGTCAACATCAGGGATAAGCGAGTCCAATAATGCGGCGCGCTCCTCGGACTCCATCTCAGGGTTGCTATCTTCAATCTGCTCGAGCAAGCCGGAGCGTGCGATGCGAGCACGAAGGGCCCAGTAGAAGTATCTCCGGGCATCTTTCCATACAGCAGGTTTCGCACAACCTTTGGCTTCCATTCGCCCAGAGCGACTGTACATAAATCAGACAAAAGTCATCTTGTGAGGTTAGGAACACTTACTCATGGAGGTCAGCATAAAGCAAAGCAAGCTGCTTGTACGTGGGCTGCAAAAAGGTCTCCCTGTTGGCTAATGCTTGCGTTGCCTGGGCTCTCTCCTCGGCAGTCTTGCTGGCATCCTTGCTGGCTTGCTTAAGCTCAGCGTACGTAGAGTCAAGACGTTCCATCAATGTCAAGATCTTATCTCGGCGCATCTTGATCTCAACGATACCTTCCGGCTCGAGAACACCAGCACGAGCCTCGACATCTGCATACATCTGCATCTTCTCCGGGTTGATCGAGGGGTCAAGGACGACCCACGCACCGCCGCGCAGTTCACCGTTGGGGACGATGTAAACAAAGACAGGTTGTTTGTAGGCGGACAACCCGTCAACGATTTTTGAGCCTTGTTTGAGCACCTCGTCATACATGTCCTGCTGACCACCGGAGAACCCACGCCAATTAGCGAAGATGATAAGAGGGAGTCCCTCACGATTGAAGTCGAAGATGGCCTGGGCGGTCTTGTAGGCAGAGTTGGGGTACCAGACTTGACCTGCCTCCATAACTCGTTGCTCAAACGACGCTGGGTTAGCAGGATCTGCGGGAACAATGCGCTCAATCGTCCGGGTCTCGACAGCAATAACACCCATAGGAATACCACCAAGACGTGCACGTCCAACGACGACAGTCTGGGCCCACCCGCCGAGTGTCTCCTGGAAGGACCCCTTGTCAAAGAAGCCACTGAGCCATAGTGATGTGTGTTCATCTTCTTTGCCTTCAATGAACCAACGAGGATCATACGGGCCCTTGGGGGGGGTGTAGGCGATATCGCGATCCCAAGAATCTGAAGTTTCACGAATAGGCAGGGAGTCACCCTTCGACTCTGGCACATATGATAACCACTGCAAGATGTGCGTGACACCCTCCAAGTCGCTGCTAGCGGTGAGATGCGATACACCATTCTTGTACATGATCTGTGTCCCTCCAAGCTGCAGGTTGGAGGTATACACCTCCCGTCCGAGCACCTTGTTTAGGGCTGGAGCACCAGTGAGAATGATAGGCTGGCCCTCGACTTGCACTGCACGTTCTCCAAGACGTACGAGATAAGCTCCGATTCCAACTGACCGAGCGGTGACCAAAGTGATGGTAAAGATATCGTCATATGCTCGTGATGTTTCACCAGCGATCAGTCCTGATCCCTTCAAACTCTCCACACCGAGACCGTCCTGCAAACCTATGATATCGGTTATCTTGTAGCGCACCTCGCCATTAACTTCTATCTCAGCTGTGCGCACAGATGCAGCAGCCTTCTCTTGAACCTTCAGGTAGTTCTCCCGAGTCAGGTAAATATAATCGATGCCTTTCTCAGGATGCCCATCGTCGTTCCAGGAACAGGAAAAGAGGTTCATCACTTCTTCTCCAAGGCCAATACGAGCGCCAGAGTTGGCAGAAAGGTAAACGCGAGGAAGGCCGTATTCGCGAGCGTATTTGGTGACCGTGTAGAAGAACTGATCTTCGATGGGACCAAACGAGCCAATTTTGTAGGTGATATCATTGGCGATCACAACTACCTTGCGCCCGTCGGGATACTCAGGCGTTCTGAGAGTGAATACCCAAGCAACCATACCGAAGGTGTTATTTCCTGGAGCACGCTCAACTTCTGCGAGTTCATCGTGCTCGTCAAGCACGAGTTCCTTCGCTTCCAGAGTGCTCTTAGGCAAGCTCAAGGAAGAATCAGTCGCACGAGCCTTGATCCAGAGGTTGTGCAAGGCTTTGGAAAAGAGCTCGGGGAAGTCATAGACATATGTGGTACCGATAAGATGCGCCTGATAACGCTTGGGTTGCAATGACTCTTTGGTTGGGTACGGCTGATGGACGGGCTGAAGGTGGAGAGGCCCCTTTTCTCCAATGGATTTCAGGATAGTGGTTCCTTTGTCTGTTGTAATCTCCTGATAACCATGGAAGTTGACCACAAATCCAGATACGTTCTCTATGATGCAGCGAATAGGGGTAACATTGCCCTCGCTATCCTCCAGGGCGATGCGGATTTCAGAACCAGTGACGTGGAGACGCCATAACCGTTTTCCGTGTCGCTCGATGAATCCAGCGATAGCTGTCAAAACGTCTTCATATGAGACTGCGAGGTTGTAGACGAAGTTCATGAAGATGTGGTTGACGTCAGCATTACGATGTTGTGCACTGACAACTTCCAGGGCGTCGAGAACGCTTGTGACGAGACGATCAGTTTCAGAAACAAGGTACTCTGCGGTACTCATCGAGCCACGTAGGCGTCCGGGACGGACGAGTGCGCGAATGAAGAAGCGGTTGTCTAGTTGGTTCTCCCGAGCAACGGCATGGTAAATGTGAATCTGCTTGGTCTCGACGAAACATGGTGTGAGCTTGTAGTGGGACAAACGGCTGAGCTCCAGCTGGAAAGCAAGAGCCGGTTCGATATTACGGATGGCTTGCTCCTCGACCCAGGAGCCGCCGGAGTTGCGGAGGGTGAAGTACATCGGGTATTGCCCACGGCGACAGATGAGAATAGTTACGCGACGGACACCGCGCTTTGCGAGTACACCATTGCGATCGTTCAAGAACTTTGTCAATTGCTCCGCCCAAGTTTCTTCGGCAATGACATCGGTCTTGTCAAAGATACGGAGTGCCAGATTCATCACGTTAGGCGGCTGGCTGTTGCCATAACGCTGGCTGAATTCCTCAACGTCAAACATAGGGAGGAGGTCGGCAACCTTCTCGAAGCCTCGTGCCATGGCAGCGAGGTCAGAGAATGATGAAATAACACCAGTTCGGATAGGCTGAGACTGGCTGCGACTTATGAGATAGGTTAAATCGCTGACTGAGCCCTGGCGACGAGGGTCGCTGTGATCAAGTGAGTGAGTCGAATGAAGAAGCCGTTGTACGGTGAACTCACGGTGCAGTGACGCTTGGAGTCGATGGTGGCGAATGGGATTGACCAAGGTTAAACCTCCAAGTGGCAGCGCTCGGCAATTCGCCATCATCCGAACCATCACCCTCCTCGTAGTCAATCGATAGAAGTGAGTAAGCGCGGTAAGCACGTCTGATATAAACCTCGAAGGCAGCTGATGGACGTTCCCGGTCAAAATTACTCCATCAGTTTCATCAAATTAAAGACTCACCCATTGTGACGACTGGGTCGGAGTGCGAGAAGAATGCAGGAAGGACGTCGTAGACGGTATAACGCGAGTCGCTCAACTCTCGTAAAATTTCAGCAGACGGAGCCCTGAATAGGCTTTAGCAGCAGTTACAACATCAAATTGATTGTTTTACCTGTTAGCAGTGCCAGATTCGCCATAAACGCTCGAAGACACCGATGCTTTCAAAATAGCCTCCATTTGAATGAGACGCTCTTCGTACGACGGCATCTGCCCGAGAATAAGAACCTCGCGAGCCTTAAGAGAAACGGAGGTGGATGATCTGAAGGTCCTCGGTAAGCGATTACAATGAGAGAAGTTACAGGACCGTACTTGGATTCAAGAGCTGCAAGGTCGTTGAGGACCTGATAAAGTCGACTTTCTGCGTTCGAAACAGGCAAACCACTTGTCTTGACATAGTCAAGCACAGCCAGCACTAGTTTTGACTTGCTCTGCGCCTTCGTGTGACTGAGTACAAGTGCGACAACCTTGTCGAGATCGTCCTTGTGTTGTTCTCGAAGCTTGAGGACCCGAGTCTCAATGCTTCCACCAAAAAGCTTCTCAGTCTGCTCGTATGCAGAAAGAAGGTTGGCGATTGTGTGCACCTCGTGGCCCTTCATACCACCCATAAAGCGCTCTAGGACATCATACAAAGCAGTGAGCTGCATGCGGAACATTGCCCTGTCTTGGGACAAGATGGAGTCCTGAACGTAGTGCTCGAGCACCTTCTTGATGCGCACTGCAGGGAACTCGTGAGCGTCGCTCTTTGATTTGGCGGTCTCGATCGCGCCACGGATACCCTCTTCAAGTTTTGCGGGCATGCGGCCGGAAAGTGCAGATAAGATAGCATTGACCTCAGAGTAAGGAAGCTCAGGGTCATGCAGCACCTCAATGAGGTCCTTGAAGGTCGAAGCCATGATAGCCTGGTTGTCATAGCCCTCAAGAATGTCGTTGAGTGTACCCATGCAACGAACGAAACGCTGATAGGTCTTGTTGCCGATGATGCCAGGAAGACCCATAGGAGGGAGGAGGCCTTCGAAAGGTTTAGCGTGCTTGACGCGAGCTGGGTCGTCCAGGGTAAGGATGCCAAGAATGTCACCGGGTTCAAGACTGACACCAGGCTGCTTGACGAACTGGACTATGCCGTCCTCAGCAGCTACGAGTGGCATGTACATCTTCATGACCTAGGGGTAACTAACTCAGGCGCTGAAACATCACGTCTATACTATAGAAAACTTACCTCAATTTCTGCGTAGGTCTCACCAGCGTTGATATGATCGCCGCTATCGACAAGGAACCTGATAAGCTTGCCGGGACTCGGGCTTCTGAGTTGAGTGGGATCATTCTCCTGCTCAATCAAACATGTCTTCGCATCGACCATGAGACGCAGCGCGCCTACTTCCTCTCTCCAATATACGGAGTGACTCCGGCCATCGAGCATGACAAGCAATCCACCATCAGCCAGCGGACGAGCACCAACCATGGTCCGGCCACCGTTCAAGAACAGCGTCCACATATTCTTGGAGGAGCGAGCGCAAGTAAAGTTATACCGCGTGTTCTCATAGATGAAATCAACACCGAAGACGGTTTTGAGCAGGTCACGAGCCGGAACCTGACCCTTGTCAAGGATGCGTTTGTACTCGCTAATGCAAGCGTCAGCAGCAAGATGAGCCTTCGTCACGGCACCACAGACGACAGCAAGAGTAGCGTCGGGACGCTCGGCGGTAAGCTTGTTGCTGATAAGGGTGTCCAGCCATCCGGTTGTGAAGGTGTTCTCGGTGAACGCCTCGAGCTCAAGGAGCTTGATGAGATACTCGACAGTAGTTCGGAAGTCACCACGAATGCTAAGCTCCTTCAACGCGACGATCATGTTTTTCCTACTCTCGGATCGATCCTCACCATATGCGAAAATATGACCAAATTGAGAATCAGCAAACTCATGCAAACCACCTGCAGTGCTGACGGAGAAGTAACCCCACACATTCGTACTGGAACGGAAGTTGAGCTCTTGCAAAGATCCAGATGAAGGTTTGAATCCAGCGTCAGGGTTCTCGGCAGTGATACGAACTGCAACAACATGACCCTTGGGACGCGGTTTGCGCTGAAGCTGATTCGACTCGGGCTTCACCATGTCGAAATCGATCTCGGACGAAGCATTAGGGGCTACGCCGTAAAGAGTGCGGATATGACGAATCCTGTGGAGAGGAATCCCCATGGCTACCTGTAGTTGCGCAGCAGGCAAATTGACGCCAGAAACCATTTCAGTCGTCGGATGCTCGACTTGCAAACGAGGGTTCAGCTCAAGGAAGTAGAACACGTCCTCCGCGTGACTGTAGAGATCTGGAGGGAAATAAGTCAGTAAATTTAAGAGAGCCCGTGAAGAACAATGCGCATACATTCAACTGTTCCTGCGCTGACATATCCGACTAGCCTCGCCAACCGGACTGCTGCACGTTCCATCTGCTCAAAGGTATCCTCCTTTGCAATAGTGACCGGGGCTTCCTCGATAATCTTTTGGTGGCGACGTTGAACGGAACAATCACGTCCAAATAAAGAGATGGCATTGCCATACTGATCGGCGAGCAACTGAACCTCTAAGTGTCGTGCTTGACCAGCTAGCTTCATGATGAAGATGGGCGATCCTGGGGGAAGGTAGGTGAGGGGACGCTCAAGTCGAATTAAATCGCCGCACCTGGAATTTCCCCTGCAACAGCGTGGAATGCATTCTTAAACGCATCCGGATGATCGACTTTACGAATGCCCTTTCCTCCTCCGCCCTCACTGGCCTTGATCATAACTGGATATCCAATAATCTCAGCCTTGGTGAGACCCTCCTCGACACTTGTGACACAAGCGTTCTTGTACGCATTGTCAGGAACCGTCACGAAACCCTGCTCTGACATGGTAGTTTCCGATATGCCAGAGCCCGACCAAGCCATGCAGGGAACGTCCGCGCTCTGAGCGACGATCGTACTTGATATCTTGTCTCCCAAGCTCCTCATGGCACTTCCTGGGGGTCCGATGAACACTATACGGTTCTTCGATGCAGCGAGACTTTCAGGTAGTCGAGGGTTTTCAGATGCATGACCCCATCCTGCCCAGACGGCATGCACACCAGCACGTTCGGCAACATCGATAATAAGGTCGACGTTGGCATAATTGTTATTGTTTGATCCTCCTGGGACCTCGATGTACTGGTCCGCCATGCGGATGTACTCAGCATTTACCTTGAGGTCCTCAGGAGTTGCCATGACTGTAAACTCGACAGCTCGCTCTGTTCCGAACGTTTCATAACTCCATTGGCGGATGGACCGAATCTCCTTGACCGCCGCGATGCCTGTGGATTATGAGTTAGCATTGGCAGCATGATTTGTTCGAGTGCTTACCGTTATTTGCAATAAGTACCTATAAAAGACAAGAATTGATCAGTCATATTCAATGAATGGGGTTCGGATGAAGCACAATTTAAAGAATCCGAGAGATGGCTTACCTTCGTGATGACTGTATGACCGCCATGAGCCTTTACGAAGTCCGTAACACGACCAGCAGGAGCCTTATCAAGTGAATTTCCACCTGAAAACAAGATCGACATTCAAAACGCGTTATTATTATTTACTATTGACGCGTACCTATGAAGTGGGCTACTTTTGAGTGATCGTAAGCCGACATTGTTGCCACCAGTGATTGATTATTGGATGAACAGCGGGCAGACGTCAATGCAAGAGATGGGAGATAATGATGGGAGAAAGAGAAAAGGCGAGTGGGACGCAGATATGATTGGGGCTTGTCAAGTATTTTACTTCTCTGAGCCCCAAAAGTATGTATATTGTTACGTAATAATGAATTATAAGCATCTCTGTGTCAATGGTTCTTGATTAACGAAAATGTTTCGAAACTGGTTTCAGAACAAGCCGATACGGCACGGCTGTGACTATACTATCGATACTTGACTCTTTGCTATAGGAGCGACGTGGAAATACTGTCATTTATGTAACCTCCCCAACAAAAAGTTTTCCATGCGAAATTCGTTTATTCGTTTGTTTAGCACACCATCTTAGTACACACGCGGTGACCGCGGCAAATACAAGCGAAATCACCTAAAAGTAACAAGCGACATAGGGGCTATTTCTAGATCCCATTCCCATCGTACTCAGAATCAATCCAAGAGGTCAGTTTCGTCAGCGTTCAAGATCAACCTCGTGAAGAAACGAATTTGTTCCAAGAAGCCCTCTGCTTTGATGGCTAAAGATCGAGACCGCCATGTTATTGAGTAAAATAGCAGGTAGTGCGGCAGCCTTGCTTACCTTCATTAATAGTATGCGCGCCATTATAGCCATCAGTAGTACCACGGTGACCATATCGGAAAATGTGTCTAGTAAGGCTCCAGTAATGCCTCGTGTCTGAAAACGCATGTTCAGGTAATCTCCGTGTTCTCGTCATCAACGCCACCTACCCGTGTTTCCTGTGATTATTGGATAAAAACGTCAGCCATTGACCGATATGAAGTATAAACGTGCTAATTTACCTAGTGAAAGGCCAGGTGATACGACAGAAAACTCAGGGAAGTCGTCCGTACGGAGGTTGGTTTTTAGCGTGGACAAGATAGTACCCGAAAGTAGTTCGTATGGCCCGCTACCGGTAGTTGGGGTGACAGGTGCGGGTTCTAATGCAGAGCCAAATGCATCTGAAACCTTCACAAGACCCCATGTAGATGCCTCGATGCCGATTTTCGTCCCAAATGCATTTAAGGACATATTGTGCTTTGCCGCAACAGGTGCGACGATGCTCGCAAATCGGTCTTGAAGTTCAGAAACAGAGCTGGTTCATTGTAAGCAGACTGGTCTAGATAGCGACACGCTTTCGCATACCTGTGGTCGGCGATTCTGTGGTTTGTAATGGCATAAACGGCTTCAGGCAGTGCATTGATCTTAACGCCACCATATATGATATCTGACCAACTGTTCCTTCAAACCGCCAACATGAGATTGTTCTTGTTTGCTTACCGATGGCTTGAGTTGTACCTGCTGAAGCAGAATATGCTGGATCAAAATCATCAAGCTTTGTCTCCAGCTCATGCAATTTCTCATCGCTAGTCTGCGATTCGATAACAAGTTTGCGCATCCCAGAGGGGAATCCAGCATCGTACTTTGCCCTGCACTGCAAACCCTGATAGTAGGTTCGGTCGCGCGCAAGCTTCGGGATGTGCGGGTTCGCCTCCAGCTCGGTGACAACGCTGGCGAGGATACCAATACCCTGCGTACTGTGAGACAGGTCACTGCTCGTACGGTGGTGTACTTACGGTATGTCTGGGGGGTCTGCTTGAGTGTCCTCCAGGTGTGAGAACGTCTACGCGAACGTCCAAGTACCCTTTTTCAGCAACCGCGGGAGTTGCAAAAATGGTGCCGCTCAAGTCTGAGTATCCTCCTTGATGTTTTTGAGAAGTCGGGTGCAACTCAATCGAGGGACCATCTTACCTCCTTCATCGACAATCATTGACATGGAATCTTCTCCATAGGTGTCTACAAGATACTCCCCAATTGCCGCAGCTCCCTGTGATGATATTGGAATTACTTCAGTCAAATCAAAAGCACACTTACAGTTGGCCCACCACGCTCCTCGTCGATGCCATAAGCTACGATGACGGTTCTTGTAGGTTTAAACCCTTGCTCTAGGAGAGTCTCGATAGTCGTCCTATCATAACCCTCAGCACCGCGATGACGCTTAGGCTACTCTATACTACTCACATGATGCCAATCACTCCAGGCTTATCATCGCAGCTGCCCCTTCCCCAAATCCACTCACCATCATAATAGCCCGAGAAAGGGGGGTTGATCCAGTCAGCTTCGGTTGCAGCATTTGTGGGGACCACATCTATATGCGCGGCCAAGAGAAGTGGCTTCAAAGATGTATCCGTTCCTTGCCAGTGATAGACAAGTGCATATGTCGCAACCTTGGTGCGTTGTAGAGTGGCGTGGCTTGTTTCTCTCTCAATGATGCTTTGGTATAACCAATGTATGTCACTTACACCTTTGGGAAACGCTGTTCGATGTATGTATGGAAATCATTAAATACATTCCACCGCGGGTCCTCTTCTGGAGTACCAAGATCGTCGTAGCACACAGTCCTATAATCATTTGAATGAAGGAGAGGCGACCTCCGAGACAAGAACACTCACGGAATCCTTACGGCGCCTCCTAGTAACTCGTATGCCTTTAGTTTGAACTCTTTGGTCCTGTATTCCTCATCGAGAGTGTGGATTAGCAACGCGTGGCTCGAAGGTGTGATAGCAGAGACTTGTGGACACATAACATCCTCTACAGCAAGTAACCTCTGGCTCTCGAGAGTGGGAAAGACACTGGTTGAAAGATGTGGCCAGAAGCGATGTAACAGCAATACGAGAGCCAAGAAACATGCAAAATTAAGGATTTTCGATCGTAAAGCACTGCGTTGACGCTTGTGGTTTTGAGATGCGTGCCATACAAACTCTGGATCCGCTTTGGCTCTCCAATGCATGTTTTGCGCAGTAGAAGATGCCCTCTCGTCAGCGAAAGACTCTCGCTCTGTCTGGGACATGAAGGTAGGAAGAGAATCGACGGAGAGCCTTCCAGACACCACAATCATAAGATAAGTCTGGGCGTTCCCGTGTTCCAATGCACATGATGTCACATGAGTGTCACGGCGGCCCGAGCGGATTGGTAATAATGCATAAGCATTAAATTTCTCGGGATGCCATCCAGTGCTTGTCGCACACGGAATGATGTATTAGCAAGCAGGCCAGTTGTATACCATAGAGACATATTCTATTCTGTGACACCGTGGGTGCCAAACCTTCTGAGCTGGTCATGCCGGAGAATCGAAAAGGTGAGAGCGAGCACACTGGGTTCAGAAGGTATTCACTTGATTAGAAGTGTCAAGTACGCCAACTTAAGTCGAAACATCGAATGCGTTCTTTGTTAGCTTGCGGCATAATGATAGTAGTAGATATTTGATGGCTTCCCGTAGGCTGAGATAACAGTTTGATAACGGAGGGAATCCATATCAGGTCCTAAACCGTGAGTGTCGTGCTGCTCCTTTAATTCGGTACGACAAGCGAGAAGTGCATGGCCATTGGCCACGATATTCAGCATTGAGCGTTGAATATTTGCTCGTTTGCTGTTCGAGCACTAAATCTCAATGTATGTGGAGACGTACATTGCGTTCCAAAATTAATTTATCCCACATTTTTCAAGCCTACGATAAGTTATCTGATTTGAGCATTTATGCTTTCCAGTCTTTAGGCACTCACCCGGATATTAATATGCAATGGAGGAGTAGGTACCGTCTTGACACCTCTAATCAAGATAAGCGCAGTTTCCCCGGGTTTGGAATGGTCGTCGACTGTCCCTCGTGTGACTACTTTCTGAGGTTCCTCGGTGCTGGTCGGCGCTGCGTGTACAGTAGGTTTCCGTGTGTCCCCAGGCCTGACTGAGATTCAACGTAAAACAAGATTAGACCTAGATATGAGATATCAAATGCAGGATGTAGTACAGCATACGTACAGCCTATCGACACAATGAAAGCGCGATGTGCGCATGCAGGTCAACATAATAAAAGTTGGTGTGGCGTGTGAGCTGGTGGTTTCGCCTCATTGCAGTAGTTATTCTTTGCGGGGCAAGGGGGATGTGCCTAGGCACTCGAGAAGTTGTCTGCATGAGACGACAAAATTTAAAGGCAACGCAGCCCTGGCATGCAAACGATTGGAAATAAAAAAACCTTGTTTACTTGCTGTCAGCGATGCCGGCGGCACCTAGCGACGTGAGGTTTCCAAATCGACAAGAATACGAAGCAGTAGGCTCTGGGAACCGACAAGAACACAGACGACTTGCGTGCAATGCGGAGATAGGGTCGTGTCTTTCGGATCCACATGTCGATTGTGACGAAGGTTCTGTTGCATGTGCACACCTGCGATGGACACGATCAGAAGTCAAAAGAATGGCGCCCAAGACGCATCGTGCAAGAATAAAATGATGGTGCGAGAATGCAACATGGACTCGAATTGTCACCTGACGAACTGCTGAACCCTAGAAATTAGTTGTTATTGAAATATTAAAGGAGGGTGCGGAGCGCGTTTCAATGGGAGCATGTGGTCCAGATAAACACGATGACTCGAACGTTACCCATTTTAGCCACGTTTTCAAAATTAAAGCCAGCACCACTTTCTAGTGCGATCTCTCCCTTCAATCATTCGCGCACAACTGCCACCTGCACGCCCAAAAACTCAAGGTAGGCCTATCTAATACATATATAAACTCATACAAAGCTGAAAAAAAAACATCCCAGATTACACTCTTCCTCGCCCCACTATCATGGCAGACAACGCAGTAACATCTACCGACACTGGCTCTAGCCCTAGAGAACATAATGCTGCCGGAGGGCCCAAGGCTATCATTAAGAACGTGGATATGACTGAAGAGATGCAGCAAGAGAGCGTTGAGATCGCCTCTGCTGCTCTCGAGAAATATAACATCGAGAAGGACATCGCTGCACAGATCAAGAAAGAATTCGACAGACGACATGGCCCCACGTGGCACGTTGTTGTCGGAAAGAACTTTGGCAGCTACGTGACTCATGGTATGTCTTTCGTGCGTTGTGTTGTTGGCCCATCGTCGGATGTGGTGTTTATGCAACCCGTTTGCGTTCATCGATCTTCTACAACTTTCTTGCGCTTCTGTCTGTTGCGAGAACGAATGTGACCTGAGTTATTTCTTTCAGAAACCAAGCACTTTATCTATTTCTACGTCGGATCGCTTGCTATTCTCATCTGGAAGTCATGAAACAACTGTAAATTCACGTTGGATTGATCAATGTGAGTTTTCTTACACTCAATCGCGTGCCCCTTCCTTTAACTAAAATGATTATAGTACAGACAGACGCGACTCACCACTCTTCACCACGTGTATTGTACATTTTTCTGAATCCGCATTTACCTCGCACGCCAACCGTCCTGCAATGTCCCCCCCGTTTTACGTGTACAAATTGTTCATTACTTTCGTGGAAGATTGCCCTTTGGAACGAAACTGGCTGATAAGTCCTTGGTCCGCAGTGTTTGGAACCCAGTTGAGCTAAGACGTACACTGCCTTTAGATATTATGTCAGGTATTCGATAACAGTTGACACTGAGCAGAGCACACAATCATTGCAATGCATAACCTTAGGTGTTCGACAACAGCGTTATGTTTGCATGTACACCACTTAAAGAAAGTACATAGATGAATCAAACCCAAATTACATACAATTGCAGATAATACCAAGTCCACTGGTCGTTAGAAAGCCATGAAATGTGGACAAATCGAGTACGACACGATATGAGCCAGCTCACTCTGTCAATGGCGGAGATCTTTTATTCCTTCCAACGATCTCAACGATCACCTTTGCAAGACATTCCCCACCCTCCGCATTGAATACGCCCACTTGGATCTCCCCAAGATCTTGCTCTGTAGGAATCCCATAAAACTCAACCACTCTCTTGCTGTCACCGCCCTGCCCCTTGAGCTCCAACTGCAAGAAATGTGGGAGAGCTTGCCCCGACATCAGTTTTGCCTCCAACTTGCGATATGTACCGTTGGCGGACTTTATGGGAATGCGGAACTTGAACTTCTCGCCGGTCCGTACGATGAATCGAGAGACGGCGTTTTCCGTTCCTGCGCCGACAGTGCCTAAACCAGGTTGAGAAGATGCGAGCGATGAGAATGACTCGTCGGACACAGAGCGCACGTTCGATGGACCTTCTCCAAGCGTGCGAACATAGTGCATACCCATGCGAAGCTCATCAATACTAGTGTGGTGCGCGTCTCGTCCTTCTTGGTAGACCTTTGCTGTCTGGCTGACGATTCTTTTGGTTCCTGGAGATACATCTAGTGGTGCTTGATTACTAGGCGGAGACCGCGGAGGAGGAACTCGGGAAGAATTCGTAAACGGTTTGAGACGAGGCTTTTCTTCGGCGGTGTGAATAGTCTGGATAGTCTCAGGACGTGATTCATAGGAAACGATGCTTGTACTCTGTATACTGTCTCTGATAATGCTGAAAGATGCTTCTAGTCAATATCAAGCGATACGACGCAACAAAAATGTACCTTTTATGAGCAGAGTCCTTGAGAGCAGCAGGTGATGGCTCTCGCGGGCCTCGCGGCGACCTTGGTGGAGCAAAATCGGCTCGCCTTCGTGGGATAGACCTCTCATCCGTGGAGTTCGATGGAGAACTAATGAAACTAGTCATCGTACTCGCTCGCTTTACTTTCAGGTCCGGGTCGTTAAAGGGATTTTCGCGTACATCTTGTGAAGCTGCGGTGGCCCTGATGTCTATGTAGTCGCCTTCTAGAGGAAGCCCATCCACGCCCTGACGTGCATGTTTTGATGTCAATGGCGTAGGGTAACCGATGACAGGCCTTGTTGGAGTAACCTTGCGCTTGTACTTGTCGCTCACGTTCCTTGCTGTCTCCTTGATCCGCCCAAGGAACTCGGCCTTCTTCATAACACCATTGCAATCAGCATAAACAGTTGAAGGCGTTTGAGGAACACGCCGGAGGCCAAGTCCAAGATTTGCATGTGTGTTTGACGGCAGATTTTCAATGGGTTGGAACGGGTTCCCTTGTCGCTGACCGACCTCAAGACTGCCTTTCTCCGAAATTGCGCTCGTGTCTGCCTCCTTAGACCAGCCGTAGCCCTTGTTCTCTTCACGAAGACTGTTGTTTCTGTTGGGAGCCATCCCGTAGTACCTCTTCTCCGCATCTGACCAAGCGAATGCGCCTTCCTCGCCTAGTAAGGCCGAGTCTCGAACCCTTGCGCAACGCCTGAACAAAGCCAGACCGGTGCCAAGGCTAAGCAGGCCACCGATTACACCAAAAACAACAGACAAGATCAGCGTCGTTGTTTGGCGTCCCGCCGATTTCGCCGCTCCTAGTCCCTGGCTCTGATTTTCCTTCTGTGGAGACACCACGGATAGCGTTGCGTGGGAAGTGGAATGTGTAACATGAGAGTAGGCGATGAAGGTGACTACAATCTTTGGGACTTGTGAGTTGCTCGGGATCTGTCCGGATAGTTCCCCAGAGACCGGATCGAAGCTCAAATAATTGCTGGCATCGGGGAAAAAGGTAACACTGAGGTTCACGTCGTTGTGATTTTGGGCAGTATCAGCCTTGTTAGAGAAGAATTGTGCGAGATTGAAATGGACTTGCTGCCCTGGATCCGCATTGATGACTCCAAGGTCTGAGGCAGAAAAGTAGGATGTCACGACTGCCAGAGAGATCGTCGTCTCCAAGGTCTGATTGAAGTCAGTGGTAAGCATGGCAGGCAGGACAGGTCCTCTGTTCGTAGCGCTAGTTATAGAAAGTCCAGAGGGCGGGATCCCAAAGAGCGTCCTACTTTCCTCGTCATATTGAAGCCAGTTTTTATACGCGGACACATCGATAGACAAACCGGTGATGTTTGTAGGTTCTAGAGGCTGTCCATCCACCAGCATGCCAGTAAAATCAGCGGCAGCCATGATCGTGAAGTTAAAAGGAGATTCGGCCGTGACATTGACAGTAGGAAGAGTCGATAGTGCATACAGCTCGTGAGAGGCCACGACGAGGTCGAAAGAGACGGTGTCTGCGCTATAGCCCTCCTGATCAGACGCATGTACATCTATAGATAGCGTGTAAGGCGTGGGCAGTTTAGCTTCAGATGGCGTTACTCCGTCGAAGGTTACAGTATCTGTATTGAATGAAAGCCATTGAGGAAGAGGCGTCCCATCGGCTTGCAAGGCTGCATAGTATAAATCATTTGGGGCCGAGAAGGTATTACTGAGGATACCGATGCTGAAGGACCACTGAGATGGGACCCTGAGTACAAAATCGTCCGTTTCAAGAGCCGATCCGGGGGATAGAAAGAACACCGATGAGAGCGCGGAGCTGCCTGCATAGAATTGCTTTTCTAAAGGAACTTCAAGCGTTGGAGGAGAATAGGACGTAATACAGATAAAGAACGATGAGGCTGCCGAGGACTCAGAGTCTGAGGCGTTTATCGTGATCTGCGGCGTGCCCTCATCTGCAGCGGAAGGCATGCCGTGGAGTGTCCGAGTTGCATTGTCAAACGAGCACCAGCTTGGTAAGTTTAGAGCGGTGTATGAAAGAGCCTGGTCCAAGTCGGTTGAAAACGTGAACTGGCTGAAGGACCAAGTGTAGTTTTCGCCAACACGAGCAATAAGCGGCAGTTGGCCATCTAGCGGATTGTCGACAGTGACTGTCGCGAGACCCGCTGATGCGGCAGCGAAAAGGGTTAAAAGAGTGACAATCATAGTGATGGGAGTCGTGAGGCGCGACGACGACGCACGTTGGAAGACGAGTCGGCCAGCGAGCTCAGATTTCGAATTATTTAATTGGTCAGTTGGAAGGCCAAAGATGATTGATTGAGAGAGGGAACGAACAAATATGCAAAAACAACGCGTCGCGACTGTGAACATTTATCAAATTCATATTACCCTTGTGAACAAATGACTCGGAGTAATTTTGAAGGTAGCATGTAAGTAATCTAAATCAACGAAAGCTGAGGGCACTGAAATATGGAATCCGAAGGTTGCGGTCAAATAAAGGAAAACATTTGCGTGACGGAAAAGAAATATAAATGGATTATGCTCCGATGAAGGCGCTGAGCCCCGCTGCTTGGATTCTCCCTGGATCTTCCGCGTTCAATATACCAATCAATGCAATCAGCTCAGCCCCTGTCTCATCCCCAATCTGCTCAGGTCCACTGGGATCAAGGACATGAGCAAACACAGCCAGCAGTTGATCCATGAAGGGTAAGAGCGACTGGGGGTTCGTGCGGAATAGATGGAAAATAGCGCGGAAAACTGGGCGATTCTCAAGGTAGTCGCTCTTGAGCGGGAGACTGCCAATCAACACAGGGAGAACCTGATCCAGAGGGACGGCAGCAGTGTTGCGGATGATGAGACGGGAGACAGCACCAGCAGCATTGTCCTTTGCATTGAGTTTCGCTGAAGAATCAGTGGGCGAGACATCAAATAGGAGGCGGAGTGCGCTGAGAACATGCATATATTGCGGCGAAAGGTCAATTTCAGAGTGTTCAACGAGAAGACCAATGGCAAAGCATGCATTGCTCTGGACCTCCGGTTCCGGGTCGCTGAGCGCGCGGTAGAACAAATCCATCAGAGGTTCTGTCGAGGGCGTGACAGAGGCTTTCATTCCAGCAATGATCTCTGCGAGACAACCGATAGCAGACGAGCGATCACTCATCGACCGGTTCTTCTTCTACAAACGAAGTACAGTCAGTACCTGAACAGGCGCAAGAAATAACTCCAACTGACGTAGTATTTCGAGATAAGAGGGAAGAAGGTATTGAATGCCTGCGCAAAGTCATTGCCTAGTGCATTCGCAAGCGAAGATACCAAGTCGCCTGCAGAGGAAATGAGTACTGAATCGTATTCGGCTTGATCTTCGGGTGGCTCGTCAGATTCATCCTGATCAGGGTCTTGTTGGCAAAGTGCCTTTTGCTCAAGGACCTGTACCGCGATGCTGCAGATGACATCGAGATCTCCACCAAATGTCAGCATCAGCAAAAAAAAAAAAGTGCTGGTTATTTGACTCACGGCCATCAATAAATGCCGGTCCAATCTTGTTGATGGTCTCAGCAAGACCAAGACACAACGACGCCACAACGGTCCTGTGATGAATTGGTCGGTAAGAGTACACAACTGAACATGAATCAACTGACTTGTGATCCTCAGTTTCATACATCTCAAGCAAGGGCTTCAGGCTGTGCCCAATAAGTTCTTTCACGCTCTGCTCCAGAGGGACAGTCTAGGTGCTGCGTTGGCATCATGCTCAGACATGTTAACTGCAACTCACCACTGTCGCACCAGGGGTCCAGTCTGGCGCACCGCTCAGTTCGTAGAACGTCCTGACCATCTCTAACAAAGAGTCCGTCGCGGACTTGCGAATACCCTCGTAATAATGCGTGAGCAAGTTGACGAGCTCGAGAGCACAAGGCTCGACGAAAGGAAAGAAGTGGTTGCGCGTGGCAGAGAAGAGTGTTCCAATCGTATCTGCAGCAATTTCCTTTTCAACTGCAATCGCGCTATTGACTTCGAGCATCTTGTCAAGGTCAACGTCTTCGATCTCAAGTTGGGAGTTCCCGTTGATATCGACGTCATCCGTGACGGAGATCGCATTTGTAGGAGAGGATCCGGATGCAAATGCAACAGCGGCGTCAGTGTTAGAAACTAGAAACAATTCATCAGAAAACCACTCGTTCAGAAATAAAGGATAAGCATACATGTAGCACCACTATCCTCGCCATGCTCAGCTTGCTTGCAGCTCAGCAACAACGGAGGCACCACGCTGGGTAAGTATGGCGCAAATTCCTCGCCAAATACCCTAGCCATCACACCAAAGAATAGGAAACTACACTCCCGAAGACGCGCGCTGCCCATCTCGATACCCTGGAATGCTTGCTTCATCATGTCCGCGAAGTATGGGCGGAAAACATCAACGCCGACGGCCTCTGCAAACGTACCAACAGCGTCCATAGCGATGCCACGGAGCTCGGTCTCCTCGCCTTCACCAGTGAGGACAAGGAAGTGCTGCAACTTGTTCATGGTCGGCTGGAAGTAAGGGAGGAACTTCTCTTTTGACGCATGTGCCGCACTACCGAGGGCTCCAGTAACTACAGTCTTGACAGTAATAGGTGCAGTGTCAAGCAAACCAGCAAGTTGCTCCATGATAAGCTGGAGGTATTGTTCAATGACATCCTGCGAGATCTCAAGCAGTGCATCAAGAGCAGTGCAAGCCGCACGCTGAGTATCAGGATTGTGCACCAAGCCCATGATCACCTAAAAAGTGGATATATATCTTAGCATGGGCATCAAGTCACGACAAACATTTCCATGCTCACAGGAACAAGAACAGCGTGCTTCGAAACGCACTCTTCCTCCAGCCACTCGCACAAGCAGCTGACAGCGATACAGGTCGCCTTCCTAACCGATTTGTCACCGTCATGAAGACCAGCCTCGATGACAGGCCAAATGTGGCTCATCAAAGGCGTCATGAACTCGCTGCAGCCCTCCACAGCCACGCCAAGCGCAAGCATTGCACCACGGCGATTGTTCGCATCAGGGGAAGAGAAGTACTGAGAGATAAGTGTTCGGAGGGCAGGGAAGACTTGGGTGGGGGGTAGGTTCGTGGCGAGGCCATCGATGATACGAAGAGCAGACTGGAATTACAATGATCAGAAGTCATTCGGCTGATAGTCAAAGTTACGTACACGGCAAGGAGCATCATCGTCCGAATCTGCGGGTTCAGGTTCGGTGGTAATAGGCATGAGACCCTCCAAAATGGCTCCTGCAAGGGCCTGACTTTGGATTTTGGATTTTTTGCTAGAAAGATGACATGAATGCGTTCATGAAACATTCAAATGTAAGCTCACTATTGGACAGTCCAATTGAGGGCGTTGAGGGCCAAAATACGGATTTCAGAGTCGAGACTGCGGTTTCCACCAGCTTGAAGGAGGAAGGATGCTAGCTCCGCAATGTGCGGGCCAAGAATTGGTACTTCCTGCAGGGCGTCTCGCAGATAAGTCCAAGTCAAAAAAGACTGAAATGAGGACGCACGAGAATGAGAAGAGTCTCGAATACATCAAATAGTTGACGAGCACCAGCCTCATCCCCAGACTCGATAGATTGCCCGAGAATCTGGATCATACCAGGAAGAAGGGCTTGGAAGGATTTCTGTAGCACAAAGTGAGAAAATTTGGTGAGAAAAAGATAATTTCCACGTACGATGTCGGCCTTGTCGTCAGAGTCAATATACTGGGCAATGACGCCCAAAGCCCTTGAGGTAGGGTTAGTTTACCATCTACAACTGGTCGAAAAGACAGGCGCACCGAACAGTCGTAATACGAACTTCGATACTCTCAGGATCATTGAGAAGACCTTCAAAGAGCTTGAAAAAGCTTTGCAAATGCTCCTGGAATCCTTCCACGATGCTCTCGAGAACAGTGAACAAAATGAAGATGGCGACCTCACGATGCGCGACTTGCGCTGATGTACATGACTGATGTAACCACGGAAGGAGTTGTGGCCATGTTCCAGCTGTGAGCTCGATGCTAGCAGCAGCAGCGATCACACGTGCAGCAGAGTGTCGGACGAGCTTCCTACAGCATCAAGAACTAAGGAGAGTACTTTTGAAAGAAAAAAAGATAGACTAACTCTTGTTCAGCAAGTATCAAAATAGGAAGCTGGTCTTTGATCTGCGAACGGACATCTTGCGGGAGCTGCATCCATAGATCGCCACTCTTTTGAGAAACACGCTTTCGCATCTCGACTGCAGCCAGTTGGCGAACCTAACGAACGAAAGTTCACGTGCACATAGCCAATAACAATGAGGAAGAGCCAAAAAAATACGCTGATGATGTTTGCTCACCGCGATTTCGGGCGAACTGGCGAGTATTTGTGCAAGTGCAGATATGCATGCCGGGTTTTTGTAGTATTCTGTGTTAAGCTGAGCTGTTGCCTGACAAACATGAGAGGTCAGAAAATACGATTAATAACGCGTTTGATGAAGCGATCTTACAGCTTTAAGCTGGTTGGTATCGTTTGAAGTGGACTGCAGTAATAGATTGTGCAGCCCCTGCACAAAATTCGGCTGTTGAGCAAAAAGTAATCAGATCGGACTCGATAATAAGCATCCAGGTATTGATCTGCACGTACATCCATCTTCAAAAGTCGTGAACGAGGATAAAGAAGAGGGTGAGGGGATAGATGAGTGTCTGATCCCCAATGTTCCCTAATCTAAAAACTTGGCGGAGTTCAGAAAAATTTGCCACGGATCATGCATGGTCTATGTAGTACTATAGTCCATCCGAAGAACACTTGTGTAACGCATCATGCATATTGCTCTCATCCGCACTATCGATGACCACGATGCATGATGCGCACGTCACGAGTCTCTGTTCCCATTAACTTTCCTATTGTTGTCCTAGGTCGGTATTGTCCAACGTGACTAGTCATTAATGACATATCAAACCTCAACGAGACTAGACCAGTCTTCCAGACAAAAGCACACCTCAATCAGATCTATCTGTGCTGTAAACGAGCTACTGTGGATATGAAGTATTACGACCCGATTCGGAGCACGAACAACCCTGGCCGGTCGAACCCACGAGCAGAACTTCGGAATCCATCGATTATCTATCTGTGTTTTGTTTCCACCACGCTATGCTGTATCGGTGCGGTCGTGGTTTGCTGCAGATCCAGTACTCCTGATCTTGCGTATCACTGAACGCTACTACAGAGATCACAAAATTCATTAATGGATGCGCGAGTATCGACCAATCGCGCACGGCTTTTTTGATGTACGATGCTTGAGGTGAGTCTGAATTTCGCATATGCATGCCTAGTATATCCTGGTCATGTACACTCATAATAGTTTTCGCTAGGCACCTCTAAATATCTTGACTAAGTTCACGCGTCTACCTGGCGATATTGAATTAATCTCTTTGACAGATTTTAAAGGTGCTATCGATTCACGTGCAAAGCTCGTCACCTCCCTTGCGTTCACGATCGACCTCAGACGTACCTTCAGGTTCCGGAGAGTGCATTATGCAAATAAATTTGGATTCGGATATTACAAACTGATATCTAATACTGGTCGTCGTACATATACGAAAATATGGAAACATTGCCAAGAGGTAAATCGTGGATGGAAAGATGATTCCGTACTGTAAAAGAAACAAGGGAAATCTTGCGTACAAGAAATGGACAGTCCAACGTCTGTCGAGTACGTATCGATAAAGGAAGATGCGTCCATAAGTCACAGGCAGTCCATGGTCTGCGAAGTAGATACCGGTAAGAGGAGTACAAAGACAAGAGATACATTGAGCCATTTACTACATGATGGCGAAGATAAGAGAAGAACCTTGCGACAGATGGATATGGGAGCTACGAGCGTGACCTTCAAGTCCAAGTCATGGGAGACAGGAAGGAGGTCGTCATCTTGTTGCGGTTGTGTCGGGATTCGGTCGTAGGTGACATCCGACATTGAAGAATGCAGAGATCCAGGCGGCGCGAAGAGATAATTCGCGCGCAGACAGCGGTGGCCTTCAACTTCGCGGGCATTGAAGCTCCAGGTCGTAGGGGACAGCGAGGGAGGCCGTTGCGGGTCTTCGGTATTTGGTCGTAGGGGACCTGAGGAGTAGCGTTGTGCATAGTAAAGATGTCAGTCTTGAATAATGTCGATCGAGTTTCCTGGGTTGGGCGTCTTCTGGTGCAGAGGCGGTGAGGCAGGCGACAGCGTAGAGGTGAGTCCAAGCTGGGACATGGCAGTTGCCCAGCCGTCAGCAAGAGCGGTTTGGTCGGCGAGGAGATCGTAGTGCAGTTGTCCAAGGTGATCTACTTTAGGTCAGCAAACAAAGAGGACGTTACCAAAAAATCACTCACGGATTATAGCAGCGTGTTCTACCTGTTGCTTGGCGTAAGCGCGTTCGATGCTGCCACGGACAGCGACCACGCGTGTGGATCTAGACGCTTGCTAACAAAACAATGAGTGCGACACTGTTTCACAAAGAATGTCCATACCTTGTCTCTGCATGGGCGGAAATTCCGATGCCGTTTGGTATCCGGGGGTTTCAGCTGAGGCGAGACAATCTGAGACATAATGTTGCCGAGAGAGCGTCGTAGTCGTTTGAGTCGAAGCGTCCACAAGGAGCGAAAGGTCGGTGGCCGTCAGGGGTCCGTCCTCTAGGATGATTAGCTGGAGCTGCGTCCGCTGGGAGGGTCCAGTCAAGTCATCGATCGTGAATGCTTTCGTGACTGGGAGTATTAGGTCCCCACTGGAACAGACGCTGTCGTCTTATCAAGATTCAAACATTAAGCGATAAAGCTGAGTAGACTGTGCGACTTCATACCTTGGCAAATGTGCTTTCGTAAAGGTCCGCGTCAGAAAGATCCTTCACGAAATCGTCATCGTCATCGACGAGAGTGGTGTAGGAATCGATTGAGAGGCGCTTGGCGTTCTGAATTGGCGAGGTCTGCAGTATTGGCGTGCATAGTGTTGAACATGTAGACGGCGAAGTGCAGTAAGAGTCATTTGCCATTGGATTCGGTGAAAATAATACGGATGGCGGAGTGCTGCAAGATTCGGTTGAAATTGGATTCGATGAAATTAACTTTGATGCAATAGAGATATCGGACACTTTGTTGCAGATGAGAGGCGTGTTGAGCTCGGCCAAATTGTGCTTCGGAGGGGATTGAGCTTCTTTACTGAGGATTATCTGGGCAGTCCTGTGGGAAGCTAGAACTAGGGCCGCGACAGATATACATAAATCGGATATGACGAGGCCAGCGGTAATGTTCTCCGCTTCTTTGACGGCCTTGGTCGTGCGATCAACCACAGTATGTTTGAAAAAGAAGGCTCCGAGGCACCCAGGCACTGTCGAAGGTAGCGGAAATCATATTGTAAGGCGAGTTGAAGTTGAGAATAAGTCGTGAAGAAAGTAATGCATGTAAATCGAGGACAGGAAATGGGAGGTATAACTCGCGGGTACGCTGTTCTTATACTCTGCCTTGTGGTTGAATCAGCACTGCCACGAAATAAACAAACTCGATTGCGACGCGTCTAGTCACGTGTGCAAAATCAGTTTATGTCAGCAACGCCACCTTTATATGCTGTTTGCAACCTGCAGGCGCATGGACTCATGGCTCGAACATGTTCAGAATATTCATGAGACGATCGCCTCTTGCGAGTCTCTGTGTACCGATAGCCAAAGGCAACTGATAAACACTTACAGATCAAGGAGTGGATCCCGCAGCGCTGCCAGCGCACAACTTCTTCCTTCAAACCGTCGTTGTTCGAGGTCCGAGTTGATTGATGATCAGCTGGTGATCGGCTAGTCACCACTGCGCAGGTCTGTAAATGTTCGACTGTTCTGCAACCACAGATCTCATCAAATTTTATCCACAGCCCTATCTTCGTCATTCAGTCATCTCATCAATCATATGAAGACTCAGATATTTGAGACGTACTCTGATCTTAGAAGCCTGAATATCGGTCCTATCTACTCGTGCTGCTCATGAATATTGGTCCGAGGACTGTTTCCCCGTGAAGCAATCCCCGAACAATATCCATCAACAGAACGATCCACCCCTCATCTCATCACGTCTGCATTGATCTATAATCAATATGGAACAACTGACTTCGTTCTGGCTAGAGGGGACTAACATTGATCATACACTTATCAGATAACGAATTTATACAAACTGGTGTTACCAATACTGATACAAAGGTTGTTAGTATGATGCTACATAATAGCAGTTTGTATACTGTATAATCCAAAACTCGGCGAAGAAAAAATTATATCAATGTCGGCTAGCGACTTGATCGATGACTTTATGCCAGTATTCAATAACAACCTCATCCAGTGAGGCCACCCTGCGCGCCAGTGGCAGCAATACGAGCCAGAGCATCAGCATTCGTCGTGCAGGTGATCGACGTTCCAGCAGAGTTGACGAGAGGAAGTGCAGCGCAAATGAGACCTGACCCACAGGATTGAGTCACGTACGAGCCCCCTACGCACTGCGCAAAGGCGCCGTTGATGCATGCATTGGTACCCCCTGCATAAAATGTTAGAAAATGGCATGCTGCTTCAGTACGGCCGACTCACCAGTGCAGAGAGAGGTAGCCGTTAGCGTAGCAAACTGCGCGTTGAGCTTCTGAGCGTCCTGGCCGTTGGTGAGCTTAAAGTTTCCACTAGTGCTTGAAGGCATTGCAGACCCGGATACAGCGCTAGAAGCTGCCGCAGTGGGCGAAGGAGTAGGCGTGGATTCGGTTGAATCTTCGCCGCAGTCAGAATCCGAAGAACCAGACGAAGGTGTGTCCACTGTTGAGGTGCTGTTACTTCCACCAGTGGTGGCATTGGAGGCAGCTGTGCCACCGACACCAGGGTTCTGGGTGAGATCCACGAGTTGTGTGCCATCAGCGATGGGACCGGAGGGATTTGCGGGGCAAGAACCAGCCGGGTTGACAGCTGCACTCATACCGAAAGGAATAGTCCCGCTACCGCCAACGGCTGTGCCACCGACAAAGGTCGTTGGATTATCACCCTGGAACTGACACTGGAAGAGCCCATTGAGCTCAGCATTACGCGGGGCCGATTGACAGTAGGGCACGCTCTGTGATGTAGGCTGTATGCATAGAATCCTGTTGGTGTTGGTAGAAAAATTGAGCTTAGAGAAATACGAACAGAGTTCCGGGGCTGTTGGGCGAAGATCTGAGCAAATTTAATCATGTCTGCGTTGTTACTGAGAGTCTTTGCGAGGTCAATCATGTTGTCAGCGGCATCCTGCTGCGCGCATGGACCTGGAGCAGCGAGGAGAGTGCCGAATGACGCAACAGCAACTTCGTTGCATTGGGCACCTCCACCAGCAGCATCCTAGGATGACATTATGAGATACGACGAGCCCAGGCATCTGCAAGAACTTACGCATGCTGCCTCCCACTTGGTAGTCGAGTCAGCGATGACCTGGGCAATGCGCTTATGGACTGGAGCACCGTGCACAGAGGCAGTAGTGGCAAGGGCGAATGCGACAAGAGTAGTGAATTGCATCGTAACCAAAGGCGTTAGAATTTTCGTTGGGGAAAACCGTCCAGGTTTTAATAGCAGTACAGCTGAGAATCAGTACAGAACAAAGTTCAAAAGGATTTCGCAAACGATAGAAAGGTGCAAGCCCAGCTCGCCACAGTCGAGGAGAACGGAAAGAGCGAAAGTGAATCAACGTTAAACGTCGAGATTCGGTTGCTAGAAGAGTAAATCATGCGCTTTATACTATACCCCGGAGATTTGGTTTTAGCAATTTTTGTGTTGCCAAACCGGGAACGAAAACAAAGAGTATGCCACGTGCACCTTTCATCCGGTTGCTACACAGAGACTCGACGAACAAAGACTTTTACCTTCTCCCGCAGAACTGTGATCCAAGAAAGGTCACCTATTGTTGAAGGGAAGATGGACGATTGCAACACATGATAGTCATCACGGAATTCGTTACTTGCCCTATCAGGTTAGTACGTTTCTTTCATGAACCAATAGTAATGAACATACCTAGATGCACGACCGTTATTGCAACCTCGTCATCGTAGCTACAAACAGCATCTCCGCTACGTCTTGACCCGACCCTACTAATCCTTTGAAGCGCGGCGATAATGCAGTGATATCAATCCAGATTGTGACTACTGACGACACCCAGGCTCCATCATGCTTCTAGATGCCGACTCTATTTCCGTCGCAGCAGGATCCCAGGGGTAGCTCCGAGGCTCCTCCTGAACCATCTTTAACTTACGAGTTACGTCCTGTCGTACTTTCCGCGTCTCCTCTCCCCATACGCGCAGCGCTCCACCCGTTTGTTTGCACAATCGCGCTCGCGCTTCGACCCGCCCACCATGAGCATCACAATTTTAATATTGCTTGCCCCTACTCTGAACTCCCCCACCAAACACCTCCCGGAGACTCTGTTCATAACCGCCCCATTCGCCACAAGGTTCGCAGGAGTGACAGCAGAAGCAGATGTAACGTAAATTTATACTTCCAGTATTATTAGGCCATCGTTCCTGACTAGTCTGGCATATGATAGCCACTCTATCCAAGTCATTCAAGAGTTGTATACTGACAAAAGGCTGGCCTGGCTGATTTGCATTGGAAGAACAGCCCACTATTTGTAATGTCGCGCATAATAATGTGGCATCCATCCGTGGCATGGAATATAACCCATATCAATATGCATGGGAAGGTTCACAAGCGCCTATCTGTCAACTTGACTTCAGCCCTGCAGAAAGTTCCCTGAATTTGAGCCTTCGAGATTACAATTTTTCAAATGACGCATTTATAGTACGACTCGCCCTTGGCATTTAATGCTAGCAATTGTTCACTCAGATTATCATCATCCTCAGCAAAGATGATGCTGTCGCCCTCAATGATACAGATGAAGGGTGGGTACATAGCCCAAAACGTTGATATTCTTATGTTGTCGGGATCTTATCTTCAACTCAGCGGTGATGAGCGTTGTGCAAGGGATGGCTATCGCCCTTACAATCTTTCGTGTCTCGTTCCGACTACACATAAGGAGATTCTGGTGGGAGGACGCATGGGCTGCTATTGCTGGATCGTGTGGCATAGTGCATCTGATTAGTTCCTGGGTTCATCTGTTCTCTTGTGCGTACTGTATCATTTGTTGATCTCGCTGTGTTGCTCATATGAATGGACCTCAAGTTGACATAGAAGGAACGACACGCGTGGTTTCTTTTTGGGCGACGACGCTCATGACCACCTGCATAAATTGGTAAGATCCTGTTCCTCCTCACTTTGGTCTAGGAAAACAAACAAACTTAAAGGTCTGCACGCATGAGCATACTTTTTGCCATCGCGCGGGTTGCACGGCCCACGCAACGTCTTTATCAGTTGTCCATGGGCTTCGCAATTCTTTTCTTCTTGACGTGGGGAGGTTTGATCGCGGGCAAGGCACGGGAAACTGAATTGAGCAGTGACTGGTACGAGTTGCCTTGGCCTTCCTGCCGCATCACCTATTCGATGGCAGCGTACCAGCTTGCAAGTAGGCCTCGCACCACTTTCTGCTTCATCCTGTGCTCATTATACTATTCAATCAGCCAAGTCTGTTGCTGACACTATTCTGGTGGTCTTTTCTTTCCGATTGCTCTGGAACGTCAGCCTGCCCTCACGACAGCGGAGAATGATTCTTGCGATATTTTCATCCAGCATTATCATGACAATGTTCTCCCTGTTCCGTGCTATCACCAACTTTCTACTTACTACATGGATAGAGGTGATTGCAGTGAATTTAGAGGTGGAGTCTTGCCTATATCTCATTCATTCGAATTCTAAATTCCTGTGTCTAGCTATCGTTTTCCCTGATAATTTGCAACCTGCTAGTGGTTGTGACATATGCATACCGGGTGCTTAACCGCAAACCTGACGATCTGGAAGATGATGACTATAGCGGTCCAATTCCATCTGTCATCGCATCGCAACAGCTCACCACTATTGCCCTCAGCTTTGTCACTGCTATCTCCCCTTCTTTCCGCTCCCTCGATCCACCAGCAACCTTTATCCCGGATCGCAAAGAGGACACGAGATTTGTTTGATCTAGTACCAATCTCTACAATTACATGCACTGGGGCCCCGGAATATCTGTCTTCCTTCCTAACTGCAGCTAAAATTAAATGCGAGACAGTCCTTCTCGGATTGATTGTCATTTTCATGAACCGATTTTGTCCGCGCGCCTTGTCTAATCGTGATGATGTTGAACAATACTAAGACCCCTGTGACCTCTGGAAGGCATCGCCTTTCATGCGTTCACACTTGTAGCACCTCTCACCAGCGCGTGAGTTGTTGTGCATGTACATTGTCATACACTTTCCCTCCTGCACAGGTGCTGCCGCATGCGGTGCCTTCGATTATTTCCATTTCGCAAGGTTTTGGAGGCTCATAGAATGTGCGTTCTAAACATAGATGTCGCTCACTGATAGAGTCATCCTGATAGGCTCTAGCTCTGATCTGCATGCAAACCTGTGGTGATCAATTGTCGATCTCCACAGCCCTTGGGAACATGTTGCACATGCAGAATATTATGTTCTGGTTGCTCGGCCTGAACTCATTCGAAAGCTATTCCATCACCCACATTCCATCAAACATACAGTGAATGTCCAGACTCCACTGCGACCCATACATGTAACTACATTTAAGTAATTGATGTCGCTACTAGCACCAACCGTGCTCTACATGCAGGCTGACCGCTTCGTTCACGGTCAATTCCAGCGTTGTCGAGAGTGAGAATACGAAGAGACGGGCGGGGATAATTAGATTATGCTATTTCCTGAGTTGCTACTGTAAAGACAATACGATCATCGACAGAAGGGGTGTCTGGGGGGGTGTCCTTGAGAATAAACGTTATCCCCATGCCACTTTCTGCCAGCGCCAATTGAGCTAAAGTTTGTGGCAATGCTTCCACGCCTTTCAGGTTACCCTCAGCATGCAGCTACCTGCGAGCGATTAGCACGCAGTACACGGTACAAGAAAATCCCATATCTATTTCAAGTTGGCTTTACCTAGTGCTCTCGGGGCGTTGTCTTTGCGTTATCGACGATAATGCAAACGAGCTACTACCCAACCCCAAATATCATCTCCGCGAACGGGCATTACCCACCTAGAAGTCCTCCTCCCAACGGATTATTGCGCAGGTTGACCCATTCAACAAGATCCTCCGTGGACAGGTACTCGCAAATTGCAGCCTCCGGAGGAGACATTGCACTTGCTGAATCCTCAAAGCACACGGATTTGTGGTTTTGCGATGGTTCGGTGCGTATTATAACCGCCTGTGATCAAACGCAGACTAAGGCAATCCTTGGGCTATAATCGGGTTTTAATAGATCGTTTTAAGAGCAGAAGATACCTTGTTTCGAGTGCACAAGTCTCAACTTGCTCGCCACTCGGCGTTCTTCCGCGATCTGTTCTCATTGCCACAGCCCAGTGCGGATAATACAGCGTCTTCTTATCCGACCGTGGTTGCCAACAGCAACTTGAACCCTGCGCTACAAATAGATACAACCAATGAAATAGAAGGGTGTTCTGTTCTGCGATTGCACGACAGGGCGGAGGATGTCGAGAATCTCCTCACGGCACTTTATGATGGCCCGTAGGTCTCATGAAGTGCGCTTCTTTTGCATGTGACGAATTTTGTACAGAAACTTCGGGAAGAATGACCCTGCCGATTTTTGCATGGTCTCGGGGATACTTCGACTTGCGACCAAGTACCTTGTTGATTCGTTGAGAACAAAAGCCCTCGCACATTTAAGCAAGGCTTGGCCGACTTCACTCAAGGGATGGGACGCTAGAGAAGATATTTCTCGTGCCGATGAAATGCAGAGTGGTCCTGGAATGTCCAACATATACCCTTCCCCTGCAGTAGGCTGCCTCTCTTGACATTTGATACGACATGGCTCATCCGCATTCAGGATGTTATTATTCTCGCACGAGAAGTCAATGCACCAAGCCTTTTGCCTTCTGCATTCTATGACTTATCACGATACCACTATACCCAGCTTTACGAGCAGGACGACGAGAGCGGCCCTTCTATTGCACAACTGCCGCTATCAAATGCAGACTTACAAAGGTTAGCTTTAGGGAAAGAGGCATCGCAGCACGCGATCACAACTCTCATTCGCTCCATGGGATCGCATTCTCATCCGCTTCTGTTGGGGCATCACACGCACACGCATCGCTCGTGCAGAAGAGATTTTTCGGAACTTGTGGCACTGGCCACTCAACATTATCTCTTTGATCGCGAGCGTGGTTGCACTGATCCTTTGTATGTTGCTGAGGAGCTTGGGCAACCGTTGTATGATTTTGGTCAGGTTTCGGGTGCTGATGACGCACGATTTGGGGAATCTCGCCGCAGTGTAGAAGTATCCGAGTGCGAGGCGTGCGCGAGAGCGCTGGCGTTGTGGACTACAAGGGAAAGAGAAAGGATGTGGAAGATGATACCGCTTTGGTTCCGACTGGACGTTTAATGTTCTGCATAAATTTTCTAGATAGTATTGACATGACCATCATTCCACGCCTAGTATACGACCAATTCATTTTTGTTGTCCCACGAAGGAGCGATAAGCCGCCTTGGAGTGTCGACGCAAGAACCCGGAAAATTACCTGGAGCTCAACTTCAACTCCGCCGAGATCTCCATCCGCAAGACGATACTGGACAGATTTGGAACTCGCAGCATGAATGCACACACGACTTACATTCACTTGATCATCTTTTACACGATCTCCACGAAACTATTCCCACAAAACAAACACCGCTGTACAGCTTCCAATAAATCCCTCACGATCCAACTCTGTGCAGCGACAGGCAACTGACTCTCATCCGAAGTTGCAAGCGGAAGCAGGGCCTTCCGGCTGCATCCGATGCACGTGCGCACCTTTGACGTCGAGAGTATGAACGAGGTGATTGTACAGCGAGCTAATATGAAAGAACACTTGAGATGGGCTTTGTCAGCTTCGCGCGAAAGAGAGGAGGCGTACCCCATGCATGACCGTTTGGACAAGTTGCGCGGGTGATGTCGTGCAATGGGACTTCTGTACGACAAGCTGGACAGTGTTCGTGCAGCGCGGCAATCGCAGGATCGATAGAGAATGATGCGGTGAGAGAGTCCGATAAAGCTTGAGCTTCGTCTGCTAAATCTTGCGGCGAACCAGGCAGTAATGACTGTACTACCTCGCGGAGGACAAATGGGATATCAGGCGCTGTGACAAGGGCTCAACGAATAAGAAGAGAGAGTAGACTGCTGGCGCACTAGTGATGACGGGAATGATGGCTCTCAAATGACGAACCAATACTCGCAGCACGCAGTGTGAGATGGCGGCTAGTAGGCGTTGTGCGACTTGACCGCACTGTGCTTGCATCTCCGGGTCCTTGCATAGTTTCTATGAACAAAATACTGTGAGTGTAATGGATTGGGCGCTCTTGACTTGCGCACCCAACACAGATCGGCTATGGAGAGCCTCATTCGAAGCGATAGGAGATTGGGCCAACCAAATAAGTGGGTACTCAGACTTTTCCGAAGCTGAGGTCGCAAGTCATCGTTCAAGCCTTGCTTCCAGGATGGCAAGATTATGGTCGTTGTTTGGTCTGATGGTACTTGCGATAAAATCTCCAGTATCTGAGGGCACAGCGCCGCGAAGCGCGCATTACTGCGTAGATGAAGCATCAATGCACGCAAATGGTGAATGGGGGCACTTCCCGAGGCTTAACCATCTGAACGTCAAAATGACTAGTGAGAGGTCGAGTGCTCGACTCACCACACGATATATCAGCAAAAGCCTCTGAAGCGGTGTGCAAGACGGTCTCGTCGTCGAGCTGCCAAAATGGTGCAGTGAGCAGCATACATTCATGCTGAGCTTCATTCTTGTAGCCGAAATCTGTCGGTCGAATAGCTCTGGAGAGGTAAACGGATCCGTGGGTGATTATCAATGGTATTATTGATAACACTTACTCGTATATCCAGATGAGGGTCGACTGCGAGTCGTATGACACCATTCCACCAATCCTGTTGACATCTAAGGAGGAGATTCCTGCAGGAGTAACTTTGGCGAACAACGTTCGTGCTACACGAGATAGTTCTGCAGAGGTGAGGGTGTCGCCTGCAAGCGGAGGACTCCAGGTAGGTTCCGCGGTCATATTATGGATGGCATGCAAGGAACCATCGAAAAGCGAAAGAATGAGTGCGTCGCGGTGAAGCACGTAGGATACTCCAGAGACAGGGCTAATGGCAGAGGATCCGATAGACATCTTTTGGGTTTGGAAAGTTAATATGCGAGTTCCGTTCCAACATGATTCAGAACCGGGCCATGACCACAGGTACACAAGGCCGGGTTTTGTGTATACGAGGATAGGCTGAAAGATACGATCAGAGCCAGGTAAAACAGGAGATAAAGGTTGAAAAGTACATTTCTTCCTGGTGGTTGAACCCATGTCAATGCGGTCACACTTCGTTTATCAGCTTCGCATATTGGACCTTGGACGTCGAATACAGCACTGGTCGTGTACTCGGGCACAAAACCAATGTTTGAAATAGACTGCAGATTTTGTGTGACCTTGACCAGCCCGACGTTGCCGTTATCGGTGGAGAAGGCCAGTAGGGATTCGCCTTCGCCAAGATAAAGATCCCGTTCATGCAATAGGCATAAAAAGCTTACAATGACCGACGGCATGAGTAATCCAAGGTGCCCAACTCAGATGTGTGATCCAGTGGTCGCTCAATTGTTCTGTATGAATGTACGAGAGAGAACCTCCTGAGTAGCTGTTTCTATTAAACCTGTGCACAATAAGATGAACGTATTTCCAAAAAGGACCCGAATTTATGCACCTGAAAAACTCGATACAGCCAGCCCTGTTTCCCAGGGCAAGCATCGACGAATCAAGGATCGGGGAGGGTGTAATTCTATAGTCCGGTTGTTTTGACCAGGCAAGACCTTGATCAATATGTCAGGGAGCGTGTCACTATCAACTACAAAGTCACAGACTAGTCACTTGCGCTCGAAGGGTGTCACGAGTGATGTCCTCGGATGAGGCTGTGTTGAGCAACAGACCTGTAAGGTCTTGAATCTCCACAAAACTCAAGAGTCAGATGAAGTAACATGAGTCACTGCTCTCACATTGATCCATTCTCCCTTCAAGTGGTTTTTAGCAGCCACCCAAAGTGATACTTCAGCATTTGAGTTAAGAACGGCTATCACGCATCTCAAAGATACATATATCAGCTGCATGTCAGACAAATGGTGAAAGACACATACCTTCCCCGCGATGTGAGATTACTAGGGGAGCATGCAATCTCACGAAGGGAGACATCGAGGGATCCAAGAGTAATAGTGCCCCAATCTTACCACCATCCCAAGCCTCAAAATTAATACCGAAGAGCAGCAACCTCAGGCATATGCTCACCTTGACATATACTTGGCCACATATGCGTCTGTCCACGAGCCGGTTCGATCATTGTCCTGAACCACCCGAGCGGCTGCTCCCCTTGCTCATCTCCTCGAACTGCCTTGATATCAGGTGGTGTGCTGAAGTTAATACCCGGATCTGGGGTCTGAATGCAGATATAAGGCGCCCCCTTCTACGAAGTTTGACAAGATGTTCTTACCATGATATGCACGGTTGCCTTGGTGGTAATGCAGGCCTGGCCGTCGTCTGACCATTGCAGGCACCTCTCAGAAGGACTTGAAATGACAGTGGTCACTGCCAGAGACGTGTAAATTGCCATCCTTGACGCAAGATAAGCCAGAGGCGCGTTGGATAATGATATTCAGATCAACGTCGAAGGGCGTGATCAAAACTCCGAGTCATGAACTTAAAATCTTCCTTCGATTGATCTGAGGGGAGACTACGAACTTACATAACGCGAACTGATGTCAAAATGGTTAAACAAAATCTCCTTGCAAAGCTCTCCAGATCTTCGAAGATTCAAGAACGCGTCCTTCCGTCCGTCCGTCACAGCGCTTTAGCATTGAAGCGGCCGCCGCCATTTGCAGATACATGTGGTCCGCTGGGGTAAGGACTGGTCACAGCGTAAACATTACAGACAAGCCAAGATAATGCTCACCAGTGACGTGGCATTGAGGCGACATACGGTCCCATATGGTGTAGTATTAGGTCACACGAGCGGCTGGCATATGCATGTTGAATTGTAAAGTCAAATTTAGTACATAAACAAACTTGTTCTCGAACTACTACTACAATAGTTCGGTTCAACGTTTGCAATTCCACTTTGAGTCGAACGCAACTATGGCTGCTATGCATCTCCGCACGACCGGTTTTTATCATGTTCTACGAAAGCAAGCTTCCCATCGTTCACCAGTTTTTACACGGAATTTGACGACGGCATCCTCATCTTACCAGTCTTCTGCCCGCACCGCTGTCTACGCGACAGTATTTGCTGCTTCCGTTGGTCTGTTTGCTGTCTATTACTACGACGCGCGTTCCGCAATCCACCGTTATGTTTTGACACCTGTACTGCGTCATACATTCGATGCGGAAACTGGGCACAAGATTGCCGTCAAAGTCCTTCGTAGCGGACTTGGCCCGCGGGACCCTGTACAGGATGATGAAAGATTGCGGTCTGAGGTGCACAATTACTTCACTCGAAAGCTGGCTTGATTTGCTCATAGTCTTTCAAATTAGTTTTGGGGGCGTGAATTATCCAATCCCGTTGGCTTGGCAGCTGGTTTTGACAAAGATGGCGAAGCCATTGATGGTACGTTTCCTTCTGACCCATCTCTAACCGTGTATCGATGTAAGCACATTAGGTATCCTTAATCTCGGCTTCAGCTGGGTTGAAATCGGAAGTGTCACACCAAAACCGCAGGTAGGTGTGCTATGCCTGGTAGATCTTTACCCATGTCTGAGCAGTGTACAAGCCTGGAAACCCGAAGCCACGTGTATTTCACCTCCCTGATGACGCAGCACTCATCAACCGTTACGGATTTCCCTCACAAGGCGCTGCCTCCGTGATTTCCCGCCTTCGCGCTCGCATACCCAAATTTCATGAGACGAAAGACGATACAACTGCCACTCTCAAACCCGGGTCAGTTCTTGCAATTAACCTAGGTAAAAATAAATCTTCTCCGGTCGAGTCTCCGGATGACTTTGTCACTGGTGTGAAGACGTTCGGCCCGTACGCTGATGTTCTGGTTGTCAACGTCTCTAGCCCGAACACACCCGGACTTCGGTATGTCATTTACCATCATGCTGAAGTTATCTGACGACCGTTCAGCGGTCTCCAAAATCGAGAGCTATTAGAAGACTTGCTTACAAGTGTCACAAAAGCCCGAGATGAACTAGAACCATCACCAATAACGGCACGGCGACCGCGCTTGGTGCTGAAAATCGCACCTGACCTCGAGGAATCACAAATAGTTGATATTGCAGATTTAATTCGCAAGAGCCACATTGATGGCGTCATCGTCAGCAACACTACCATCAGTCGTCCTGCAAGTCTTACGGATCGTGAGTAAATACACCATCAATCTATGTAATTGCTCATCCATACAATCTGAAACAGTTAATAAATCTGAGATAGGCGGTCTCTCGGGTGCTCCCTTGAAGCCGCGTGCATTACAAACTTTGAAAACGCTGCGCGCGCACGTCCCTGCAAGTATTCCATTGATAGGCTGCGGTGGAATTGGCACGGGCGCTGATGCGTTGGATTATGCTCGAGCGGGTGCTTCACTGATTCAAGTGTACACTAGCTTTGGCTACGACGGTGCAGGGACTTGTAGACGCATCAAGGACGAACTGGAGATTCTGCTCAGAGCAGAGAACACGACATGGAAGGCTGTTGTTGATGAGTCTGTACGGAAGCTCAGTTGGACAGAGTCACCATCAGACTCAGAAGCCGCAGCGACACAATCAGATGAGAAGCTCGCCGCTGGACCAGCTTGAAGAGCGGATCAGTGGGATTGATATGACTACTAGCAAGCATAGGAATCCTTATCAAATGCAATTCCATTTATATAGCGCTGAGCGCTATCTTGATCCCACATACTCCGTGCGGTGAAGCATTCAGTATGAAGAGGTGGATCGTGCTACATATTGCTACAGAGCACTCTGGCCGCCCACCTGTAGCAAACTACGTTTCCTTGATGTGACTGAGACGAGACATGCCTGCGCGTTAATCATGCAACGACTGAACTTTCACTTTTCCTACTCTTGTACCATTGTAAACGTAAGCGAACAATGGAAGGACACAAGGTGATGAGGGAGTGCACTGGTGAATCGGGAAACCAAAAAAATTTGAACAGAGTGAGATTCGAACTCACGCCCCCGAAGAGACCAGATGATAAGCTCATCCAATGAGCTGGTCTCCTTAGTCTGGCGCCTTGGACCGCTCGGCCATCTGTCCTTGAGGCAGGGCACAAAATGGGTGCTCTTCAATAACAAGCACAAAGTTTGAGACAAGGTTGAAACAACAACCGATCATTTGCCGGATTGGGCCAATATTGAATGGCATGCAGCATGGTCACTAAGGCAATGAGTACTTGCAGATCAAATGTACCGAATCCTGCACAGATGCTCGATGCACTGGATGTAACATGTTGCATGAATCGATGGGATGATGATAATGAACCTTTACATAAAGCACAATTGTAGGCTCTTATGTAAACGAAAGATATCCGATCAAAAGTTTGACAGGCTGGCACTGCTTCACCTCCACGGTCAACTTGAATCCCGTCTCACTTGCATTTCTTACGCTTGCGGCACTCGAGTACACTAGCCTTCAGGTAAATAGGTAGCATTTCTCCTTCTGTCGCCAAGTACAAAATGATGAAGGCTACACCTCACACTTGTGCAACGGGACAACATTTACAATTGCCATTTTGGTATATATCCCCTTTTGTGCAGCTTTCTCCATAGGCTGTGCCCGGGGGAGGAATGATTAAACGTCCTCGGGCATATACACCGTTGTATAGCCGGGTATAAACATGGCAATGAGCGGTTAAGTTCAACTTCTTTACGCACCTCTTTCCTTCACAACCGAGGCTCAGGCCTGGCGGTCCTCGAGGCCCATTCCATTTCTACGACTTGCCAGTAGTACCAGAGCTACTCAAATTCCCCACCCATGGCATATAAACTGTCGTATTTCTTTTGGACCCCACGGCACATTAAGATCCCAGGAGAGATCAAGCCGATGAGGGCCGTGAGGCGCCAGAGGTCGATAAATTTGTGAGCTATTCCGAGTGTTATTGGCTTGTCATAGAATTCGAATAGCTAATAGCTTCATCTACATATAGTGCTGATATTCCTTCCCCTTGGAGTAATCACCTCTCAGCAATAAGAAGGTCGTTGGAAAATAATGAATGAGATGCCGCAACCTGGGCGCCTTCTCTTGGTGGGCTTTGGATAAATCTGGAGTGCTATGTATTGTTAGATTTTGCGCAGAGACAGCTCGGATGAGAATTATGTGTATAACAGGAGTCGTCGATATGCGTTGTGTCAATAGCGAATGAGATACCTAGTGTGTAGATAGTACCAAATCAACATAAGTATTATGACAGGAACAAAATGCAATGTCAGTGACTCTCCAAATGATTAATGTAATCAAAGTGCAACACCGAAAACCAAGTCCCAGTAAGCATAGAATACAAGTCCCACAAGGACAGTGTCTACCAAATGTCCACGTTGAAGTTCTGGTCTATCATCAACCAGCGCTCGGGGAAGCCGTCGGCGCACCCGATAAGTTGTCAACAGATGCGGATGCGTTGTTGAACATCGCTTTTAGTGCCAATTCATTCCTTCTCTGCCGCACTCTATCCACCTCTTCTGCTCCCCCCGTCATTCGCAGTTTCTTGCCACCCACAAATCCCGTCAGCTCCTCCTGAAATTCGTCAGACCGGCTCGCGAGTTCTCGTTCCCGGTTTTTCTGGTTAGCCTCGATTGCTTTCATCCGTCGCTCCGGATCAACCGCGGCGCCCCGGATCTCCATCATGACAGTACTCAGACCAGTATGTCCCTCGTCTGCTGGAAGAGGCTTGAATCCGCGGCCTCTATTACTGCGTCCAGGGGTGGCGCCGCGGATAGAAATGACCTTCTCGACATGCCCAAAGACGTCCACCAAAGCCTTGTGGTCTTCGAGGAGATCGGTCAAAAATTCCTCTTGATGACCGAGGAAGCCCTGTTCTTCCACAATGTTCTGCAGCTCCTCTTCCCACGTCTTCTTCCACATAGGCCTGACGGTATCGATGTGTTCTTTGAGACTTGCCAGCTCCGTAGCAGTGGAAGCGATGTCCTCGTGAATCTGCTTCACTAGTTGTGGCTTGGGTGTCATGTGGCGCTTGAGAACGTCATCTCGGAGGGCTTCCACCGTGTCCTGCAACTCCTCCACCTTCGTCAGCACGTTCTGACTCCGCGAGTCCAACTTCGTCTTCCCCTGATCTATGAAGCCTCGTGCGCCACCAACTTTGACAGAAGCTAATTGCTTCACAGACTGCGTTTGTGTCCGCAAAGCGCCCAATGAATCCTTCGTCGACTTCATGAACTCCGTGTACAGCTGCCTCATGATTCCTAGATCGCGTCGCAGGTTCTGTACCTCGTCAAATTGCGTCTTCAAATCATCCACCACTCGGTTGGAGTACTCGGACATCACCGAAGCTCCAGTCATTTGGGGCTGTAGTTGAAGAGACTGTCCAGTCATCTGAGGCAGTATGAATGGACTGCCGCTCGAGCTCACGTCACCCACGATGCGTGATAGTCTACGTGCAACATTATGCAGTTGCTTTTCAGATGGTCTATCTGTCCTTGGTGTGCTCTCGACAAAGTCATGGGCGATGATAGGATTCATGTGAGATGATCGACGGTCATTTGAAATCGTAGTACGAAGTTCTTTGAGATCATTAGACAGAACCGATATTTGAGTGTCGATGTGTTGCTTTATCTGATCGAGTGCTAAAAAATGCGATAGCTCAGAACGAGAACGTAGGGGATGGAATCTCACTCACGTTCGATGTTGAGAGATAGTAGACATTTTTCCTTCACCTCTTCGATGTCCTCCAACTCGTACTGCACGCCGCTAGAGGGGTCGCGTATGTATATCGCAGGGAAATTCTCCAGACCCGGATTATACGAGAACTTATCCACGAATAACATCCGCAATGATGAAAAGGACAAACCAGGTTCGATGGTGACCTTCTTGACTTCTCGCCCAACTTGTAAGAAAACTGACAACGTGATCAGCAAAGTAGGTTCAGGTGTTTCTTCCAATATCGTAGGCTCGTCTGTCACATTGCCCACCCTAGACGGCGTACGAGCTCGCTGAGAGCGTGCAGGTTCTGTTAATGGAGGCAGTGGAGGAACGGGGGGAGTTGCCTCCGCCTCGGCTATGGGCGAGGGTGTTCGTGCAATCGCTCTGTTAGACCGCGCGCTGCCAGTCCGCTGGACGTCCGGTTCATCCACTTCTGTTAAAACCGCTAAGTCGCCTGGCGTTAGCAATGGCCCTGCCGCCATCGACCGCCGGTTACCTGACCGCTCACGTGAGCCTGTCATTTTCGTGATATTGTACGTCGAAAAGCGCTTCGACGCACGCCGCTCGAGCACATCGCTCTTCTTCAATGCAGCCAGAGAGCTGGCAACTGCAGGTGCTTGCAGATTATCGATAGGATGGGTTTGTGGTGAGGAGGTGTCGATAGGAGTGGAAGGAGCTTCATCTATCAGCACTGCAGGAAGTGGCGGAGGTGACAAGGAAACTGGTCTATCGACGAGCGAATAGCGCTTGACGGAGGCAGGCACGGGGACACTCTGAGATGCTTGAGGCAAATTTTTGTCTGACTCGCTGGGCAGGGCATGATGTAGATTTGCTGCTACGGGAGGTGCGACCAAGGTTTCTGATGAGTCGCGCGAATGCGTGCCACCATCGGGCTTGTACGTGTTCTGAGATTGTCGTGCTTGAGGCTGCGCTGAGCCTCGATTGGTATGCCCATTGACAGTGTTGGTGATCGTTCTTTCATTGGGCGGCGTTTCATCATCAGGTTCGCGGAAGATGGACGGCGGAGATGCTGGCGGAGGTGTCTGCGTCCTCGGGTCTTGTCGTCTTCCTGACGATCTTGTTGACTGTCTTGTCGTGCTGTCCCTCTCCCTATCTGCTTCCTCGTCCAATACGCTACGCGAAAGTTGCGACCGATGTCTCGAATCGTCATCACGCCGCGAAGTCTTGTCAGACTTTGACGAGCGGCTGTCCGTCCGCGAGTGGGATGAGCGATGTCGGTTCTGGTGCTCTGACACGATCCGACGGTACATAGACTGCTTTCCACGGAGACCCTGAAGGAGGTTGGTGATAATCTTGCGCACGGTGGGTAGATACACGTTGAGGTTGTCTGGCGTGGCTTCCTCTGCTAGGCAGGTTTCGAGGACTTCACGTAGGTCTTCGGGCACGGACATTAGGTCTCTGTAGGGTTTTACTTAGCAGTTGAGGGTCATGTATACCTGCAGGCAAAGGCACGCACGACATATCGATATTAAATGCAGCAAACGCAGCCACAGCCGCATTGAAGTCATTCCCGAGGCGGACGTAGACGTCGCTCACCTGGAACTCGTCCATTTTGCCGGTGCTCCATTGGGTGAGGGACTCAAGAAGTTGTTTGATGGCCACGAGAAGGCGTGTGACAGCAGACTCGACTGCGGGCTAAAACCTGGATAAGACAGTTATTACATTGCAGATAAGTGTACTTACATGTGCGTGCGAACGACTGCTACGTGAAGAGGATGAACCTGAAGAATGATTAGAGGCTACTGACTGGTGGTCGCGCCGCCCTATGGAGGACTGAGATGGCGGCGTGGACCTCGTTGAAGACATTTAGGGACACAAAGGAGGTCAGTGCGCAGGTAGAGAAGTACTGGCGCTTTATGCCAAGCTGCTGAAGCCTGAAGGCCAGAGTATCCAGATCAGCGGTCTTTCGCTACCCTTTTCTGTCATGCGAAAATATTTCCAAATGAAGTCATCAGATGGAACATGTCCGACCCTTGATTGTGTTGCACAGCGCGGTGTTGCATAGAACAGACGAGTTATTTTACAACTCGCGCCTGATCATTGTACGAGTTCAAGAGCCATAACTGTTAACAAGATCATACTATGTAAATGATGTACAGACCCGTGACGAACACGAGAACTTAGCCAGGCCACTAATTATAAATTACACCGTACATGCCCTTTGCCCAACAATTCTATGATCGTGGGTTGAATAACGGTGCCCCTGGTCCAGCTAGGATATAGCTATTGAGGATCTCGTCTTTCTCTGTGCGCTTGTACGTCCGGATGGTTTCTCCATAATCTGAGATTTCGTATATCCGGAAACGGCGGTCAAAGCTGAGGGCAGAGTAAGCTAAATGAAGACACAGACACGTAAATTATGATTCAACCTACCCAATCTGCCCATACCCAGAGTAGGACCTGCAGCGTCATAAAATGAATACAATGACTGTTAAGGACACGTTGCACAACTTACCCTCCACCTCCAAAACACAGCCATATATCATTGACACGTTTGCAGTCCTCCGTGACTAGGGCACTACATCAGATCCAGGATCCGGGAGACTCTACGCTGAGACTTACTGTGACAGTGTCCATTTGCAACCACCTTCACTTCGGGTATGCTTCCACCCGCAACGTGCCCACTTTCCAGTGCTTTCTTCAAACCCTTGTCAAACATCCCATCACTCTTCTTCGCAGCGCCGGATGGTTCCAGACCATGCAGACCGATGTCTAGCAGTTGACCAGTGCGTGGATCCCTGTCTGCTGTACCATACGACTCTTGCCTGGAAAAAAGTAAGCTTAAAAGTGACAGAAACGGCGTAATGATAACCAACAGGGGAATGTGGAAGAACATCATAGCATTGGGCTTGGCTAATTTGCGCGTCGTGGGTGTGATCTGATCGGCCTGTCTGTTCCATATGGAACCAAAGTCCTTGCCAGTGTCCGGTGTGAATGGACGCTGTATAGGCTGGATCTTGGAAGATTCTTGCAAAAACCAGTTGATTTGGTCCTTGGAGAATATGAGCGCATTTGACATGATGATATCAAAACACACCGACCTCATGTATCCAGTCGTACTCCGTTGGGAAGAAGTACCCCAGCCAGTCTAAGTAACCACTGGAGTAGGATCCAGAGTCCAGGAAGTACAGCGTCAGCAGTGATGTCTTGGAGCTATTAAAGGGGTTCAGCTTGTACTCTGACACCTTTAAACAGGAACACTCACGCATCAGCACTCTTTACGTCGAGAATGTAATTTCCAACACCATGAATATCTTTCGGACCCCTCTGCACCAAGGAGTACGGAAGGGCCTTCATCATACGCAGTTGCTCCTGCTTCAAGTCACCGTTCTCCTCATCATGATTGCCGAAGATAGCTGCCCAAGGTATCTTTCGATCTGTAGCCGCCACTGCAAATTTTGCTAAAACGGATTTGGGATCCCAAGACGTGCCCTGCCCGTTGAGCTGGTCGCCGGAGAAGACGACAAGGTCTGGCTTTTCTTCGTCCATAACGTGTCCAAGGAGCGTGTTAGTGAGATTATCGGAGTTGACGCAGGGATCAATATCAGTTTCCCGACAGACACCCCTGGAGACAGAGAAATGCAGGTCCGCGACTTGCAAAACCTTGAATTTACCATCCCGCGAAAAGTGTAAAGGATGGGCGTGAGGGACCGCTGTAGACCAAACTCAGTCCACTATCCGCACAAATGCTGTTCATGCTCACACTGCACGCCACGACGGTATGTCACATACACGCTCTCCTGTTTCCCCTCCTTCTCCGGAGCTACGGGAGGCTCTAATTTCTCAAACCCGTACCAAGGCCTGTCCTCCCCGAAGAGTACGTCGACTTCAGTAATGAGATTGGCTTTCTCTTCCGCACTCATTTCATTCATCGTTTTGCCAGGGAGGTACCAGAGGTACATCGGTTCTGCATACATAACGCCATCGCGTATGGAGAGATCTACTTTTACCCAGGAATCTGAGAGAGGTTCGGGAGTTTCATTGGCAGGAAGCAGGCGCAAGTCGGTAATGAGAGGTATATCAAGACGACGTGTCCGTCTGTAGTAGATATTCTAAAGTGAATTTGGTGAGTCATGAAATATGTAACATAAAATAGTGTGTGTACCAAATTCCAGAGACCAGCCTGCGTGTTGAGATCCCTATCCACTCGAACCCAGTTACCCTTGATGGCATCCTGCTCCACGGTTGTGGTGGGTGCACAGAGGTTCCCGACAAGACTTGGTGACATCATACACCGCATGATAGCAATTTCAGACACTGTACACATGAAATCGAAATTCCCTGACAAAATTGGCAAGCATACGTACGACCAGTATCGTGAGATAACAGGGGAGCCCATACATCAAGGGGGTAGCTCTCTATATCATCGGTTGTATCCCAGGGCTGATTGTTTGTGGTTTCCCACCAATCTGTCTCGTCATCGTTGGCCGGAATTGGTTGGCCGTCTTCTGGGTCACCAGTGACTTTTGGAGTAGAAGGTTCCTTATCGAAGTAGTCAACTGTAGCAACCGTATCCCAAGCTTGCCAGCCTAGACGCTGGGAAATGCCAGGTCCAACGGTGGGCTGATATAGTATGAAGAAGTATGTCAGGAGGCATGAGAAGCCAATGACAGCTGCTGTGGGGAGCAATATGCCCCTCATAGATCGACCAATGCGAGAAAATGAAAATGCAGCCATTATGGCCCGTCAATTTCTGGACAAGTGAGTGGCCACGGTCAGTGAATTTAAGAGAATTAGCGAGCAGATTACCTATAGCTATATGAAAGTGATGACCAGAGCTGTCACGGTCCTACGCGAGGGCTGCGTGTTCAACGAACGGGGGGTCACATATCCAAATCGAGAAAATAACGGGGGTCAGGTTACAAATTCTTCATTACTTCCTCAGCAGGTTTCTTTTCTGTTCGTTCTGATATTTTTCGCCAATGCAAGCTCTGTGTCGCGTGGCCCGTCGTCTCTATTCGACGCAACCACCAGAACGGGCTGCCAGCGCTTTGCCAAAGCTTGCAGCTGCTGCTAGAGATGCCTCAGCTCCAATGGCCGTTCGTGAACGCCGCGCACGCAAACGGGCCCACCTCAAACCTCCTACCGACAGCGACCTCACCCTGTCAGAATATTCGGGCTACAGAAGAGCCCTTGCAAAAGGCGAGCTGATGGATCAGCGGGGGAGAGACATGACAGAAGCTGAATGGCTTGATGCCCTCAATGAACGACGGACGCGTCTTCGCGGTCTAAAAGTCACAGACAAGAATGGAGAGAAAGAATTACAGGTGGTCGGTCAGAAAATTTATCTCCCAAACATCATCTTCCGCATGGTGCGCAACCACACGCCTACTGGAAAGCCCTATAACCCCTACGAAGCCACTTTCCGAGTTCCAATGTCTGTCACGAAAACCGACGTACGCTCATATCTATCTGCTGTGTATGGCGTTAAAACTACCTACATCCGAACTGCCAACTACTTCTCCCCATTATATCGCATGTATAATGGGGCAAAGACGACACGATCATACCGAACATACAAGCGTGCCGTCGTCGGCCTTGTAGACCCATTCTACTATCCTCAAGCAATGGAAGACATGACTGCAGAGGACAGAAAGAAACGGATGGAATGGCTGAACGAGAAGTTTGCACTGGATGCATTGAAGAGATGGAGGAGACATGAATTGGTGCGGACGTCCTTGTCGGGGAGCAAGAACTGGCGCTTCACTGGTTATCTGCGGAGGGATAAGATTCTCAAGGCAGTCGCCAGGAGTCGTTCGAGAATGCAACGAGAAATCGAGGACGTGAAAGAAGAGCTTGCTGACAAGCGGGCCAGGGGAATTACCATACTCTCTGACACTAAGAGGGGCTCGCAACTAAATAAATGGATTCGGAGGGAGGCGCTTTTTGCTAACTAGATCCAACATTTCTATAATGTGATACTTTTGTCGCATTAAGGACTTTGATGACTTTGTTGTGAGCCTATCGGCGTTTGATGTTTGCGCGACTAGCATCATGATTGGTCACTATGTTACCTTAGTACTGCATTTCATTCCTTGCCATGCATATGCACAGTTAATCAATCATCGCATTTGTGCACACTCACCATGGGCTCAGCCGTCGAGCACTGAAGAACGGAAGCGGTGAAGGTTGTATCTAGCCCTCGTGAGCGCTGTCTTTGGTCTTTTGTGCTGAATCCAGCCAGGATTCACAAAAAAACCTACGTTCAACATTCACACAATTGGACGACTATTTTGCTCGTGGCTGTTCTCAGAGCAACCAAACCTGTTGGAACATGAAACTTGTTATAATGCTTGAAAGGGAGCTGCACAGGTCCATTGTTGCTCGTCCTTTTTTCTTCCGCTATCAACTCGCAGGCTCGAGTCATTTTTCCCCTAGACTGCAGGCAGTCTGTCGTTTTAATTCATTTGTAAATTTGCTTTCTAGAGCGTTATGTTTGCTCCAGCTAGCCTCACGGCCCTTTTGTTCATTCTGCTATCCCAAGATGTATCAGGAGCACCAACAGCATCAACGGCTGTCGTAGGGCGGAGTATGCCTATTCGCAGGCTTAACCCTCTTTCACGGAATCTCACGCTGGTGGCTCAGCGAGCGAGAAACCAAAGGGATTTACTTGCTGTGAAGTATAGCGGCCAGTCGCTTCAGCAGAGGGGTACTGGATATAACCTGTATGTAAAGTCCTTCATGTTCCCAGTGTTGCTTTCTTAATGCCGCACGTACAGCATCGTCAATCAGGAAACTGATACAGGGTACGTAGAGAGCCCCGTCATCTATCATGCTTTTGCTAATCAGGCATTCCCAATAGTTACTATGGAACCATAGCAATCGGGACGCCGCCAGTATCCTATGATGTGATTCTTGACACTGGTTCATCGTGAGTGCAATGATAAACTTCTCAGAGCAAATCACTTAGAACAAACATCTCCAGTGATCTTTGGTTGACCAGTTCTACTTGCGGAGCAAGCTGCGGAACCAGCCCTACATACGATCCTGCAATGTCGTCTACTTTTCAAAATCTTTCAACACCGTTTGAGATTCAATATGGCTCGGGTGCAGTGGCTGGTTATGTTGCTGAGGAGACTGTTCAGATGGCTGGTTTCTCTGTGGCAAAACAAGGCTTTGGTACGGACTCGTGTGCACCAAATGCTCGACATACACCTGACAGAACTCGTTAGGCGTTGTCGATGCTCTTTCATCAGCCTTCAACACGAACCCTGTATCAGGAATAATGGGTCTTGCCTGGAGTTCGCTTTCTTCTACGCAACAGACGCCCTTCTGGCAAACTCTAGCTAGTGATGGAAGTTGGGATTCTGCGTTATTCGGAGTGCAGCTCACACGGTATGTGAGACCGACTGATATTTTGCTGTGTATTCCTGACTTGTGAGTGGTAAGCTACGGCAATGTGTCTGGTGCAGCTCAAAACGAGCCCGGAGGTGTCATTGACATGGGTGGGTATATTCGTCCCACGCTGATGATCTCAACTTGAACGTGACCCTTTGACAGGTTACACCAACAGCAGTCTCTACACAGGGTCAATTGAATACCATGATCTTGTTGGAACACCGCAATACTGGGAGATTAACATGAGCGGTAAGTAGAATTCAATATTTATATTACGGCCAGCTGACGTGTTTGACAACCTAGAGCTGACTGTGCAGGGAAATTCCATTGACATCGCAGGGATCTCGACTGCTATCATCGACACTGGAACCACAGACATTGCAGGCCCCGCCAGTGCCATTGCGAGCATCTACGCACAGATCCCTGGATCACAAGCAGGAACGGGTCAATTAGAAGGATATTACACTTATCGTAAGTGTCAATGCTGTCATGCAAATTGTTGCCTGACAGGACAACACTAGCCTGTAGCACGACGGTGAATGTACAGTTCAACTTTGGTGGTAACACTTGGTCAATGAGCCCTGCGGACTTCACGCACTCCCAGGCCAGTACCACGGAGTGTATTGGGGCTTTCTTTATCTCCTCAATCGGCCAAGGGGGTCCTTCATGGGTCATTGGCGACGCATTCCTTGTGAGTTTCCATCACAAATCTACGTTCTCCGGACAGCATCTGATTGATGCACAGAAAAATGTTTACTCTGTCTTCAAGTACAGTCCAGCCTCTGTTGGTTTTGCTGCGCTATCAGAGACTGCTATCGCTCAGAATGGTGTCAAAGCTGCCGTACCATCCCCGACAATCGGCGCTGTGACGGCTGTGACTGGTACTGTATCGAGTGGTGCCTTGTCAAGTCGTCCTTTGAGTATATTGCTCTGTTTCTGGCTAGCTTCTACATCGATAGCTTTTTTGTTTTGGTGATTTTGTTGATACAGACATTTGACATAGTTATACATTCATTGCAACGTGCTGGGGTTCTGGATGTGTTAATATGGATATTTCACATAATTATCATCCGTTGAGAAGTTGCCACAAAACCAATCACCCAATACTGCATCCGTTTAGCTCTTCTGACTTTGACCCGAACGCTTCCGTCAAATGGGTAGCCTTGGGTCATCCCCGCCAGTTGATACGTTCCAACTGTATGATCTCCGTGTCGAGGTCATATGTCCGCCAGGGGAACGTATACTATGTGGAGCGAAAGAGGGCGACCATTTTGTTCTCGAAGGAGAAATGCTTCATCTCCCTCCTGGACAAGCATTCTCCATTTACTCACTCAGCAAGTATCCTCTTATTCCAGTTTCTTCATTACCGTTGCTCACCGTACATACTGGAATTAGGCGCAGTTTTGCCGCTTCTAGCAGCTAAGCAGCGTGTCACCCATCCAAATGATTGGATGAGCACAGATGCTGAGGTTGCTTGTCCCGACCCAAATTGCAAGTCTAGGTTGAGAATCTCGAGGACTGGAGTTAGGACATTCAGCCATGCTGAAGTTACAGTTCTTCCCCTTGTGCCCCAGGGTTATGGTCAGGCTAGCACTGACTCAGCACTAGCGGTGGCCTGATGAAGAGATGAAGAAGTTCAGGAAACGGCTGGATCGCAGCGCCCCGGTTCTTTGCAGGCTCATCAGTGATCAGAGTTGGCTGTGGGCCCTTTGCAAGTAGTTGATATACGTCGGATATGGATGCATTGAATATTTGGACTGCTACTGTGCCTATTATGTAGTAGAGGAGATTGACCAAGTAGCCAAGTTCTGTGTCTTCATGACAGTACTAGTGAAGCACAAACATGCCTCGAGGCTCCTAGAAATTGCTTCGAACTTATGTAATTTTGGGGCAGTACACCGAGTCTGTTTATTAGCCAAACGCGTGCTTATTATAAAAGGTAGACGCGAATCAAACTTTGACGCACAAACAACTCGCACACGACCATCTATCAATTGAACCTTAAAATGACAGACTATGACATGGACTTTGAGTTGAGCTCATCGTCATCTCGAGATTCATCCCCGTCGTCGTCGCCGTTGACAGCACCCTTAGACTCATCTCCGCCCTCGAGTCCACAGCATGAGCCGTATGTCCTAGACTCTCCACCCTCGACGCGTCTAGGTTTCTCCCATCCGTTCGCGGCCTCAACAAACGCCAACAAACGCCCTCCACAGCGGGAAAAGAAGGCAGATACTCCCCCGAGTACACCTCCCGCGTTTACCTCGACCCCATTATCCCGCAACTCAGTCTATTCTCGCTCGCTGGGAGCAAAAGACTACTCGCACGATGAAACGTCAAGTCTATTCTCTCTAGACTCGAGCACATCGCATTACATTGATCGCGATGAGCGATTATGGGACGACGCTTTGCGCAAACCCTTCGATACAGGTAACGGGCACATAGACCTGAGGTGCCGTATTTCCCAGCTTCACCAGTCTGACTCTTCTGACACGTCTTATAGTAATCTATCGTTGAAGACAATTCCCGCGTCGGTCGCCGATCTCGCGGGTTTTTTCAATACGACAGAATTATCCGAGCAAAGTCTAGTCTCCGGACGCAGTCTGTCACGCGTCAAAACGGAACCGGCTTTCCGGTCTCCGGTGCGCTCATTCGAGCGGACGAAGTCCATCATAGACTCGGGAAAGGAGCGACATATGCTACAACTCTACCTCTTTGGAAACAGCATCCGCGATCTTCCTCCTGAGCTTTTCAAGTTAGAAAATCTGACTGTGTTGAGTCTGCGTGCGTTTCTTTGTGTCTCATTTTTATTATATTTACCAAGTCGTAGGCGGGAACCAGTTGACATATATTCCCCCAGAGATATGCCGTTTGATCAACTTGAAGGAGCTGAATATCTCGCTAAACCGCCTGCCATACATTCCATCGGAGATGCAAGATATGAAACTCTCCAAGTTACAGCTCACCCCAAACCCCTTCTTGGCCGAGCCTTGCGTCCCTTCCGCCTCCCGCAACATTCTATCTCAGCGGCGGTCCATGGCTCGCATACCATCACAATACAGGGAGTCGACGATGAATGCATCGAGAGCCATCACTGTATCTCCCTTGGTAACGTCTCTTCCGGGCGTACCTCCACTGACTGAGCTTTGTTATCGGAAGTTGCTTTGCTCATTGAAAGGCGACAACTCTCGGACTGTGCTCAGCGAATACTATGGGGTACCTCTTTCCGGCATTTGGAATGTGCCAGAAAATGTACGCGATGTATTGATGGAGAACGTGCCCTTTGTTTTCAAGCCCAATGGTATCCCTCGAAAACATGGCAGGAGGCTGTCGCAGGGCTCGGGCGGGTGTGCAAACCCGGAGCACAAGGGCCGATTCTTCGTTAGGCACGCTGCGGAGCGATTTACATGGGAGCGTCGCATTGCTGGTGTAGACGTAGGTGGAGCGGTTCCGCTGCGATGGAGAGGGTGCACAGAGACGTGCTTGCGGTTCTTGGATGAGGATACACGACAAACCAACTCTATAGAGCTGCCACCTACGGATGCGAGCGATGCGATGGATTTTGATGAGACGGAGGCCGTGATGGCAATGAACTTGAGCGGGTTCGGCATGGATGAATTTGATGACTGAAGGTATATCAACGAATAATCAAGACACTTCATATTGTGACAAATTTGTACAGTAAGTATCTGTTTCCATCGTCCTGTATGTTATACCATACCTTGTGCATCATCCTTTATAGTGACTATGCCTTACAACTGGATTGTAATCACTCTGAATTCTGCTTCGCATTTACATGGTGTTTAGGAATTTTCGTCTGCTCCCGGCTCCAGTAACTGACTTGCAACATATGGATAGATCAGGATTCCGAATTCCTCCTTGGCCATCATTGGAGTGATACCGAACAGGTGCACTTATGCTAGCTGTTGCATTCGCAACTCGTTCCGTCGACACATACTAGAGACCGTTAATCGGATCGGAAGAAAACGAGTCCATAGTTCCTGCACTCCACTCTGGAGTAGACAATTCCGATCCAGTTTGCCAAGTGCTGACTCTTATTCTGTCGTGCGCTTCCAAATGATCATCGCTTCCAGTTGCGGATGCGCTGTTGCTGGTGAAATGAGCAATATGTAGGCAACATTACACAGGTAAGGGTGTCACCTCCAGTGCTGAGAACCTAAATTTAATCTGTAGGAAACCCGCAAGGGATCAATGAATTTTTTCTGATGCATTTTTGGCCTTTAAACTATTCAAATTCATGCATAAGTGAGTTTGAAGACAATTCACACAAGCCTAACTCACCACGGCCGAAGCTGAAGAGGAGGGCAAGCTAGAATTAAGTAAAAATGTATTGAAGCAGGCGTTAAGCATCATGCGTCACACCTACTTCGATACATCGGGCATGACTCTGAAAGTTGGTATTTTCGGGTAGCCTTCGAGTCTCGACACCGATATTACAAATGTAAGTTCCAGCGCCATGAGATGGCCGGTCGGCTGAACCTCTCCAACCTCAAGTGCCAAACCTTTTGTTATTCTGACTGCATATTTCATTCTCGCTCATTGCTTGTATCATGAACTAACTTGTTCCTTTAGATCCTGATACCCCAGGCCGAAGGACGGAATCTACTTGGCTCCCAGGACAAAGCGTCTTATCGCCGACATATTCAGACCCCTCGTTTGCATCCCAACGCTTCTCCCACATCACTACACCCCACCACTACAACACTACGTTTTCACAACAGCGCTGTGTTGAAGTGCCGCCGTCTGGAAGAGTGCATTCTTCGGTGAACTGGGTAACTCCTGCGCACAAGTACCCGCATGGAGCCCAATTGCACAGTATTTCGGTAGTCTCCGAGTCGGATATGGCTCGTACACCAAGAGGACTGACAATTGTTAATGCCAGGAGAATGGTTGTCAAGAAGTTCATCTAGACTATCAGTGTCATAAGTTGGATCTACGGATCGGAGAGTTGACTCACCGTCAGAAAGTGCGAGTGGGTTAAGCTAAAGTGCGAGTTTGTTTTTCATTTTATCATTCGTCAATTTTATGCTCGTCTGCCTCTCGCCAATTTCCCAGTTCAAACTCAGCGCTTAGCATCCACGCCAATATATTCCTCATCGCATAATCTCGCAGAAATTTACTGTCTAGGCCGGCGGCCGTGTGAACAAAAAAGGAAGCAAGCATGGCATCTACGTGTTGGTTGTTCGTATGCCAGGAGAATGGGGAAATATAATTTCCGGTGTTTATGTGTATCACTTTGAAACCGAAAGCAGATGAAGTTACGAACTATCCGCCTCGCATGGCATTTCGTTACGGTGTCGCGGAAGTCGAGGTGCATTAGGACATTCATTTCACGTACTATAGAATTAAGGTCAACGGGCTTCGTCGCACTCACCGCTACTATGGCGTTACCCTTGCATTACTGATGCAACTAATTTAGGTGTGCATGCAATGACGTAGCATTGGCTGCAGTAAGATATATGTAAGTACATTTGTTCGCCTGACTCTTGGCATGTGCGTGCTCCTGGCTCCACCTGCACACTTCACCGTTCCATGTCAATGTGCGCTTAGTAGTCTGCTTTTGTGTACCGTGCCCTTATTTTCGTGTTTGAGTGCACTCTTCACAATGCGTAAAACGCTTACTGGGTCCGATCAGCGGCAACGAGACAACATGAGTGGTGAATATTTCTTTGAGTTCAAACCTTACCCTCCAGGATATGCAACTCACCGCACGCTTTCATATCAGATTTCATTCTTATCTCCGTCTTTGGACCTTTGAACGGATACTATGCAGAAGGCCGTTCTCGACTTCTGCACTGATCCGTTCGTTCATGAACAACTCTACATCAACACTGTCAAAAGTATGATCTCGGCGTGCCATTCGAACTCTATTTGAGACAGAAGATGAGAAAATTACAATAGAAAATGTAGTGTAGAAATATCTCTTATTCAAGGTAAATGTCCAAATGTGAACGAATTGCTTGTATAAATTAACGTAATCACCGTCCAATGAGGTTACCACTTACAACTCATAAAGAATTGGATCGTAGCAACTACATGCCCTCCACCACATCATGTGTGGTCCAACTGAGTGAGCGTCTGTTAGTCCTATACAAATATCAACGAGTCCTTCATTAGGAAGGTGAATGCAAATAGCATCGAAATCAAAGGAAAAGCACTGCTGAGAAGGCCAGGAAGAGAAGAGTAGACAATGCACTCAGTGCATGTCTACGCGGGGCATCGCTTGTGTTGGTGACTGCTGCAGATATTGTGCCAATGGTTGCGGAAGGGACGGCACCTCCAGCGCCATTTTCAGCGACTGCAACACTTGAGAGATTAGCAAAGCCAACCGAAGGAGGATTATAGCGGAAGACAGAATACACATTTTTCTAATAGAATGTATTCAAAAATGGCTCAGTATTGCAGAACTCGACGGCCGTTTATGATTGCCACATACCAGAAAAGTATCGCCGAAGATCCAAGAGGGAGATCCTGTACCAGTACTTGTTTCAAAGAATGCGCCGATGCATTCTGTTGAGTTGGTCTGTGTGAAGGCAAAATCGACTGGACTTATCGACCACGTGGCGCCACCGAACGACACCTCTACGTTTACAGTCGTCGAGCATGCTGATTAAGCGTTGAGTCACTTGACCTCGCGGTGCTCAAGAAGTTTGCTTACGAAAACTGTAATATCCTTCCCATTCACCCGTGGCCGGTTGTGAGTTGGGAATCTGTGCATAGATTGCTTGAACTGAGCTGGCTGGACCGCCTATGTTGGTTGTGCCGGTGTCGATAGCAGCAGTTGTTCCCGAATCAATAGATATGGAGTTGCCCTGCACAGTCAATGCTGAATTGTAATCAATCAGCAGAATCTTTACGAGTTGGTAAATCGCTTACAAGTCAATGGTATATACCAATATGAGGGAGTTCCGGTAATATCGATGTAATCAATCGAGCCTGTATACAAACTACTGTTTGTGTAACCTACGAGTAGTTTTGTTTGAGTAGAGGTCTCAAGGTGTGAAACCCCTCATACCCATATTAAGAACTCCTCCGGGCTCAAGATCCTGGGCGGTAGAATCATTTTTGTACCTGTTTCATATGAATAATATACTTAGTTCCAGAGAACCAATGTTCTCACCGAGTGAGCCGAACAGCAAAGAGAGCTGAGTCCCAAACATTATTGGAGGCCAAAGTCTGCCACAAGGGCATCTGACCTGAACTTGCTAGGGATTGCCATGCGAGACCCAGAAAACCAGAGACTGGTGATGCCAGCAAACCTTGTGATACTGCATCCACAACAGCTGTGATGCACTCAAATGAACGCCAGCGCGCTTGTCAATAAGAGAAGATTCTGACCAAAGCCTTGGCTTGAAACGGAGAATCCCGCCATTTGCACTGTGTCCTGTGCAACATAGCCCTCCGCAGAACCCGAGCCGTACACTATAGAGAATGACGTAGAGAGGTTCTGGAAAGTCGACGAAGATGATGGGTTATATATAGAAACCGATCCGCATGAAGTGCCACAAGAAGGACCAGCAAGCCAAAAATCACTGTGATAATGCATTACTAAATGACTATGTCAACACTTCAACTGCGCTGGAACTTACGAAGAGCCCGTGTCTAATTTGACATCAAACGACACTGCAGGCGTGCCAATAGCCAATGAACCATAGTAGCTGTACGGGTGTTTCAATCAGGGAGCTATGCACACTGAAAAACACATCTAACGCCTACCTGGAATCATACTGCTGATCGATGATCCTGAAGAAAAGTTGCATTCAGTGAATACATTTCCCGCTATAATACTACGCACGAATTATAACCAGTGCTTCTTTTCTGTTTTACCGGGCCACCATACTTTGCTATCAAATTGTCCCTCTGGCTCTTCGCAAAAGTACCCCATTCGGTAACATCTCGAGGATATTGGTTCCTTCTTAGAAGGGAGATGGCCTGACCAGAAACCGGAACCACGTCTGTAGGTGCTCCAAATGTATCGGCAGGTAGCGCCAAGAGGGATGCAAGAAAAATTAATGGTAGCATGTGAGACTAAGGCCTCAGTTTCGATCGTTAATATACCAGAGAAGGACCAAGACAAGAGACCACAAGTCAGTGGAGAATGAAGAATAATGAACGTATAGGATTGCAGCCAGCCAATTGCCCTGAAATACATGTTGATGATACACTGCGCATTTCAAGTTGTCCGCAGCTATCCGCAGCGTCCGACATTGCCAACGCATTGACAATGAACCGATGAGTACTAGTCCTTGACGTGGCTGCGTGCTCAGTAGCATTAATAGTATTAGTCACCATAAGGCGGTATCATTTTTTGGAATCAATTAAGATACCGCCGGCATCGGGTGCAATTGTGTTGCTTTCTGTTCCCTCTCCACTGTTCACGATGGCGATATCTGCTGTGTTTTCGGTCTTCAAAATGGACCCATGGAGATATTTGTGTTTACATTTTGCGAAAACACTGCTTCTGCCGAAGACGAAATCTAAAATATGCGGACAACTATTGGTCCTATCCGTTTGACGATGGATCTTCATCTAAACATGTGAACCTCTTACTATCCCAAAGGACATCCGCATTTCACCAAAACTCCTTTATCTGCTGCTAGCAAGCATCTTTATTGTCAGCAGAGCAGGAGGAGCTGCCACTTTTGCTGCATCAGTAAAGTCGTCGACATTATGGCAAAACTTGAATCTCAACACAACAATTTGGAGCATGGGCGACCTACGATTCATGGCTTTCGTAGATTGCGTGGAGAAGACCACTCTGGAAGCTGACAGAATCGCAGTGACCACAAACTTTGATGATAGCATCAAAATTCCTATTCCCTCCACGCATTCTTTAAGATGCTGAGACCTGTCTGCAGCGCGTATTCTTTTCCCCTGTCAATGTTCATGTCGATGAGATTTTAGTTCAGACAGCTTCAAAAAAGCTGAATGGACCAGAAAACACACCTGACTATTTCGCAATGTTGATACATCCCGGAGTACCACCTCATTTGCCAGGATCTAAAATAGAATTGTATTTGCGCCATTCAACAAAACCTCTCGGTGGAAAAAGATTTGATCAGAAACATGTGCGTGCACATCACTGTACTTCACCATTAATATTGATCTGTCGAAGTCCAACTTCTCAATACACATGAAAGCCACTGCATCCCACGTATCAACTTTTTATTCCATCCAAACTGTTCATTCTACTGAAGATGGTTCCTCTGCGTGCCGGTATGCAACTACATTCAACTTATGGATGTTACGGATTAATATCTTAATGCTGGCGCACACTGTGCTTGACCTGCGAATAATTCCATTTGCGCACGGTCGATTATACATGGCTTTATTCATAGTGAGAATGCGAAGAGACATTGCAGAATCGAACGAAGCATATGTAGGACTGTGCTAATATTGTTTTTCCTGACTTCCTACTACTGTGAACACAGTCTGTCGCCGAAGAGCAGACCGAAAGGGCGTCCTTGTATTAATGTAGTGGAAACCTGCCATGGTAACGGCGGGAAACACCAAACGAATCAGGCAAAGGGTAACAGGATAAGATCGTGGATTTTAAAGCATGATACAAATGAGCAAGATGATGGTATGTAAGAGACTTGAGTCTGATCTTGGTAATGCGAAACGTAGTGGTATATGGGGATTGTCCACGTGGTGTCGTAAGCATCTGGCTTACACCGCTCATGACAGGTTACTGTACCCCTCAGAAAGAATTGGCTAATAACAACTATGTGGCCTCCGTCAACATCGTATACATAACGTACTAGTGAGCGTGATCCAAATAAGTGAGCGTCTGTTAGTCCTATTCAGATGAGTCCTTCGTTAGGAAGATGAATGTAAATGGTATCAAAATTAAAGGAGGAACACTGCTGAGAAGACCAGGAAGAGAAGAGTAGACAATGATGCACTCAGTGCATGTCTACGCGGGGCATCACTTGTGTTGGTGACTGCTGCAGATACTGTACCAATGGTTGCGGAAGGGACAGTGCCTCCCGCACCATTTTCAGCAAGTGCAACACTTGAAAGATTGGCGAAACCAATCGAAGCGGGGTTGTAGCGGAAGACAGAATACACATTTTTCTAATAGAATGTGGAAAAACAACTTAGTATCGCGGAACTCGAGGGCCGTTTATGATTGCCACATACCAGGAAAGCATCGCCGAAGATCCAAGAGGGAATCCCAGTACCAGTACTTGTTTCAAAGAATGCGCCAATGCATTCTGTTGAGCTGGTTTGGGTGTAGGCAAAATCTGCCGGGCTTATCGACCAGGTATTGCCACCGAACGACACCTCTACGTTTACAGTCGTCGAGCATGCTGGTTGAGCGGTGAGCCACTTGACCTCGCGATGCTCAAGAAGTTTGCTTACGATAACTGTAATATCCTTCCCATTCACCTGTGGCTGGCTGTGAGTTGGGAATCTGTGCATAGATTGCTTCAATTGAGCTGGCCGGACCACCTATGTTGGTCGTGCCAGTATCAATAGCAACAGTTGTTCCTGAAGCAATAGTTATTGAGTTGCCTTGCACAGTCATTGCTGAATTGGAATACATCAGCAAAATTTTTATGAGTTGGTAAATCGCTTACAAGTCAATGGTATATACCAATATGAGGGAGTTCCGGGGATATCGATGTAATCGATTGAGCCGGTGTACAAACTACTGTTTGTGTAACCTAAGAGCAGCTTTGTTTGAGTAGAGGTCTCACGGCGTGGAATGTCTCGTACCCATATTAATGACTCCTCCGGGCTCAAGATCCTGGGCGCTAGAATCATTTGTATACCTGTTTTTTGTTAGTAATGCACTTCGTTTCAGAGAACAAATATTGTCACCGAGTGAGTTGAACAGCAAAGAGAGCTGAGTCCCAAGCACTATTGGACGCCAAACTCTGCCACAAGGGCATCTGACCTGAAGTTGCTAGGGTTTCCCATGCCAGACCAAGCAAGCCAGAGACTGGTGATGTCAGCAAACTTTGCGACACCGCGTCCACAACAGCTGCAATGCACGTAAGTAAATGCCAGCGGGCCCATAAGTGAGAGGAGATTCTGACCAAAGCCTTGGCTGGAAACGGAGAATCCCGCCATTTGCACTGTGTCCTGTGCAACATAGCCCTCCGCAGAACCTGAGCCGTACACTATAGAGAATGGCGTAGAAAGATTCTGGAAAGTTGATGAAGATGATGGGTTGTATGTAGCAATCGACCCGCATGAAGTGCCACAGGAAGAACTAGCGACCCAGAGATCGCTGCGACAATGCGGCATTACTAAATTATGTTGACACGTCAGCTGCACTGGAACTTACGAAGAGCCCGTGTCTAATATGACATCAAACGACACCGCAGGGGTGCCAATAGCCAATGAGCCATAGTAGCTGTACGGATACTTCAATCAGAGAGCCAAGCACGCCGGTGAACACATCTAACGCTTACCTGGAATCATAGCCCTGATCAGTGATCCTAAAGAAAAGTTGCACTCAGTGAACACATTTCCCGCTACAATACCACGTACAGGTTATAACCTTCGCTTCTTCTCCGTTTTGTCAGGCCGCCATACTTTGCTATCAAATTGTCCCTCTGACTCCTCGCCAAAGCGCCCCGTTCGGTGACATCTCGAGGTTCATTCCTTCTTAAAAGGGAGATGGCCTGACCAGAAACCGGAACCACATTTGTAGGTGCTCCAAATGTATCCGCAGGTAGCGCCAAGAGGGATGCAAGAAAAAGTAATGGTATCATGTAAGACTCAGGCCTCGGTTTTGATCGTTAAGTATTTTAAGTTACCAGAGAAGGTCCAAGGCGAGGGACCACAAGCTAGTAGAAAATGAGGAATAACGAATGTATGGATGGTAGCCAGTTCCAATTTCCCTGAAATACATGTTGATGATACACTGGCACTGCGCATTTGAAGCGTTCCGCAGCTAGCCGCAGCTGATATTGCCAGCGGTACCTTGGCGAGTGAATATCTTACGTACACAATATTTAGACGATCGTGTGAAAAGCTGGCTGGTAAAGCTATTAGCAGTAACTAGCTAACCGGAAATGTGTGCCAACAGCCTCATGGATCATGCGGCGAGCCTGTCTAAGCCTACAGTAAAGTATGTGCTCTGGTGGCTATCCATGCGTCCCCTGCAATTACAACATCTAGCAATGCCCAGCAGGTGAAAATGAGTAGCACAGCATGTCGGTCCGGAAGGCTGTGTGTAGGTGGCCGTAAGTGCACCACTGAGTTTACAGCCGCAGCATTATGCTTGTACAAATGACACCAAGGTGGCGATGAAAGCGGAAATGACGAATGCAACTGCGCTAGAGGTGCGTCTTGCGAGTGCCGCGCTCGGTTCCAAGGTAAACATTGCTGAGTTAGCACCGAGAGTAGCGGAAGGTATTCTTCCAGCCATGTCGTTCATTGCAAGTGCGACTTCTGACAGTGCTGCGAATCCGACAGACGGAGTATCGTATCGGAAAACTGAATAAACGTTCTTCTATCTCGCGACATTAATCATCAGAAGTGGATATGTGCACCAAAAGCACTTACCAAGAACGTGTCACCTAGGATCCAGGAGGGAGTTCCATCAGACGTGGGTATTGCGTAAAACGCGCCATAGCATTCATTCGGGGTGGATGCTGTGGATGCGAACGCGAAATCACCGGGGCTGATTGTCCAATGGGGACCTCCAAACGAGATCTCTACCACAACAGCAGTGTCACAGGCTTTTCATAGAGTTTCGGTTCTTGCAAGTTGATCCAGAGAGATATGTCGCACTTACGGTAACTGTAAAACCCCTCCCAGCTGCCCGTTACAGGCTGAGATCCAGGGATCTGAGCGTAAATGGCTGCGATGCTAGCCGCAGGCCCTGCCACGAGTGTCGTACCGGTATCAATGGCGGCGTAAGATGCACTACCGCTTGGCAAAGATATGGATTTTCCTTGCACAGTCATCGCTTTCAATGGTATTTGAGCGACACAAACAAGAGGAAGATTGCGCTGAAGCTCACAAGTAATTTGTTGAAGCCAGTACGAGGCTTGTCCATTGGGAATATCCTGGTAGTCAATCGTCCCGGTGTACAAACTCTCGTTTGCATATCCTGAAAACGAAGGTGAGACACGCTAGGAATGATGAGTTGCTCTCGCACCCATTGTAAAAGATCCTCCAGGTTCTAGTTGTCCAGCTCGGCTGTCATTTAAAAAGCTATATCATTCACCGTCAGTGTCCCTGGAGCAAATGGACTTCACAGGGATATGATTACCGAGTCAAGTGGAAAGCCATCAAGGGTTGACTCCACTGGCCATTACTTGCAAGCGCTTGCCAAAATGGCATAGCACCAGAGACTGCCAGCGATTGCCATGCGAGACCAAAGATCCCGGTGACAGGATTTTGCAGGAAGTTCGCCGCGGTAGTTGTCACCACCCCTGTTACGCGTCAGTATTGGACAATCATAGTGTATGACGACAAATAATTAAATTTACCGAATGTTTGGTGGGATATTGTGAAACCAGCCATTTGAACAACATCTTGTCCGATAGTACCTGCTGCGTAACCTTTGTCATAGGTTATGCTAAAGCTTCTATTCATATCTTGAAACGTAGAGGATTTTGCCGAGTCAAAATTGCCCGTTCCTGCACACGCAGATTGACACGCGGATGATGCAATCCACATATCTCTGGGAAGAATGTTAGATAGGTCCGTTTCCGCGTGAGTTGACGACGCACGAGGATCCTGTGTCTAGAATTACGTCAAATGCGTAAGGCGGTGTACCGACAGCCAGGGATCCGTAGAAGCTACAGGAATTGAGCACGCTTGGACAGAAGTGGAATAGACGACGGACCTTGTGTCGAACCCCTGGTTGACTAACCTTTTCATCAAATATTAGTGTCGCACTTGAGTGCACTTAGGTCAGATAGTTCGGCCTACAAATTCTCGCCGGCCCCCCTCTTTTGACTATGTTGTGGAGAGTACTTCGCAATTGTGGCATCCCGCAGGTTCTTGGCATACTCCGCCCATTCTGAGATATTCCGTGAAGGCTGCGTCCTCCGTGTCAAAGGTATAAACTGTCCAACAGACGATGTATACCCCCGAGGTATTCCAACTACCTCCAATATGATGGACAACAAGACAACAAAACTGATGGCCAATGACAGAGGTGTCATGAGAAGAGCTGAGCCAAGGAACGCAAGGAGAAGGTTCAAATTATAATACAAACAATACTGAGCATGAAGAAGAGCTGCAAGGTGGGAATGGCGTATGATCACAGAATCGCATATTTAAGAGCATGGACACTCTGTGGGACCATAACGAACGGTTGCAGATGGCATCGCAGAGCAGCTCTCACGAGTAGCGAGGTTGTGCTAGTAGCTGAGGCAGTGAGATCCATAAAATAGCTACCCGTATTGATGCTAGGCTGGACATTGACATGCTGAATGTGAACTGCAAATGCCTTGATAAGTTTGAAGTTAGTGAAAGAAGTTCAGAATACAATTGTTGAAGCGACACAAAGACTCGGAGTTTAAAAATATTGATCCGTCACACATCAGCCGCAGTACCTGGGCCTGAGGCGTAGTATACTAGCAGATAGTAGTGGTATAATTTATCTGTCTACCTTGGTTTGTTTCATGACTAGGCCGGTTGTGTCAACTACCGCTATGAATCGGATATCCATGTTTTTGTTGCTTGTGTCGGGCTCACGTCCAGGCACCTGATGATTTCCTTTTTCTGACAAGCCAGCATTTATGTAAGCAAGTTACACCCTCGTTTTTGTCCACTTATGACTCAACAACTTGTCCGTGTTGAAATTTATCGAGTACTGACTTGCATTCTCTTTCAGCATGCTGCAGCTGACGCAAACATTCAAACTTGGCCATAGCTTCGAGCTCCCTCTTTACGGCTCGCATGCTTCACTAGAGAACATGCCTGCGTGCGCACGCCCTTTGCGTATTCGTGTTGGTAAAACTCTACGCAAGGTCACAACAATTGAACGCTGCGAGTGTGTTTCGCACGTTTGGGGACTGTACTTATCTCCGTTGTGCTGATTCAGGGCGCAATTATTTGGAAGCACCAGTGGCTGCCACCACACCATCTGTTTGTCGAGTGTCGCCGTTTTACGGAAATGTGCAACAAGAAATGATTCCGCTTCCGTGCTTCTTCAGAAGGCGAAAGCAAATGTACAAACAATTCTTCGTTGCTGATGTTTTAGTCTGGCCCACGCATGCATCCCGAATCTCGATATTACCTTGGAACTATACCTGCAATCAACATGCCAGAGCAAATTTCATCCGTGTTGACAACCAAAATTGCGCACGCGTGGCATGTTGCGAGCTCCAGCCTCTTACAGGTTCTGAAGGGCGATGAACGTGACTCTGAGAAATACTGGTCGGGCACCTGGCAAAAATGAGTAGAGCTATATCTAACACACAGATCGTGGAACGTTGTGTACAAGCCTTTGGGAAGCTTGAGGAATCAAATAAAGACCGGTTGCAAGCCGCCGCTACGATCTTCAAAGATGGAGTGTTCTTATTTTTATGCCCGCAGTCTCAGGATCTTGAACAGGCTCCCTCAACTTTTCCACAGAATCCCCGAGGGGATGCCTAGAGTCTGACAGATTTACATTGGTGTACAATGCTCTATAAGTATACACTAGCCGGCACAGACCCCCGTGTAATTCCTTTCATCCGCTATGATGTCACATCACTCCTGCTCTCCATCGCGCGTCTGTACTGTGCCAACATATCCACGCTGATCATTTTCAGGCCCCATCGATTAGCAAACAATCGGCAGTCATCGCGCCGCGCCATAGTGCCCAACGCATCGTCATTCACAAGCTCGCACAGTACTCCCCCTAAGGGTTGATTGGTGAGGGCACATAGATCGATACCGGTTTCCGTATGACCCCTGCGTTCCAGAACGCCGCCTCTCTGTGCTCGCAAGGGTACCATATGCCCTGGGCGACTAAAATCGGACGCAGTCGAAGTAGGATCGACTAACTTCCGCACGGTGAGAGATCTATCGTGGGCAGAAATTCCTGTCGTTGTGCCTAGAAGCGTGGTTTTTAATCGCGGCAAATGCTTTTAAAGAAAGAAAACGAACCATGCTTGTAGTCTACGGTTATGGTGTAAGCAGTTTTGTGCCGCTCCTGGTTTTCGGGAACCATCATGGGAATTTCGAGTTCATTGAGACGCTCTTCGGGAAGGGAGATGCAGATATATCCGCTAAAATAGACATGAAGATGGAATGCATGGGTGCAAAGTATTCGTACCTGGTATGCTTGATCATCCACGCCATGGCCTCCACGGAACATTGACTCGCAGAAATAATTAAATCACCTTCATTCTCTCTTCGTTCGTCATCCATAACAACAACAGCTTCGCCGCGCGCGAATGCATCCAGCGCCTCCTCCACTGTATCGAAGGAGAACTCAGTGGTTCTCAGCGCGACGTCTTCTACTCGAGCGGGGATCCAAGTAGGACCAAGGGACCCATTCGTTTTGGGAAGTGCGTGGTGTTCTGGCACAGAGTCTTGAACCGTGGCAGCAGGCATTGTAGTAAAGAAACCTGCGAAATGCTCTGTTCACTGACTGTGTGATCGGATAATAAGAATATTCACCTCTGTGTGTTATTTTACTTCCCGCGATTTGACATCTGCCGTTTTGTCAACAGATGTGACGTGGATGTACGCCGTTTGTAAGTGTAGCGCTAGCTAGTCTACAACGCTCATGTATGGAGCAAGAGGGTTACTAAGCTCGGCGAAAGTCTTAGAAATCAAAGTGTTCAGGCGAGAACGCATCAGGGAATACGATGCTCCTAGTGACTAATGAAGCCGACGATAAAGCCGGAAAGCCTGTGTTTTTGCGGCTAAATTTAAGTAGCCTGACAAAATTTGGGTCATGTCTGCACTATTTCTCTTACTTCGACCTCCGACTCCGGCGCTTGTTCGGATAGGCTTCAAGGTCTCTCATAGATTTCTCGTCTATAGACTTTTAAAATAATAAACAATGTCGCATCTAGCACCAACTGGTAAATGGGACGCAAGGTATTTTTCTTGTTTTATTTTCAAATTTCGGTGTCATGTCAGGTTGAGTTTTGACCTCGTGTTCAAAGGTACATCGGTCCTGTACCTCATGACGCTACATACTATGCCAAGTGCATGCTCGGTGGTGTTCTTGCATGTGGTATCACTCACGCCGGCCTCACACCTCTTGATGTGGCCAAGTGTAACATGCAGGTTAGTTTATCTAGCTCTTCCTAACTCCGTGGTATCTCATAGTTTTTGTGGATAGGTGAACCCTGCAAAGTACAAGGGCCTCACGTCTGGTCTTGCGACGCTCGTTCGCGAGGAGGGTCAGGCTGGTATCTGGAAAGGCTTCGGTCCCACCTTTGTCGGTTACTCGCTACAAGGCATGTTCAAGTACGGTCTCTATGAATTGTTCAAGGACCAGTATATGAACTTGGCTGGAGAGGAGCTTTCTAACAAATACAAGCCCGCTATCTGGCTTGCTGGTTCTGCATCGGCAGAGGTCTTTGCCGACATCGCCCTCTGTCCTCTCGAGATGACCAAGGTCAAGATCCAAACCAGCCCTACTGGCACATTCCCCATTTCATTTGGTGCTGCCCTTGCGGAGATGAGCAGGACGAAGGCTGAGACCCGCTACCCCTTCGGCTCCCTTGTTCCTCTATGGTCTCGTCAGGTTAGCTGTTGTTGTTTTGGTTCCGAATGCATTTTATTTATGACGTAATAGATCCCCTACACCATGGCCAAGTTCTGCTTCTATGAGAAGATCGTCCAGCTGTTCTACACTCACGTATTCCCTGAGCCCAAAGAGACGTATGCGAAGACCACTCAGCTTGGTGTCACTTTTGCTTCTGGTTATCTAGCTGGTGTTGTCTGCGCTATTGTCTCCCACCCGGCTGACACCGTAGTCTCCCTCATGGGCAAGCCCGCCAACAAGGGCAAAAGCATTGGAGCTATCGCATCAGAAACTGGGATTGTCACACTTGCGACCAAGGGTCTCGGCACTCGTGTATTGATGATTGGTACTCTCACTGGTACGTGTACTTTACACTACTTTGAAATCACTGATCAATTTGGTTCGTCAAGGCTTCCAATGGTGGATCTACGACTCCTTCAAGGCATCGATGGGTCTCGGCACCACCGGTGGCAAGTAGACTATACTTTTGTACACTGGCAGTTAGTGCCTGTATGCCCTTTTTTATTTACTCATCTAATTTGCTATGACATGAGGACGTATAATAGATGTTCGCCCCTGGCGATATATTACCCGGTTTATTCCCTCTTGCTACCTCTACCTGGGACACTATCGGTTTTTTTTCGACATGCAATAGATCACGATTGTGTTACGACCAATACCATACCATCTTCATCACACGTTCGAATTAGCAGACCACCTGAGACAAAAGTTTCAAGGATGAACGCTGTTGCTTCAATAACTGTATTCGATCGAGAGAATGATTCGCAAGTATATCGGCTTCTGCGGTGCACAAACGTTTGAACCTGGACCCATCGTATGGTTTCAGTTCCTTATAATGTATTTTCGATTAACCAACAATCTCGCTGTGGGGTGTGAGTGAGTACAGCAGAACCCCTGAAATGACTGATGCGGTTCATCTTCGGATGAATGAATTTCCCAGTTTTGTCTGGATAAAATCAGGGATTCGGATGTATGCGAACAGGGGGTAATCTAAAGAAGCGTAAGAGGTGTCGAGGAGACTGCCAGTACATCGTCCGTCAAGGCTACACGTCTTTCTGGTGATGTTTACCAAGAAGTAAGCTACCGACACCTGGGGTAGGGCACTAAATTGGTCCGGATAGGGAACTGGCCTCCACACCTATTTTCAGGGGTCTTGGTACAGCCGCGGACGATATTGGGAAGATGTTTGTGGGATGTTCCATGTGGCGCTCTTATCTGTGAACTGTTAAATTTGGCTAGGTTTTTCGCCTAATACAGCATCGGAGAGTTTCGGAGATATTGAATTCAAACGTTCATCGAGGCTTTGGAGCGTGACCAAGGCAACTGGTAGTGTGACGAAGAGAGGGGGTGAAATTCGGACATCGCCTGGTTACAGTGTAAGAGGGGAGAATGGTTTTAGTGAAAGGCGGTGAAGCGAGACGGATTCACAAACATGGCATGACGCGAGGAAATCGATATTTTAGGGCACGCAGAAAGATGGTGAACTTGTTGTATGGTACATATGCACTCACACGATACATGCGCGTGTCAGACGGGGACTGGCACTGGATGGAGTTGGAGATCTCAAGTTGCCGGTGTACGGTAGGTCCAGCTAACTGGAGCCTAGAGGATCCTCGAGTACTCGTTTCGATGTCCGAATTCATATGCACAAGTCATCACCAAGCTACCGTAATTAAATCTTACCGTCTGGGATAAGGAGGCTAGCCTCGATAGACTGCGGGAAGAAGATTGATCCCCAACTAAACAGTCAAACCCACGTGCTGTGATGCGCAGATCGACGAAAACCAAGCGACAAAATTCCGATATTGCTATCGTAACATATGGGTCAACGTCCATAAGGCCCATCGGAGGATACCACAGTGGTGGAGGCGCAGCTCCGAAAGACGGAAGAGCGAAATTTGACAGTTATGCAAGCCGAACAGAAAACGATAACACGTGGCGTTCTGGAGGAGGCCACTTCAAGTCATTCAGCGCCCATTTGTTTCTGAGGTTACATGATTCGCGCAGGGATATATACATGAAATCACTCATCGTTCGAGGCTGCGATATCTTCGTGATATGAGTTGCACTTTGCAAATAATTTGGAGAGGTTGTCACGGCAGTGCCAGCGTGAGATATTTGCAGAACAATGAGTGCTACGCTGGCTTACGCTTGGAACGGAACTCCCTCGAACAAATCCCCATAACGACTACAATGAAAGAGGGGATTCGATTCAGGCAAAATATACTGCCAGTATACCATTGTCCTAGACTTTTAATAGACAAACGCTCCACTCTTCAACATTTCAACCGTTTCCCACTAAATAAAATCGAATATAGGTAGTAGACTCCAAGATACCTTCGAGCTTTGGACTACCATGTTGGGAGATCTCATTTATTTAGTGTCGTCCGCTTGGCATTCAGGATAGATGTGTCCGCATGTTTACAGGGGTGACTTTCTTTTTTTGTATTTTTTTTTCTTATAGACCCCTCGGAAGCAAAACGGTATTCTACATCTCTCCGATGTGATTTTTGGTTATGACTCGATTCTGATGATTATTTCTCCAGAAATTTAACGCTCGCCTTTGACCTCGGCGCCATAACGGTAGATCGTGTGAAATAATTTCGGTTGTCCCTTCACCGGCAACGTGCCGGCAGGCTAATTATGAACATGTGACAAAGGGAAAGGGCCATCCGTCCCAATTTAGTAGTCAGATTCGATCACTCGTGACGACGGCATTGCATTGCATTTTCATTATAAAGAGCGAGCGTTGAAACGCTCTTGTTTTCCTGTCCTCGTGCTTTTGTCTTCGTGCACACTTGGTTTCTTTATCTTTTTCGGTGATGCACTCTTCATATTCCCCACTTTTCACTTTAGGTCTTCTAGCGGAGCGACGGGCGGGTCTCTCGTCTGCACACAGCATCGACCTTCCGGCGGTCCCATCAACCTCAACCGCTACCTCCTACAAGGCCCACAATAATGCTGCTGCTGATGATCATGCCTCGGCATTTTATTTCACTTTGCAAATGGGAAAAAGGGACACCGTTGAACTTCGGTCTTTCCTTTCCCTCGACCTGGCAGACTCCAATCGTTCAATTGCAGCTCACAGGCGCAAGCAGTCGATCATGTCAAAGTCTACTAGTTGGACTTGTACGCACGATGTAACCTCAATTCATGACTTGTCGTAAGTTTAGCCTTTGTACTCATTTTCTTATCGTACTCACTGTTCCCGTCTAAAGACGAATCGAAAGACGACCCGCCTTTGCACGGCTTCCACCATTATCTTCAGCATCTGCGCTCCACCGATCGTCTCGTGAATCTTTGAGGCAAATCCCCTCTCCTAAACCTGCTCCGGTGTCATCTACCTTACCCGAGCCTCCGACATCTCTTGATCGTGCCTCTTCATCAAAGCCACCTCCGTCAGCGACTAGCACATCTTTTTCCACTCCCCTATTGTCGCCCATTAGCCCATCAGGAAAAGGGTCGTCCCTGCGTTCCTCATCTATCACATCGCATCAAAGGCGAAAAAGTCGCATGGATGCTCTGGCATGTTTGGAGGGCCGCTCTCGTGCTGCTAACCGCATTCCGAGATCGAGTCTCAGAAAAAATTTCATGAGCATGAGCGATGACGAGGATGATGAGGCCAAGGGGCTTTCGTCTGTGGGAAATACTCCCTCCATTCAAGTCGAGGATTTCGGTTCGTTCGCAGATATCGAAGATGAAGGAGATGCGATCGTTCCATCTTCAAAACATCTTTCCCCAAAACAAGCCACTTTCCCTCGTTCAGTCTCGAAGCCCACGAAGCGTCCGAGAAGAAGCACTATGGACACATGGTTTCCTCTCAAAAGCTTCATTGATCTGAAAGATGATGATTTAACATGGAATTGGCGGAGCTTCATCGAGATTGGCGGAGTGTCATGAAGCGGCTCTTTCATGACACCTCAGGCTGCGCATATCCTAGACAACTTTTATTCCGATATCATACCTTGTCGTGCAAGCACGCGGGATGTGACATCTTCGTGCGTATATCTACATGATTACCTATTATCTATGAATACCCACAGCCTTTTAGTATACCGAACTCGAACATTTTTTTTCTTTCATGTTCATTATTCAACACTTGTACTCTACTCATTACATGCGCGATTAACCATACACACATGATATCTTCGCTTTCTGATCCCATCGCAGACTGGAGTTGTCGGCTCTTGAGGAGTAATCTATCTTGGTTTTTAGATCTGTTACACTTGCAGTCTAGGCATTAATCATAGGGCTCAGTTAACGGATCCATCATGCTCGGAAATCACTCCTAGTACTACAAATGTCCCGGAATATCTATAGCAACGTACGACATGTACGTTGTTTAGCCCACCACGGGATATATTATAACCTCAGGCTGTGTCAGCGCTGATTCACGTCAATAACTTAATATACTAGACAGCGCAAAGAAATAGACATCCGGGATCCCGGAGCGCAAAGCCGGATTCGAAAAGTTATCTAATCTATGCGTGAACTCTATGGATGATCGTCTTTCCTCCGTCGGTTGTTCTTGTGAGAGGCTTCCGCACGTCGTGGGTCAGCGATGAAACTAACACTAGCGTGCCCTGCCTAAATGCGCTTACTACGAGGTACGCCCAAGAACGTTCTGTTTGATGGCTTTGATGGAACAGCGGGCAATAATTATATAATAAAACCTAATAAAGCATGTATGTAAAGTTGTCCAGGGTTGCAGAGTTTAATTCACAACCTCTCTATCAAAATGACTGTGGGCAATGATATGCGATCTAGGTACGACCGGACCTCAGCTATCGAACGTTTGTCGAACGTAACGCAGATGATGATCCGGAACTTAGTGGTGACAGTGGACACGACTGTCGCGGCCATTTTAGACAGTCTGAAGGCAGTGTACATCCGGAAGCGAAACATGTCATCAGTCCCATCTGCAGGAAGTATTTGTCCGCGACAGCGTACTTATCAACGTATGTATTATGGAATGGGGAAGACAGGCTGTGCATGTGACTGCAAGGTAATATCGGGCCAATTTTAAAACATGACCATACACATGGGTCTGAAATTGCGATTGTGAAAGCTGGGCATACCAGCTATAAGTTAGATTTTAAGCTGCAATGCATCGTCCGACTGCACCGGTAATTGAGCACAAGGGTCGTCTTGTTCACCTCCCGAGTAATCTAGCCAGTAATGTGACTGGGGAAGGTGACGGTGGTGATGGAGACACGGGGGTTTCCAAACGTTGAGGGCTGGATGAATACCGGACTTGGTATGACACCGGGTATGTCCCATATGTCGAGTACCGGTTAGGTGGCGGAGCCACACGGTGCATCGGCATGCGGGGAGGCAGTGGTGGAGCCGAATGGTTAGCAGGGCGGTTAAGCCGCGATGGCGATGACTTATGTAGATGTGTTTGGTGCGGATGTATCTGAGGCCGCTGTGATGTTGAAGCCGGATGTGAAGAAAAATGAGAAGCAAGTACGGGCGCGCTAGATTTCGATCGAAGCTTTGCCTTCTCCGCTGCGTGCTCTGTCTCACGCCTCTTCCTTTCGCTCCGTTCCTTGTCGCTTGATTCTTTGACTTTCTTTTCTTTGTCCTTGCGCGTGTCTTTGCTCTTCCCATCCTTTGTTCGGTCTTTTGCTGCACCCGACCGTCCTTCTCCGGGCCGTATAGGAGCAGCGCTCCTTGGCTGTAACTCGGGCATGTCGATTTTACCTAGATGCACCACGATGTTGCTCGGCGGGGTATAATCCTTGCCCTTTGCTTTGTCTTTATTACCGTTCAGATTGATCGTTGTCGGACCCTTGCGTGGTATCTGGGCCGTATCGTATAGAACATATTGATGAAGTTCTTCATGGCCTATATGACTTGAGGAAATGGAGTGGCTATAAGCCTAGAAACTTACCCGCTTTATGGCGGATGCGTTTCGTCTCCTCGACTACTTGCACCACTTTGGAAACCTGGGGTGGTCCTGAAGAGCGTATGGATATAAATAGCATCGCTTCGTCCTAAAATACAGCTCGTTATTCTGTCTCTGTTTTCGCGAGCACGGCCAACGCACCTGCAGCATCCGTGCACAATATCGCGCGTAATCCTTGAAGGAACACTCGTCGACGATTAACACTTCATTAACTTCGCCTCTACCAGTGGATGCCTGGATTTCAGCAACCCTTTCGACACCTGTTTTTTGGGCGGGTTTGGGCGGTGGGACTGGTGGCGAAGATCCGCCTGACATCTTTCGCGCAGTCGTCTCTGTGAAGCATTTTAGAGCTGAAGTAGTTGGAACAGCAGGTGTTGCGTTGTTGTCATTGGGTGATTGGTGATACGTATCGCTTGCATCTTGAAAGGTGAGCAATGCAGTTAGAATGACGATTTCTAGCCCTTTTCGATCATCTATATCAAACCTGTGTACACTTATCAGTCATGCCGCGGAAACTCTCATGTTCGATCTTTAGCTCACCTATTGAGATTGTAATCAAGAATTTGGACGGATGCTGTCTTTATTCTACCCGGAGGCTCCTTGGTCACCGCAACCATGACAGGGGGGTCGGGCTTTCTGATCATGAAACACTCTTCTCGTTTCCACTCAAATTCATGTCTGCCATAGCCTGACTGAGTTTGAATGGTAGCTGCTTTGTTCAGAACTCACTCTTCCCATTTGAAGGACCATCGGAAAGTCAGGGTGCCGGTGTATTTCAGCTCGACAACCTTGGAGGGATTATATAATTCTACCGTTTTATGTTTACTCGTCGCGCTGGGAGAAGTAGCAGAGGCGAGCAAGGATTCTGAAATGGGGTCTGTCACAGGTTCAGCTCAATCAGTCGACGATCGAGCCCAATTAGCAACGTACACACCATACAACTCAATCTTATATACTTTCCCGGGTATGCGTCGCTTGCGGTAGTGTACGTTCCCCGAAGGATCGGTGAGATCAGTCACAAGCCCAGTCGAGTCAGAGGTATTCGGTGTCAGAAGCAGAGTGAAGAGGTTCTGGTCCAGACTCATGGTAGATCAAACTATGCCAAGAGTGTTCGAAGTAGGTCGCGGTGAATCACGGGTCAGATGAGTAGCAGTCGGCCTTGGTGGTATATAGAGAAGTGTGCAGAGTGTTAGACGTGAAGCTTTGAGTCGGAAGACGCAATTGCCGTGTTACCAGTGTGGTGTCATTGACAAGTCGTTGTCGTTGCCGCGGCGCAGCTTGCAGGTAGTACAGGAAGGCACGGGGCAGAGTACTGCGGATATGTGTGCACTGTTTAATATTACGATCTATCAGAGCCTTGTTAAGGCTTCCACAAAATTCTCAGGCTGTGTACCAAGCTTATTAGTATGATGCGACTTATTATATAATCATCGCCGTGCCCATCAGATGCATCAAATTGTGGCTTGTTTTCTACATGTAGTCATCTACCCTCCCTCACATGTTTGCTAGGAACATTCAGAGTTATCCCTCCCTGGATGCGGCGACTCGGAGGAGCCCGGAGGTTGATGCCGAAGTCTAGACTCTACCGCTGATCCTTCACTATGACAGTCTAGTGGTATCATTCACGTTTGCAATGCAAGTCAAGACGTCTCGAGGATTAGTTGAAGGTTCCCGACCCAACAATTAAGGATTGGTCACTGAAGAGACTTATAATAGAGCTGTAAAAAGTCTGGTGCGGATTTGTTCATTCCTCACACAAATGCCTACTAATATAGCACTGGTGTATCGTAGCGATGATCAGATCCTATGGATCTATGGTGTGTGGTGGCATCCTGATGCAGGACCGGCTCTCGACCGTCGGGATGCTTTTATGTCACCGGTAGGCGGCATTAGATGTCCCAGATTGGCAGACCGTCGATCGCCACTTGAATACACCGGCATTGGTCACAGTATCCTAGTTGGCAGCGTGCAAAGCTCGCAAGTCCTAGCAGCTAGCCTACTGGGCTGCTACTAAGTGCTACTATCTCATGCTCCATGTTTCGCTGCAGACCCCCTCCTAGTTTGCCAGCAATTGTTAGATCAGAGTGTCGTCAGGGCACCGGAAAAAAACAGTATTTACTTTATCTATGAAACGTCTCAATTCATCCCATGTTTGCTGGCAAAACTAATATGTCCGCAACCCTACAATTGACCTCGTCAAACGAGCTCACAAGGCGACTGCGAAAATGTCTCATCGTCAAGCGGTTCTCTTGGACTCTTTGTCTGCTGAACTCTCTCAACAGCTCAAGGATCGCATAGACAATGTCTTGCTGGAGATCATACGACCAAACTTCGCGTCTCAATTTGCGCAGGGTGCTCCCGAATTGGCGGGATTCCGTGAAGCCATCGCGCAGAGCGACTCGAAGGACGACATCGACTTTCTATGCAGTTTCCGAGAATTCATTCCCACCACAAACTACGAGCCTTATAGGCCGTTTATAGCAAAGTTTTTGGCGGTCCCTTGCATGGAGGCTGACGTCAAGAACATGTTCGCCCCGGGATTGCCCTATTTCTTAGCCCTGACCAGCATGGCATCTAGGAATGCACCAAAGTTGTTCCCAAAGTATCGGCCTCCCCCATATCTTCTGCAGCAATTTTCATATCAGGGGTCTTCCCCGTCAGAGGGTACCATTTTAGCACCATTCTCTTTGAAACATTATCAGGTCTTAAAAATAGTTTGTGAGGACGGTCAGAGCTCCAAGGATGTAGCTGTTTGCTCCGCGAGCGCCGGTATTCTGCGAATGGAAATGAACTGGGACGTCGAGAATGACGAGGATAGACTCGATCTATGGGGTAAGTCCATGGCACCAATTTCCTTGTGCAAGTTGATCTCCAGGCAACTTTTAGTTCCAGGAAAAGCGGATCCATATGCGATATCTTTGGTTAAAAACTATCGCTCTTTATTTATTCTGAATGCGCTATTTGCACTGGCGGACCATCGAGTGTCAACCATCCGCTTCTTATTTGCCAATGTGTTCGTCATTTTTTTGCAGTACGTGGAAGATGAATGGCCTTTACTTGTCGAATGCATTGAGAAGGGTATTATCCCGGATGTTGAAGACCTAGGCGATCTGCGAGCACATTTAGAGGTCATATCTTTGTCGATTATTGCATTACATTGAGCTCACAAGTTTTCTTAGAGACATCTTACACCCAACCCTGTTCGCGCTGCCAAACTTCGCGAAATTGGGCCTCCTGTCATCCAGGGCTGGGCAGTCTGCGTCTGGCCTGACTTGAAACAATTTGTTGGGATTACTGGAGGTCAGGCTGCTGTTTCTGTTCCAAAGGCACGTCGAGTGTGGAAGGTTTACCTCCCAACTGATAGCCAGTGACACAAGATTACTCACCTACTCGGACCTTCCGTTACCATCAAGTCTCATGGGTATGGCTGTACAGAATGCGGTCTCGCCAGGGTATACCCTGAAGGTAACCCTAATACCGACTTCAAAGTATCATTCAGAGATGGGGTCGTCGAGTTTCTGGACGTGCGTTCTGACAAGCCTTCAGACCGTGTACTGTCTGCTGTAGGAATCATTACTGCCTCTCATCTTCAACTTCTCATCTTCCCTTAGTGGGAACTCGTAACTGGTGGAGAGTACGAGCCCGTCGTGACGACCCGCAATGGCTTGTGGAGATACTGCATTTCTGATGTTATCACTGTTAAAGGCTTTGCTCCAGACGACGGCTTACCGATTATCAATTACCTCCACAGACGGGAGTGAGTTGTGATGTCATTAGTTTTAGGTTTATCAGCTCACATGCCCACCGAGGAAGTGACTCGCTTAGAGTGGCATTTGGAGCATCGTGTACAGAGTCGCAGTTGACGGACGCGATCGTCTCTATCGCTGAACAATCAATTGGCCAGATCACAGCTTTCACTATTGTGCTGGACGATCGAGACAAGCCTGTTACGTTTGGGTACTTGATAGAGCTTGCAGGAGAACTAAGTTCGTGCTTGCTACAAAGCCTCGTGTCATTCACGCAACTGTGCTGATCGATATTCACAGGACAGGACGCGAGAATGGCGACAAAGCAACTTTTTGACAATCTCATCTCAGCAAACGATGATTATCGCGTGGTTGTCTGGCAAGGCAGGTCAAGAAGGCCTACCATCCGTATCGTGAAAAAAGGCACCTTTGCAGAGTATCACAGGCAGAAATGCGAGCAGACAAACATCGCGGCAGGTCAAGTGAAGGTTCCCGCCGTCGTTTTCGATGCAGTAATGAAGAAATGGTTCCTGGAGCGAGTTATAATGGAGTTATAATGGATGGCTTCCCGCAGCGTTTCACCCAATTTTAGAGTGAAACGAGCTAGTAATACTGTTTCATTGCTGTTTCAGGTTTCAATTTTACACAGCCGGGTGTACCTATATATTTGTTGTTTGTATTTATGGGTGTCTAGCGCGCGTAATAATGACAGAATATACTCCCGACTCCTTCAAAATCCTGCTAGGAAAACTCGTCAAGACTCCCGAGTATTTCACTCCAGACGACCTTAAACTCGCACTTCATCACCTTTTTACTCCAAATGCTACCCTTCCCGCACAAATAGGCGCATTTCTCGCTGCCCTCCACATAGGAAAAGTGGAAAGACGCCCAGACTCCCTCGCTGCAGCTGCTGAAGTACTAAGGGCGCGGGCATTACAAGCAGACGTCGAAGATGGAGACACGGATTTTGTTGTCGATATCGTTGGAACTGGAGGTGATGGTCACAACACGTTCAATGTTAGTACCACGGCAGCCGTCGTTGCCGCAGGCGCAGGCGCTCGAGTGATAAAGGTAAGATTATCTTACATCTGCTATATTTATCCATCTGACGAGTCAAACAACAAGCATGGAAGCAGGGCTTCCACGTCCTCATCTGGATCAGCAGATCTTTTGCAGTCCCTTGACTGTTCATTCACTGCCCCTTCATCAGGCATTCCCTTTCCTATATCTAAGGTGCCATTCACCTTCATCCTCGCGCCTCATTACCATCCTGCACTTGCTATGATTGCACCGTATCGCGAGTCCTTGCCCTTCAGAACGCTTTTCAATGTCCTTGGACCCCTCATAAATCCCGCACGTCCACGAGGAATGGTGTTGGGCGTGGCTGACCGCGAACTTGGTCCTACGTTCGCTCAGTCCCTCTGTACCAGCGGCGTCGAGCGCGCCCTCGTAGTATGCGGAGCCGAAGGACTTGATGAGATTAGCTGTGCCGGCGACACGTACGCGTGGCAATTAGAGGATGGCAAAGTTACGGAAATAAAATTACACCCAGACCTTTTCGGACTGAGCGTTCATCCGCTCTCATCCGTTGCTGGTGGAACACCGACAGAGAATGCAGGGACATTCAAAGCACTACTCAACTCGGGTAATGACATACCGGAGTCGTTGACACCCGTTTTGCACTTTGTATTGCTGAACGCATCAGCACTCCTGGTTGTTGCAGGCTTAGCTTCGGACTTCAAAGAAGGGGTTACGCTAGCGATGAATAGCATAACGTCTGGACATGCATGGGATGCCCTTGTAGCCTTTCGGACTACAGGCGAGGAGGCACTGAAAGAAACAAGCGGATATCAAAACGGAGCTTGATGTACTTTTCAGTCATACACTTATGTACAAGTTATTGCTGTGTCTTTTTGAATAGAATTCTTCCACTACCAACAATTCCAGTTGAGATCATTGTCCATATTCCCCCTCCCCCCCCAAAAAAAAAAAAAAAAAAATAAGACCCGCAAGGTTTCTTAGAGATGTGACTGTGGACAAGGTGTTTTGAATTGAACGGATCACGAATGCTACGGAGAGAATAGTTATATGAACATGGGGCAGTATATAGTAGAATATTGATTGAACCTGAGTTTCAGGCACTCCTGTCGGACGTGCAAGTGGATGGGGCTGTTACTAATATCGAGGCAGATATTGCGAAGTGAAGTGAAAACTTGTCCCCATTGTTCGTGATGTGGACAAGTGATGATGCCAGTAGTCAAAAACAGTCTTGAAGGGTTTGGATCTGAAGTTCATGCGACCGTCGACCCCGAACGGAGGGATACTACGGGCCCGAAAGAACAAGTTGCTCGTTCCGTGATGCAGGCTGATGCAGGTGAATGAGGCAACTGGTGAAGATATAGGGTGCAGTTAGAATGACGTTTTGTAGTACTTTGGAGGACATTTTGGAATATACCAAGTTGTAGAGCCGTTTACTACAGTGTACGAAGCACTAGAGTGCCGTCTCTATAGGGAGCTTAATTGTACGAATTTTTTTGCTCAATGAAAATTCTACAAGGAAACAAGCAAAAATAAGCAATTTTTCGAAATTTCCCATTTTGTTTCAAATTTTTCCGTCGGAAAAAATTTACCCCATGCTCCATATACCCTGTTCATCTCCCCGAAACCCTGTTCATATTACCATATGCCTCCTGTGACAAAGAAAGCTGCTCAAGCAAAGAAGCAACGAGCCGACTGTCGTAAATTCAGCTCTTTGCCATCACCTCAACCAGAACAGGGGTCAGACTCAGAGTATGAGCCTGGCTTTAGTGGGGAGAGCGAGGTTGAGGCAGATGATATATCTGGGTCCATTGTTGCCCTACAGAGCCTCTATGGCATGTTTTTACCTGCAAATCTTCGAGCCAAGGACAATAATTTAACTGGGTCTGATGGAGAACCACAGGTGAATGTCTCCGAATTTCTATTATCTATAGAACGTCAGCAATGCTTACCATCAAGCCTGGTGTCAGCGAAAGAAGCAGAAAATTGTAAATAGGCCAGCTGTTTACCGGGGAAACTCTCGGACATCTCAATGGAGGAAGAAGTCCTCATGGGACAGAGCATCCAGTGGAGCAAAGACAATAGACACATTTTTTGTGAAGGTTCAGATGATAACATAAGTGACTTCTGAGACTTACATCAAGTTAATTAGAGAGATATGACTCTCATGTCTGAAAAGGAGCAGTTTGTTGCCAAGGAAGTGGAGCCTATACAGCAAGATCCAGCACTCGAATATTCCCTGGAAATGGGTTTTGACCTAATGGAATACAGCGTGTCATTACTCCAAGACGAGCTGAACGGTATCATATCAATTCCATGGAATGAAGAATTTGATCCAGATGAATACCTTGAGGTAAGCAATGAAATAATCTCGCTGCTTTAATAGGCTCATTCCACGTACACATAAGGCCATTCACGATGGCGATGAGCTGGAAATGGAAAATTTGGACCTGACATTTGGATCAGAAGACGTGAATGACATACATCATGAGAGTCTGCTGGCGTCCATGGCCCAAGAGTGGCTGAAGGATGATCATGATGATGTCGAAACTGCGCTGGATATGGACATATTTAAGATTGCGGATGCCTGCCTTCGGACAGTCAAAAACCTGCGGACAAAGAAATCATTGAAGATGATTACTCAACTTACCGCAGTGACACAATATGTCAAACTCCGAGAGCAGTATCGCCATCATCCAAAGTGTAAAACTCCATGCTTGAGTGCAAGTCTTGCAATTGCACGACGGATGGGTAAGGGAAAGAAGGGCACTGGAGCACGAGAGGGAGGAAGATTTGCACGTCAAATTCGCAGGAATGAACTCTACCTTCTGCAACATCACTGTCTTCCTTCGTCAAAGCAAAGTAATCACCGTGGACAATACACATTGTTGGATAACGAGGCAGTTGTTCATAATGTGCGGAGGTATCTTGCAATGCAGAAGCTGGGTACCATCACTCCAAGTGCCATGTGTCGCCACGTCAATGAAATTATTGCACCTACACTTGGCTTAACCGGTCCGAACAGCCACATCAGTGAACGTACTGCAGAAAACTGGCTGAAGAAACTTGGATACACTTGCAAGAATGTCCAGAAAGGTGTATACCATGATGGACATGAACGTGATGATGTCGTGGAGGCACGGAAAATATTCCTTGAGAAAATAGCAGGATATGAGAGGTAAGTCGGCATTATCTGACTGTCGAATATGTGTCACTTACCACATCTCATACCAGATTGATGACAAAATACAACAATGAAACTCTCGCACCCATCCCACCATCCCTCACTCCCGATGAGCAAGAGCATGTCCTCGTTACCCAGGATGAGTCAATTTTTCATACAAATGAATACCGACGTCGCTCTTGGCTTTGTGGTGATGAACAGCCTTTGAAAAGGAAGGGGAATGGTCATGCAATTCATGTTTCTGATTTCATTTGCGAAACAACTGGCCGACTCGCTTTGTCAGAAGAACAACTCGCGCAACAAGCTACTCTTCCACCTGACCAACAGCTCAAGGTCACGGATGCTCGAAAAATCATCTATCCAGGAAAAAACCATGATGCAAATTGGGATCTTCCTCAGCTTCAGACCCAAACGATTCATGCTGTCGACATATTCGAGTTCTTGCATCCGAACAAGGTTGCTGTCTTTGTTTTCGACTGCTCTTCCGCTCATGAAGGTCTTGCTCCAAATGCATTGAACGTGAACAACATGAATGTGAAAGGTGGTGGTAAGCAAAGCCACCTACGTGATACCACTATCCCACTCAATAATCCACCTCCGAAACCTGGACAATCTGACATGCGTGGAATGCCACAGCAAATGGTATACTCGGCAACATATCCTGACCCTGAGTTGGCTGGGAGACCAAAAGGAATGAAAGTCATTCTTCAAGAACGGCAATCAGTTTGGGATGTGCTGATGGAACAGCACAATGGGAAGGTGGTTGGGAAGTGTCAACGTTGTCAGAAGTCACAGGCAAAAAAGGATGCAGAACGGAGACTCGCATTGGCGGAGGCACTCGGACAAGAAGCACCTGAAACAGGTGAGCTACAGGCAGAGGATGAGCCAGAAACAGACTCGGAAGACAATAATTGGTGCTGCATGTACCGCGTACTCTCACTTCAAGATGATTTCGTCAATGAAAAGCCACTTATCCAGCATTACATCGAGAGTCGCGGGCACGTTTGCCTTTTTCTTCCGAAGTTCCATTGTGAACTGAACCCCATCGAGATGCTTTGGGGATATGCCAAGTACCGTCAGTTTTTTCTCGGTTTACTGTCGTGATTTTGACTCATTGATATTCCCGCGTGGTACAGGCTATCGAAATGTCACTGATGGGAAATTCTCGACGGCAAAAACACTGGTTCCGCAATGTCTCGACATGTGTGATGTTTTGACTATTCGCCGTTTTTTCCGCAAAGCTTGGCGTTATATGGATTCCTACCGGTACGTTTATCGATGCTTTCGAGTGGTCATGTGGCAGCGCTGAAGTTTGAACAGGAAAGGACTCGATGCTCACCAAGCAGCCTTCGCAGTTAAGAAGTACCGTTCCCACCGTCGTGTTGGGCTCATGACAGAGATTTTGGCCTCACTGGATGCCGAAACTGCAAGCAGAGGGCTTCTGTAGATTGTATTTACCATCTGCTTGCTTGTATACCTGCTCAGTTACCCATAAATACCATTTCTTGCAACATGTTTCAAATTTCGTCGGAAATTTTTTCAACCCTTCGATTTTCAATATTCGAACGAGGTAGCCTTAATCTACAAGTCAAAAGAATGCATTTGCGCTACTCTACGGTACAAAGCAGTCAAATTTCGAGGACTAGATACATTTTTGAGTTCGGGCTAATCCGAGAGGTCGGAAAAGTGCTTCGTACACTGTAGTATGGCCCGTAGTGACATCGATGAGCTCGAGTGAATAACTTGCAAACCCGCTTAATTACGCACATATTTAGATAGTTCAAAAGTCGCGATGATACATGATTGGGCCAATAGAACGCGCTTACATTTAAAAGATACTTATCTTCCATAGGCAGTTCCTGTTTACTTCCATTTATCTGATAGCTTCCCAATAGACCAGCCAACTTTCATCAAAGTCTCGGTTCCAAGGTGACCCGGCTTCTGGGGCAAAGAGTTGGCGATAAGATCGGAATCCCACTCGACCATCCCCGGCTCAAGGATAGCAACAACAGTGCTACCTCCGTACGCGAAGAAACCAAGTTCATCTCCGCGCCGAACCTTGGAACCCGACTGATGGAAGTGAGTTTGGCATGTTAGAAGATCATATTCGATGGACTTACCGAAACGGTCCACTGAATGCTTCCAACGAGCAAGGCGCCGACTGCAACGAATGCGATCTTTTTATTCGTCGCGTCATGGTTTAGAACGAGAACTGATCTCTTATTTTCAGACAACACGTCGAGATTTTTCTCGTTGACTGCCTGCGGGTTGACTGCAGAAGGTAAATTTTCATTCGTTGAGTGCTGCAGGTGGCGCCCCTTACCTGTAAAATATTGTCCAGGAATATCCCTTGGTTGACCAACGACAGTGGCATCTGCAAGGGAGTGGAAGCGGTGATAATCTGACGGCGCAAGGCGGAATGATGCGAGAGAGCCACCTTCCAGCGCCCTGCAGAGTGGATCGGATTTATCTAGTCCTAGGAGGGCAGGAACTGTAAACTGGTCCCCCTTAATCCAAAAAGTCTGCGCATCGTGCACCGCAGGATATACGACGAGCCGACAATCCGCAGCACTGCAGAATTCATGATCAGGGTTCTCCACAGGGCGAGCTCCAGGCTTGAGTTTTCGGTAGAAGAAGTCGTTGAAATTTTTGTACGCTGGGCTTTCGGGCGGATATAGCAGCTCGGTTGTGTCGATGTTGTAGGTTTTTATGAATGATGGGATGTGACTCCTAGACTCAGGCGAGTCATAGATCTGGCCCTCACGCTTGCTCTGCTCCATCAGGAGTGCGTCGACGCGCTTGCTTCCTTCCAAGAGCTTGACCTGCTCCTTCCCATAAAATAATATATGCATGCCCAAACGTGCATAGATCGGCATGCTTTCAAAAATTCGTCGATTGGTGCCTCTAATCGCGACATAGTTGCCGACATGATACTTGGCTGCGAGGGATTGCAGCTGAGGCACGAATTTGCTCAACCAAACGTGGTGGCCAGGCGCAAAGTGATGTAAATGACCATGGATGCCCTGAGTGACATCGTTGCGATTATCAGCATGTTGAGGATTGGAGCGCTCTACGCTCTCTTTGAAAGCTTCGATGATGTTGCCTTCCAACATCTCCATCCCTTCCATTCCTACTTGGCTGGAACCCTCAACACCACCTGGCTTATTGAGCTCGGATTCATTCAGCTCTGTCATAGATGAATAGGAAAGCAGTGGATGGAACAATGAGTGGAAGTCGGGTCCAAGTCAAGATAGCAGATCTAACTATATTATTAAGATATCAAGTAAGTACAATACTCGGAAGGGTGGAAATGGCAAATCCCGAAGATAGGGTAGGTCGGTGACCTCGAGCCCCAGTTGAACTACATTTGGTGCTCCATGTGTGCTGTCAACGTTCTGTCAACGTTCTGTCACTTCTGTGATCTAATCTGGTCAGAGAAGAAAAATAAGATTTATGATAAGATTTGATTTACGAGCGGAGAAAGTGAGGAATGCATTCACGTATTTGAGAATGAAGCCCGGTGGCAGCCAGAAACCATGCTTTGAGAGGCAAAGATGAGCCTGAGGGTAGGTCACACTCAAAATCGTTGGACTTGAAGCTTAACGGCAACTCGGAATTTGACGCTACTAATCTAAAAAGCGGAGTTAGTCGAACTGCTCGTGAGCAACTCATTTTTGGTTTAGCTCATGGGTCGGTCGTAAACAGACATTTTTGGCTATGTTTGAACCCTGAGGCCTGAGCACACACTTATGCAAAGATGCGTGTCAAGATCATCGCAGATCTAATTGACGGTAACAACCAATTGTTAAATTTCTAGATTTACTTTCATATTATATAATCATGCAAACTACATTTTAGAAATAAACGACAAATATTTAGGATCCCTATCTTATGGTGGATGTTTGGTTCGACTTTCCGAGATGCCGGACAGATTTTCAATGTCCGATCGCTGTTTGGTTTGAGGAATATTGTTTCTTCGATTTTATTTAATGTATATTGTATATCCCTAGTTAACTTGCAATTGCTTTTTTTTTTTTTGATCCTTGTTTATTGTCCTTTGGGGCGGAGCCCTATGGTGGACACTACGTACAGTATGTGCTTGTGTAATCTATGCTATGTGCTGATATGTGTTAATGCTATGCAATGGTCCCAGCGTGGGCGAGGACTGTGACACTGTCTTAAGGTGTTGATATAGTGGAATACATATATGTCATCATGGTTCTTTCCTCTGTTCATTCCCTTTCATCCTCTCATCTTCTTTCTTTCTCTTTGGGTGGGGTCACATTTCTGAAGATTGGTTCCATTCTTTTGGTGCACGCTATGTATTTGAGTGTAGCTTTGATTCCTTTGGCATCGTTTAGGAGGTACTTGACATGGAGCTGCCTTGGCCCCACCTCCATGCTGAGTGCAGCTCTCTGTCTGGTGAATCTGAGGCAAATGAGTAGGAAATGGTGAACCGTTTCTTCGTGTGAGTGGCATTCTTGGCATGTGGCTGATGGGGCTTTCGCTATATGGTGAAGGTATTTGTTGAGGGCTATGTGACCTGTGCATAGTTGGAAGAGCAATGATCCATGCTTTCTTGAGAGGTCGTCAATGTTGGTGGTGAATTTTTTGGATGGGGCGGTCTGATCTATGGATGCTAGGTGTGCAAATCGGGGTGACTGCCGCATTATTTCCTTGGCTTTGTTCTTGATTATGCCATTGAAATATTGTTTTGTTGCTGATTTGCTTCATGGTAGCATTTTGGCTGTTCTTCCTTTGGTTAGCAGTGATGCAGGGAGGTCGGTGGGGTCTGATGAGTCTCTTGCTGCTGCCTTTTTTGCTTCTCTGTCTGCTGCTTTGTTGCCCAGGATGCCTTCATGACCGGGCATCCATCTGATGATGAGTTTTCTACTGTCTTCGTGCGGCAGTAGATCACGGAGGTCGTCATGGAATGTGTCTACTAGATGGTGACCTGGTTTTGACTGGAATGCCGTCGTAGCTGCAATAGCGGCTTGATTGTCGACACCTAGTGCATTGTGCCCCCATTACCCCCTCCTTCTTCTCTAAGGATCTGGACCGCCAAAATTATCCCTACTAGCTCAGCCTCGTACACTGTGTGTTCCCTGTCGCTTCCTAGGTGAAGTGTTTGCTTCTGACCACCACCTCCTCTCTCATTAGCACTGCTGCTCCCCCTACGCCGCCATCTATTGATGATCCGTCTGAGTATACCCTTAGCTCCTCCTGTGCTCATGCATCATCTATCATCACTTCTCTCGTCGAGTTTGCGACTTCTATGTTGACATCCGGTATCCATTTTGGGTAGTGTCTGACTGGGTCTATCTTTTCGGTTGCAATTGCTTGACAAGGTTTCCAGACATTCATGTGACCCGTTCCAGAATGGATCGCCTTATATGGGACGATGACTGTCACTCCATATCCCATTGTAGCGCCACTGACGCGCCAATTCCCAACCCCCCCTTCCATGCACCTGTTGGAATTTTACATGATTTGGCACATGATGATTTCCAACTCACTTTGGTTGATATCACCACTCAACTTAGAGATTTCGCAACCTCATTCACTACTTTATATCGGTACCAGAGTGCACGCTGGTGCTTGTAGCTCTACCCTCCTCACTTAGTAACTGCCTTTGGTGTAGCCAGGTGGTGAACAGTGTAAAGAGGTGGAGCTCGCACTGAATTTTGTCTCTGCTCTGCGCATGGCAGGAACAAAGTTTTTTATTGGCACCTGGACCCCGATGTCCATCCGTCCTTTGGCCATTAATTGAGGACTGGCAAGAAGTCTTATCCAAGTGTAATTGTGGTGTCATTACATTCTTACACGAATTTATATAAGACCCTCGGTTATTAAGACAACATGTTTAGCTACAACCTGCTCGGCTGACAGAACAGATGGTGGTGGTGATGTAGACATGGATGGGAAAACGTCTGCATTTGAAATCAAGGCAGGGTGACACGTTTTGAAGCTTCCTGCCAAGCCAATCATAGATTTGGATCTGGTGTTGATGGTGAGTGCGGCGACAGTGTACTTGCTATCAATAGTACTGAATGGCGCAGAAATGAGCGCTGCGAAGCCAATGGAAGGGATGTCAAAGAGACAAAAGGTGATAGAGACACATCCAGCACCTTGTCATCACATAATGTGAGTTAGTTGACTGATTCAAAAAAGTTCAAGGCACGTACCTATAGTAGAGGATGCTTGTTTTCTAACATTTCCCTGAGCTTTCATGGCCGCTTGTAGTTGAGATTGGCTGGGTAAGAAGAGTTGTTTTGATATGTGAGCACTTGCTGCTAAGACAGGTTGTGACTGTTCGAGCTTTGAAGGGCCATCAGAGACATTGGATTGGTCTTCATCCTTTGAGACATTGTCGCCTGCCAGGACCTTGCTAATTTCAGATATCAGAAACTGTAGTATCAAAATGGTTAGACCTGCCAATATATGAGTGCCTCAACTTACCTTCCTGGAGCACTTGTGTGCAGGGCGGCGTGGTGGCGATGGGCTAGAATCATTGCTGCTACCTTGACTTTGCAGTACCCTTTTCTTTGCAGGGATACTAGATGCTGGTGTTAGCACATTTTGCACATCAGCGTCGACACTTGGTGCAATGTTCTGCGAGATTGAACTAAGTGTGAAAGGTATCGCTGAAAAAATGAAAAAAGACCTACATTGACACACTGCTCCTGCCAGAGCAACACATCCTCAAACTGCGCATTTGTCATTACAAGAAGGATGGCAACACATGCGATGGTCGCCTCTGAACTTGTGCTGCAGGGTGCATGCTAGACCTGGATCTTGAAGATGACGAAGCATGGTGTGACTGTTCGCAATCCCATTGTTCTCTGTGCCCGGATTGCTTTGGTTAACGAGAGGCATAGCTTAAATGATTGCATTAGTAGGCTGACAATTGAGACTGGATGCAAATAATTACCTCCAAGGCTTTGGACCGTGTCACAATACCAGCCACAGATCAAGCGTGGATTGTGATTGGTCCACCAGATCTTGAGCCAGAGTATTCGCCCTGAGAACGGCTCAATACCAACATGTAGGAAGAGCTGAAAACGATGCCACTTGTCATGTTGGTCAAAAACCCAAATGTCATGAAGACCTGCAGTCCAAAAAGTGCTGCATTTGAGCCGGCGACTCTTCTGGTGCTGAACTTCATCCGGATGGTGAAGGTTCATGTACTGCAGTATTAAGTCTCTGAAAACAATTAAATCAGTGTAAATGTGTCGCGACAGAGCATCATATACAACCTTGGAACCATAATATGTTCCTCTTGCCTAAGGGTTTGCTTCATGTCGTGCGAGCCCTGTTTGGGGAACCGTTGATGAACACACTCAATGGCAGGTCCAATGCTTTCAATTGTGTGCGCTTGACCACGGGTGTCACAACCCAAATAACGAATAAACGCTTGGGCAGAGACTAGGACTCGATCTAAGGTTATCGGACAAAGAGAGAGGAGCAAGTACGTCTTGGATTGCTACAGTTGTAGATACAAGAGGTTTGAACTAAAGAACTATCGACCAAGACATGCTACCTATATACAACTATTGAGACGGAGATTGAAACTGAGCTATAACTACTGACCAATCATAAAATAGAAAAGGGAATCGTACCATAGAACATCGTAGAATATTAAAGAAGTATCACGTGACCATATCTTATCTTATTGTATCTTATCTAATCTAATCACAATCAAAGAACTCGTCTTCTTCATCAGTCACATCGAAGACACGTGTCGTGGGCTGCTAAGGGAATCTCTGAACTGGTAGACGCTTTCGGGGTAGGGTTAGGGTTTGTCTTAGGCGCTGTGTATTGACGCTTAGGAAGATTCAAGAAAGAATAATGGTTTGTTAAAGGTACTTGTGACATTACCCCCTCTCTAAGGTGAGTGTCATCATGAACAAATGAAGGTCGGATATTCTTTTCTCTCCATCGTTTGAAATCTTCCGTAAACAGTACTGAGCCTTTGATTCTTCGGTATTTTTCGGCTGCAGCCGTGGGATTTTTCTTATAGAACTCTGCTAAAGGAATTGGAGCGTTCTTCAAATTCTCTTCTGGCTCCCAAGATGACTCTT